ACCCAGTCTTATTTCTATCTGCCAATTTTTGGCTACTAGCATGACATTCGTCGCCCTGAAGAACGTCGAATTGTGGCTAGATGACTGGAAAATTGTCTCCATCCAGAAAAAGGCCTCGCCAAGTAGTGGTGTGGCGATTCCCAAAGATATTGAAACCACCACGAAAGAACGGCTTATGAAGGTAGAAAGTCTGAGCAGAGAAAGCGTCCAGATGACTGCTACATTCATGCATGTGGTTGGATGGCGCCCATCAGCTTCAAGCTCTGTTCCCAAGTCGAGTGCCTTCGGCGAAACGACATATGGACGCCATGCATCAGAGACCCCATCCATTCGCTCATTCTTTTCTCGCCTTACTTCTTCAAGTAGCCAGCAAGCCATAAAATCGAAGGTGGCACAGGAAGCGCAAGCATTCCAAGAAATAATACTTGAAGATCTTACGAAAGAGACGACGGCAAATGTATTCCTCTCAGTGACAACGGCTTCCATCCGCACCTCCGTGACATCAACATTTGCCACAGAACTCGAGCGTGCCACGAAGAAACCGCCTCCAAAATCCACCAGGCTTGCGCTTTTGTCATCTTCATATGACGAGGCTACGGCCTCCAAGGAGGGCAATAATGGTAGCAAAGTAGCCAACGGCGTCGACATTTTTGCTTCAGTCTTGCCTGGGAAGAAAAACGGGGGAAGAATATTTATTGGGTTCCCCACGAACCAGACTACTGGTGCAGGCGTACATCTCTCTGCTCCATCGTTAATTCCGACCGTCGAACGCGAAGCCGTCGACTTGAACGCACGGTGGGTTCGCACTTGGAATATGGAAATGTTACGAGTTGCTGGCATAATTAGCCGTGTTGCATATGGAAATGAGATGTCCGATTTGGGAAACAGGCTCCAGCGTTGGACCCAATCGCAAGGGCGCCCTGGGAAGATAGTTAAAGAGGACGTGGAGAAGTTTATGCCCGCAGCTTTACATATCCTGACATCGTTTACATTCGAGGAGTCTACCCCCAGCGCGCAAATCTCACAAATTATCGAGGAATCGTTCTGGACATCATTTCAAAAGGCTTCGGTGGATATTTACAGCACAAGGGGCGTTCTACCAACTACCACTGTTAGGTTGGCAATTGAAGACCTTAGCGGGTTTGTGGAAGGTATTCCTACCCTCCCGAAACAACTCGTTGAAACCAAGATGGTAAAGAAGCTCCGAGATTATGGGCTCATCTCCGATATTACTATTTCCGACGTTAAAAAGGAGCTTGGATCAAAAGCACTGACTACGCCGCAACTCATCGCATTTATTGGCTGGATTGCTCGGAAAGCACTGGCATCAAACATTGATGTATCGGCTATGAGAAGCCTTCTTGAAACTACTGTTGCGACTGTTGGGCAAAGTGAGAGCCAGGGAGGGATTATTTCTCTTTCGAGTATCAAATACTTCATACAGCCGTCAAAAGTCCCACCAGAGTTTCCCATTCCGCAAAATACTCTCCCATACAACATTACACAAACCACTACAAATGCCGAGCTTCAAGCCTTAGGCTGGGCGCCTCTAGAAGCTTCAACATGGATTGGGTTTCTTACCGAGTCTACTAAAGGGCGTAACGGGTTGTCGAGCGAACAAGATATCACTTGGTCACCAAAATTCTCCTCTCAAGTATTGGCTGTTTTGTCAAAGCAATGGGATGGGTTGCCTGTGGAATCAAAAGCGATCATAATTAAGCTTTTGGCTCCATTGACAGTAATACCAACCAAACTTGGCATGAGTAAGCCGAGTGATTCTTACTTCGCAAGCGTCAAGTTATTTGATGATTTACCAACTATTGCTGGTTGCCCTGGTGTCAAAGAAAAATTTCTTAGCGCTCTTGGTGTAAGGAAAACGGTTGACTTGGACACAATCTTTCAGCGACTTTTGAGTCCTGTTGAATCTGGTGCCCAAGGAGGACCGAGCATTGCAACTCCAAGGTGGAACCATGTCGACTTGATAGTGTATCTAGCAGGAGTGAAAGATGATATCCCCATTGGAGACATGAAGAAATTGCGGGAAACGCCAATATGTGCCGCTGAAGCAGGACCGATAGGTCAAGAAGCCAGCATACCATCTGCGAAGCGCTACAAGATATCGGAACTATTCGAACCCAAGGCTGATCTAAGACACCTGCAGGTACCCATTATCCAATGGACTGGCAAGTTTGGGTACCGTCCAGGCAGTCCAGAGGCAAACTTCTTGGTCTCCCTTGGGCTGAGGTCTAATCCCACAGTACACGAATTGGTTGTAATGATGGCTTCGACGGACCCGACTTTGAGAACCAAATCAATGGCGTACTTCATCGCAAATTATGAGACCAACCAATATAGTGCGTATAGTTTGGCGAAGGCTTCTAGACCCTTCCTTCCTGTCGAAGGGAAAGAAAAGGGTTTGGCGGTTCCTTCGGCATTATTCACCAACGCAAATGCGTCTATGTTCGGATTCAATGTCCTGCGAAAGGATTTAATACCTCATGCTTCGGTATGTTTCCCCCCACTATCTAACCGGTGTTGGCTAATGTGCTTCCACAGAAATTTGGAGTTGCTGAGAACCCTCCCATGGAGGAAGTAGTGCAACGGCTTATTGCAAATCCACCGAAGACCCAGACCGAGGCGCGGGTTCTTTTTGTGTACCTTTCAACCAGAATTGGAGAAGCAGATTTCACCCGCCATTCTGCCAAGCTCGGAGACGCCCAGATTGTTCCAGCTGTACCAAAGTCCATAGGGAGCAGCCCATTTCCAGAGAAACGCGCTGCAGGGCCCAAGCATCTTGCACCCCGAATGTGCTTCATTGGGCAATCAGAAACATATGGCGACATTTTCGACTTCGTTGACTTTGGCAGCGAGGCAAACAGGTTCCTCCTTGCTTGCGGCTCAAGCAACGAGCCTTCCAGAAGACACATTGCAACAATGCTTGCTTCAGAGCCGGCTCGTGTACTTGGCATTGTTCAGAGTCCAGAAAAATATCTGTCTCTATTGAGGTTGCTTGCCATGTCGCGAGTGGATTTGAAGAGGGACAAGTTGTTATGGTCTCAAATGAGAATATCACCATTCCTCCTAGCGACAAAGGAGATATCTGCCAATAACGAACCCAAAAATAGAAGCTCAAAGAATCCCGTGGATCTGTTTGACGACGACGATGATACCAGTGCTGGCATCAAGCAGTGGGTTTTGCAGCCTGCGGCCAGGATTGTGATAGTTGACGATTACACAACATACCAGTTGTTTAAAGGAGACCTCCTTGCGGCGCCATTGGAAGACGTCCTTGAAGAATTCTACCTTGATCTTGGTTCGGTGGCCGTAGGCCAACTCGTCGAACAAAAGATTTCTGTTGGTGACCCCCTCATCGACCAGAGTGCGAGCATGCAGATCCAGAAGAAAATTCTTGAGAGATCGAAAGTATTTTTGCATTCTTATCCATCAGACCAGCTGAAGCAGCCAAAGGGATGGCTCGAGAAGAATCTCGTGGTGGACTATGTTACCCATATATCTATCAAGATATCATTACGGGGATATAAGATGTCCTACAATTCAAAGCAGACCGCAGTTTTGAAAAATGATTCGCGCTCCAAGAAAATAGCCTTACATATTACATACGGAGTGGATTATTACGATATCAGCCAGGCTCTAGTCAGGAATTTGTTAAAACGACCAAATAACGAGGCCGCAACACTCTTTGAATCACTCCTTACGTCAGACCTACAAGGATTGAAGCGAAGGGGGTTCAATGTCGACCGTATTCTCAGAGCTCAAGCAGCCCAAGCTCGCATCGCCGAAGATGAGAGACAGAAGCAACTCCGACTTGAAGAGCAACAAATTAAGGAGAAGGGTGGGACAGTGAAGCCTAACCAGATCGAAGAAGATTACTCTGGATATCGTGACTCGGATGAAGTTGATATGCCTGGAGCGTTTGGCAACAACTCACCCTCCCCCGCTTCCCAGAAGAAGAGCCGAAACTTATTCTCGAGCTTCACACGCAAACTTGGCTTTGGTGATGGAGAAGCTCAACAACAGCTCCAGAGCTTTCTAGGTGGTCATGGGGGCCACTCTCGGTCGAACTCTGATTCGAAGTCTAATCGCGGGCATTCGTCTTCTGGCGACCCGGTCCCCACCCCGCGCAAGCCTGGCGAGATCGAAAAAGTGAGTTCGCCTGCTGCTGTTCAGCAGAACCTTGTCAACGCAGTCCAATCCTCTCGAGCACACAACTCGTCCTCTGTATTCTCGCCACCCAGCGTCAACCAGGTCAAGGAACAATCGACATATTGTGACAGCACATCCGAGAAGAATATTGCCCACATTGGAGACGCGTCAAACGGGATGCGTATCTATGTCTCCAGAGACATGTCCGTCATGAACGAGGTCTTCCTCGCACAGAACGTTGAGCAAATACAAGCATTTTCAAAGATGCTGCATGACGTCGGTGGCATCTACAATATTCCGAGGAATGCTCTCAATATCTTTTACGACGAAGTAGGCAACACTATCGCGTTTAACCTTAACGGAAGCTTGTTTTGCAACCTGAGGTTCTTCTTGCAGCTACATTGGAACGAATATAAGAACCCTGCCGGGATTTCGGGGGCAGAAAGTTGGTGGTGGGTTGTCCTCGCACACGAGTTGGCCCATAATCTTGTGAAAGAGCACAGCTCTAATCACAGCTACTATACGTAAGTCTTTCCCCTCCATGGTCTGATATATTAGAGTGCAACGATGAGCTAACTGTCCCCGCAGCGAGATGTTCATTGCTCAATATTTTGAAAAGATGGCCGAAAGGAGACATTCACGCATGTTACAGAATTAGGAATAGAATCGGCGCCGATGGCGAGCCGGACTATGACGACACTATATTATTTAGACTTGTGGGGGTTTGGACTTCATTCTTTTCATGGAGGCAGCATTAACGGCGAATGGAGTTAAGACGGAACTTGTATGATCATAGTTTTGGATTTATGCTGTAGAGTGGCATCGGCATAGTAGAACCTTGGATTAGTTTATTCATCTTGGCTATAGAACCATATAATATATTAACTGAACAAGTCTTGATTTAGTAGCCATCACTCTGGTGCTTCACAAACGTGACTGAACTGACTGTGCAGCAAACTGCCCCTGAACGGTATGATATAGTAGCATGTGCCATTTACGTTTGTGTTCCTTTCTAGCTATAGCGTGTCGTCCGAGCATTTTATAATCCCTGTAGTTTATCCTCTTCTATACTGCCCTTTTATTTTTCATACGCCGATGTGCTCACTCGTCAGCGCTATCATCACTGTCATCAACTGCCTCTCCCCTCCCCAACTTCTCCCACCTCTCCATAATAACTCTCCACGCCTCCCCTCCCTCTTCACCAGCGTCTACGACCTCCTTCGGAAGCTTATGCGCACTGTATGGCGCAGTTCCGAAGTTATAAGCTTCTGGATCATCCTTCTTCACTACCCTAAACTCTGCCTTGAAAGGCAACTCCTCAACGCCTTCGTCTTCCGTGTCAGTCGCTTCTTCTTCGGCACTCCTTTCCGGCAGAGCCGGGCTCTCTGAAGTATCTCCTTGTCCCAGAAGTGGCTTGGGCAATGATATGGTAAGTAATTCGAGCCACGAGAACAGCAATGGGTCCGTCCGTTGGGCCCAGGGGTTGATGTCAATGAGTCTGACCTTATCATGAGGCTCGGGCAAATATACATCAAAAGCAAAACTCGGATCCGGGAGCGAGTCCTTCAGTTTGCTCTCGTAGAAGTCTTCAATCTCGGTTTGTATTTTGTTGAGGAGTTCCGGGCTGTAATCGACATGCTTCAGCTCACGCTGACAAATCCCCACAATAGTGCGGTCGCGCACAAATACTCGGAACTCGAATGAGGTGTTGATTTTGAAATACGGTCGGAGTACGAGGGTGTATTCGATATCTCTTATAAACGGCGGATGCTCGGGATTCGCACAATCATCGAACGCATGCTCCAGATCATGAGTCACGAAGATAGAGCTCTTAAGCAACAGGTATATATCCTGAGGCGTCTGACACGCAATCGAGTTCTTCGACAGCGCCATGTGCAGAGCATCCTTGGGCGCTGACCAGTTCAACTTGGGTACGACGGAGCCGCCGAGCTCTGCGATGGTGGATTTAATCACACTGTGTACGTCTGCGAATGCTGATGCGTCGTTTGGTTGCGCTTGGGCTTCGAACTCGGGGTCTGCGGGTTTGTCGGCGTTTGCCGCTGACCACTCGGTTTCTTCGTAGGGTTGGTCATCGTCGTCTGGGAGCCAGAGGCCGTCTTCGCGCAGGTAGTCGAGGAAGGCGGCTGTGAGTGGGATGAGGCGACTGCGGAGGGTTGAGGTGCGGTATCTGGGTTTTGTTAGATGGGAATCGATTCAGTTACTGCGGTTAACAAACTTTGGGTACCATGAGGAATAGGAACAGTTTAATATATGCTGCTTTGTAACCGGTGGGAAGGGAAGCCTTTCTAAAGGCCCTTCGTCCTCTGGCGCGGTCATGGCGGGGTCGACGCCGGGCATTTTGGTGGTGTTTGTGTTGTGGTAAACTTGGAGGATCTTTTCTTACTGAGTTGGAGCAAGCAGTAAATTCTTAAATGATCAAAAAAGCGAAACAGGATTATATATGAGTATAATGGGCAATGGTCTGGGATGAATAAGATTACTGGAATTGAGTCACCCCCCCAATAAGTTCACAAAATAATTCTGCCACCTTTAGCCTTGTCCCACTACCTCACCGCCTCACCGCCTCAGCCTCGTCCATGGTGGGCAAGCCGCCAGCATCATTACTACGAACACCTGCTCATTTAACTGGATATCACTCTCAAGCATCCAAGTACAGCTGCGATGTCTTCCAACGTTGGCCTCACGACTCCTCGAGGCAGTGGTACCTCGGGCTACGTCCAGCGCAATCTTGCGCATCTCAAACCCCGAGAACAGTTCAAGCCATACCCTACCGACGGCGACCTGAAGCACCGCCAACGCCAGCCCGACAAGGAAATCCTCGAACATGACCGGAAGCGCGATGTTGAGGTGAAAGTTTTTGAACTTCAAGACAAGTTAGAAGATGAAGGGTGCGTTGCTCGTTCCAGTCATGTCCCCAACCACGGCCATGCTAACGTTCCCGAAGTGTCGACGAGGAGGAGATTGAAAAACAGACCGAGGCACTACGACAAAAGTTACTGGGAGAAATGAAGAAGGGAACCGATAGGCGAGATGCGAAAGGACTCAAGTCCCATCAAGTACACGAGCTGGCGGAGGCGAAGATCAGAGAGAGCGATCGGTTCAGGAACGCCTTGGGAATCAGCAAGAACTACGAAGAGGGGTCTCATTGGAGGAAACAGGAGGAAAGGATGCGGGAAAGCCTTGAGAAGAGCGGAAATGACGATAAGGAACGAAAGAGCGCTGCTTAACCCCTTCGTTGGTTTATGGGATTGCGGGTTACATGCATAATGCGGCGTTCATGGTCATGGGTAGATTGTGGGACTGGTGTTGGTGGTAATGGCACCGTATTTTGGGAATTATGGCATAAAACGGCTTCTAGGGAATACAAAGGCACTGCATAAAGCAATGCGCATCTATAACTTATGTCTCTTCTCTCCACTTGCGAGCTTCCTGAACTCCGCCTGTGGAATCCCAGAAACGAATCTCTCCAGGCCACCGAAAACCTCAGCCACTCCCTGCGCGTCCAGCCTATCCCTCATCGGCTTCTGGATGAGCGCCTTGATCTTAGTCAAGCTGGAACCGACAAGGTGGTCACCCATGCTATCGTCGATCTCGGCCAGAACGGCCTCGAGGAACTTGGGGTCACCCTTCTTGAAATCAAACACCTTGTTGACGTACCCGGTGGAAACCAAGTCATCGATGCCGATTCTCTTGCTCAGAATGAGGGCCTCATTGGCCTTACTGATACCGAGGCGCTGCACAAACCCAATAGAGCTACCACCCTCGGCGACTAAGCCGATAGATGAGAATGGCGTGAGGAGGAAGGTGTTTGGGGTTGCGTAGATGAAATCCGCGAATCCGGTCAGGGCGGCGGAGAGGCCAATGGCGGGGCCATTGAGGGCGACGACGAGGAGTTTTGGGTGAGAGTAGAAGGCGTGGGTGATGTTGAGGTTGTTGGAGACGAAACCGCTCAGAGTACTGCGGTAGAGATCGGTTCCTGGAGGGAGTTCACGACCAATTGTGACGTCCGCGCCGCTGCGAGCATGTTAGTGACTTTGCTTCTCAAGCATCTAGGCCATTCGCAAGTTTGATCTTGAGGCATGGTTGAGTTGGAGGAGCTCACGCAGAGAAGAATCCTCCGGTTCCTGTTAACACTGTGATGATAACCTCGTCATGTGTTGCTACCTCACGCATATACTTGGCTAGCAGGTAATATCCATCGCCGTCCAATGCACCCAGCTTCTTCTTGTTATCGATAGTGATAATTGCAATGCGTCCCTTGTACTCCACTCTCACAGTGTCATTTGCTCCTGCCATTGTGACTGTTTATGGTATGGTATTCGAGTAGAGTTTAACAAAAAGATTACAGTTTGGTACAGAAATACAAGTCGTTGGAGAAAAATAATGTATGAAAGAAGAAAACGCTTATATGATTACATTCAGCGACTCTTATATTCCAGCCGCCCAAGCCCATGGATGATCACCCACAGACTAAGTTCCATAGATCGTGTGGGGTAGCTTTGGTACAGCCGGGCGAAAGCCGAGGCATGATTTCGTAAACTGACAGTAAGCTGACAGGCGGCTATCTTAGTTACATCACGTGCTTATTATAACGTGATCTGCTACACGTGACTGATAACTACTTCTCCGAAATGGATCGGCAAGTACCGTTCTATCGAGACGACATTATTCAATCACCATACAACGAGCGCAGCAACCCCCCTCATTACCCTGAGAAATTGATAGCAAGGCTTCACGCCAGTCACCCCCTCATACTGCCAGCCATGGCTGGTCCAAATTTGGAAGTTTTCAAGGTCAGTTTCACTCTCTAATTCACTGGGGCGGTGGTCCTCGAACCCGCCATCTCCGCCCGCCAGCTTTTACTTACTATTACCCCAGTTCGGCATGTACATCATGTTCCCAATCGGAATCATGTTCTACTACGGCCACAACCTCGACAGGCGCTTCCAAGTCCCTGACTTCTGGCCGAAACCCGAACAGACACATAAGATTCCCTTCGAGCGCGATGAGATCAAGAGCGAGTTAGATCGACTACGGGCGAAGAGGTTATATCTCAGAGAGCAGAGGTTGAAGAGAGAGCAGGCTCTCAACCAGAACCAGGAGTGATGGATGTCTGAGTAAGAGTGTGATGAGGGGAGGGAACTTCGAACCCGGGCGAGGCGGATGGGATGGGAAACATTGTATATCACAGGAAGAGAACGGGCTGCATAACGGATTTGATCGTCAGAATGCATTGCATGGGTGTTGGAGTTTATGGACAAGGAATCGCCTCACAGAGCTCGCAAAATGGAGATTGTAGTAACGGAATGATGTATGAAGTAGGCTGTCACAAATATAATCTTCAGAGAAACGATATTACCAGACTTCCTGTATAATGTGCAATAAACCACTAACGAACCGGCTGGAGTATGTATGGCATGTCTTGGGGACAATTGGGTGTTTTGGCTACCCCCATTTTATCTCTCTATTGAACTGGTTCCAGATTCCAAGGCAGGTACGACTGTCGCGCGCCTGCCCCGCCTGACCTCGAGGGCTTCTAATAGTATCGGAAGCTGCGACTGAGGTTTGCTTGATAATCGTTCTTTCCATATGTACAACCTGAAAGTTTACGAGGAAGCTGCGACTGCAGCTTGCTTGATAATCATTCCTTCCATATCTAGAAGTTGAAACGTATGAGGAAGTTGCGACTGAGCCGTTGCTTGGTAATCGTTCTTTCCTTATGTACGGTCTCGGAAGCTCTGAGGAAGCTGCGATTGCAGTTTGTTTTGTACTCGTTCCTTCCATATATATAGAGGCTGGAAGCATATAAGGAAGCTGCGATTGAGGCCTGCTTGGTAATCGTTCCTGCCATATATGGGGACGGAATTCTCTTGAGGAAGCTACGACTGAGGCTTGCTTGGTAATCGTTCTTTCCATATCTAGGAGTTGGAAGTTTATGAGGAAGTTGCGATGGGGACTCTCCTTGGTTATCGTTCCTTCATGACAGCCACATCTAACAATGAGTATATTTGATTTTTAGATCATCGTACTACCCACTCAGAGAATAGTGCTGCTATAATTAAGGTCCAACATCCTAGAAGTAGAGCACCAACTGCAAACCCACTAGACACATCTTTCGTACTAGCTGAATAGACCACCGAGATAATCATGCTTAACGCCATAATAGTGATAGTTAGTCGTAATATCCTCTTCCTATGCAAACCCTCAACCACAAGAACTCCCCACCCAAGAATCAACTCGCCATCTGGCCGTGTCGCTAGACAAACCTTGCCCAGCTTCTCATCTAGCTTCTTTGGCAGACGATTAAGCCACATATTCTGCACCGTAGGAGTTATGTCATTAGGACACTCCCACAAGTGAAGGAATAGATGTGGGGGAATAGGTGGATGGGTAAGAGCCACACCATTGAGATGAGGCTCGTATTTGCGTGCGGTGACAAGTCCATCCTTCTTCTCTGCGTGAGCACAGATCGTACAATCAGGGGATCCGGGAATGGGGTAGACACGCCTAAGGCCTTCCACTGCGAATTGGATGAACTCAATGTCTATGGGCTGTGTGAGCCATCTTCTGAGTGGGTTTTTCCGGGAGCCGATGCATGCTTCATACGTCTTTTTGAAGTTGTGAAACATTTGGGTGTTTCTAAGACTGGCAGATATATCGATCTCATCGTATGTCTTTTGGAATGGACCGGTGTTGACGCAAAGTGCTACGAATTTCGAACTATTATTAGTAACTGGTGGCAGCGGTGATGTGGTGACTGCACTACCAGCCATTGGATTTCGTGTCCCTCCAAGTGGTCTTGACGTAGTGCCAGTGGAATTGAGAGACGGGTCCTGTGCTGTTTGAGATGTGGATAATCCTTGGGATGCAGATGCAACCAAGTTTAAACCAGTGGTCACTCCTGAATTCGCTGGCATTTGTTTTATTCCGTGACCACTCTGCGTAACGACATATCCATGGGCTTGAATCTCTCCAACGAGCTTACTAATTTCTTCAGGGTCACCTCTAAAGTCACCATAGAGTGGCATACCACAATCACATTGCCATTCCAGTCGCCGATATCCAATTTCAAGCTTGGGACGGAAAAGGCGATGCACAAACCAAGGCCATCGTAGTAGCGTGGCGAAAACATTTGTTCTTCCAGCTTGGGCAATTGTTCGCGACTCTGGTATCACCGTTCTGCTCAATGGGTTTTGATTAACCCCTATATTTGACAGCTTTTCATCCTTCCCAGCCTCTCTCTCCAACTCGATCACGTTATGGCGAAGTCGCATCTCTATAGCTGACTCTTCTCCTTCTGCTGCTAATTTATTAATTCTAACTCGCAAATTCTTAAAGGCTTTGCTGCTGATGAGAAACTTCTTCACATCCTCAAGATTAGAAAAAGGTTCCAATTCGTCTTCATCATCCGAGCTATTGTTATTTAACATATGCTCCTGGTGTAGTGATAATTCGTCACCGCTGCTGCCCTTCACCTGGGCTGCATCCTTCAAGTATTTCTCAATCCTCTTTCGTGTGACTAGCTGTTGCTGTTGACTGATTGACTGGAGCAATGGCGTATCTTCCAAGCCGAAGATTTCTTGCCCGATAGTATGTGCCACGCGTTTCCTTTGTTGGCTGAAAATGCGAACACTTTCTTTTTCAATTGGAATCAATGTTTCTCTTGAAAGATCCCTTGAGAATACTCTAAGTAAGTCATGCAGCTTGGATCTGAAAGCAGTGAATTCGAAGTTCTGGCGTAGTGATGGGGAAAGACGGCGCAGTTGCGTATTTTCCATCAAAAGTATGACAAATTCTCTAGTTGCTCCCACTGTGCCATGTGCGGAACTCTTCGAAGAGAAACTTTGAGGCAGCGAAAAAATGCTGCCGCCCTCCATAGAAGCCTCAGAAGCCTCATACACGGAGGAGCCTTCGAGAGTTCGCAATCTGGGTTGATTCTCCAAGTTTGATATGCTTACATCGTGCTCATCAAGGTCTTTGAGCGACCCTGTCCTTTGGGATCGAATCCTGGCTGGGTTTCCGAGATTGTCAACGAGACTCTGCAATTTTGGAGAAGTGCTAGAGGAGAGCCGCGGACTAATGAAGTCGCTCTGCTGAGGAACAAAGTCAAGTGAGGTTCTTGTGGAAAAGGTGTGCTCTCCGCGTCTAAGCTCCTTTATAGGCGAGTCAGAGCTGGTGTTCACCATGTTGAAAGAGGGTGGACTGGGAGAAGACGGAGGTGACTGAGCAGCTTGCTCGAGCACCCATAATATTGGTTGCGTTGCTTTCGCCTGAGCTGGTACATCTTTGAGCAGGCCGTTCTGATCGATTTCTCGAACATACGCTCGCAAAACATCCTTCGATTAATGTTAGTTTTTGAAACCAGATATTAAAAATGAGAATATCAGTACTCACTTTATGCCGCGTTAGAACAACGCTAGAGAAACCCTCTGCGACTAGTTCTCGTCGAAAAATCTTCCAATCTTCTTCATCGTCATCATCATAGGTAATTAGAGAGGCCCGTTGACCCATCCGCGCTGCAATGTTGTCCACTTTATCTAATATGATATCTAGCTGTCCTCCATGATTATCTAACGTCGCAGCCAGCCTACTCGATTCGCTAAGCTGTATTGTGTCGAGAAGCGCTGTAATATTCGTCTTGTGATTTATAAGCTTCACTCTCACGCTACCTAACTGACCCATCTCCACACTACCTAACCGATCCATCTCCACACTGCTAGACTTTATCAGGTTCCTTAGCTGCTTGCTCGAACTACTCTCGTTGCTTCTGAGGCCGCCATATTTCCGGATGAGCTCTTCTAGGTCCTCTAGCGTGTACCGACAGTCAGCGATCAATGGCGCAAGGTCGCGCGCATATAGAGCTCGATCGCGGTTGAGTATGGATTCTGGCGCCTGTACTTCGTACTTGAGATGTCGCAACACCGTATGGAGTGCGCGAATCTCGCGGCCGATCTCGAAGTAGGCATCGCTGGCATTCTTGCACTGTTGGTACAAGCGTCGCGCGGACTCTAGTACAATAATTATGTCCGCAGGATTAGACCGGAAAGTCATCACATCAAAAGATTTTGATAGGCAATATTAAATGGCGATAATCAAAGCAGAGTCGCTATAATGTAATGTAGATGAATCGATTATTGCGGTATGGAGAAGAGAAGGAGAAATACAGTAGAGGATGCATCTACTAGCCATTAAATTCGAGGCTGACTGGCTACAGTTGGATAGAGGACATTAGACATTAGCACGAGTAACAAGGTGATCCGAATTGTGCGATAGGCTGGAAGGAAGCACCCGGCCTCCCGCCCGCCGCCAAAGTGGGAAACCCCTCAGGTACTAGTTACACGAGGGACCACTTAGCAATCAACTCGCCACACACTCTCCTTATGCGTTTTTACGAGACTCCGTACTTACGCCTACGATCGGGCACAGCCTTTGCATAGCCTTGTCGTGGAGCCGTGTCGTGGAGTAGTCAAACGTTGTCTCACGGTTTTCTCGGAATCAAAGACCAGGAGACAGTTGGAGCCATCGCAGTTCCCCGCGTGGGGTACATAAGTTTATAAGAACAATGTCGCCAACGACCATACCAGCAACTGCCCCTGTCACATTTGCTCTCTTCTCAGAGCTACCCCCAGAACTGCGCAATCAGATATGGAATGATGCCTTGCTTAAGAAGGACCGGCCAGCCTTGTTCCCGTACCAAGATGGATGTTGGCACCCGATATACCTGTCGGAGTCTGACGAGGGATATATTGCCAACACTGACAATATACGGTTGGAATTCAATTCTGCGTTATTAGAGCCTATTCCAATTGAGGTACCGCTTTGCCTTGTCAACCGTGAAGCTCGTGACGTCGCCCTAGCCTGGGCCCATAGGCAGGGAGCAAGGATAATCTTTTTGGGGGACATGCGGCACCATGTCTTTGCGCGCCTATTTGACAACGAGCAAGATATGCTATATGTGGGGCTTAGCAATTTCGCCGACTTTTTTGTCGAGCCTTACAATCGGTTAGCTGAGCCGGATCTCTTCGGGCGGATTGTTGGCTCTGGCCCAAGCCTAAGATACATTGCCGTGCCCGAGGCGCTGCTGGAGAGAATGCCCGGCGCGCTCGAAGAGATGTTTGAGTGGTTCCGCGGCTTAGAAGTGATATTCATTATCGTTAATGCGCACCATGGTATCCTAGTGCACCAGCGGTGGGAGCTTGAGGGCGCACAGGGGAAAGCCCTCTTGTATGACCATACACAAGGCCGTTTTGACTGGGATGATGGCGTGAATATTTGTGGATCTATTATATACGAGCGGATAGAACAAGCTACTACGAGGCTCAGCGTGGTCATGGCCGGTAACCACGTTACTACTCTCCGGTCGATCCGACCCGTCTTTGCTGTTAGAAGATGAATGGGTCTTTACATGTCGTCTGGACCTCATGTGAGGCTTTATGAAAACAAGACCTGAACATTGGATGTGATTCAACGAAATTTGTGTTCAGGACAGCCCTTGAAAAACAAGAGGCGCCAACCCACCCTCAACATAATTAGCAATGTCTCTTTACCGGCGCGTTAGATCACGTTTCCGCCACTTCATCTCGATGTTCCGGTCCCTGAGACAAAGTTAAAATCGATAAGGGTTGCTGGGTTCTTCGGGTCTGGGCAGAGAATATCGAAATCGCTCAGCCCTATCGCCCCGCCTATACAGGAGTTGGACACTGCATCGACGACCATTCTGAGTGATTATACTGATACATTCTAACTCTCGTCACCATCGTTACTCGAATGCCCAAGAGGAATAATGAATTCAGCATTATTATCTGCCACATCTGCAACCTGCTTCGCAGCTCAACCACCGAGGCAAGATAGAATATTCCCTGGTCTGCAATAAATGGAGAGGATCAGCAGTCTTCAGCTGGTGGCTTGAGAAAGGAAGTGGCTTTTCGCAGCTTTTTTGTGGGTGTTCTCATGTTCATGTCCACATCAATCCGATACATTGCTGGCGCTCTTCTCAAGCGCTCCAAAGTTTCGCGTGGTTAAACTGTGGGTATAGAAAGCCTGGAGGACCTGGTCCGCCTCGCCCAGAGAGCTCTAGATATGGCCGCGAAGAGTTTAATAAAGTAAAAAAGTGTTTATTATAACATTCGAGCCTTGCATTCTAATTGTTATAATGAAGAGGCCTGCACGTGATTATAATTTCCTATGACGACATTGTGCTTCAACATTCTGAGAACGGTTAGAATTCTAAGATCTACAACTGTACTCCGTAAACGGGCAGGCCCGAACCATTGGAATTGGCCGAAGGAGTTCCTTGATTCCGAATCTGGTTCGGGGAAGATCTGAGCCAAGAAACCCTATCGCCCCGCTTTACTCTCTGAGACTATCATGTTCCAAATGCAAACTCATGCGGTCATATTATTTATACCCCTCGCTCTCACCGCCATCAACAATAACTAAACCTTCACAATTTAACAAATAAAATGTCAGAAAAGTCTCAGAACATCTATCGCGGGGCGGAGGGCGCGATCAAACAAACACAGGGAAAAGTCCGCGCCCTAGGCCCTCTGGATGTCCGTATCAAGATCACGCATTCCAGTCTCTGCGCCACAGACCTCCTCTACCTACCCGCCGGCATCGCCCTAGGCCACGAAGGCGTAGGCCTGATCGAAGAGGTAGGAAGCGCAGTTCAAAACCTGAAAATTGGCGATCGCGTCGGAGGCGGCTTCCACCGCGGCTCCTGCGGACACTGCAGATACTGCCTCAAGGGAGAGGATATCTTTTGCTCTGACCGCGTCATCTTCGGCGAGAGTGACTCTGATAATGGGACGTTCTCGGACTACTATATTGGTAGAGAGACGTACGTCCATAAGATCCCAGAGAGCATCGCGAGTGAGCACGCTGCGCCGCTACAGTGTGCTGGCGCGACGGTGTATGGTGCTCTTGTTGATGTTGTGAAGCCTGCGCAGAGGGTGGGGATTATTGGTATTGGTGGGTTGGGTCACTTGGCTATCCAGTTCGCGTCCAAGATGGGTGCGGAGGTTGTTGTGTTTAGCCGTACCGATGATAAGGAGAAGGAGGCGAGAGGGTTTGGAGCGGATGAGTTCTATTTGCTTAGCAACCCTGGGGCAATGAAGGACCCGGTTGACGTCCTCGTTCTTACGGGGAGCAGATATCCGGATTGGAATGCGTGAGTTTATTTACCATAAAGTGTGGCAGCTGCTGACAGAGATAGATTTCTCAAACCGAACGTCCTTGCACGCAATGGAAAAGTAGTTCCATTACTGGCACCCCATGGGCCGATGGAGTTACCGTAAGTTCTGTAATTTGCCCTTCAGTTTCTATCCATACTAATCTTAGACACAGTGCTGGTAAACTGTTGACGAACGGTTATGATATCGAGTCTCATCTCGTTGCGTCACGTGGAGTTCATAATGATATGTTAAAGTTTGCTGCCCATCACAGGATCACGCCAGCTATTGAGAAATTTGACCTCTCGGAAGAGGGAATTGGGAAGGCGGTTGAGAAGATGAAGAGTGGCTCTATCAGGTACAGAGGTGTCCTGGTAGCTAAATGAGCTTCTCAAGGAGTATTATATTGATTACAGGTATTTTGCAGTGACGGATGCTGTTACTATGGTGTGCTATCCATGGGCTCTATTTTCATCAAGAATTAGATCACTTAGATCAAAAACTGATAGCTTGGTATAATTTATCGCTTTTTTGAGCCTGTAGCATAGACCTGTAGCCCACTCTCCCAAGTCATTCCCACACAACATGTAGTCCAGCTTAAATCCAGAGGCCCCGTTTCATACATGCCTGTCGTTTATTTGATCTTCTCGGCTAGAATCCAAAGAAATGGAATAATCTTTCCGTCTTCATCATCCTCCAAGATCTCATGTTCCGTAACAGCAAACCCGGCCTCCCGAAGCAGTCTCAGATTAGTCTCGACGCCGTAGCTGCTCCAGTACATGCTAGAACCCAACCAGTTCTCTGCCGTCGATCCAGGAATATCAGTCGCCGCAAGGTTACACAGCAAGTGGCTTCCAGGTTTCATCCACGAATAGATCTTCTTGAACAGCACTGGTTGCTCGTCCCTCGGCAGGTGAAATATGGAATAAAATGCGACGACGGCATCAAGGCTAGCGGCCTCAAATTCAAGCTTCGTCATATCTCCGTGCCGAAAATCAACGTTACCCTTGACACGAGTCTTGGCGAGCTCGATTTGGGCCTTTGAAATATCGTTGGCGATGACCTTGGCGCAGCGGGAGGAGAGGAGCTGTGTGCCTGGGACGCCGGCACCACATCCCAATTCGAGGACGGTAGCATCTGATGGTGCGTCCATCTTTGATAGCATCTTCTCTGTGTATGCGAGACGGGGCGTCTTCTTCGTAGTCGTCCAGTCAAGGTAGGTTTGGGCGATTTTGTCATAGCCTTGCTCCACGAGCTGTCTCTTCTTCTCGTTGTCTTCGTTCGCCATGTTTACGATTGTGAGTGAGTATTAACCGGGTCCTTTGAATATGATAATCAGATATGTGATTGAATTCTATGTTAAATACATAAATTTCAATTGCAGTATATGGTGCAATAGTTCTGAGTCACGCCGTGTTAGCTTGCCTAACTACATTGATCTCTCCGTAGAATTGATTCTATCAGAACAGAATGGAAAACCATGCTATACCTCCGATCTTATAAGTATACTGAAGAGTACAAGAAGAGATCTTCACGCGGGATCCTGCGCGCCAAGGTATTTATTTATTTTCGTTCGTGGGGCCAAGGAGTTCGACTTTCGCCTGAATGAAAGAGCCGCGAGATATGGCGGGGTCGTTGGAGATGGAGGGGCGGCGGATCTGGATAAATACCGGCTAAATTGATTCGCCCATCTGCCCCGCCAAAACTGACCTTCTGTCCGTCTGGGAAAATAATCAACAGGAAAATAAATACATATATAGACCCCCCTAATTTCCCATGTAAGTTCATCTCGGGGTACGAAACCAAGAAAACTCGTCGAAGATACCAAAAAATCACACCACTATCCCCAAAACCAGAGAAATCATGTCGGACAAACCACTTATCACCTCGATGTACACGGCTGATCCGTCCGCCCACGCATTCGAAGGCAAGATCTACGTCTACCCTTCCCACGACCGCGAGACCGACATCCAATTCAACGACAATGGCGACCAATACGACATGGCCGATTACCACGTCTTCTCCATGGACTCCATCACCGGTCCCGTGACCGACCACGGCGTGGCACTCAAGATGGAGGATATCCCCTGGGTCTCCAAGCAACTCTGGGCTCCTGATGCTGCTACCAAGAACGGGAAATACTACCTCTACTTCCCGGCAAGAGACAAGGAGGGCATCTTCCGCATTGGTGTTGCTGTGAGCGACGTCCCACACGGTCCCTTCAAGCCGGAGCCTACCCCAATCGCTGGCAGCTTCACCATTGACCCTGCGAGCTTTGTCGATGATGATGGAGAGGCTTACCTCTACTTTGGTGGTCTCTGGGGCGGCCAGCTTCAGTGCTGGGAAACGGGCACATTTGATGCCTCGAAGTCGGGACCACAGGAGCCGTCGGGTGATGTTCCCGCTCTGCTGCCACGTGTGGGGCGCTTGACCGATGATATGTTGAACTTCGCCGACGACGTTAAGGAGCTCTCAATTGTCGATGCGGAGGGGAAGCCAATCATGGCTGATGATCATGACCGTCGCTTCTTCGAGGCGGCATGGATGCACAAGTACAATGGAAAGTACTACTTCTCCTATTCGACAGGTGACACTCACTACATCGTGTACGCGACAGGAGACAGCCCTCTTGGGCCATTCACTTATCAGGGCCGGATTTTGGAGCCAGTTGTGGGGTGGACGACACATCATTCTATTGTTGAGTTCCAGGATAAGTGGTACCTGTTTTACCACGACAGCTCGCTGTCGGGTGGTGTTAGCCACTTGAGGAGTGTCAAGGCGAGGGAGATTGTGTATGATGCAGAGGGAAAGATCAGCCTTGCTGGTTCTTCGTAGATTAGAGATGTTTGATAATGGAATATGTTGTAAAATGAGAACAAGCTGCTCCGTTGCGCTCATTATTGTCGTGCTGCCCCATTTTCTACCTTCCTGGCCATTCAAAGATCTAACCTTGACAGAAGACGATCGTCCATATATTAAATTTATGGTGCACCGGGGATTTCTGAGTGTTCGGGTCTAGAGGCTCTACATACGGATCCCCAGCTTAGATATGATGAAGACCTGAGCAACCGCCGTGGTGAAATATCCGGTGGTGACAGGTATGGACGGCGGTGATGGAATCAAACGCTGACAGGACCGACAACAGCGGTGAGAATGGTCAGAATGGACGAAGTAGCGTATCAAATGTGGTCCCCAAACCCTAGATCCGATACGTAACTGACCTGCAGCCAGATCACGTAGTTTGTTCTTTCCATTTATTATGGTCTTGGTCGAAGTCAGTCTGAGGGCCATCATCAGCCGGAATTCATAGGGCTTTCTCAAGTTGTCATACCAGCATCGCTATTTATTTTTATTTTCGTTCACCTTGAGTAAAATAGATCTTCAGCTCTTAATATCATTATCCATAAAAGTTGTATGATTGAATATAAATGTCACCGTAAATCAGCTACATAATACCCTAAACACATAAAGCACAGCGACATCCGCTGGGATATATAACCTTTCCAAAAACGCCCCGCTGCAAAATGCCGCAATAAACCAAAACATCCAATCAATATTCTCAAAAAGCCCCGCTAGCTTCCAATAAACAATGCTGCATTGCACGTAGGTTTCTACCCACTTCCATACCGCCCACTATGTTGTCTGGCATGCAAAATGACTCGAATTATCAGTTACCCGTTGCAGCCGCAGTTAACGGAGGGGTTAACGTCGAGGCTTGTTGTTGCACTGGAGCTGCCACTGCCGGAGCTATGACGACTTGTTGTGGTATCGAAGCCATTGAAGCCCGCTGTGGCACCGGAACGCGTTTTGGTACTGAAACCGGGTTTGGTAGTGAATCACGTCGAGGCACAAAAACTTGTTGTGGCACTGAAGCTTGTGGTGCTGGGGTCTGTTGTGACACAGGGACTGGAGCCTGCTGTGGTATAGAAACCTGTTGTGGAACCAAAGCTTGCTGTGGAATCGAGTCCGGAGCCAAACGTGAGTCCTGCGACACAGCAGAATACCCCGACGAGCGAGAACTCCTCACATAAGGCTGCGTCATGTCCACCACAGGCGTTAACCCTTCGGCCGCCGCTACCGACGCTTCAGTTATGTGATCTTTAAGTCCCTTGCAGGTGCATTCATCTTCTGCCCATGCGCCAGCATCAGCACCGCCATCATCACCACACGCCTTACAGTCCCCACACTGCGTTCTATCCGTGCAAACGAGCCGATGCACACATTCCTTATGCTTCTTGCACTCATAGTCCCTCGGACACGTACACAACACCTGCGGTTTCCGGGACTCCAAGAATTCATCATAAGACTGCTCTGGATCCTTGCAGAACTTCACAAACGATGTCCATTCCCTCCTCGCCCCGCCGCGAACATCCTGTCTAAAGACGAAGCTCCCAGTTATTTTCAGGACATTCTTGGCTTTGTGGAGAGCATCGACGTATTCATCGTGCTTCAGCTTCGAACTCTTGGTTTTGCTGGGGAAGATCTTGCGCCAGATCTTGCGTAGATTCCCTCCTGATTGCAGGAGGAGAGCTTTGATAGTCTCGTACGATTTGGCTAGAGCTGCGGCAAATAACACTAAGCCCGTGCTTGCGTACGGGGCCCACGCTCCGATGTGGTCGGCGCTCTCGCTTTGTGGGAGGCGGCGGACGTAGAGCTCGATGAGGACCACGTCGATGATGAGTAGTGGGACAGCGACCACGACGACAAACACTGACCATAGATACGCTGAAAGTGCAATAGCTTGAGCTCCTCGGCGCTGGAAAGTCCCAAACTTATCTCTATCCGCCCGCCCTGAGATGGAAAACCGAGTGAAGAAGTGGTACAACACAGCGCGCGTCTCAGATGGCTTGTTCCTCCCGAAGCAGATAGTCCATGCCCCCTGCAGTAGGACGTAGACAATGACATACGACCATCCGAATGCGAATTTATCGGTCACGTTTGTCAACCACGCCTGAGTGCGGGTCGTTGAGTCTCCTCCGAGGACTTGCCCAAATTCGACCATCGTTAGGGGTTGGAGCTCGTCCACTGATCTGAATATGGCAGGCCCGCCCGCTGGGTTCGAGCAGGGGGAAAGACAATTATTTGCATCGAGGAATTCCTTAGTAATAGACAAGAAGTTGAATACCGTGAGACCAGAATCCTCAATTTCGCGGGGCTGGCCCACCGTAACATTCAACACGCCCGACTCAGGCGCGCACGAGAAACTCCCAGACGCAATGGCGGCGAAGGGTATCCAGTTGCCCTTATTAGATCGGTATCCCTGTTGAAGGGCGATGAAAACGCAGAGGAACCCAACTGTGACCAGGAAACTCCAGAAGATGAGGATGATTCTCGAAGCCGCGTCGAACTCTTTTAGTTCCTTCGGTCTGTCGTCCCCGTTTTGGCGCTGGAGGTCAGGACGGCCGGCTGTTCGTATGGTTGATGACCAGTTTATTAGGGGGACCATGATCACGCAGGAGGCGCTGAGGATGCCTAGGAGGGGGAAGAGATCGAGTTCTCCGTAGCCGGGGCCGCGCCATACGAGGAGGCAGGCGTGGATGGCGGCGGAGCCTGAGTAAGTCAAGGATGCGGCGAGAGCACCGAGGTATAGCCAGGGGAGATGGGTTCGTAGGAGGACCGCGGCTGCGATCGTGATATAAAATAGAATTCGTGGTAAGCGGCCGTAGTTTCCCTTTACGCGTATTTAGCTTTACTCTTGCTGAAGCAGAGAGAGGGAGGGGTATGTCATACCGAGATAGGGTACCAGCAAACAGTTATCGCTCTTGTTTCTGCCACATCGATGGTGAAAGCAGTTGATTGCTTGACAGCGGCCTCTCTTAAGGGCATAAATAAATAACCAGGGACTCCATCGATAACTGCTGGGTCTCGAAGGAGCTCAGGGTGTGATCAGGGGCCGGCGGGTTGGCTGGGACGCCGGTAGCTACAAAGGCAACGTCGGTTGGGAACTTCTGGATGGTCGTTGTAATTGTAGCTACGCTGCCTGTCGGGGTGACTCGGCCTATGGTCGTGTATGGTTCGCCGGTGACCCATGATGCGGGAGGAGGCTTTATGGTGAATTTACTCTCACTCTCTGGCGACGAGGAGCTCTGGGCAGCGACCCCGATTAGCGGCAGTGCGAGAAGCCATATCGGTCGCATCGTGGCGGAGGTTTGGGATATATCAAGGTAGAGTTGCAGCTTCCGCCGACATGCGCCGCTCGATCAAAAAAAATATAAGAGGTTATTCACAACAGTGGTATCGAGAACCCGACTCTGGCGGCTCCAGAAGGTCACGAACAGCTCTGTATGTTCGTCTCAGAAGCCTATGTATCGTTCATCCTCTGGACTTTATATTTGGAGGGGATATGCCCTAGAAATGTAATCGTCGCCAGTCTTGAGCTATCGATAATAACTATAATTAGCACAGTTCCCCCCCCTTCGTGAGCCATGTGGGCTGGACCTGAAGCGATCCTTATTTCCACTTTTGACAGGGGACCCAAAGGGTCCAGATGCCGGGGACGTGCCGCGCCGCCCCGCGCCGAGACATGTCGTCCTGGCCTTGGTAACTCTATTTAAGTTCTGCGATGATAATTGTAGAAAGAGGCTATAGTGGACACAATACAGCGACGCGATGATAAATTGAAGAACAATATTAATAATATAGGCACAGTTTGGGAGTGCGTGGTGTGTTGTAGACGCGTTGATAGTTACAGCCGTACCTACGATGATTGGACCAGCTGAATTTCTAATCATAAGCTAAATTTCAGCTCATTGCCTATTTAGGTAATTGGGTTCAGATGCCAGGATCCTGCGATTCCTTCGTTTCACGTGCTAGTACTTGGCGATTGTGGTAGGGCATGTATCCCCACATATATGTTACTATGTAAAGATACCTGCAGATTTTGATGGTCATGGTCACAACTCCGATGCAGCAGAACACAAATCGACTTCTGTAGCTGAATAATATGAGACAATTAGCCATCCTTATAAAAGCTTCTAGCCCTTAAATCTTTCACTGTTTAACAATGTGATATTCATTTTAAAGATGCTGCAACAAGCTGGCATACAACTATATTTGCGAAATGCGAAAATTGGTATGAAACTGATAAACCACGACCCCGATAATTACTATTAATTCCCTCCAGAAAAGCAAACAAACTCCATCCCATAAATACGGCAAAGAGCATTCGAACGGGTATCATGAAAACATCCACGGCGTCGTCCACTGCTGATCGAAGCAAAAAACAGGAGCGAAAAAGAAAACTCTCCCCTCCCTCCGCTTCACCAAGCAAATCGTTCGGTCAACGCCTTATGCGCCTTGATATGGCGTTGGCTGCACCTTCATAGCATGCGCTGGCTCCGAGCTGCCACCACGTGTGCGAAAGACGTGCAGCGCCGCCAAAGCCGTAGTTCCCAGGAACAATAACCTGCAAAAAGTCATCCAGTCAGCCAAAAATCCATAATCGGAGAATCTATCAGATCAACTTACCACTCAAAGGCCGCGAAGACAGTACCCCCGATCGACTCGCCGCATGCCTTTCCCTGTCGCGACGTGCACCCCACCTTGCCAAGCAGGTCAGCGAGCGCGATGAAGCCGGCGAACCAGAAGAGCATCGTCAGCGCCTCGGCGACAAGGATGGCGTGCTTGTGCGCTGCGGCGGGGAAGGTGAGGGGGGCGATGACGAGGTAGGCGACGGCGAGGAGGGTCCAGACGGAGGCGAATATGAGAAAGTTGACTTCGGACGCGGTATACCAGTTGGTGGTGACTGCAACGTGTCAGTGCGTTGGAAGAGGGTTGTCGCATGGGATTCTGTTACTCACCATCTGCCAGCAGGCCTAGGACAATTATCGCGAACAGCGCTTGGACAGCGCGAACGGGGAGGAGGAGCGTCTCTGCTAAATCCATCATGGTTACGAGTTGTCGCGTGTACTGCGAGATGTGATTTGATGTTTTGAATGGTGTCGCTTTAAATGGTTGTCGCTTTAAATGGTTGTCGCTTTAAATGGTTGTCGCTTTAAATGGTTGTCGCTTTAAATGGTTGTCGCTTTAAATGAGGCTGCGGTGAGAGTTGAAAGAAACAAGAAGCGGTGGGCGGCTTCAAAGAATTAATATATTCTTCTAACACGGCACGATACGTCATGGGACACCCTTGGAATGCAGGAATTTTGCTTTTGGCATGCCGTGAATCCGCCTTGGTGCGGGGCCAGGATCGGGAGTCATTGACAGTACAAGCCGGTAGTTTCCTTATGTTGCCTTGGCAGGTTATGTATAGTACATCATGACATGCATGAGGACCCTTAAAAAGTACTTTGGATATAAGTATCTTTGAAATTTTATATGAAGCTATACAGACTTCAACTTGGAACACTAACACTAACATCTATACGTATAAACAAGCTATAAACTAGCTTCAGGGGAAACAAACCACAAGAATGATTTCGTCACTCAGCTTAGTCAGCGAGGATGAAGCTCCCTGAAGCTCCCAAGACAACCTAAGAGCCATGATGACCACAGAGAACTCAACCCAGCAATTGCCCACTGTCATACCGCCACCCTATCCCCAAAATGACGGAACACCTATATTTCTCCCTCACCAAGCACCTCCTCTCCGAGTCCCCCGCCCAGTTCGCAATAGCCACACAATCGCCCTTCCTCCTCGCCGCCGCCCACGGCCGCCTCGACAAGGACACTCTGCGGTCATGGCTCATCAATGACAGGAAGTACATCCACGCCTACATCGTCGGCGTGGAAACCATGCTAGCCCAGCTCCAGAACCCACCCGACGAGGCCGAGCTTGACGGAAGCGAGCCAGCACTGGCCACGTGGTTGACCGAGGCAGTGGCGAATGTGCGTCGGGAGGAACAATTTTTCCTCGACGTCGCGGCGCGGTACGGGATCGATCTTGAGCCGCGCGCCGATGATAGCAGGCCGGATTGTCTGATTGTATATGAGGGGCTGTTTAAATATGTCCCGCTGAATCCCGTTGTTACGGAGCCGTGGTGGCTCGATGCGGCGGTCCTGTTTTGGGCGACGGAAAAGTGTTATCTTGAGGCTTGGTCGTGGGCGAAGGGGCAGTTGAATGAGCAGAGTCCGGAGGAGGATGCGGATGGAGGGGCGTTGAGGACGGAGTTTATTCCTAATTGGAGTAGTCCCGAGTTTGCGGATTTTGTGGATAGGTTGGCGCGTATCATTGATGATGCGGTGAATAAGTTGAGTGAGGATATCGAGCATAATAAGGAAACAGCCCCAGCACATATACGGACTATGAATGAGGCCGTGTTTGTTAAAATGAGTGTCCAAAATCCGCAGAAACTCTTTCTGAAGGTTCTGGAGACCGAGGAGCAGTTTTGGCCTGTTATAGCATGAAGCTTGACGAAATCAGTGTACAGTTATAGCTACCATATTGTCCAACTTACTTTAACTTATTTTGGAGGGATGTTAACCAACATCTTCACACGACATATATTAATGCTCATGGGCCAACCACTCGAGTAAGGCCATTGACTATCAGATCCCGGAGTATCTATAACGTGTGGCTGGAATGGAGCTCCGTGAAGGACCCCCACAGCTCACACATATTACTTACTTGCAGTGATATATCGGGGAACTGAGAACATCATTACATATTTTACATTATCTATTTATCCACCTATTAACCCTACTCGCACCACATATTATCGACAGCATCGCCTTCGCAAACTCATCCACATCATCTGGCTCCGCCTTAGTAAGGAGGATAGGCGCCTCAGCCAGCTGGACAAACCCAACATTCACTTCCGAGCACATTTTCTCCCACTCATAGGCCGAATCAACGTCCCACGCCCCTTGCTTGGTCGTGAACGTCATACTACCATAGCAAGAAGCTGTTCCATCTCTATGTATCAAATAGATCGACTGGATACTCGCAGCAAGCATTGATGTGCGTCGAATGCTCTCAGCGAGTATCCAGGAGTACCATAATAAGTTCTCGCCTCTTGGTTCAATAGCTGTATGCTCATAAGGAGATGCCATGACCAGACGACCCAAACATGGAGTTTGAGTAGCATGGTCAACCATTTCTCGGATCCAGCTATTCAGTACTGGAATATAACCCTCTGCAAGATGTCGAAGTCTGATATCTCCATCATACAGACATATAGCCTGGTACATCGCCAATGCCTGGACCCGAGCTAAATGCTCATGTGTATCAAGTGGAGTTCCCAGCAACGAGTCGGTCAAGCCATCCTCTACTAACCGCCTCGCGCGGTCCTCGATAATTCGAAATACCGTCAGCTCATTTAAGTCTGTTTTAGAGAAGTAGCATGACATAGCCATATATGCATCTTGGATACACGGGGGGAATCGGGTTTGATAAAGCCGTGTGTGGATGAAGGGGTTGCTGCCCTTGGCAACCCATTGTTTAAGCCACTGATGGATGTTTCGGATGTGATATTTTACATCCGCCATACAAAGTGCATCACCAGTAACTTCCGGCGAAGGAGCGATTTTCCACGCCTCAGATGACGTGAACCACGTGGAAGCCGGCTGGGCGCTCGCAATACTGTTGGCCAGCGACAGATCAAGTCGCGGCGACAACCCAGCATCAGTTTCTCTCTCACGTTCCAGAGAGCTTACAAACAACGGCGGAGTAGTGAGAGCTGAAACATCCTGCTGGACGGAAAATGAATTCTCCCCCTCGAAAAGGCCGAATAGACCAGGCTTCGTCGGAGGATACGTGCATGCCATGCCCCGAGTCCTGCATCGGCGGCAATGCGGCGTCTGCTTCTCGCACCTCCGCTTCGCTATCGCGCAGGCGTTACAGGCTTTGGTTTCTAAGCTCCGAGGCATGATGGTTCACTGGGATTACGGTAAAGTGGCGGAAGAGATCGATGATGTCGACTTCATGATTATTCAGCCTGTTGCGGGCGCTATCCGGATCGGGCGAGTTTCCCACGATGTCAGGGATGTCTCATGTCGGTGGGCGGCAGCGGAAACCTTATTTATCAGATGCGGGCGCTATCCGTTTTGGGATTTTTTCCATCGTTGGGGATTTGAAAGACGGACTTGAATATCATTATATGGGTCTGTATTATAAATGATATTTTTACTGTTTTGATTATAAAAAGCGCTGTACTCATCATAAAAATGTCATCAAAGAAGCATAACTCGACAGAAACACCACTACCATCCCTGATTTACAGTTCCCAAGTGATTTATCCAGACATCAATTGACGCATTAACCATGTCTCCTACCGTCGTCCTCATCACCGGCGCCAACCGTGGCCTGGGCGAAGGAATCATCAAACGCTACCTCGCCAAACCAAACCACACCGTCATCGCAGCAAACCGCAATCCCGACGACCCAACCTCCAAAGCACTGTCCAACTTTCCCATCGGCCCCGGAAGCAGTCTTATAGTCGTCAAAATCGATGCCACAAGCGAGACCGACGCCCCTACCGCTATTCAAGAGCTCAAAGGCCAAGGGATTAACCACCTTGATATTGTCATCGCCAATGCTGCTTTCATAGTTCCCTTTGTCAAGATCGAGGATGCTAAAATCGCGGACCTGAGGGTTAATTTTGAGACGAACATTTATGGGTTTTTTATGCTGTATCAGGCTACGCTGCCGCTGCTGCTGAAGTCACAGAGACCGACGTGGATTACTATCGGCTCGGGCGCTGGTTCTATCGTGGTTAGTACCCCAGTCAGCTTGATATTCCTAACCCAGCTAACTATTGGCGGCAGTGAGTTACTGTATCCCCATTCCCATATCATCACAGTATCCACCGAATTTACCTACACCCTGCCCGTCCCTAAAACCCAGCTCATGAATCTTAGCAACCAACTCCCCGTTCCCAACGCCGTCTACGGACCCACGAAGGCCGCTCAGCACTGGCTCACCAAGCGAATCAACGCCGAGGAGGAAAGAATCTGTGCCTTCATCATGAGCCCAGGGTAAATCAACCATCCCCATTCTTGATTGGAAAAATAATACTAAATTCTCGCTCTAGATGGGTCCAGACACCTGGAGGGAACTCAAGCGCCCAGATGTTAGGTCTCAAGGAGGCGCCTCAGCCGGTGGATGAGACGTGTGATGGGATGGTGGCGGTCTTTGATAAGGCTGGTAAGGAGACGCATGGTGGGAAGTTCTTGACTTGGGAGGGGAAGGAGGAATCTTGGTAGATAGTATTAGTTTTTCTAGGTACTGTTGGAAAACGAGCTGCTGGTTTAGGTAGAGTTATGCTTTTATGTACTTGGATCTCTAGAGTCTTCATAATTTGATCATGTGAGGATTTACTCCACCTACACAACTGACGGGCTCAACCTTCGTGAGTTTATATTAGACATTTTCCAACTATTCCACCAATTATTACCTGCCCTAAACCTCCGATATCCAAATTCATAGCCAAACATGCCCCCACGAGCAAACTTGAGCCGCGTCGTGCGTTTGAAGGAACCTCGTCCTTACTATCAACTAGCGAAGCAACCAATCCCGTTCATCACAAGGCGTGGTCCACAACAGCTTCGAAACTCGCTCCGTGATGTTGTCGACAGCGCGGTGACGCTCTTGCTAGTGCGAGGTCGATCGCGGCTCATGGGTGAGGCAGATACATCAGTCCGCGGCGTACCCAGACCCACCCAGCACACCACTATATACTCAGCTCTACTCGAAGAATAGTCACATATGATCATAGACTCAAGAGAATTGGGCATCCCGTCCGCTCTGCCATACAAAAGCTTGCTTTTTACTCTCAATCGTGCCAATAGGCATAGCGTGGAATCTGAGCCCCTTGCCGCCTTAAGGGGTGAAGCGAGGGTGAGCAGGGTGAGTAGGGTTCCAAAAATGGGGAACTTTTGTGCCGTTTCCCTTATAATTCTCCCTTCCACAAGAAATGAATCTAGAAGATACAATTCCGGACGTGAGACCAAATAAACATTGCCCAACGGGCAAGCAACCTAAGCTTCCGTAACCGATATCATGACGCGTAGAGAAGTTGGCTAACTTTACTCAATCCGTGCGTAGTGTTCCAACAATTCGACAATCTTCATCTCGCCAAGATGCTTCGCTAGTTCCTTTGGCGTCCAAAATACGCCTGTATTGAAAGTCGGGCGAGCACCATGGGTAAGTAGCTGCTCCACTGCATGACTGTTTCTCTTCTCCACTGCACGCAATAGGGGTGTCTAATTATGTTACTTAAGGACTGACCTGCATTCAAATAGGTAACTCACTCGCTGTAGACAGCCAATAAATCAGCCTATGAATTAAAACACGCCGACATTAGATTTCATTGTTCTGGTTCACTTACTAGCTATCAAGCCACAAAGGACTGCATCAGCCTTCTCTATACGGGCTAGTGTAGTTGAAGGCCGCGTCGGGTTAACTTACTAGCTATAATACCAAAATGACTAGCATTAGCCATCTATTACACAGAGAGTTGCCTAAATCAGGTCAGGTTCACTTACTCTCTATAATACCAAAGAGACGAGAATCAGCTATCTATTCAAAAGAGAGAAACTCAGATCAGGTCACGTTCACTTACTTCCTATAACACCAAATAAACCATCATCAGTCATCCATTTTATAAAGAGGAACACGGATTAGGACAGGTTCACTTACTTGCTACAATACCAAAGACAATCGCATCAGCCACCCATTTAATAGAGAGTAACGCAGATCAGGTCAAGTTGGCTTACTTCCTATAATACCAACATCAGCTATCCATTCGATAGAGAGGAACTTAGATCAGGTCAAGTTCACTAACTGGCTATAATATCAAAGAAATGAGTATTAGCCATCTATTCGATAGAGAGAAACTAAGATTAGGTCACATTAACTTACTTGCTATAATACCAAAGAGACAAGCATCAGCCACTGATTCAACAGAGCGTAGCCCAAACCAGGGCAGGTTAACTTACCACCTATAATACCAAAGTAGCAAGCATCAGCTATCCATTTAAAGACAGAGTCAGATTAGGTCAGATTCACTTACTCCCTATAATACCAAAGAGACAAGCATTAGCCATCTGTCCGATAGAGAGAAACTTAGGTTAGGTTAGGTTCACATACTGCCTATAATACCAAAGAGACAGCATTAGCAGTCTATTCCACAGGGAGAAGTCAGATTAGTTTAGGTTCACTTACAGACTATAATACCAACGAGACAAGCCTTAGCAACCTACTCGAAAGAAAGGAACTTCGATCAAATTCAGTTCACTTACTACCTATAATACCAAGGAAAAGAGTATCAGCTATCCATTCGATAGAAAGGAACTCATATCAAGTTAGGTTCACTTACTGCCTATAATACCAAAGAGACAAGCATCAGCTATCTACTCAATAGAGAGTAGCTCAAATCAGGTCAGGTTCACTTACCAGCTATAATACCAAAGAGACAAAGGTCAGTCATCTATTCAACAAAGAGAAACTCGGATTAGGTCATTCACTGACTGCCTATAATACCGAAAACGCAAGCATTAGCCATCCATTTAACATAGTAGCTCAAATCAGGTCAGGTTCACTTACTGCCTATAATACCAACGAGACTCGCATTAGCCATCCATTTGACAAAGAGGAAGTCAGGTCAAGTTAGGTTTACTTACGTACTATAATACCAAAGAGAAGAACATTAGCCATCTATTAGATCTCAGATTAGGTTAGGTTCACTCACTGCCTATAATATCAAAGAGACAAGCATTAGCCCTTTATTTAATAGCGAGGATTAGGCTAGGTTCACTTACTACCTATAATACCAATGACGCTAGCATTAGCCATCTATTCAATAGAAATGAACTTAGATAAGATTAGGTTCACTTACTACCTATAATACCACACAGAGACTTGCATCAGCTATTCATTCAATAGAGAGGGACTTTGATCGGGTCAGATTTACTTACTGCCTATAATACCACAAAGAGACTTGCATCAGCTATCTATTCGATAGAGAGTAGCTCAAATCAGGTCAGGTTCACTTACCACCTATAATACCAGAGAGACGAGCATTAGCCATCCGTCTGACAGAGAGAAACTCAGATTAGGTCAGGTTCACTTACTGCCTATAATACCAAAGAGACAGCATTAGGTATCTATTCGACAGAGTACCTCAAACCGGGTCGAATCCACTTACTCCCTATAATATTAAAGAGACGAGCATTAGCGATTCATTCGATAGAGAGCTCAAATGGGGTTAGGTTCACTTAGGGTTATTAGCACGCCATTCTTCGGCTCCAAAATAGCTGGGTGGGGGGAAGTTGTCAGACGAATCTACAACCTCGTTCGGAAAACCGACCAGAAAACCTTGAATAATCTCACACTGGATTCGATGGAGCTTAAGGATCTTCGACATGGTTTTCCGGACCTCATTCGCAAGCGGAACCAGACTTCGGCCAAAATTGCAATTGTTTTCTTCTTTGAGAAGAAGTCGACATACAAAGTGGTACGCATTGAATCGCAAATACCAACTACTGCTGCGTACTAACGGAGATGGCCAGTTGGTGGTCAAAGAGGAAGATGCATCCTACCCCGGGGTTGGAGAAATCTTACCCATGCAGGCAAATCACCTCGACATCTGCAAGTTCGATGATGCGGAAGACGATGGGTACAAACAAGTAAGAGCAAAAATCAAGCAAGCTATGGAAGCGACAGGTACCAGTGAGGCGACTGAGGTAAGACAAGAACCTTTTAATAGACACAAGCCAGTAACACAAGAATAGGAAGGCAACACTTATACCATCAATAACCATGGCCAGATTACGAATCTTGCTCAGGGTGACATGAGAATCGACTCACAAACCATTACTTATGGTTCGATAAATTAGAGCTGGTCAAGGCAGCAGCAGGGAATGAGCTCCTTGACACAGAGCGTTTTGTAGTAGGTGATTATTATCGCATCTATAGCACTTGATTCCCGTTCTCCCTCTATAAGTGCTGGAGTTTCCAAAGCTGGTTACACAGCGCTGTATCTTCTCTTGCCTGACATTCCCTTGACTAGCGAATTTTAGATCGGGAACAAATGGTGTTCTAAGTTTTGGTTAGCACTGGTTTGAGAAGATTATGGAACTCATACCCCTTAACTCCCTTAACCTTTTTGTCTATCTCTTCTTGAAGCCGCCGTAGCGCATTCTCTTGCCCTTCTCCCCATATAATCGGTAGGAACACACCGAATATGCCAAACAATGAGTAGACTTTGTCCTCATCTCTCGTTGTCAATCGGTTTGCTGCCCAAGACATCCGCTCAGTGACGCCGAAATCAAACAAGGGACTCCCTCGAAGGGCCTTGACCGGAACTCCTTTTTTCTCGCAAATATGTCGTTCTAGGGAGGCTTTATTGCCCAGTAGCTCTGCCTCTTTGGAGAAGAAATCGACTAATGCCGCTACAAGAAGCTCCTGCAAAGTCCAGCCTCGAGTGAACCATTCGCTTTTCCGAAATGTCGATTCCCAGTCCTTATTGGACGCGTTGGTCGAATCGGCGCGAGGTCGCGAAACATCTGGCAGGTAAACATAGCATTTGATTGCATTTTGGTACCAGCGAAACATCGAGTTGATAACTTCTTGAAGCTCAGTGCTATTCGATTTATCGATGCAGCAGGTGTCCACCCAAAAGTGTTTCAAACCGTTACGCTTAGCTTGTTCACCACAGAACTGTATCTTGCTATAGCCAGTCTTGCTCTTGTTCGTACCCTCTATGAGATTCTTGAAAGTGACCTCCTCCGCTCCCCATCTGTGCGAAAGTATGGCATACTTTGGGATACCGCTCTCGACGTACTCCGTCAGGCTGAAATCACCGTTGTTATTGTACCGTAGCAGACGCATTATTGGACTAGGCTCGATGATCGCAAGAGAGAGGGTCCTCGGGAGTTATTGAACCGTCGAGTTGGCCTCGTTGCGAATTTGGGTGAAGGTCTGGGAGAAGATGCCAGCTTGAGGCTGGCGCACTCAGCTGAGCGGCAGCCTCTCGGCAATAGTATCCAACGGCATCACTCGAGCTCACCGCAAGAGTTCTATTCTACCTTACAGTTAGGCCAGATCTGAGGGGTGCCGTTCGATCTGATTGGACCGGAAGCCGCTGCGGCTGAATGTTAACGAACGACAACACACTCAACCTGTTGTCAATACTTGGAATTGGCTCCGGCAGCAGCTGGTATCATTCATTACGGAGTTAGTATTGGAGATTCATTATTCATGTCGCAACACCGCTCTAATGTGATGGAACCCCCGATATCCTTTGGTGACGCTAACTCCGGCTTGCAAGCCAGGATCATCAACGGTTCGGCATATATGTTGACGTTACTCAGAAAGTTGTGAAGCACATTACTCGCCCCGACGAGGTCTTTTTTTGCTTCCAAAAACGAGAGACTTCTAAAAGTCAATGGAGATCATCCACGATCATCGGTCAAAAGACGTCATGGGATAAGGTATTGCCATTTCGACTCATCTTTAATTTCTAATATTCTGTCCATAGTGTCCCTCCTCTCAGAGCTGTTAACTTTAACCAAGAAAATCTTCCAGCGCTAGGCCATTCATACTCTTCTCTACGCCATCGACGATTGGGTAGATAAGCGGTTCAAGGCTGCAATCAATCGCATCAACTTCTGGACCAAAGGGGGAATTACGCTTCATGTGCCATCTTGGGGATCGGATACCGCGAACACTTGCCATGGTCGTTGCAAGACTAAAGCCCAAAAAGGGTATTGTTGGTCGCGGAGAAAAGAGACCTCGCGCACGCATCTCTGTAGTAAGAGCGCCAAGAAGTATTGAGTTGCACTCGAACGAGTATAGTTTTCGGCGTTCGTAGAAATCATCAAGAAGTTTGTGAAGTGCTGAAATAATCTGATCGATGGATTGTAGCCTCTCTTGATTGATCTTCTCTGTACAGGTAATTAGCTCCATCACATTCTCCAGGATTACCACGAACTTACCAACTATTATTTCTGGGATTGGAAGTCCCAGCGTTCGAATAGGTCCTTGGCTTTGCTTCAAGGCAGTGTATGTAGCTGCTTTAAACTGGTATGGTTGGCGGAAAACCCAGGATATACATATCCACAGAATGAGGTCCCTGGAGTATGTTGCATGGAGGTTCGTATTCAATTGATTGATCCAGATTTCTGAAAATATTTCGACTACTTCAGCGCACTGATAATAATCCACAAGAACCGCGAGTTTGGCGAGCATCTCGAGGCTGATAGTGCGTTTCACATTTTGTGTATGACCATGGATGATGTTCATCAAGATTAACAAAGCATCGCTGTCCCAGTTCTCCGTAAAGATTTCGAAAAGGCCATCGGCAGAACAAGTTTCTTTCCAATCATTTCGAAACATTCGCTTGAAATAGGTTGACGCTAGAATCAAATGGCGCGAGGAGACTTGCAACCGCACATCTGCCTTTCTGGATGGCTGCACGTAGTCAATTGAAGTATCAAGCTCCAGAGCTTCCGGAGATTCTACGTTGGCCGGCTCACGATCATGATCAAGATCAGCCTGAAATTCAACAGCTTCAGAAGCCTCGGCCTGGGGCTCTGGGATTTCAAATGCTTCGACAATATCTGGTTCAGGTTCAGCAAATGTGAACATGGACTTCGCTTTCTTTCCCTTTGACTTCTTGTATGACGTCTCTACTGGAGATGGAGATTCTCGTCTCACTGGCACAAGTGGAAGCGGCATATAGTCCTGTCTTTCCTCCCAAGCGGCAAAAGTCGCATTTGGGTTCCGCAAGATGAGAATCACGTCTCCATCTGGGTCCAAGCAAAGCGTCTCTTCCATTGAAATGGACAATGAATTGTAGGATGGCTAGCAGAGGCAATTGAAGAACGGACGGCCTCAAAACTTCTTTGAAGAGGTTCGCAAAGTAATAACTGCTCTATAAGGGACATTTGCTCGAGAAAATATTTGAAGTTATACAATTAGGGACAACGGATGCATTATGTAATCTAGAAAGTCGTGTTTACGTATGATTGGAGCTCACTTTGCACACAATTAATCGATCACCAGTGCCTCAAAACCCCGAGATTCAACTCTCTGAATGCGATGATTTGAATCAGTCGATTCGCTGTAGTATGCTTTAGGACTTGCCCTCCGTTAATATTAAGCGCCCCCCCTTCACGCAGTGCTCAATGATCCACGGATGGGTCTGAACCTGTTGGAAGGAAATTCGCCTCTCTGGATCAAGGACAAGTAGCTAGGTAGAATCAGCAGCGGAAGTCGGAGTTTGGATGGCATCTTACTCTGGCAATTAGATCCGTGGCTTCAGGACTCACGAATTCAGGTACCGTTATCTTGCCCGATGCGATTCTATCCTGGGTTATTATTGGTGTGTCTTCAAATGGTGCCTTTCCAGTCAACAACTCATGTCAAAACACCTAATGCCCACAAGTCAACCTCCTGGCCGTAATTATCCTTCTGGCTTCCGCGTCTGGCTTTGATCATTTCCGGCGATAGGTAATCTAATGTTCCGCATAGTGTATTCCTCCTTTTATTTGGCGAATGGACGCTCGAACCGAAATCAGATAGTTTGATCTCGCCATCCATGCCTATAAGGATATTTTCCGGCTTGATATCTCTGTGCATAACATGCTTCTTGTGCATATAATTCAAAGCTGCAGCCATTTGCGCGATATACAGAGCTGCTTTCCACTCTGGAAACCGATTACAGCGACGAAGGTGCCTGGACAAGTCTCCTTTTCCGGCGAATTCCAGAACCAATATAATTTTCTCGCTGTCGTGGAAATGGGCATATAATTTTAAGATGTTATCGTGTCGTAAGTTGCTTTGGATTTCAATTTCTCTTCGTACTTGCCTTTCGACCTTAGCCTGCTGTATTTCATGCTTATAGAGAACCTTCAAGGCACAAACGAACCCAGAGCTGCGCTCTCTAGCGAGGTAAACATGACCAAAACTCCCTTTCCCTAAGGGCTTTCCAATTTCGAACATGCTAAGGTGACACTCTTTTGGCCCGGAAGGTTGATTCTGTAGTTCAGTGTTGAGAAGCACGACTCTATTTGAGCTGTAGGAAGATTGGTAGTGTTCATTTGAAAGGGATACTATACGCTTTGCATTCAGTATATAACTCGTAGCTTTTATTATATACCAGTCATAGGCATACATACGTTGTGTATGGTGTGTGGTTGGCCAGTCTTCCAAAAATGATTTCATGCAAGACGCAGCAGTTGCTGCGGCATAGGCTTGCCATTCTTTGCTCTTATGGCTGTCGGCATAGTCACATATTCCCTTTATGATGACACAAGGAAAACTGTCCCATACCCAAGCACCCTCCATCTCAAACGCGATAACTCCCTCGCTTCGAGCAATCTCGTCTCGGTCCTCTCCCGATCTCATAACGGTGTCTCCAGAGGCGATCTTGCCATAGTGTATTGCAGGTTTGGGTGACTCCATCGCCTCTTTAGCCGTGTTCAGCCTTGCACGATGAATAAGCCTTACCTTGTCGCATCCGAGCACTGAGCAGGATGCATGAAGGGCAATGTCACAGATGCTATCCTCTCCTTGGTCACAGTCCGTGCAAAGAAGGTACTCTTCGGACTCATGATGCTTGTGGCGATATGCCGATTCGAATAGCATGTCTCTATCAGGGCCTGGGTATCGTGATTCCTTGAAATCAGCCTCCTCGAGAATGGCTTCAAGGTACTTCGTCATATTGTTCTGAAGCGTTTTCGTACCCATCCAGCCCTGGAGTTTTTCAAATATGTTCGGATCTCCAAATTTGGTCTCCCAAGATTGTCATTGAGGGTATCCTTCCGTTTGAAGTTGCCCGGCAACCGGCGACCAAAGTCATATTGAACGATACCATTGGAGATAACCACATCGCCGAGTAAGAGTTCCTTCCTAGTATCAGCTCCTCCGCTCGGCACGCCCCCACAAATACCAACAAGCAAAGCAAGCCGGATTCCTGTGAAGCTAGAGCAAAAGCTTCCTGCTACCTTTCCTGCTGCTCCCTTTCCTATGCCTGGCATATATGCTAGAACTGTGTTGTGGTCGCCAATAACACCTGTAGTGTAGGCATTTGTGTCTCCTGGCGCTCTTTTGTACTTATGATCCCAGACCTTGTCAAATGTAACCTCAACAGCATCAGCCTCAACTTTTGTGGCACAAATTATAGCGATTTCAAATCCACTTCGATTTTTTGGCGCTATGGGGTGCGCTATCACGGTTGCCGTACCAATGAGTTCTGCCATTTCTCGCGTGAGTTGACTTCGAAATTAGGGCTTCGAAGGTGAGATGAGAAGATCAGAAAGGCAGGGCGGAAAGATGGTTGTGACAGTAATTTAGTAATATAGTGATAAAGTCAGCCCATCATATCGACAGACCAAAGCAGTCAATGGGCTTTTATAACCGCACAAGTCTCACTTCGATGCAAGCTACAATGAATGCAACGCAATGGTGGAAGGACGGGTTCATCCGCATGCCTCGTCATCCAATGATATGCTATGTGCACGTTTGCATGCGTGTCGATGCGCTAGAGGAAACGCCTGATTTGCCGTAGATGCGCTTTAAGCACACTACTAAGCCCATGGAGATTTTTGATGTTTCATTGTGGAAGCATTCCACCCTACTTGCTGTTCTGGTTGGCGGCGGGACCGACAAGCTTTGTGATGTTTCTTCGGCCGCCCCCACCACAGCCAACTCCAGGCGCTAAACACGACTCCTAATTCCTTCATTCCGGTGGAAGCGCCTTCAGAGACTCGGCGCCTAAAAATGCGCGTCCATGTGCGATGGTTTCCAAGGTTGCGGTGCTTATTGGTTCTCTACAGTTACTGAGGAGCTGGCTGATTGACGACGCGAAAGGGTTCTCATAACTTCTGTGGCACTTCTCTAGTTGTTAATCGTGGTCGGAAGCGAAATGCGTCTGCGAGAAGGGGTGGAAGCGAAGTTGCTGGGCTGCTGTTGATATTCGATTTCTGTGGAAGTGGGAAACTCCTGTGTCTGTTGCTACTGCTGGCGTCCGTTGGGCTGCTGCGCGTAACGCCATTTCAAGGATAGTCAAAAATATGTGCTTTCTTTTCTGCCATGTAACACTGCTGCCTTGACAGCGGCTGAATAAGACCTGCTGTCATACCACTATTCCTCTGAGAGCAACATTTATTTCTGTTGGTCTATGCGAAGGACTGAATCCGCGTTTTAGGCACCAGTGGCCCCTCGCCAACCTAATCTACGTGGCAATCTAAGAGGGTACAATCAATGTACCAGTGCCATTTTGGCCACTGGAATACGGTTCGGCCTGGTGTTTGCGGCCAATGGATGATCCGCATTATGGTGCGGCTACAATCGCAGGACAAGGCCAGGATGCTGTGCTGCCTCCGACATACCTCGAAAAGTCCCCGAACAGAATTGGAACAGGGAAAATCCATCACCACGATGCATAAGCTGCGTCTCACCCGAGTCAAGCAACAGCTCAATGGAGCCCTCAAGGACGACGCCATAATCGAGACTCTGCGTCCGATGCATCATGCAATCGAAGCCGGGCGCGAAGTCAACAATACGGCAGACGGTTTCTCCGGGATTGACGAGCCCAAGTTTGCCAGTGGCAGCCAGGGCATCATGGGCTTTGATGTCTGCGTCGGAGTCGAGTACCGCGGGGAAGGTGGAGGTGGTATATACGACGTTGAACCCCATCAGTTTGTCACACTGCACCTCCAGCACCTCCACCTTCTACCGCGGGGAAGGTGGAGGTGGTATATACGACGTTGAACCCCATCAGTTTGTCACACTGCACCTCCAGTGTGACTCTTGCATTATCATTTCTCTTGACAGTAGTAGAGCCGTTCGGTATTGTCGCCGGTTTCATTGGTATTACACCTGCTTTTACTGACTGCTTCGAGTATGCACAGTTTGACCGCCACTTCAATCTTGATTTCGAGACCAGCCACCTTGCTCTCGACTGCGCGAGACACCGTCTTACACGATGGGGCGAGTCTGTCAATAATTACGACGATCCTAAACTAGGCAGGCAGGATGCTATTGCGACCGAGATCCAACTTGCAAAGGATGCGCTGCTCTGAATTCTTGTGCTGTTTACGGACACCGAGAGCATCTCCAAAACGTATAAGTTGACTGCGGAGGCTGGCGAGTATCTCTCAGCGTATTCGACAGACAATATGGATCCGAAGATGTTGTGCCAGGCAACAAGATGAAAGGATTGGCTATACAGCCTCAAAAGTAGAGTCGATTCTTGAAGCTTGCCAGCTGGGCTCTCTACCACAGGTCCACCTCGAAATACCTTCTCGAACAAATCATCTCAGCCCTCGATGAGACCGAGAGGCTATTCCCCGCGCCTCAGTCCCAAACCACACTTGTCCAGCAAGAAGTAGCTGAGATTGATGACAGGCAGTCTCGTGAACTGATTGAGAATGCAGCCACAGGTGTCGACAGCCTGCTTCAAAAGACGGTAAAGAGGTAACTGCAGGTCATCAGTACTAGAACATCCAGATCAAAGGACGGTCCTATACCGGGGATGCATACAGTAGTGACTGGAGTTGGGGTGCGATGCGGGCATCTCACAAGTATGGTGAAATCAATGTGCGGGAGGGTGGAAAGGCTCCGATTGGGAATAAGTATAGTGGGAAGGACTTTTGGGACTAGGTCACTATTGCGCTGTAGTTGGAGCATAGCAGGTCCGATCTAGCGAGCCTGTGTTTAAACCTCAAGAGTTCACATGTAGGCTAGCGGTCGGCGCGCCAGACGGCCTACCCCTGGCTCACGCGCTTACCTCAGGCTCGAATGAGCTGGATTGCTCTGACTGGTTCTGGCTCTGGCTCTAGCTACTATAGCCCGCTCTAGCTAGTCGGCTGTTATCGCATGCAGAAGGCTAGGAACGGAGGAATGCATCTTTACTTGGCCCGAAATTAATGTCTTATTACCTAGCACACATATTACTCTAATGTTTTTACTCAAATTTCCCGTCTTGGATTTTGTATGAGAACGCCAGGAGAAAACAAACCCCCTAGTTTTTCATTACATTTGAACAGACATATGCTTCCCAAATTGTTTTGGATGTCCTTTTGCACCACTTTACACATGTCCCTGGGTACTCTCCCACCATCACCTCGGCACCGCTCAGCAAGCACCTGTGCATTGGTACGCCCGATTGAATGTGTCTTGAATCCAGATACCACAGACCTTCGTTGCCTCTGGGGCTTCTGTGCAGACGCCAATCTGCTTGTCGGAATCTTCGTCAAACACGTCATAGTCACCAGAGTCCTTGCGCCTATACCGCATCTTCTGCTCGCAAAGCTCGCCGGTGAACTCCTCCTCGGGCCACGGGTACCCAGGCCAGTCTCCCTTGGCGCCATCGAGCTTGTCAGCAGGTTTGTCCATCCCATCGCAATCGCCCCAGTCAGACAGCTTGATACCCTGTGCAAACCAGCCAACCGAGAGCTCGGAGGCCCAGGTCACATCGGCGAGGTAGAATGTTGGTGGGCTCGTGGGGAAGGGGGGCTCCTCAGGCTCCTCAGGCTCCTCAGGCTCCTCAGGCTCCTCAGGCTCCTCAGGTTCTTCAGTTTCTTCAGGCGGCGGAGGGCTCGGCTCGGTAAAGTCTGGAGGCGAGCCAGTGGGTGTCGGGATGCAGTAGTAGCCCTCGCAGCGGACGCCGCAGTTGTGCTCGCACGTGGGCTGCGCCGGGCCAGGCTGCCATGTGATGGGCGGGGGCACCGGAATACCGCCAATCTCGCCGCCGCCGCCGCCATCTCCATTGTCGCCGTTTCCAGGGCCGCCCGGGGGAGGCTCGCAGGCACGGCGATCGAACTGGCTACCCCCATCGCCACCGCTAGCCCGGCGGTTGATCAGGGGACAAGTGCCGAGGTCATCCGGGATGACTGGACACACCAGCTTTTTGTTGTACCGAAGATCTTGACCGTTGATAAGGCATGACTGATCGAGCACCTGGCCGTTCCAGATGAACTTGACGGTGCGAGCATCCGGGTTCACGTCCTTCCACGGGCCGTCATTGATCCTGAGATTTCTCTCGAACAGCTGGACAAGACGCTTGACGCTGCTGGCGACTGTCAGCTGGTCCTTCCACCGCGATGGGAGCGCGCGGTAGTAGGCCACGAGCCCGGCCACCTTTGGCGCCGCGTACGACGTGCCCGAGTCCCATTTGTGCGTGGCGCCCATGACGGCCGTCTTGAGCTTCTGGCCCGGGGCGTGGATGATGCGGTTCAGCTGGTTGTCGCTGAAGCGCTCGCTGAAGGGTGCCAGCCGCGCGGCCCCGTCTGTTGCTCCGACGACGAGAGACGACTCGGCCAGTCGACCCTGGCTCATGACGCGCTGGGGGAAGCCCGAATCTGCCGTGCCTCCCTTGGGGCGGTTGTTGCCTGATGCCGCGACGAGCACGACGCCGTTGTCTGCAATCTCCTCGAGGACCGCCTGCATGACGCGTCCAAAGGCCTTGGGCACCGCTCCGGCACCGATGCTCCATGACATGCTGACGACCGCCTTGCCTTCCTTGGGAACGCTGGTGCTCATTATATCGTCGAGGACCAGTACCAGCGCCTCGAGGTAACGCTCGGCCGGTTCTGAGCCGCTGACCAGACGAGATCCTGTATGCACTGGCACCAGGATCGACTTGCGTGCGACACCTAGGTTGGTGCCGACCGCCATGGCTGAGACGGCAGTCCCGTGCGTACAGTCATCGCTGTATTCACTACCCCAGTTCTGTGTGCGGAGAGCACCGGCTACCCGGATGCCAATGAACTCGGGATGTGTCGCATCAACGCAAGACTCGACAATGTAGATGTACTGCTGTTCACCCGCCGACTCGTGGAAATGAAACTTGTGCATCGAGGTGTCCTGGCCCGCACCCGGGTTGATGCTGAAGTCGGTGTTGGTGGCCCAGTCGTCCACGTAAGGGGGCACAGAGATCTGAGAGTTGGCCCAGTCCGTGTACTGAGTTACCGCCCTCTTTGAAATAATGTTGCCGGAGTTCTCCTTTTCGCCAGTGTTGTCCGGGTCGTCGTCATCAACATCAACATCTACGCTGCGCGCCGCTATGGGCTCCATGCCAGTTGCAGGGTACCAGGCCTTTTTCCTGAAGTTTGAGGGATCGTAAATCACCTCGACCTAGAAAGATGTATAACTGTCAGGCATGTTTCGCAGGGGCCAAACAAGGATTGGGATGGTACCTACCGCCTTCATCTTGAGAAGCTTGGCATGCAAGGCCACGGGCAGGCTCGAAACATGCCAAAATGCCGTGAAGCCCATCATGCTAGACTGGATCCGCGTGACTACTGTTGTCGCCTGTCCGTCTTTCAACCTCGTTAGGCGCTTGGCTAATGCAGAATTGTCATCGTCAGAGTCCCACACTTGCTTGGTGAAGATAATGACATCATTCCTGGCGCAGAACCACTGGGTTGCGAGACTGATATCGTCGTCCCAGGAGGCCTCGTCGTCCTCGCCGGCTCGCCGGCCCAGGTGTACAAGCGCTGATGAACGAGTGTCCAAGGATGCATGGGGGAGCTCGATGCTGCTAGTCACGGACGGCTGCGCGGCGCCAGGCCCAAGGGTAGGGGTGGCATCATAGGCCAGTGCTGCGGCCACGGTTCTTTTCGGAAGAGCGCAGGAAATGTCATCTGTCGCCGTCGCCTCGTCGTAGCCCTCGACCGCGCAGCCGAAGATCGTCGCGCAAGTCTCAACCACCCGCGAAGTGACGGTGACGGTGGTCGTTCCCTTATCCTCCAACTCATAAGAAGTAGTTGTCATGCACACAGATGCTGATTTCGTCTCACATTGCCCAGGCTTCTCGGGAATGCCCGTGGGTTTGGAGCCTGGCCCAATTCTGCATCGTTGGCACCAAGACGTCAGCTAGCTGTGCCAGGGGGAGGAAGCATTGACCGTTAGGGAGAGCTTACGTAATCTTAGGCCAAGGTGGCAAGCCCGGCCCTTTCCATTGCCATCCGCTCGGCCAGGGAATAAGCCCAGGAGGAGGCGGTCCACTACAAGCCGTTAGGTCTGGTTAGTAAAGCTCCTGGCTGTCTCAAAAGAACCGTCCGAGGCTGAAAAGTGACAGGGCTGGGGGACTTACGGTCCGATGATGCCCTCGGGGATTCTCAATTTCCATCCCTTGATTTCGAATTTGCCAATCTTGATACAGGTCTAGAGACATTAGAGACAGGTTAGCTTATTCATTCTTCCGGTCAACACCTGAACGGATATCCCCGCTGCGAGTGGTACAGAAGAGAGATTAGACATACAGAGAAGAACCACAAAGCGCACGGGATAATCACTACATCATCGTCATCATCGTCGTCGTCATCGTCATCTTGGGGCGGTTCTGTCACGGGTTGGATCTTGTGTGGAATCTTGTACCAATCGGTCCACGTCGGGAATGGGACGGTGGGCTCTGGCGGGTCGGGAATTGAGTCATCTGTCGTTGTGGGAATGTTGGAAGGTGAGACGGTATCGCTCCAGGATGAAGGAGGTCCTTGCGTAACTTGAGGCCATGGCGGAAGGAAGATGGTCCTCGTGGTTGTCTTGGTTGTGCCCTCGCTAACCCACGTCACAGGTACGCTCGTAGGAGAAAGTGTGATGGAAGGGTACGGCTGAACGACCGTCTGAGTTCCGACGTCCGAGGGAATCGGAACGTTATAGAAGGGGACTTCGTCGATTGTCTTGGCCGGCACCTTGATCGTGATTGTCGTTGTGGTCGTGCCAACCTGCAGCGATGTCGTGTACGGAGAAATCGAGATGACAGAAGGTGAGGCCAAGGTGCTTGGGGGGAGGACAATAGTACAAGGCGCGGTGCACCCCATTGATGGATACGTGTAGACTGGCGTGCCGATGTACACCACGTCCTCGTCAGACCCCGGTGAGGTATCGCCCATGAGATCAACAGCCCAGTCCGTTGCGCCGCCAAAATTGAGCCCCTTGTACAGTTTGACACGACGATCCTTGGTCTCCTGGCTCATGTAGCCAACATACTCGACATTGTTGTAGATGAGGATGTCAGAGTCAGACTCTTCGTCGTAGATTTGCTGAAATGGCGCAGCCTTGCTCTTGATGATCTCCTCGATTTCGCCGTTGGCGATATAACCCCCCGTGTCGGTACACTTTCCGGGTTGAGCCGGCGAGTTGTTTCGCGGGCCGAGATACAGGCACGATGGCCCCCAGCAGTTGGCGTCGGCCATCTTGAAGCTACGCCCGTAGCTCGTAATACCCACGATGACTTTGTTGGAGGGCACTCCGGCTCTGGTAATCATGGCAAGAGAGTTGATCGTCTCGGTGACATTGACATGTGAGCGCAAACAATCGCCATTCGCGCAACCCGTACTGAACAGAGGAGACCCGTCAGCATCGCATTCCTGGATTTCGAGGGGTGAAGGGGAAGAAAGGGGTAAAAAGGGGTAAAAAGGGGTAAAAAGTAGAACTCACCTCGCCCATTTACTGCTATAATCCCATTGACCTTATAGAGGTCAGCTTCAATAAACTGCAGTAAGGCTTCCAGGAGGACTTACCGTGCAAATCATACGTCATGAAGACGATATAACTGAGAATCTTGGCCATATTTTCGATCGGAAAGTGGCGTAGGTACCAGTAAGATGCCGGAGCCGCAATAGCCAAAGACTTCTCCGCAGGTAGACCATTACGGACCAGTGTCAAGAATTTCAGATAGTTCACACCATCCTCTTTCATACCAGGATCAGACCCTTCAATATCATCAGCCCCAGGGTACTCCCAGTCGAAATCAACGCCATCGAGGTTATTATCAACAACAAACTTGACGATATTATCAGCGAACTTTTGTCTGTTGCCAGGCGTGACGCCCTGGCGCATGATATGCGATGTGCCCTTTGAAATCGATTTTGTCAGCGCTATACGACAACACAAGAGCAAGAGCTAGCCCACGGGTCAGAAACATACCTGCTCGTTAGAGAATGCCCATCCTCCAAATGACATAATCTTTTTCGGACCTGTCATTCCCAGGAACTTTGACCACTGCTCGGTAACGTCGGAGGCGGTACTAGGAACAAAATCCTCGCTAATATGACCAAATGCGAAGTGAATGTGCGTAATGGGGTCTTTGACTTCTGTGACATCCATGTTGAGGCAAGGACGGTTGCCATTCCAGGCCTCGAAATACCCCACACGAATAAAGTTCTTCGGGGGAGTGTCGTTGTTGATGATTTCAATCTTGCCGCAATTGGAGATACAACCGTTCGTGCCCGGTTCATGCGTACCAGGAGTGTTGTCTATACTTGTGTCGACGCAAAACTCCTCGGTCTGGACATGGCCACCGTCAGCATATATCACCACCTCACGGAGGAGGACTTACCAAACCGCAATATCCCCATCCTGAGCAGCAGACGTTCAAGGGGCACGGGTTGAGATCCGTGATGTTTGTACCGTCCGCAGGTCTCACCGTGCCTATAACCTGTGGGCCGCATGTGACGTTTTGAACTTGGACTGGCATTGGGGGAGTCCCTTTGCTGATGCAGATTTTCTGGTCAGCTAAAAGCTGCCCGCAACCAGCCCAGCCCCAAGTCTTGCCGACATTGAGCTCTTGGATCTCTTTCTGGGTAAGGTAATATTGGTCGGCGATGGCCCAGCATCCGTCGTCTTTCTGGACTTCGTGCACAGCACAATCTCCGTTCTTCTGTGGTTGGGGTTTTAAGTCTGGCTTTTCGCCCTTAGAACAGCACACGGCCGTCTTGGGCATCAAAAAGTTGCAGAAAGCTGTTTCGTCGCCGCCGTTGTATTCTACGAGCGTTTTCAAAGGGATGTTGCAGCGCTTGGCAATAGCTGGACAACTATCAACCTCTTCGACCATGGTGTATTCGCATTCGTCGTCAGCAGCCATTACTAATGGGAACCTAGGTTAGTCAAGAGAAATAGAGGCAGATAGAAAGGACAGAGAGGGTAGAAATGGAGGAAGAATCCCGAGGGTTGTCGTCCAACTTACCAGAGAACTGGGCCTCTCCAGCAGAGCAACACAGTTCGTCCCCAGTCGCCATATTGCCACAGTATGCATCGTCGATCCCATTGAAAGTGTACAGGTTATCCAAGGAGATGCCGCACTTCTCTTCGGCAATGGACCAGCAACTGTCACCGAAGTTGACCTTGGCTACGCGACAGGAACCCGCGCGGCGCCTCGTCCGATGCAGAGGCTGGTGAGGTTGCTTGACGTCGGCATACCGCCGGTGGCGACTCAGCAACGATGTACTGTTCGTCAGTGTCTGATTTGAGAGCGGATCTGTAGTCGAATCTTGTACAAGTGGCACAGCAGAGATGAGCGCCATCGTCTGGTTCTGGGCGGTACTGCTGCCATCGAAGCCATCTGCACACTCGCCCTCAGCCCAGCCACTGAGTGCTTTGTGGACACTCTGCAGGTCTCCGTCGGCATCTGCTACCATTCCAAAGACAAGTGCGGCCGAGCTATTGCCGGTCGGGCCGCAGACTTGCATAGTCAGGCGCGAAGGCATGTCCACCTCGGCAACACGCTGGATAAAATCGTTCATGAGGGAGGCAACTGAGGATCTGTGAACTTGGCCGCCAGCGTAGAGTCCAACAATGGTCTTGCCGGACTTGGCAAAGACGGCTGTCAGGCGGTTGTTGGGGTTCAGTGCGACCTGATGCTGGAGCTTGAGTGCAGATTCGACAATCTGGGAAACAGCCAGCTGAGACGCTGGGCGACCAGCCCAGCCGGTTTGAACTTGGGCCGTCGTGTTGACCACATCGGCGTTGGACAGTGCCAGTGGGCCGTAGGTGCCAGAGACCCCCTCGGGATCCATGATGCTTGAAGTGCATGCCCTGAGGACTGTCTGCCGGCCGGGCAATTCCAAAGGGAAACGCAGCATGGCTTCGAAGATGACTGTGTGTTCACATCTTTCCAATTCCTCTATTGAGAGGATTCGAGACCAGGAGAAACTGGTTGGGCCGGCGGCGGCACATGATGCAGGACAATAGGCTCTGGATGATGTTGTCTCGGGATGGAGTAGACCTGGGAAGAACGCTAGATGATTGGTGTTATTGTTGGCGAAGGTGAACTGTGCCTGGGCGGGAACAGCCAGCTCCCAAGCTGTCGCCACCAGCACGGCGACGAGACGACCGTCGAGCCTCATCGTGTCGGATAGTGCAGCGCTGTTTGGCTAGATGCTTAGCACCTGTCAGAGGAAACGCACTCTGGTTAAAGTGAACTCCAAACAGAACTACATAGTCAGCTATATATACGTCGACGGTCATGTTTGCCAAGCCAAGCCAGAGCGAGCACCACAGTCAGTCCCTTTACCCCCATACTCGGTATCCCTGCATCACCTTCACTTGACGGCAAATCACCTGGCTAATTCACCTGTTCTCCAGGATTTTGACGTATGTAAAATCCCCAGCGAAGACACGACGATCCAATTTCCCTGAAATAAGGGTGAATGTTCTACAGCGTACCTCAGGGCTGCGCGGGAGCTCTCCGCTGGTCGATCCTCCTACGGAGCGTGCGAGATTTGTGTTTTTTTCGTCCCATACCAGCTAGCAGACTGGCTATCTGCTAACGTAATACGGACAGGGGCGCGTTGTGGGTGTTTGCCGCCCCCGCCGGTCTTCTGCGGATAGAACCGCATGAAAACATTGATAGACTTGAGATATTCCCAATGCGTTTTCTCCGTCATGTGAATCATCAATGAGTAATATAGGGTTTAGCCAATCATTGGCGGTACTCCGATCTAAGGGATGTGGCGGCGGGTGATCCCTTTGCGCGAAGGAACTAGCCTCGATGATGTGGGTCGCGGGGAGTAACATTGTATGCAGATCTTTCGCGTTGTCAGCGTAGCCCTGCTTGGGGGCCAACAGTCAGGGTACAATTAGGGTAAATGGCCGGCCTAGATCCAGAGTGAAGCACGGAGAAAGTATTAGTGACTTCGTTTCGCCCCCAACAAGCTACAGGGTTGGCCCGGTAATTTTGAATCCTGCCTCGGAGTAACAAAGTCACAAGCAGAATGGGAATTGGGGGCCAGGTCATCGTATAGTGAGTGCATGGTTCCTGCAGATAAGTCTGACAGCCGTTTCCCCGCCGTTTCCCCGCTGCTCCCGCTGCTCTCGTCGAAAGGCAATCCCGACCGGCTGCGTGGCGTGCGACAACGCTCAACCACTTGAACCAAAACCGCTCGGGAGGGTTCCACCATGGCAGACAACGATACCTCCCATGGAGATGCCGACAAGGCCTTGGCTTCGGTCGAGAAGCGCGACGTAGAGCTCTTCAGAGCACTGTTAGACAACGGATTGGACCCAACCCAGCTCAACCTTGCTAGTGGCAACACCCTTTGGCACCACGCGGCATCCAGCTATGGCGGCACCTCCTTTGCTCCGGGCGGAAGCACGCCCAGAATGCTGCAAGAACTAGCAGACAGCGGCGTCGATTCAGCACGGGCGAATGATGCTGGTCGCACGCCGCTTCACGTTCTAAGCAGCGTCCGTCCGGACTTGTTCGACGATATAAACATGGACCGTCCTGGTTCTTTGCTGGCTTTTGACATCCTTCTGGATCAGCTACGTGGTACTCGTGAATCTGTACCGGAAAATGTCAATGTGTTTGATACAGATGGAATCACCCTTCTCCACCTCGCCGTTGCCACATCCGCGTATCAGGTTCGCAGGCTACTTGCCTCGGGTGCTGACGCAGCAAGACCCGACGTCCAAGGACGGACGTCCCTTCATGGCGCGGTGCAAGCCTGTGACGGCAACATTGTCGGCCTGATTCTTCAAGCCCTTGGGTCCAGGTACGAGATGCAGCAAGTCGAATGCAATCTGCCTGCCAGCAGCCCAGCCATCGCGCCTGCAAATGCAATCAACGCCCGAGATGCTCAGCAGCGAACAGCTGTATATTATGCTTGCCTCGCCGGCAGTCCAAGCATATTCAGCCTTTTGGTTGAAGCTGGGGCAGATACGAGATGCGCCGCGGAAGACGGTAGCTCCTCCACGATTGAAAGTTCTTGCTGGCACGCATTGGCATTATTCGGGGCTGAACGTCAATTTTCAAGGCCGAAAGCTGGCACAAGATCAGGAGGGTCGCCGGCGCGGCGAATCGGCGAGATGGTCGAGTACCTGCTTGAGACGTCGGAGCCTGCGGACATCACCTCTATCGACAAAGCGATCGAGTTGGCCGAGGCTACTCAGGCAGCATATGTCTTGGAGACCTTGTGCCGTGCCCGCTCTACTTTTCTGACGAAACACAAGCTACATTCGATGCATAGGCCGAGCCAGGATGCCATGGCAGCCGCATTTCCGTCTCTGCTGCAGAGAGTAGCGGACCGTAACGAGACCGAGAATCCGGAAATCCCTGCCCGAATGCGCCTTTTGAGACTGATGGAACTCCAAGAATATCCCTCGGCCAAATCATTGCTAGCCCAAATCGGACCTGAACTGGCTGCTCAGAGCAATGTAGATCTTTCTTTGATAGTCGATCTGCTTGCTTCGAATGGTTTTGCGGACATGCTTTGGCCCCTGAAAGATGTCATCAAGCATCAAATGCAGCGCAGCCACGAGTCACTGTTCTTTTCGTCTGTCGATCAGTCAGAACCGAATATGAATGTGCTCAAGATGCTTGTGCAGAGCTTTGAGTTGGATGTGAACGTTGCGAACTCAAATGGGATAGGGGTCCTCCATCGCTTGTTTCTCAACAGTCATGACCCGCTCGGCGAAAGCTGCAACCCTACCTGGTGGAAATCCTCGCTCGCTCTACCATACTTGGTCAGGCATGGCGCCAACATCAACATGCGAGATAAAGACGGACGCACGCCTCTACACCTCGCTTTGGATCGCGTTGGGCACGTCGACTTTGACAGGAGCATTATCGGGAGACTCGTGGCACTAGGTGCTGATGTCAGTGCAGCTGATTATAGGGGCCGGACTTGTCTCTGCAGAGCGGCAGGCAATATTCACTATGCTGACAGTGGGCTGATGCAACATGATTCAGGCTCTATGGGTCTACTGACCCACAACATCACTGTCGTGAAGCTGCTTCTCGAAGCCGGCGCGCCCATTACACAACCCACTCTAATCGAGGCGATCCGGCGCAGTGACGCAGCTCTTTTGGGCCTGCTCTTGTCACTCGGGCGCGCAGACCCAAACACACGTCTCAGACAAGACCAAAAGCCACACGGCTACTGGTGGTCCGGCACAGGGTACAGTCTCGGGGGCGACGCGGAGCGGGATCCCTGGAGATATATGCCTCCCCTCGGACTCAATGCCGTCCCAGAGCAAGTCATGTACCCTCTGCATTTCGCCTGTTTGCACCACAACAACAACCACGCCGTCATTTCCATGTTGTTGGACCATGGTGCGGACCCCAATGCTCGTTATGAGAACGGCATGACTGTATCACACTACGTCATGAGTCAGAGAGTCTGTTCCCCGACGATGAAGCTCCTGCTGGCACGTTTCACCACGGAGAATAGCAAGAATGGACTCGAGACGCGGAACCCCTTGGGCATGACACCACTTCTTATTGCCTCTCACTTGGCTGGTGAGAGCTCACCCGACGATACCAGTCACGACCCAAGCGTATCAATGGTCCACACTCTACTGGACCTCGGTGCCGATCCTTGTGTGAGAGACAATTCCGGGCTTGACATTTTGCTCCATCTGGGCTACGACAACAGTGAAAGCCGAGATATTGGTGCTGATAATGGTGGCGGTGATGAAGCCGCGAGTGGAAATGGGGGGTTGAAGGGTCTGGCCGGTCGTGTGCGAAAACTCGTGCATGTATGCAACTCGGCGGATTGATTAGATTAGGACATGGAGCACGACCTTTAAGATGCTCTTGAACAGTGATGATGGGATATATTCTAAAGCCCAAGTTGATTACTGCGGTCCACTGGCATGTGGGCATGAACCTCCTTACTAGCCATACTTTATTGTTATATTCCGAAGTAATGAATGGGTCCGATCTGGGCATGGTTCTTAAGTTGAAAGCTCAACGGCTTACTTATGGGTTATATAGTGGTCATTTTGCAGGGGAGGATGTAGGTATCCTAGAACGTGGCGCTTGTTGGATTCCTAGGAAAGTGATTCCTAGGAAAGTGATGATATTGAATACGAAAATGGGATCTTGAGGTAACTGTGACGGTATCAATGACAAAGGCAATGGTAGTCGCTCAACGGGCATGAACTTTTAGGGCCCGAGTAACGGCTGTACAAGACTCTTGTGTTAATAAATATAGAGAGGTACGTTGAAGGAGAGCGTCGAAATGAATGTCCGCGGCTGGGCCTTGAGTAGGTAAAGGGTCGGTCCAACACCTATGGCCCTCCGAATATGCAAAGGCGGCTTGATTGATACAGAGGTCTTATGGGTGGTATAATTAAGAGTCACTCTAAAGCCTGTAAGTTACTTCTGCCTTGCCAGTGGCTAGAAGAGACACATTTAGGTCAACTTTCTAATGTGCTTACGGCTGGCTTGTAATTCGTTCTTCGTGCCTCTCAAGACCCGCATCGCATCGCTTTTAGTCCTCGAGGCCTGCCACCGGCATGGAAGTCCCAGCTCGATCACCCCGCCATTAGTGTGATGGTCTAGCAGGAACATGCAGGAAATTGCGTTGGCCCTTTCAAGTTAAATACCTTAGGTACAACTGTGGTGGAGCCGATTCCTTTGTACACAGTACGAGTACTCGATCCCTGACAGCGGCAGGCAGGTCTCCTGCAGGTGATGGGATTACTATCCTCTAGGATGAACGAGTACTCGCACGCCCCAGGGCAGGGGTAGAAATGTGACCTGCCTCAAAAAGAAAGTTCCCTGCAAGCCTGCAAGCCTGCAAGGTAAAGCAGAACGGTGTGGTTTGATTCAGTGGGAATACATACCGGCGAGGAATTATCAGATCAGTACGGAGTAGTCGGAACTACTGGCCCCGCACGGTGAACAAAGTCACGTCGTCGCGTGACCGTGGCCATTAACAGGGCTTATTCTTTTCTTGAGTTTGGACCTTTGGTTTACGATTTGGCAATTTCTGTCCGAGTTCGAGTTAGATATTCTTGCTACGAGTACTTCTCGCCTAACAGGGTCAAGCCCAAAACAAGTACCTCGAGTATATATAGGATGATCACTCGCACAGTAGTATGAGTGATCAATACACGCTGTACATCGCCACCGTTACGCTTCCAGAGTCTGTAACAGAGTTCAAGATGTTGTTCTCATCATTTGCCTTGTTTTCTGTTGCATTGCCCGTCGCGTTGGGCCGCTCGCTTATAGAAAGACAGAACTACTATGTCGACGTCAACACCACCAAGTACTGCACATGGTACTATGATAATGATGGCGCCAACGACTGCACCACAGTCCTACGCCTCTGGGATGTCACCCTTGAAGCCTTCATGAGATGGGTAAGTCTCCATGCAGCATACCTTAATGATCCAACTCCGCTCATTATAATGCAAAGATTGTGTTAACACGGATGTAATGACAGAACCCTTCCATTACCGCTGGCTGCGGCAACTTCAAGACTAGCCAGTCCTACTGCATTGAAGGTAAGATGGAATTTGCACCCTTCATATATCCATTCCGCCTTCAGTTGGAGCTGTCATGTCTTCCGTGTCTGTGGCAACTTGAGAGGCTAATATGGACTTTTTGCATCGTAGCCTTCGGTGAACCTCCCGTCACCACCCAGCCACTCCCTACGTTGCCAACCACCACGGCAGCCAGCTCGACTGTTAACCCTCCTACTACCACTACTACTACCAACCCCGGCAATGGCATTGAGACACCCCAACCCACTCAGGCTGACATGGTGAAGAACTGCGTAAGTCATCCCGCCTCCCGGGGGCTGGCCACCCATAGTGCACACTGTCTGATCGGCGGCTAATCTGGTCATCCCATCACCGCAGAACAAGTTCTACTTTGTCAAGACTGGTGAAGGCTGCAGCAAGATTGCCAGCTCCAACGGCGTCAGCGTTGCCGACATTTTTGCCTGGAACCCGTCGGTCGGCGCTGACTGCTCGGGCATGTGGGCCGAAGTCAACATTTGTGTCGGCATCATTGGTGGGCCCACTGCCGCGCCCCCGACTTCCACAGCCCCGAGCAACGGCGTAGAGACTCCCTCTCCTATTCAGGACGGCATGGTGACCAACTGCAACAAGTTCCACTTCGTCAAGTCGGGTGATGGCTGTGCGTCGATTGCCAAGACCTACAGCATCAGCGTCTCCAACTTCATCACCTGGAACCCGGCCGCGGGCACAGATTGCACCGGACTATGGCTCAACACCTATGCCTGTGTCGCCATCATCGGTGGCGCACCCGCCCCTACCACCACAACCACTGCTGGTAACGGCATCGCCACGCCGACGCCGACCCAGCCCGGTATAGTCAGCAACTGCGACAAGTTCCAGTTCGTGGAGAAGGGCTCGACCTGCGCCACCATCGCCAAAGCCCATGGCATCGCCGTCTCCCAGTTTGTCAGCTGGAACCCTTCGGTCAACAGCGACTGCTCCGGGATGTGGGCCGAGGTCTACGTGTGCGTCTCCATTATCGGCCACACGCCTCCCACTACTACCACGAAGCCGGGCAACGGCGTCGCCACCCCCACCCCGATCCAGGACGGCATGACCACGAGCTGCAAGACATTCCACTTCGTCCAGTCGGGCGACAACTGCGCAACCATCGCCAAGGCGCGCGGCATTAGCGTTGCCAACTTTGTCAAGTGGAACCCGGCTGTTGGCACCAGCTGCACCGGTCTTTGGCTCAATACCTACGCCTGTGTTGCTGTCCTCTAAACTTGGCTGATTTCGACACGTGAAAACCTCCGTACATGAAGTAATTTGGTATCAGAAAACTCCTCTTCGCTGTATATATTACCTTTGCGGGACCCACCGCGTTACTTTACGCAGTCAAGTTTCTTCTAGACTACATAATGCACTTATAAAATTACCAATAAATCATAAACTACAAATGGACATTAGACCCTATGAAACGTGGGAGGCGGTGGTACATTTTATCTCAGTCTTTTTACAGGTACCCGTTTCACAGTATTTCCTGCTATCATCTGCCATGTTAATGAATAATTAACTTGAGGTGTCTGTAGTACCAGTAAGAATAAAAATAGTTTGTCCGTCTTGCAATTTGTCCCTGCATTTTTGCCACGCGGTAATCCTCTGCTCCGCCCAACGGCGTAAAAGGGTGTGTAGCTCCCGCTGCCGCGGCGCCGGCGGCCCTCTTACGAACAAATACAGAGGGCAGGCTGTGCCGATTGCAGAAGTGCAGCAGCGTGAGCTACCAGCAGCCTTTTTGGCCCGTCCACTCCTCGAGACTCGGATTACCTCGGTGCCGATTGTTTCTCCAAGGATGGACAACAACGCCCGTCTTTCGCAGAGCTGGACCCGACATTCCCTCAACAAGCAGCTCAATATATGGGTGATCGCTTTGGTCGTCGTCACCTCATAGTATGGATGATGACCTTGGCCGTAGTGATCCTGCGTCAACCCCTGTTTGCCTTTGGTGACCTTGGCGATGGTCTCCAAACGACAGCCCCCGTCCACGATGGGCTGTGGTGGGCCATCGACATGTCTCCAAACGACAGCCCCCGTCCACGATGGGCTGTGGTGGGCCATGTCGCTTCCACGACCACAGAGATATACACAACGCCAGAAGTCCAAGCATGGGTACGTGGCTATATCTGTATCACATACCAGGAACAACGTTACGCACCGAATCACAACGTCATAACGTTTGCGAACGTTTGCCTATTGAAGAGGTGCCTGTGGAACAATTGATAGTGGCCTATATGCTCGGATGAAAGAGGTTCTCTGGAAGGCACAGAGGGACTTGAATGTAGCAGTAGAGTTAGCATAATATATAAGTGCTCTTGAATCTGATTTCTGTCTCTACCAGCATTATGATCCCACTACACCTCCAGTTATCGGCAACGTTTAGCAGTTGAGGAGTGCGCGTCTGGGTCCGAAAACGCCATTAAAGGTACTACAGGCCAGCCAATTGTCTCGATTTCTAGCCTCTTTTGCCACATATTTTCGATCTTATCATTAATGACCGCGTAACCAAGAACCTTCCACAACTTAGTCCGTAAAATAAACCAATCAGACTCGTAGTTGTCAAAGTCAAGCCCGGGCTCACTTAGTGATAACTCTTCATCAGCACTCACACTGGCCCAGTCTCTTTCTGATCCTTCGTTCAAGTCTAACATCTCTTCGTCAGCGCTCACACTGGCCATGTCTCCTTCTGATTCTTCATTCAAATCTGACATCTCTTCATCAACGCTCACACTAACCCTGTCTCCTTCTGAGTCCCTGTTCAAATCATCTTCCTGCATATACGAAGAGTAAATATCCGCTGGACAGGGCATTCCTCGAAGCTTTGGGAATATCCTGCTCCATTCCGTTGCAATGGCCTGGATACCGTCCGACTCCATCAAGCGTCGTGAATCCTCGAAGAATATGCTTGCGAAGTGCATGATCTCTAACTGCCAGAAGGGACGCGATTTTGTCAACAGCGCAAGAGACAGACATAATCGAGACTGAGGTAGCGCAAGAACAATGAGTCGCGGGCAGGAACGTGTGAGGTCAAGAAGTCTTGCACCGTCCATCCGGAACCTCAAGTTAAGTTCAAGGTGCTCCAGGCGATGCAGCGCACGCAACAGCGCTACACGCAGGTTTTCCGCCGATTCCGGTTCCCCCTCAAAGCCTAGGCCTAGGTGCTTCACACTAAACTTCTGTAAAAGAGGGCAGCCACGGGCGATATCAAGGAGCGCTTCCACGTCATCAAGCTCATCAAAAACAACATCGATGACCCGTAGGTGTCGGCATTTCGCAATCTTTTTGATGAAGTTTTGGCTGATAGGCTTTTCTAACCTAAGGATTTGAAGCTTCTCGAACTTTGGGAATTGCTCCAGCCAGTGTTGGTCCGCAACCCCAAGGTACAACATCTTCAGCTTGGGCCATAGATCTCCCTGTTCCTTACTTGTCAACGTTATAGATGACGATCCTAAAAGGGCGGCACGATTGGGGATAATAAGCGCCAACGCCTTGAGATTTTCTTGTCGCCGAAGGCACGATAGGAGCTCCGCAGCGTCGGATTCGGTTAGCTTGTCAGTTCCTTCAAGGTGGAAAAACTCCAGATCACAAATATTAATCAGTTGACAAAGCTTGTCTATGTCTTGGCCGCTTTCTGATTTGTAGATCGTGAGAGCTTTGAGGTTTGAGAATTTATCCTAATGGTATCAGACATAGTATATTTGGGGGGAGCGGATAAAACTCACAGCATGGGTGATTCCTTGGAAATAATCGGAGCTGGTCATTAAAAGCCCACAGTAGTAGTCATCAATAGCCAAAAACTCAACCGTTCGAGGGAGGAGGAGGTCAGAAATGCGCGACCAGTCTTGACCCTCGATCTCGAACGGGATTGTGAGACTTGCAAGGCCCGCTCCTTGCGGTTGCAGGAGGAGCTCAGCAGATTGACGATGGCGCATCGCGCGACACTTCTCATTGCATATAAGCCTAATATCCGGGAGTGTTACTTCATCAACTGCAGGATTCTCTAAAGAAAGAAGAAGATGTTTCACAAAGGTCATGTTTCGTCTGAAGCGCTCTTGTGATGCTACAAACAGGCAATTAAGCGATCCAATGTCAGGCGTGCGGAACTGCATATCGTTCAGGGAGCCTTTGTAGAGCTTCTCCAAAGCTGCCACGCTCCACGTGCTGTTCACACAGGCACAACTCAAAAGATCTGGTACCAAGTGAACATTGTCCACCACCAGTCCAACAATTTCCGGGAGCACAAGTGGATTTAAACCTTGTCGATTATAAACGGCAGCCATCATGAATCGAGGAGAAAGGGATGAAGCAGCAGCGATGCCCCAAACATTGACTTCAGACGAGCAGTTATGATGTGGCACTCGTGATTTAGTAGATTGTTGGTTTTAAGGATGAACCAGAACTAACCGCTCTCTGGCAATGCGGCGCAAGGATTAACGCAGCATAGGCTTGCCGAGACTAGAGAAGATAGATTCTACAAAAAATTATTAGTCCATCGAGACCATCAGCGTGGATTTGTGGATGCGCGGCGGCCCCTCACCTCAATTTAGGGAGGGAATAACCGGATGTGCGACCCTACAGCGCCAAAAGTATGCGTAATATCTAGGGAGCGCGTGATCTTGCGCTGTTATCTTAATAGTACTACGGAACTTGGCATCCGTATATCAGCCTGGCGTCGGCAGATCATTATTCCAGCTAGGCTAGAGATGCTTTATTAATTACACTTGTATACAGCAGTTGTGGCTCGGAGAGCAAATTCATGGTATTGCATCGGGAGTAGGCTGCGGTGGGGTAGGAGGTTTTAGACAAGATATGCTATCGTCTTGTTTGCGAGATCGTTATGTTTGGTGACAGCGGACTCAACTCGTACCAAGCAGAGTCAAGCCATACTCAATATCTGCAATATTTTTACTTAACCAGGTACTTATAATGCAGTATTTCAACATATATGTTGCAGCGAGATATACACTAATTACCCTCCCACAAACAAAGATAGTGTCCTCCTCTTTTGTCAACTGCTTCCAAGTTTCCTGTTTCGCAGCAAAGCACTATGTAGTTTCCAATTTCAATGCGACGAGCTCCATCCTTCCATACAGCTGCGCCCTCATCATAAGGTTGAATACAAAAAACAAACTGCGCGGTTTCGATTTCGTAAGGATGCGTTACATCTACTTCAACTATTGAAGGACAAAGTAGTTTTTTCTAGTACTCTATTAGTGGCAAAACTAGAATAGATTGGAACTCCCTACACTCGTTACTTCTTGAATAACATTTACCAAGTATCGAACGTCCATATCATCGGAATCTATTTCGGAGGAACTCCCTAGTGAATAGTCGAAACGATCCTCCTTACATTTTGCCCATATATCACGAACTGTACCATCGATATTTGGAATGGGCCGAATATAGTTGAGTGCTGACATCATTGGGCGAACACCGAATGTATTGCAACTGTCAAAGGTACAACTTATAGGCTTTCATTCACCAGATTAAGACGACGGCAGTGAAACGAGAGACATGAGATATAGCATCATCTAATGGGCGAGTTCCTTTACCATATAAGAGAAGGAAATTGAACAACGCATACCTGCATATTCTGAGTCACGTGGCGCTGCTATTCCATGAGCCGGTGTTCTCTAATCACGTCACGATCGTAAATGTAGTCACTGCTTTAGCTACTTGTGGTCTTAATGTGGCACCTCTGCGCCCGTTAAAATGCATATCTAGAAGAGTACCCGGAAGAAGGATTCTAAATCATGCGTGAAAGGGTGCTTCTCATTGTCAGCACGCTGGTTGCCATGAATGCTCCTGTGCCTGTCTTGCCCCGTGCTCCTGATGACCCTTCTCGCTTGTCTCTAATTACAAGGTCAAGATCTATTAAGAAGGCTTACCACGAAGGGTTGCCATCTTCTTGGTTTATCATGAGAGCCTAGGGATATGTCGTATTGAAGCATTCAAAGCTCATCCCGTGATGCTGCCTCGACCACGGCTACAATCGTGACCTCGTCTCCTCGGTAGTCGAGAAGTGGCTCCATTACCTCTAAACACTCTAAGAATTCCCTGCTGCTGCTGTGACGCCTCGGTAGTCAAGAAGCAATTCCATCACCTCCTTGCTACTCCCATAATTCCCCGTAGCCGCCTTAACAACTTCCTCTGTTATCGTCACGCTGCCTCCTCCGTAGTCAAGAAGCAATTCCATCACCTCCTTAACACTCCCATAATTCCCTGCTGCTGCTATAACAATATCATCTGTAATTGTCACGTTATCTCCTTGGCAGTTAAGAAGCAATTCCATCACCCCCCTGCCACTCTAGGAGTTCCCTGCTGCAACTTTGACCATCTCTTCTGTAATTATCACGCTGCCTCCTCTGTTAAGAAGTAATTCCATTACCTCCTTGCTACTCCTAGAGTTTCCTGCTGCTGCTGCTGCTATAACTGCCTCGTCTATAATCGTGATCTCTCCTTCGCGTTTGAGAAGTAGTTCTATTATCTCCTTGCTACTCTCATAATTCCCTGCTGCTGCTGTAACAACCTTATCTGTAATCGTTACATTGTCTCCTTAGCGATCTAGAAGCGCTGCTATGACATTATAGTGAAATAACCTTGCAATAAGCTGAATCATTCTTTCTGTAATCTTACTGTTATCTCCTTGTTGATGAAGAAGTAGTTGCATCACCTCTTTGCCACTTCTATAATTCGCTGCTGCTACCTTAACTATTTCGTACGTTATTGTCACGTTAGCCCCTTAACGGTTTAGAAGCAGCTCTATCATCTCCTTGCCGCACTTAGAGTTTCCTGCTACCTTTAGGACTATCTCGTCTGTAATGATTATGTTGTCTCCTTAATGGTTAAGAAGTAGTTCTATAACCTTCTTACCACTCTAATAATTCCCTACTGCTGCCATTACTGCCTTGTCTATAATCGTGACCTCTCCTTAGCGTTTAAGAAGTAGTTCTATTATCTCCTTACCACTTAAGGAATTCCCTAATGCTGCTATAACAACCTCGTCTATAATCATCACATTGTCTCCTTAGCGATCTAGAAGCACTACTATGACATTATAGTGAAATGACCTTGTAATAAGCTAAACCATTCTTTCTATAATGAGCGGGATGAGATGATGCAATGATATCGTGTCAATTTCTAACAGTACCAGAGTGTGGCCGTTTTAGCTCACGTACCTTGTTCAGGTGCCTTGCTCTTATTTTCTGTGATCCACCCTTTATGAGCCATAAATCTAAGCTACGTAAACTGAGCCTTACAAAAGTGTAGAGGTTCTACATCAAACAACTAGAAGCTAGAGCGGGTGACTACATTGTGAAGTTCACATAGTTTGGAGATTTGGAACCAAATCTGCAAAACCAACGACATTCGAAGTTCTCATCCTCGTTCTTTGCCTTCTTGCTTATATACTTTAAAGCCTCGCCCTTCGTGTCTTACACATATTCCTCATCGTCTTCGCTCTTCCGTTTCCTGCTTACATCGCTTGAACGTGGTTCTTCAATACAGTGAGCATCCTGAAAATGAGCCTAGGAGTCTAAAGCGTTCATGAGTAGTACATGACATAAGGGATGTAGACATTCCTTTTTTACGTAAGTTTTAAGATGCTAGTTAATGTGATTGCGAAGAGTGGACTTTGTCATCCATTGCTACATCCTTTATAGTGGAGAAAGGCTTTCATTGTCTATGTAGAACGGACAGTAACCTATAATCATAAGTGTGCAGCGAAGAGAAAGGAGCCCACATCTTATTGCCAGATTTTCAAGATAACATCTGAATTTGAATGCTATTTGAATTGTATATTGTCTTGAGTAGTTCCTAGGGTCTTAAACTAAGGCGCAATAGGTGTCTAAGGTGTCTCTAGATTTAGAAGGGCTCCTACTTCTATAGCTTATAGGTTATAATAATTTTTTAAGGGTGTTCGTATAGGTCTATGCTTTTTCACGTACAAAGGGGCAATCGTTTACCGCAATGTAGGCATAGACCTATACAAATACTTTTAGCAATGTACTGTACTACATACATACTACAGAATTACGCCAGGCTCTTGCTAAGAGCCCCTTAATTTGGCAGTAAAAACAGTAGATCGTTACAATCATACAGGGGGGTAGTACATGTAGTGGGCGAGAGTCCAAACGCGCTAGCGCTAACGTCGCATTAACGGATATCACATCGTATTCGATCTTAGCTATCCAGTATCCATCGATGCCAAGGGTTTAAGGTTAAACGTTCACCACGTTGCCGCTATGTTTCCACCAATAACCTCATTTATATTCGCAGAGCCCAGGCTTAACGGACCACCAGCATATCTAGAGCATCTAATTTCTCAGCATATCTGGAGCATCTAATTTCTCCATCGCATCAGAGATCCGCTTGTATAGTGTTATTAATTTAGCATAGATACGAGGTGGTCCGTTGAGTGTAGACTCTGCGAATATAAATGACTTCAATCTGCCACCAGTTCCGTACAACTCGACAGCCAGCCATATTCTCCATCGTCTATCCAGGTCATTCAGCCATTATCCACTATGCAGCTCAAAATCGCCACCCTCACCACGGTCCTGGCCTCGCTCGCCGCCGCGCAGACGCTCAACATCCCCACCCGTGTTGGCAGCATCGTTTCGCTCTCTAAGCCCAGCGCCATCTCCGGCACCCAGGACATGGGCAACAGAGAGTTTGATCGCGGCCGCCCTTGCGATACCGATGCCGATACCGGCAGCGACAACGCTGTGTTCATCCTCGCTGATGGCGCGACACTTAGCAACGCCATCATTGGTACGAACCAGCTCGAGGGAGTCCACTGCAAGGGCGCCTGCAAGCTCATCAACGTCTGGTTCAGAGACGTGTGTGAAGGTATGTACTCCACGCGCCACCAATACCCATCTTGGCGATAAGAAACTGACCTCTTCAGACGCTATCTCCCTCCTTGGCAAAGGCGACGTTCTCATCCAGGGCGGCGGCGCGCAGAACGCAGGCGACAAGGTAATCCAGCACAACGGGCGCGGTACGGTCACGATCAAGGACTACACCGTCGTCAATGCCGGCAAGCTCTACCGCGGCTGCGGCAACTGCAGCAACAATGGCGGCCCGCGCAACGTCATCATCCAGAACATCAAGGCCAAGAGCGTCTCCGAGCTTGCGGGCATCAACTCCAACTACGGTGACGTCGCGACAATCTCAGGATCTTGCGGATCGAGCGTTAAGAAGACCTGCCAAGAGTACAAGGGAATTGAGAAGAATGGAGGCGTCGACCCAAAAAAGTTGACGACCACTGCCAACTGCAGAGGCGCCCAGGGCACGTCTACCCTTCCAAAGTGTTAATTGGCAGGGTGGGGACGACTTTGGCTAGAGTAAAAACGCTGCGTAAGCGCGGATGAGTGATAAACTGCGAATTGTAGATAGGCTATATTATCCAACGTGTAATTAATTTCTACACTCGCATTTGCGTGAGAACAAAGATGACAAGAAAGTTGACAAGTACTCGATTACGCACCTGTATTTGCGAGAGTCGAATAGAATAGAATATTCAACAAATAATCCTGCCCTCGCGGTTGTTGAGGCATCATCGTGAAGCATCAAAAACGCGAGGGCAGCGACGCTCACCCACTAGTCCAAATGGCACCATCCTGAGCATTAATCCACTTCAAGCTTGAGATCGGTGGATTAGTAGTTGAGTGGGTGACCACCATCGAATACCCACTGTTGTATGTTTTTGTTTTGCTATTTTTTGCCGTTTTGATATGTTAAATTCCCTAGTCGGCGCCGGTCTCCATTTCTCGTGAATCCATCAATTTAGCAGCGCGCCGGCCGCGAACCTATATGCACGCTGCCGAGCCATTACATTTAGGCGGAATACCGGGGTCGCAGATCAGCGGGGCGTTATTTGGTGATGTATGGTTAACGTCGCCGTCTGTGGCACACGAGATGCGGGGAAGCCAAGAGGGGGTATCCGTTAAGTGATGGCATATGAGCATATACCAGCGTACGATTATTATATGATTATGAAACTATTAGATCCATTAATTGGTGAGATTTACACCGCAGATTTCTCGGAGTTAATTGCTCCCCCATCCTCAACCTTCTCTGTCTCCCTCGCTTCCCGCTGCTCCCTGTTCCAGTAGTGGCAGAGCACAAATAGCATGGCGACCATGCAGATATCGAGAGCGATGGTCCAGTTATATCCAATGAGGTATCTTGGGGCGTCGGTGGTTTTCCACACACTACATTGTCAGAAAGAATTCTCGGTGGTTTCGGTGATGCTCGGTGATAAAATCAACTTGGAACTCACAGTAGTGGCAGCCATGCTCCGAATGCATTCCCAATAGTATTCATAGTCGCGATAACCAGCGCGCGCTCCTCCGCGTTACCCGCGCAAATCTCGTTTGCCCAAGCGTAGATAATGGACGCAATTGCATCCGCTGTTCCGGAGAGATAGAAGGCGAAGAACTTGAGGCCCACAGGGATATCCCAGATAGCCAGACAGATGCAGGCGAATATGTTGAGTGCAGCTGTTAGCCCAATCAGGCTAGCTTTGCAATCATATGCATCTGCGATGATGCCCCATATGATAGATGAAACAATGGTCACGGCTGGGCTTGCAGTGGTGAAAATGTTGATGTCTTCAATGCTGTAACCCTGCTGCTTCAGCCAGAGAGGTAACCCGCTGTTCGACACAACGCCGTCGGCCTGGGAGAAGAAAAATGCGAATATGACGAGGACCCAGAAATGCCACCCTTTGAAGATGACGTCCCGGACAATCTTTACAGTGATTTTCTGTCGGGCCTGGCGGTGCTCAGAGGCCATGCGGGCGCGTGCCAATTCTACGTCAGCTGCGGTCAGGAAACGGAAGTTCGGGGACTCGGGTGTGCCAGGCAGACAGACGAATCCTAGAGCTGCAATTGGGATTGTGCATGCGAAGCCTGTAGAATAGGTTAGAAAATGCTTGCCTTGCATAACCACGGTTGGAAACTTACAGATAATGTACAGCCATCTCCACCCCTCAATACCGTAGCGTCCATCCAGGTGGCTGTATGCACCGGCTTGGATATAGCTGGAGCTCATACTCCCCACCTGAGAGGCAATGAAGAAAAAGGCTCCGCGGCGAGACAACTCGGATCTCTTGTACCAGCATCCCATATACCACATCGCGGCTGGGAAGAAGAAACCACCCAAAACACCGACAAAGAAGCGGAAGGCATACAGCTGGTGAACATTGGTAACCTTGTACTGCACCAGGGTGAAAACACCCCAGAGCAAGTCTGCTGCAGGGAGGAAGTAGTTCACAGGCACCCTCGTCATCTGCAAGGGGTTAGTTTACAAGCGTGGGATTTATATTGGCGTCAACCGTGTCACATACCAGCATTGTCATGGGAATCTGCATAGCAATAAAGCCACACCTACACCGATGTCAGTAAACTTGTAATTAGGAAGGACTGCCACAGATCACTCACTGAAACACGGTGTTCAAGTAATTCAACTCGTTTCCAAACAGATTCAAGTCCTCCTTCATCCCGCTAACATAGGCCGTGCTCGTGGCGGATTGGTCCAGGACCTTGGCCCAATATGCCAAAAACAGAAATACGATAATTAAACCATCGAGCTTGAGGATCAGGCGCCGCTCTTCTGGGGTATCGTCCGCCGAGAAATACTGCCAGACCTTTTGCCTTGGCGCAGGAGGAGCGGGAGAGGCCGTCACAGGTTCCCCGTTTGGGTCTTCCGATAGCACTGAGGAGGTTGCTTGGCCATACTGTTGGTGAGAATGCGATGTAGGAGTAATATCCTCGATGGATATTTTCTTCTCTGGGCTAGACATTATGAGAAGTGTTACGCAGAAGCCGAGCTGTTGGGCAGGAGTGATGGAAAGGAGTATAAGTTTCCGTTTCCGTGGAACTGGGAATTTTGTCTCACATATAGCAATCGAGAACCCATTGCGTGCGCCAGCAAAAATCAATAAATAGCCGTCTTTTCCTTTGGCTTCAATTGCGTGATCTGACGATCTCCACGTTTATTTTTGGCGGGGTACTTTAGTGGACCCTCTCGGCCGTGAACCAAAGTTTGACAGGGGCATTATCACTTCACAACATTATAAAAGCATGAATATGATGGGATATACAAATCTTGGCACTTGAGATCACACCGCTATAATACGATAAGCTATATGCAGCAGATTTTATTCTTTCGTTAGGTCCACATATCGAGGTTCTCGACAATATGTTAATTGCTTCGTGGGGAATTGTTTTGAAGGGCGGGGCGGACTATAACTGTGGGCCATGGTGCCGACTTCGCAAATTCGGCAACTGGCTACGGTTCGGAATCCGGCTTCGTCCCATTGATGCAACAATTTCAAGAGTGGCGGCGGCCCGAAACTATATAGTAAATATATATATATATATTCAATAATACGGCTCCGTCGCGGAAAGAAGATCTCAACTTTCAACAGTGGCCACAGCGCACACGACAATAGTTTCAGATAACAGTAGTACCTCCATCGATCAAAGAACTAGCCCATCAATCGCAGAATTAGGCAATTAATCGAGTTTGTGCCTTTCTCCTGTATACAAAGGCGGCTTCGAGCGGCCATCATACATGTTGTACTTCAGCTTATAAATGTCAATATCGTCGATCGTTCTCACATTCAGCGGCCGTAAATCCACGCTCTGATCCTCAATATCGACAAAGACAAACGTGCCGCAATTGCTGCAAAACGTTTGCGCCGAGTCCTTTGAGAGGAAGTTATACTTTGAGGCAGCGCCTTCCGGGTCGTGAACTTGGAGCGCGGTGCGCGTCGGGTATATGTGGCGGTGGCTGTTCTGGGAATTGTAAGCCGAGCTCAAGGTCGTCTCTCATCGAAGTATGGTATTGTTGCCTTAGATAGAGGAGCAACGAGTATAGAAAACGAGTACTTACTTTGCCACACATACTGCAATTACATTGCATGACCTCCATGTCATAGAGGTCCTTCGACCTCAAAGCATACCTTATCTTCCCGCAGTGGCAGTTTCCATGATACGTGATCAAGTCGTCCTCGGTTTTCTCTTCGTCCTTTCCTTCGGGCTTCTTCCATTCAACTTGCTGGCCAAACTCGGGCGCATACGGCGTTCCTTTCTTCCAGCCATCCCAGGGCTTCCGCGGCAAAGGCTCCACATCTATATCGTCGAGAGATCTCGCCTGTGATTGCGTCAATACCGACATCGCCATGACCGCCAACGCGCTCGTGGGGAATTACATTGATCCCAATCTCCTCGGGGTCTTTTACGAAAACATTTGTCCCACAAACCCCACAGAACTGCCTCTCATTAGCAAAACAATTACCGGATGGTAGTGGCGAAGAGGGGAATCGCAAACCCGATACACCGCATTCTTGCGCTCAAATGAATACTTCTTCAACGCATCTATATCCCCTTTCTCCACTATAAACTCCTCGGGCCCATCGTCTCTGAACCAAATGTTTCCCAAAATCCCATTCTACACCAAACGCCGTCAGCAACATGTCAATAATCGTGCCACCTGCACAGGGATTGCGCAGGCAGACCTTGATGCAAATGCTACAGTTGCATGCCATTATATCCTTCAACTCTGGGATCCGGATTGCAAACTTGAAGGCTCCGCAATGACAGCCTCCATGATACGTCTTGAAATCTGCTGGGTCGACTTTCGCAGACATGATATCAAAGATCTTGTTGAAGTCTTGACTCGGCTGGGAGTATGTTTTACTGGAGAAATCTCTTCGGCGGAGAACTTTATATCTTTATTTCCTTTGTGATGCTTGAGTTCCGAAAATAATTGGTAAAAGGGGTCCAGATGGTTTATATACCGAGCGGGCAGTTTGGCGGGGTACAAGGTGGGGATACTATAGTTGTCATCCTAGCTCGGCCAAATCAGCGCTACGCATTGGACTTACAAGAACGGTTTAGAACGGTTTATATGAGGCAGGAGCAAACTGACTGACTCACGGCTTCCCCGAATATGCAAAGCACAAGCTTATCATGCATAGCTACGTTCCTATAATTACACCGCATGCCCAGAATATATCATAACAGGTCGCCCTTGGGTTAATACGTACCTACCCAATATTAATCGACTAACGGTTTATAGTTAGTGCACAACGACCCCGCAACTTCTACCTGATCTACTACTCTTTCAGATCTAATACTCTTTGTTTCATTAACACCTAAACATCAAACATCAACGCTCTGTTATCAGATGGCAACTCCAACTTGCATAATCTGTAATGTCCCTAACAATAAATTCTGCTCCTCATGCCATTTGATTTCATACTGCTCACTAGAATGTCAGAAACTTGATTGGCCTCTCCACAAGACAATCTGCAAGACCTTTCCAGCCTTGCCATCGCGACCATCACCTTCATACAAACTCGCAATCCTCTTTCCAGTCGATTGAAAAGATCCTCAGCTCATATGGATCGAGTGCGAACGACGACGTGATGAAGACGGAGTTGCATACGATATGCCAGATACCCAACCCCACCTGGGAATCGAGAACCTTGGCCCTAAATACCGAGATACTAGCGAGTTCAAGAATATAACGCGGAATGTTCTTCGGGGATATAGTCTTAGCAATACAGTTCAGGTTATTGCTCGAGAAACCTTTCAAATTGATGGCTCTACGCCTAGTGTTTGTGTTCGATATACTACTAAAGGGCAATGACACACGATTGGAGGGCCGATAGTGGTAATGCGTCAGCCGGGCACGGCTATTGACCCTTTGTTCTACGAGGATATAAAGGCTGGTGATCTTCGAGTTGCAGTCGATTATTTTCTTTCTTATGGAAGGGGTCCCTGATCTAGGTTGAAAATACTTCCTTAAAGTTAGGACATGGTTTGAACCGTGCTTGAATGTGGTCAAGGCGAGTAGGAACCACTCGATGTAGTTGTTATTCAGTAAAAGGTAGCGCAAAGTGATTTGAACAATATGTGACTCTGTCGTGAGCATCGCTCTATAGTTTTAGTCACATGTAATGAGTTGATGACGATTTCTAGTTTCGTTGCAAGGCACTCTCAATTTTCTTGGTTAGGTGGGTTCATCGCAATGTAGGGAGGGACGTTACACTATATTATAGATATATACTCGAACTTTCCTGCATTCCTGTGGTCTCATATTATTGGCTTCGAAGCCTTGAAAAGCAAAACACAACCCTCAACCCTTGATTCCACCTTTTCAAAGCTCCTCTCCAACGCCTCGACGAACAGTTTCTCCGTATCCCCCGAATTTCCAAAAATCCCTTTCTTATTATACAAACCCATCAGAGCACTCGCGAACCAGTTGAAGTGAACATCCCCACCCTGGCCTAGGATAGTTGCACCATACAGGGTGCCATCCGCAGTAAGGTACGTTTTCAGATTCTCAAAGATACGGGCTTTGGAAGAACAAGGTCCCGGAACACAGTGCAGCAAGTAAAACAGAGAGATCGAGTCGAACTTCTCTTTTCCCGTTGCATCATCTCCTATGCTTCCATTGCTCGACTTCAGGGGCAGGGTCTCGAATGCATCAGCCGCAACAGTTCGGGCCGGTGCGAGTGTGGGCTGCGCAGCTTTAATGCGTGCTGCCGCAGTAGATAAGCAGTTTGAGTTCAGATCAACAAGTGTGATCTGTTGAGTGTCGTATCTGTCTGCACTTGGGGTGGCAGCCTGGTCCAAAACGGCCTCCGCAAGGAAATATCCCGTTCCCACGCCGACATCTAGGTGATTTGACGAGAAGTTGGCCTTGAAAAAGGGGAGCAGGATGCTCGAGGTTGGACAGCGCCAGGCATAGCTGTTGCTAATGCCGAGGACCCAGATATCATAGATATTCAGCACCCAGGAATTGTAGATATAGGCGCCCAAGCCCCGCTTTTCCTTGGTATCATCGTCCAAACAGGGGGACGACGCTAGGGTGGTCTCGTGGGTCTCGTGTGAGGCAACCATGATGCTATTCAGCCGTAGGTTTTGTCGCCCTTTGCCTTTTGGGTTATAGAAAGGGAAGGGGAGGGTGAAGGGAAGGCATTGCTTAAATCCATAATGGCGACGACGAAATTCCTCACTTACCAAAGATGAGGCCCCATAATAAGCTGACACCCGGTGGATATTGTTCAGTCAGAAACCCCGTTCTGTCAGATTTCCGCTCCTAAATCCCAGACACTTGGACCACAAGGAGAAGTTTTGGGATTATGGGGTTGGCCATATTGACCCGGGGATCCACATTGTGGATATGGCCACTTTGTTGCCAATCGGTAACTGCCCATGGAAGTAGCTTAGGATTGTAGGGTGCCGTGGGATCACCAAAGGCCTACTCCACCTTGCTCACGAACAACATCATGGCGTGGATGGTGCGGCATGGCCGCGCCAGGCAAGCAACTATACAGGTGGAATACTGCGCAATTATACCTAGCAATGTAAGTAAGGCGCATTTTAGAGGGTTTAAATACCTCAATATTTCGAACCCTGCCTTGATGTGAAAAGGTAAAGTGAGCAGCAAGTCGCCCGTGGTGGTGATTGGCTTCGCCTCGAATCCTCCCATCGTCACAAACTACAGGGGTGACACAATCATCAGCTCAGCCTCAAACCAGGCGGCGCATAAGAACTTCACTCCCATCGTCGCGAAAGAAATAAACCTCATCTCAAACAAAATCAACGATGGGGAAAGTTACAGTGCACAACAGTGCCAACCTCACATCCGCCAAATGCCTGCGGGCGGGCTTCCTCTCCTCGGGCCCCAGCGAGGTCGTCGTCTTCGCCCTCTTTGTCAGCGTAATCGCGATCATACCGCTGACTATCTTCCTACGGGAGACCGCCAGACCCTCTCCGAAAAAGAAAGAGGCCCCAGTTGCCGCCGCGACAGAAACCACAGAGCCAGAGAGCGGTGAATCTGAGAATGCACCGCCACCATATGCACCGCCTGCCCCGTCCCCGCCGGCCACTGAACCAGAGTCGAATAAGGCGGCAGTCGACTTTCCGAACCCCAAAGACACGGCTCCTGCATTCGTGCGCGGAACGATCATCTTAGCTCTTCTGGTGTTGGCGCTCGTCACGATCGGCTTCGGCTTCCAATACCTGAACTACTGTCCCGAGGTAGACCCAGAGGCGCCGCTCGGCACTTGGAGTATTATCGGGTGGTGCTTCTTTGTGTTGCTCGTTTTGTTCGCGAGCTCGGCGCTAGTGTCATGGGGCTTGCTCTGCTGGTATGTTTGTGGCGGGAAGAAGCAAGATTTTATGCTTGATATTATGTCACTCAGTGTTTTTGTCGGGGTGGGCTTGCCATTCTATGCGCTCTACATGGGGGCGGTTGAGCTGGTACGGGGGTGCCAGAAGTGGTTTTGCGGGGTGACGTTTGAGGAGGAGGAGCAGGATGGTGTTGTTGAAGCGGTTGAGACTGATGTGGAAATGCAACGACTTATGAAAGGCGATAACGATGGTGATGACTATGACGAAGAAGTGGTGGTAGCGGGACGGAGTTGATTCTCCACAGCCGCATAAAGCTCTTAATTGCCAGCAATATATTCAAGTTAAAATTTTCTATATACGATACGTTGTTTATTCTATGTATACACCTGTATCTGCAGTCGTTTAATTACCCCCGAAATTCATCCTAAGCGCAATACTTGGCTCCTCCTTCCCGGTATCTACCTCGACCTTCCTGCCAGCCTTCTGCCCTGTTCGAAGGACCTCTTCCATAAACGCCCGCTGGCTGTCACTAAGCCCGGCAACCACGGCCTTGAAACCTCCTGGGTCTACAGCCGCGAGACCCAGCAACCTTGCGCCAGTCTCTTGGTAAAATTCGTCCCCCTCTCCTTCCGAGTTGGCCCTTGCTAGTAGCGTTGGGATGACCAACGACATCGCGATTCCCTTCTTATCGTCTGGGAGAGTAGCAACATATCCTGTGAGCGTTTGCGCGATCAAGGAACGAGCTTTCTCGGGGTCTTCGGTCTCTGTATTGGAGACGAAGGCGATGAGGTGCGGGAGGAGGTATCTTGCAATAGATTGATCTGCTACCGATTTTGGAGTCTGAAGTAGGAGCGTGCGAATGCAATTCGCTGCTACTTTAGCAGTCTGGTAAGGAGTTAGTAATTTATTTCATATATGTAGAGTGGGAAGAATTACCATGCGATCATTCAGGCAGTCCAAGGTTTCGTCCAAGAATTTGACGACCAAGGGGTCGCTGGCGGACAACGTGTTGATACCGCTCGTCATGAGAACAGTGCATGCCAATAGCGAGTTCTTCACACAAGGAAGAGCGTTATCAGACTCGCGCTTTTGGGCGTGCATGTATATTGACAAGAATCGTCTCAGGCAGCCTCTCAGTTGCTCTTGACTGGCTTCGTCAGACTTCATGGCATTTTCCTTGGAAATGCTGCTGATAAACCGTTTCAGGATTGGTAGCGATGTGGGAACAACAACGGTCTGGCAACTTGGTGTTCCGAGGACAGTTGCGAAGATGTGGATTATACAGGCGTGCAGATCTGTTTTGATGATGGACGGGAACACCTCGGCGGCATCCACAAGGGCATTCAATGAAAGGCGGATCAGCGACACGGCCTCTTCCGTGAGGTTAGCCGAACGGTTGGATTGCTGTTGTTCTGCCAGGTTTGGGAGTATTCCAGCAAGTACAAGGACTATGATGCGGGTCAACTCAAAGAGCTGCTCGATGTCTTCCGATAAATCGCTGCCATCTGGCGATGTTGCGTTCTTGGTTGCTGACGGATGCGAGACACACAGCCCTCGAGCGATTTCAATGATGACTTTTTGTACATCTAATCCTTCCGTGAGAACAAGGCGATCTAAAAGGTCCATTGTCTCCGAGAAGATGGCTTCTCTGTAAATTGCATGTCCAGACACACTCGGGTGCAGAATCCGTTTCAAAGCAACGAGAATTTCGAGCGATTGCTCTTTCGTTGCTAGAGCATCATTCCCTGGTTTGGCAACCAAGGCTTCAAATGCAATACCAAACAATACGAAAAAGAACGCCACTGGTTCATCACGATAGTTGATCTCGTTACCTTTACGCTTCACAGCTGACTTCTCATCGGTGGATGGTGCATCGACTTCTTTCCCGTCAAGAGCATCAAAAACAAATTCGCTGTCCTGTTCGATCAAGCTCGCAATTGCGTCGACAAGCTTCAGCCATGAGTCTTGGTAGAACTTCAGAAGCGTTTCTCGGTTTAGCGCGGAATAGATACTATCCAGGCTACCCGAAAGAGAAGGGGGACCCAAGCTCATGGAAATCTCGGGCTCAAAGCGAAGCCTAGCAAATTCTTTGAGCGAAGACAGCCACAGAGGAGTCAGTTTTGCGATATGTGGTTTCATAACGTCCACGAGGTATTTCTGCTCGATACTGGCAACTTGTAATCCGGCCCAGGCTGAGAACACAGCCATCTTTACCATAACATTCGCATTTGAGCTCAATCCCTTCAAGTCGCCAATTGAGGCGGTCTCGGCATCCGTGGAGAAATTTTCGAGCGCACTGACCAAAGTCTTTAAGATACGGCCCATTCGATCGACATCTGTGACAATCCCAGTCGCAATAAAAGCAGCGCAGACATTGACAGCTTCAGAGGCTAGTTCGGGCGAAGAGTCTGCGGCGAATGCGGGCGTAAGTGCGGAGCTGATCTGCGCTTGGTATTGTTCCAAGAGCGGCGCTTCAGGGAAATCGGGATCAGGAGTAATTCCGAACATTTTGAGAACCAAGTCAATGATCTTCATACCCCAAACTCGGAGTTCGAGGATACTAGATGTGGAAGCCGAAAATGCCATTCGAATGACATCAGCAACCTTCTTCTGTATGGCCATCTCAGAAGGCCCGGATCCATTTGAAGCAACATCCCGCATAACAATGACAAGGATTTCGCCAAGGCAGCTCATTGCAAATGTTCGAACCTGCCAACGGAGCTGTTCTTGACCCTGGCCAGCAACAGATGGGGCATCATGGCTTGCTGCACCGGCAGCGGCTGCAAAGCCGGCAACTTCTTCGTCTTGGAGGTCCAACCCACCTGACGCTTTTGCCGTACTCTCCGCGGCGCTGTCCTTTGTTGTCTTGGTCATGGCAAGGACAGACTGGCATCTCTGGACCCATTCAGCGGTATTGGAAATGCAGGATTGCTGCAGCCAATTTCGGATGATATTTCGGAGACCATCATGGGTTGGGGCAGCATCCAGTGCTAGCCACAGCTGGTCTTCGAAACCAGGCTCGGCGACTTTAATTACATCTTCGGAATTCCGCTTCATCAAATTGTGCAGTCCGTCAACTGCAATATCTCGTAGCTCAACAGCCTCCGAGTTCAAATCTTTCTGCAAGAGAACAACGTACTCTGCAAAGTTGACGTGGCCAGGGGCGTACAGAGACAAGTGCTCGAGGCAGCGTAAGCTCTCGCCTAGGATCAGAACGCTTTGCTCCTCTCTGAATTGATACACCAGAGTCAAGATCAGCTCTCTAGCTTTAACCATATCTTGCAAATCCGGGCCGAGAACGTTTATGAGAGAATCGACACATCTTGCGACAACAGCAGACGTAGGTAGCTCCAGCTCCAAGTTAGAGCTGATAAGGGATTGCTGGTCGTCATTATGCGCGTCGGAAATATAAAGCTGGCCGAGCATGCCAAGAGTGCCCTGGACATATCCAGAGAAGGTCAATCCTGCCGCATCTGCAACGCGAGACAGCGCTTCCAGAGACCAAAAGTGGACCGTCGGATGTGGATCGTTGCAAAGAGACATCAGAATTCCCAGAATAGTTTTCAAATGAAATCCAGCTGCCATTCCACCAACTTGAGAATGTATGCAACCAAGTGCCATCGCACAGCCAGCCCTCACAGTGGGTTCGCGGATAGCAACGATGGTATCGATGAGCCACTTGATTTCTTGATTAGTATAAGCATTTCCAGAGCTATTGCAGAGCCTTCCCAGTGCCTCATAGCCAATGCTGCGGACATATTGATCGGGTTGAGTAACGAAACCGCGAAGCATCTCCGAGAGAAGTTTCTCAACGGCAGGGTTTGACACATCCCCCGACGGAGACCTTGTCTCTTTGACGGCCACCTTGAGGGCTGATAATAATGCAGTGGCAACATTGACATTCATCGCCGCCTTGCGTCCAGGATCCCTCTGAAGCGAGCCGGCTGCTAAAAAGGTCGTCATCTGCTCCAGAATGCTCTCTTGAATCTTCGGAGGCGTAAGTGGGAAGGCAATTGCAAAGAGTTTAATGGCAACATTAACCACTTCGCAGGCCGGTGGATCAGGAAGGCTATCGTCATCCCCAACGCAATCAACAAACAGCGCCAGAGAATCGTGTTCTAAAGAACTGCAAATCGGTGATAAAAGCACCGAGCTAATTGCTGCTTCTGGGCTTTGATCAGTCGTCCATTCTCGTTGATCCTCCTTGACATGTTCCCCTGGCAACTGCTCAACCTTAAATCCTTTGACCATGCCAGTGACACCAAATCCACAATTATCGCCAATATCCCATATTGTTTCAAAAGTGCCTGCTGAGCTTGCGATGGATGTGCTGAGTGAGCTCGGGGTATAATTATCGGGGTCTGAAAAGAACGAGACGGCAAGAGTCAAAAGGTTGGATTGAAGGAGAGATTCGCTGCCTCCAGGGCTGAGATTAACAAGCTTCGTATAGCATTGCAGAACGCGTCGTTGAGTCATGAGATCGAGGTCGTGCAACTGCAAAGATGGGAATAGTCTTTGAGGCACGTCTTCAGTAGTTTTCTTCATAGGCAAACCCTTTAGGAAAGCACTTGTATTTTGAAGCATGGCGGCAATCCGTTTTGAGACGTCTGTCGTCAGGAGTTTTCCGTTAAATTGTAAGAACGCCAGGATAGAGCTCAGCGCACACTCTCTAACATGTGTCAAAAAGGAGGACTCCAAGTAGCTCCGCTGCGCAGTATTGTCTTTAGCCAGTGGTTTCGGCAGAGCGTTCTTCCAAAGCAGTAATAGTTGAGAGAGATGGATCTTCACAAAATTTGGTCCCAGGGACATAAGACCGCCTATCAAGATCCAGGCGACTTGAATTTGCGTTCCGGATACGCGAAGCTCCGATTTCCCACTCGACTTCAAGAGTCCTGTCGCCAGGGACAGAACCCTACTGTCCACATCCACCGAGCTATACAGGGGTTGCAAAGGCGATGTGCTTATGAGAGCTGATAGAGCGTTCGCATAGCCTACACATCGGCGAGGAGATTGCCTCCCAGTATTTGACGTTAATAGATTCATCTCCCTGTTGAGGCTGTTCATGCAAATCGTGAGGCATGGTAATAATTGTTGGGGGCATGCTAGAGCGAAAGTTCGCAGGCATTGCGAAGTGTAAAGCTGAACAGTGTAGCTCGGATGCTGAATAACTTGCAGAAGGCCATCGCGGCATGCATCACCAAATGCTGCTGCTGCGGACCCCAAAGTTTTAATAAATGATGTTATGGCGCTGAGAGCAGCAATGAGCGCATATTTTGTTGGCTCAGAACGCTCATTAATAACTTGCGGGTAGTTTTTGAGGACATCGTTGATCAACTTCTTGGCTGCGTCAATCTGGCCAGACTCGCCAAGTATTTCCTGTCCGATAATATTCTCAAGTACTACTTGCACAAATTTGCGTGTGATTAAGAGACGATATCTGTTGTTGATTATGTTTGGGTGGCTGAGAACATCTCCCATCAGATGGTCAGCGATTTTGATATAATTCGACTCGATTAATTTCTTAGGAAGGCTTCTTGCAATCTTTCCGTAGCAAACAGCCAGGCCCGCCCGTGTTCTATTGCTGGTTGAAGACCGAACATAGTGCGACGAAACTTGTCGGAGAAGGTCCAAGAGTGTAAATGACAGTATCTGTGACTTCTTGGGCGCTGGGCTTCCAGGCCGGGGTACTTCGTCGTCATCTTCGGCGAGGGTTGACGTTTGTCTCTTGGTATTGCTTCTCTTGAGTTTCTTTAACTGAGGCACTTCAGAGTCTTGCGCCGTTTCTGATACATAGCTTTCTCCAAGAGCAGACGCCAGACATGAAGCAGCAGCTTGGCGCACAAGAGGGGTTGATGAGTCGATGGTCTTGAAGATGGTTGATTTCAAACTTTCGTAATCGCTCGAGTAATCAAAGTATGCGGTATTGAGTAACAGTGATTCCAGGCACTTGCATGCGGCGATTTGCACAATATGGCCCTTATCCGCAGACGCATAGTTTCGTGCTTGCTTCCAAACGTCCCTGGCGATGCCCTCGTCCGCACTTCTGCCAACACAGTTGATTATCTTGGCAAGAGCTTTAAACGTGGAAGCCCGCAATCCCGCATTATTCTGTGCCGCCTTCAGGAGCTTTATCAGCGTCGTGCAAGCAAGTGGGTGTAGACCAATTGCGCTGTCCCCAGCCGCAGCAAATATCTCCCCTAAACAGTGCGATGCCGCATGTCTGATGCGCAAGTCGCCTTCTGCCTTACCCTTCCCGACGCTAATAGTGCTGATAAGTTCGTTGATCGTTTCGAATAGAAGTTTCCTATCTCCGAGCCCAAATATATGCGCAAAGCATCGTCCCAGGCTATTTCGAATTACGCGGGTAGGTGCTGGCGCTGGCAGGTTAAGTATCTGGAGGAGCTGTTTCTTGAGGTAGAATTGCTGAGAGGTGCAGCCGTCCGCGTCAAGGCTCTGAACATGCTTGGAAAGTGTCGATACAAAGGTCAGGAGGTATAGGTCTTGCTGTTCCGACGGTAGGGCCTGGAGTTTCGTTACGTCGAGTTCAGGAGTTGCTGAGGCTTCCACCGTCGTGGTAGGGGCAGAGCCATTTGTGGAGGGTGGGGGGGTGTCGCCCGACATTGGCATATAGGGCTGTGTGATATTAAATGATCACACCCCAAATCCAAGATCGTTATCCCTTCAAGAGTTTATTGTGCAGTTTGATTAATGAATGTCTGGTGTCCCGCTGCCCAAGCTCCCTGAACTGGCTGGCCTCGCGAGGCCACAGAGTGGGCTGGCGAATCACAGCCGAGATGCTCCACAGCCTTGTATCGTGGGCGCGGCTGTGTATTTGGCACGTCTTGGAATAATTTCAGCCTCACTGTAACCCCAGACTGGACATGGCTTCTCTATCGCCGCGAGGACTCCAACTCCTGGGGAAATCGCATAAATTCACAAACTATGTTTGCCCAAAATGCTCGTCGTTCTCTACATACCCGACCCTTCAGTCAGGACATAATAGATGGAGCAAAATCAAGCACGACAAAGCCGGTGTGGATGCGAAGAAGCATGTCTTGAGATCCATGCTTTCTCGCGACATTGCCCAGGCATCCAAATGTATGCAAACTGCTTCCTTGCCGTCTATAACTATGCCTAACTATCTTCTAGTATACGGAGCTGATCCTCGAACAAATCCGACGCTAGCAAATGTACTGGTCCAAGCAAAGAAAGGTATATAAAGGGGCAATGCGCCTCCTCGTCGTTTCGCCGCACGATGCTTACTATCTGTTAGCTGGCTTCCCTAAAGCTTCGCAAGAAGCAGCCATTGCCCGTGGGCAAGGCCAATCGGCTTCCGGCGCCTCCCTCGAGTCTCTAACGATAGAAGCGATCATGCCGCCATCAATCGCAATAGTCATTGATGTCGAAACAGACAATAAGGCCCGCGCGTTACAAGAGCTACGGCACGAAGTTAAGAGATACGGTGGAACTGTGACACCTACAAGCTATTTGTTTAAACGCCGAGGAAGAGTACAGTTTGAAAAGGACGAGAGAGGGCTCGGGGTGGATGAAGTTCTGGACGAAGCTATCGAAGCCGGCGCTGACGATGTGGAGGTAGACGATGATGGAAACCTCATTGTTTGGACTGAACCCAGCGGAACTATTGGAGCGGCGAGATCCTTAGCCGAAAGTTTCAAGCTGACGATAGAGAGCTCGGATATCCTATGGGACCCGAACGAGGATACTATGGTCCCACTTGATTCCGAGAGTGCCCTTTCTTCGCTGAAGAACCTGGTCAACGCACTCCAAGAAGACCAAAGTGTTCAAGGAATCTACGTTAACATATCCCAAGGCAAAGTAAGCGACGAAGCCTGGGCGGAATTGCAGGAGAAGATTCCGGTGTAGAGTTAGCGAGACAGGAGCGTCGTCGGACCTCAATCTGTTCCTATTACTGTATTATAGAGCCACTAACATCATTGTATAAATATATATTGTATTGTACGCAGGATACTCACCCATTACCAAAATGCTCATTTGCAGAATGCAAGCAAAGATGGTGGTTTATAAGGGTTTATCACGTAGCACACCTGGGAGAAAGGTCTGATAAAGTTTGATATTTGATACCATCGCTCGACTTCGCGGCTTTCAACTCGGCTACTCTGAAGATGGGTATTTGAGATTGGGTCGATTCACCCACTATCTCCCGTAATAAGTAGCTCGCTCCAGTGACATTTTTGGCGGTGGCCATCGTTCTTGGGGTCGTCGTTTCCATGATTAACGATTCCTACTGTCAACGTTGCCTTCATTCGTGGCCTACCATCGCTTGAACAGGCAGCCATGACGGAAGGTGCTCAAATGAGGCTCCCAGTTGTTTCCAATAAGGCATGCTTTCGCAACACTTCGTAGACATCGCTCAAATAACTTTTGCGAGGAGCTCAAGAAGATCGAACCAAGCTGACCTGTCTAAATCCACCTTGAGCAACCCAACGCCCACGAGAATCGTCCGAGCTTCCTCCGGCTCACGCTTCAACACCAAACTGGCAATTTGCGACGCTACCAAGTGCCCAAAGGTTTCTCTTGCTTCACCCCCTGCGCCGAGAAGGATTTTCGGGTTTATGTGAGGTGCGGGAAGGGAATCGTCGCCTCCAGCAGGTAGAGCTGTATCAAACGTTGTAGGTGAAGCAGACGAGAGAGGGACTTGGATCTATTTCGCATTAGTTGCAATGCCCATGCAAAGGGAATACATTCATGAGACAAACCCATTGTGATAAGCGCCCTCCTTGGGATATCGTAATCAAGATCTTGTCAGAGAAAGCGAGGCTTGAGATATCCGTCTCGGCCCCGCCAACCAGCCCCGCAGCGGTCTTTGAATGAGTTGGGAAAGGCGTTTCTTGAATCCCATCCAAAGAAATATCCTGGATCGCAGCCGCCAAAGTAGTCGATTCTGCCGCCATTGTAATTGCTCAATACCGAGTAGTAGAGCGTAAACACCACTGTTTACTACCAGACCTACTCCGCCAGGGTACATGTGTGCAGGTGAGGGCGGTGGCAGAATAGCTGTCGTTGGCGCTAAATATGGTGTGGTGGCATCTAGGCGGTGGCAGAAAATAATAATTGACTTTGCGATACTGATAACGGATTGGCATCTGCGACCAGGAATCCAACTTTCTTCAAGACGATCCTCGCCCCCACGGCCAAGATGAAGAAGTTCGTTCCCCGGCAGCGCAAGCATAAGGTTATTGCGCGGACTAAAGAGTCATCGAAAAACGATGGCGTCCCCGACAGCAATGCGGTCGAGATCATCCCCACCGCGAGGGCGGAATTGGACGAGAAGAAGCGGTTGCTCCGTGAAGAATTGAAGAAAGAGGGCTCGAAGATGAGCGGGAAGAAGGCGAAGCGCTTAGAAAAATATATCGATACGAAGTTAAAGAAGGATGAGAACAGGATCTTGATTCAGAACCTAGCGTTGAACAAGACTGATACGAGTCTGTATTCGAGCTCTAGTCGGATGGGACAAGGGAAGGAGTCAAAAAGGCAAAGAATGGGAAGGGCGCTGAGAGAGGCTGCGGCTGGTATAGATCTGGATGGGGAGAATAACGAGATTTTATTCGAAAAGCGGGCGCTGAAGGATGGCCCTATTGAGAGAGACAGCGATGAGGAGGACGACGACGAGATGTCGGGGGCTGCTACAACCGCTACTGGGGGCACAGCAAACGAAGCAAAACCTGCTCCATTTGCTGCTGCAGCTGGATCGGGACTGAAGCGGCCATTGGAGCTAGATGATTCAGGAAGACCAGTTATCCAGAAGCGGCAGAAAAGAGGTGGCGTCAACTCGAAGCTTTCCTTCAAGGCTGAACCAAAGGCCGCGCCTACAGCGACCGCTGAGCCCGCCTGGACTGGCTTTTCGGAATCCGAAGATAGCGAAGAGGATGGTGAGGATGATGAGGACATGGATTCAGACGTGAGTGACAGTGAGCTTGATTCGCCTGAAGTAGATGACGAGGCTTCGTCAGGAGATGGTGAAGCCACGTCTGATGGGGAAGATGGAAGTGAGGAGTCGGAAGACGAGAGCGAGTCGGAAGACAATACCAAGAACAAGAAGGAGAGATCTTCTGCCTTTAAGTCATGGGCAAACCAACAACGGAATGAAGCCATGGGGTTCGAACCTACAAATACAACGCAACTAGCCACTCTCACACCTAGACCCGAAAACTTTCAACCTCGCCCATTAGAGTCAGATCCTTTACCTGCCGAGCTTCAAACTGCGAATAGCATCGCCCGAAAAGCATTTGCAGTCTCATTCAACCGGTCGGCGGAAATCCAAGAAGCAAGGATGCAGCTTCCAGTTGTTGGAGAGGAGCAGAAGATTATGGAAGCCATCCATAACAACTCTACTGTCGTTGTCTTTGGTGCAACTGGTTCGGGAAAGACTACGCAGGTGCCGCAATTCTTATACGAAGCCGGCTATGGATCTCCCGATTCTCCCACCCCCGGCATGATCGGAGTTACGCAACCCAGGCGTGTTGCTGCTGTTAGTATGGCAAAGCGCGTGGGAGACGAATTGGGCGACCATGGCGACCGAGTAGGTTACCAAATCCGTTTTGAGGGCACGGTGAGCCCGAAGACGGCTATAAAGTTCATGACGGATGGTGTTCTTCTCAGAGAGGTTGCACTGGACATTGCACTACGAAAATATTCAGCTGTCGTTATTGATGAGGCTCACGAGCGCAGCGTCAATACGGATATCTTGATTGGAATGATGAGCCGAGTGGTAAGATTGCGAGACGAGATGGCACTCGAAGATCCTTCGATAAAGCCATTAAAGCTCATTATCATGTCTGCCACCTTGCGCATCACAGATTTTACGGAAAACAAGACACTCTTCACAACACCTCCCCCGGTTGTACAGGCTGAGGGCAGACAATTCACAGTCACGAACCATTTTGCACGCCAAACACGCCATGATTATGTCGAGGAGTTGTTCAAGAAGGTATCCAAAGCCCACAAGAAACTTCCGCCTGGAGGCTTCTTGGTGTTCTTAACTGGGCAAAATGAGATCACACATTTGAGCAAGAAGTTAAAGGAGGCCTTCAAAATTGGCACCATGGCTTCTGGCCCGCAAGTCCGTATTTCTGGACGAGACGCCCCTGCGGAAGCCGAAGACGTCGATTTCGGTGGTCTTATTGAGGAAGAACTTGATTCAGATGATGAATCTGTTGATTTCGAGGGTGACGACAACGACGATGCTGAGTTCGATGTTGGTGAGGCAGAGGAGGTCGGACCGGCGAAGATGCACGTCTTACCACTCTACTCCCTACTCCCTACCAAAGAACAACTGCGAGTTTTCGAACCACCGCCCGATGGATCGCGACTCGTCATCTTGGCAACTAACGTGGCCGAGACGTCTCTCACGATCCCAGGAATCAGATACGTCTTTGACTGCGGACGATCAAAGGAGCGCAAATACGACGAGAAGACAGGCGTGCAAAGTTTCGAGATCAGCTGGATCAGCAAAGCAAGTGCAAGTCAGCGTGCTGGTCGTGCTGGACGTACAGGACCCGGCCACTGTTACCGAATGTACTCCTCCGCAGTCTTCGAGCGCGATTTCAGCGAATTCGCCAAGCCAGAGATCCTCCGCATGCCAATCGAGGGAGTGGTATTACAGCTCAAAGCCATGAACCTCCAACACGTCGTCAACTTCCCGTTCCCCACCCCGCCCGACCGAGCAAGCCTCGCCGCATCCGAGCGGCTCCTGACCTACCTCTCAGCCATCTCTCCCACCGGCCAAATCACCAAAGTCGGCTCCACCATGTCCATCTTCCCTCTCTCCCCCCGCTTCGCCCGCATCCTCCTCATCGGACATCTCCACGACTGCCTCCCCTACACCATCGCCCTCGTCGCCGGCCTCTCCACTGCAGACATCTTCATCCCCGAGAACCAAGTCGTCCCTGCCCTCACCCCCAAAGACGAGAATGACGAGGACTCCCACTTCACCCAAGCCGACCGCCTCGAGGAAGACGCGCGCAACGCCATCCGCCGTAAATACAACGCGGTGCAGCACGCCTTCTGCTCCCTCGACGACCGCTCAGACGCTATCAAACTCCTCCAAGCCGTCGGTGAATTCGCCCACGAGCCTACCGAGGCCTGGTGTCGCGCGCACTACGTCCGTTACAAGGTGCTTAAGGAGATCCTGCAGCTGCGTCGCCAGATCACGGATTTACTGCGCACCAACATCCCAGCGTTCGCGGGACTGACGTTTGTTGATAAACTGCCGCCGCCTAGCGTGACGCAGATCAAGGCCCTGAAGCAAATGGTTGCTGCGGGTTTCATCGACCACGTCGCTATTCGTGCCGACCTGGCACCGATACCGCCTCCTGTAGGACGCAAACCGAGTCGTGCGATCGAGGTCCAATATCTCACCCTCTTCCCGTCCCACGTCCGTCGCGACGACGATGATAAAGCAGTGTACATCCACCCCTCCTCGCCACTCGCGCACCGATCCCCCAAGGAATGCCCAGAGTACATCGTCTACTCGCATCTCCAGCGCGCAGCCCCCTCAGCTGCCACACCGGATCGCGTGCCGAGGGCGAGGATGCATGCGTTGGTTGATGTTAGTGGTGGACAGCTGGCGGCGTTGGCGAAGGGGACGCCGTTGTTGCAGTATGGGAAGCCGATTAAGGAGGGGAGGCAGCTGGATAAGGCGGGGCTGGAGAAGGAGTGTTGGGTTGTGCCGTATTTGAGGGCGGAGGGGAAGAATGATATGGGTTGGCCGTTGCCGGCGAGGAAGGTGGTGCAGAAGAAGGTTCTGGGGAAGGGGTGGGTTATTCAGGGGTAGAGTTGGCTATTTGGATATGCGTGGTATTGGCATTGGATTGATGAGATGCCAGTGTCGGGAGTATTACATCTATAGCTGAAAGGCCTGGGCTACAAGCCTGGTAGAGTCTCAAAATAAATCACAACGATTTTAGTACACATTTGAATACCTCGTAACACCGAGAAGTAAAATACAGAAGAAGTCTGGCTACCTTAAGTCCCTCATCCCAATGTTCGTTCAACAGGACTCAGTACCCGACAGAATCGCTCGATGGCAGAGAGAGGTTTTTCCAATTCTGTCGTGCTGATGTACTTGCCCCAGTGAAGAATTTGATTACCTGAAGACCCTCAAGCCCTTGATCTTTAATTTTGGTCTCATCAATTCCGTCGTCTATATTGTTGCTGTCACCTTCTCATAACTGTCTGTCGTCTTCCCGTTGTCGCCGTCTTCTCGTTGTTGGCGTCTTCTCCCTGTCGCCGTCTTCTCCCTGTCGTCTCCTTAATGCTGTCGTCCCACGCAATACCTCAGACCACGACATCTGCAGCCCCGATGATTATATTATTATTAGGGGCTTGCATCTACTTTATTGGCCTAGACTGTCGAGGGCCCGGCCACATTTCACAACTGGTTTAATCGGAATCTGTGGAGGAAAAACGAGTATCGAGCAGGCTATTTAACTGTTTCCTTTTTTTCTCACGGCGATTATTGTGTAGATATAATTTCTTGGTAATTATAATGGACTGTGGTTATTTTGTTGTGGGCTGGTGTTAGGTTCGTTAATTTGAAATAGAAGAAATATTATCTCTTGATATTTTATAATTTTAATATTCCGACATGAGAAATGTTAAAAATGTAGACATTTAAATGAGACAAATGCGATTTGTAAACCAGTGATATTGGAATTTAAGTCCATATGCTACTTCAAACTACCTGAGCACCCAGTAATCACCAAGCATGAAGAGCTCTCTGCGTCTCAATCATCAAACGCCACTCACACATAAATTATCATAACTCCACCCTTTCCACCTCTCCCCGCTTACATCTTAACAATCTTCTCCATCGCCTCAAGAAGAATATCCGCATGCACCTTATCAAAGATCAACATCGGGCGCAACCTAACCGCGCTCTCTCCCGACCCCCCAATATTAACCCCCACCGTCTTCGCCTTCTTCAAGAACGCATCACGCTGCGGACTATCAAACGCAATGAACGTTCCTTGTCCCTTGCCCCTGAGATTCTTAAACTGCCCCGGATACTTCACCGCCAGCTTCTCGATACCCGCATACAAGTAATCGCCCGTCTTGGCGGTGTGCTCAACCAAGTTAAGACGCTTAACCTCATCAATGATGCCACGGAACAGGATCGCGCGCGCTGGGTCGCCCATCCAGGTGTTAAACTGGCGGTAAGGCTTGTTAGGGCGCAGAGCGGGGTTGCCGTAGTAGTAACCCGCTGTCTGTGCCTTCTTGGAGAACGTCACCATGTCAGGTGGTGTGGGGAGGTCCCAGTGCTCGTGGGCCCAGAACTTGCCCGTAGCGCCGATACCGGTCTGCACCTCGTCAACGATGAAGAGGACGTCGTGCTTAGCGGTCAGCTCGCGCAGGCCGCGGAAGAAGGCAGGGGAAGCGTGGTTATCGCCACCCTCGGATTGGATGGGCTCGACGATGACGGCAGCGGGTGGGTGGGGGAAGGTAGTGATGAGGCGCTCGACGTCAGCGAGTGCGTCAGCCTCAGCCTTTGCATTCTCGGTAGCGTGCTCCTCGAGCGGGTATTTGAGGAGAGGGAAGGTGGCTTGGGGCCAGTCGAAGGCGGGGATGTCGAGCTTGTGGATGGGCTTGGAGCGGGTGGTGGAGAGGGTGCCGAAGAGGCGGCCGTGGAAGGCGGATTTGAAGGAGAGGATGGAGAGGTTCGAGGCGCCGGGGAGGGAGTTGTTCATGCAGGAGGAGAGCTCCTCGGCGGTGAATTCGACGTCGGGGCCGCCGCGGCGCTGTTGGGCTTTGTACATGAATGCGGCTTTGAAGGCGCACTCGTTGGCGTCGGAGCCGGCGGTGGCGGTGAAGACTTGGTCGAGGCCTTTGGGTGCGACGCTGAGGATGCCGGTCTCGAGGATTTGAGCCCAGTCGTGGGAGGGGAAGTTGCCGAGTGCGGGGCGGTTGATGAGGGAGTTGATCATCTCGGGGGACTGGGCGGCTTTGGCGAGGGTTGGGTTGTTGTAACCGACTGGGATGGAGGCAATTTGAGCATAGCTATGAATGATTAGACTTCGACTGCTACTAAGATATATGAATAGAGACTTACACATCGAGGAGGACGTTTCCGTCTGGGTCAACGATGTAGTTGCCCTTGCTCTGTGTGTAGTCCGCCAGCATGTTGACGGCACGGGTATCAAAGACCTTGTCGAGCTCCTTGATAGCCTGCTGTGACTTTGGGCCCGGGATCTGAGTCTTAATCTCAGGTCCTGATGGCTCACCAGCGAATAGGGAGGCATAACCGCGGGTTTGCTGAGAGATGCCTGCCTGCAACGCTGTGCGAGCAGCCGGCTGGAGACGACCAGCAGCTCTGACTGATGCCATTTCGTCGGTATAAATTAAAAAGCTCAAGAGTAGAAGTAAACTATAAGCGTGATCAGTAAATTTCTTTCTTTGAAGCTTTAATTGACGTTGTTGATTGAACAAAATCCGTGGCGACCTCATCCAGTGCGGAGAACTTGGAGAAGAGTCCAAGGATGAGATGACGCACTGGCTCTCAGATGTGTTTGCAGGGACGTACTGTGTAGTTTCCGATCAACTCAATTGACCGTGATAATATATCTTCTTAAGCCCCTACTCTCGCAGTTATATAGAGTCAAATTCGAGTTCTTGAGAGTAGAAGAAGACGTGGCTATATAGTAATCGCGGAGAAGAAGTGGCCGTCGTCACCTCTTATACTTCCCCTCACAGGTAGGTACATGCGAGGGCGGTGAAGCGCAATGGAGCGGCTAGGAGAGGGGAAAGCGGGTTAGCAACCCTTGACCCCGCTCTATTCATGGCCATTTACACCAATTCAAGCCTTTTTCTGCCGTCCCGTGACTATCGATCGTCGACGCCAATACCATTTCAGGAAGTCCCAGCCGACGAGCTGTGAGGGGGGGACACGAAGGCGACGAAAACTGATTTGATAAGAGATACACTTTTATTTTCTGCTTTCTATGGATCTTTCTGTGGAAGGCGACGAGATATTTGCTCATTTTGGGGTATTTTGAGTAGAATTACAGCTTTATGAGGCTAAGCAATCGAAGAGATCTGTCAGCGGCAGTTATCCTCGTGGAGTTTGTCGTTTCTCGTTCTGCTGTTCTTATCGTCAGGGAAGTGGTGGCAATCCCCAAATATCCGGGTTATACTGCTGTTGAAGGGTTGATTGAGTGTCCTCCATGTCAAATATCTTCTTAAGAGATGAACTAATAATGAGCTTCTTATGTAGACATCTCATCCCGTATTTGGGAAATATATGTTATATATACACATTGCTTACATTGTTTACATGTTGTTGGTGCTCCGTCTCGGCAGCGGCCCGACAGATCGACGATGATGACTCGTCCCATTGCAACGGCAGATCCAAGAGGAGTTTTTTCAGACGATGTGCACTACGAACTAGTCGCGTCATTCCCAAGATCCCCAGCCTCTTGAATTCAATGACCAGAATGCCATCTCGAAGGCCGATAACTCCCGGTGGAGGCAATCCAATATCTCCATGTTTGTACGGGTTGGCCCTCTCCACATCCTGACCTACCTGACAAAGGTAAGCTTGGGAGTTGTTGTGGGGTAAACATTGGACTGTACCTTCCTGACTGAGCGTATACAGACTTTCATAGGTCAATTGGAAATCGGTTTGATCGGCGATCTGCTGTCTGAGACGCATTTAGCACCTCGTGACGTTTTCTTCTGTTGTGTTCCTGAGCAAAGTCATCTATCTCACTTCCATGCGTGAGAATCGTTCTTCGACCACGCCGCAATTGTATATCTGATCCAGAATGTCTCATCGAAGCTCGTCGTCATAGCCAAGAAATGCGGGGGAGGCAATGAATAGTGAGACTTTGACCGAAGCTTTGTTTATGATCGACAGGAACATAAACAAATCCGGCATTATCGATCAGGAACATAAACAAATCCGGCATTATCGATCAGGAACATAAACAAATCCGGCGTTATCGATAGTTCCTCCATAGCAACGAAATTGTCAACGATTGGATGCTCGAGCGAGTCGCACGCCGAGGTGTTGCGATCTTGCGATCGCCCGCCCCTCGCTCCCACTCATTTACCAAACTCTGCACCTGCTACCATTCCACACCCGACTTTATTGATTTCCTACCACACCGATGGATGCGCGACGCCGATGGTGAGCAAGAGTGTACACAAAGCCTCAATATACATATAACGTTGCCGGCTTTGCGCCTATTCTCCGCTATTCTACGGCTTCCAACTCTCTTGAAACTTTCGGAGATTCTCCGCACCCAACCTCCCCCTGCTCATTTCAAAATGCCCAGGCTTTCTCCAAACGAAACGTTCCTTGCATTTCAATTCAGCCCTAAGGCACGGAGGCACGTGGAATTGCTTCACTAACTTCACTAACCTCACTAAACATGCACATAAGAACACGCTAACAGGGAACTATAGTGAGGAGTGCCGTCCTTCACCCTGCGATCAGATGTAATTCCACCAACAGCGCCCCGTTTTTGGGGGCTGGATAACAGGTTCTCGGCATACTAAATCGCGAAAGTTTCGCGACCAGCTTCCTTGATCCCTTCCCTTAAGATATGCGGAATAGCCAATATTTGGTATGCCGTCGGACGATGTTTCGCTCAACGCTCAAGGTCTTGGCCAATCCCAGAGGAGGAGCTTTACCTGAACGGTCCAGTTAATCAACAAAGATGACACAATCTCCAGCTTCCAACGCGTCCTCCGTCAATATTGCAATATTCCCCTCGGAGAACGTATCTCCTGTCTACGCTCCTGTTTGACGATGAGTGCGCTCTGTCTTGGCCATGCCCATTGCCAATCGAGCGCATACTGGAGGGCAGCGATGTATTAAGATCAATCTCTTTCTCCCTCCCCTTTTCTCATCTGGGACATATCGGTTGCTACAGTTATTTGTCGCACAGTACCTACATGAAGTGCAGTTATGGAGTGCAGAGTGTACCTGACAGCCACGTTACGAACCAACGATTTTAACTGAACCTGTCTCTTATGCGTGTCGCGAAACTATTGGATCGGGGAGTCTGACGCGTCGATCTCTTCCATTGGCTTTCCCCAGACATCGCAATTTTACCTCAAAACTTGGCCGTGCTTTACCACAACCCTGCGTTAGCTGTTACTTGCAGCCGTGCCTGGATTCTGGTACGGCCCATTGGAAAGTCCGAGACACGTTCAAAGCGCGTTGTCCCACTCCCCCACCTATAGAAGTCTATCTTCTATCTCTGACACAGTCGCTGGTGGGATGGTAATATAGATGCATATCCAGTGTGAACTAATTCTCCTTCATCCTCCTTCATTTTCTTCACTTTCAATCGTTACTCCATCGACAATTATTTTCTTTTCCATACATACGAATAGTTCTGTTAGAATTATATTCAATCGCTAGCAAATATCGCTATCACTTTCTTTATCACTTCCTTGCATATACAATATATATCATATCACCCCACCCTTGATTCGACAATCTTGTCAACTCCTTGAAAGGCCAACGCTCTCTCTGGAACTTCGCGACCTAAGAATCTGCGATATCTTTACGGCAAATCGCATTAGCAAGAGAAAGATCAACTTCTTTTCCGTTTTCAACCACCCGGAGAATATTACCCTGAGTTATCGCGGCCTCGGCTTCAATACGACAAGGGTTACTTGACAAGGCCTCGTATTCCCATGTGCTATAGCATAACTGCACAAACCCGAAAAAGCTTACCAGCATTGCAAATCATTTCGACATTCAGCGCCGGATGAGGTTTCCTGGATTATATTGAAGATCTACGAGCGACTGGTCGCCGCTGCAAGAAGCCGTTGCATAACCACGGTTACTCGCATCGTCGTTTGTTCTCTCCGTTTGCAGCCCCTCCTTCTCTGCAGAAAAACGGACCGAACCCTGCCTCGTTGCACCTCGCACAATTGGATACCGACGTGCTACCAAGACCTGCGAACGCGTCTCTTGGAATACTATAGCTCTATCGACCCCGCAAGTTCTCACACGATAACATCCAAACACAATGGCGGTGCTGCGAAAGTTGGAGCCGTATGTCGGCGCATTGGCCGTTGCAACTCTGGCCGCGAACCTCGCATTGACTTTCGCATTTGCTATAAATCTCAGAAAGTTTGGGCATCCAGCTGGGGTACTGGCGTGTGCTTCAGCTGCCCTTGGTGGCCTCTCATTATGCGGCATTGTCTTTGTTGGACTCCGCCGGATATTTTATCAACAAAGTGGTGAGCCCTCGAAAGCCGCGAGTTGGCGACTTTGGAAATCAACATTGGAGGTTGCGATTATCCTAATCATTTGGAGCCTCTGCGCCATCGCGACATTCATCTGGATACTCTGCACCCAAAAGGATGGCTTGCCACTCAATACACTTGGCATGTCCACACAGACTCTTGTCATCATTGCTCTTATTTTATGGGCCGTTTCGGGCCTCGCGCACTCTCTATATATGATGAGCATCGCGAGTGTAGTTAGGAAAGAGCTGCACGCCGCTCAAGGAGCTGCTGCTGCTGAAGAAGGACAGGCGGCACCAGAGATGGCTGAGACGTCTAACCCAACAGTGGACGACTCTCAGCGCAGCAATGATAGCTCCACTTACGTTGGCTCTTTGGGATCAACTTCAACTGGCTCGATCCAGAAGCGCTCGAGCTCTGAGACTAGGAGTTCTATCCGATATTCGTTCACCAATGCGATCAGGCCGATGACCTCGACAACCCGTCTCATTGCCCACAGACAGAGCCATCGGTCTCCATCTATCGAATCTGCTGGAGAGCGCGATTTTATTGGTAGTTTCGATTCGTGGGACACTTCCGGCGTTGAAGGTCCCGCATGGGAGAGTACTCTCTCTTTCGGAATCATAAACTCTAGCCCGCTCAGCGCCATCCCCTCGCATCCCCGCATCCTCGAGACCATCCCTGCCTCACCGACAGTAAGCTCCCGTTCGCAAAGCCCTGGATACACGCTGGACTTCCCACCACCAAGCATCTATGCTCGCCACTCACGGAGCCAGTCGCCTGCGGCCAGCTTTAGAGAACTCTCCGGCAGCCACAGTCCAGTCGGGAGCGAAAAGCACATTCACCCTCTCTTCCGCTCAGACTCACCTACCCCGCCTCCATCGGCCACACCGACTAGCATCATAACCGCAGCTCCAAATGCGGGTGCGGTAATCTCTGAGATGGCCGTAGCTGTAGTGAGGCGGAAGCGAAGCAGCTCTCAGACGGGTCGTAGTCCGCTGATCCACACAACTAGCTTTGACAATATTGCGATGGAGGTGAAGAGGGAGATTGGCAAGATTACACAGGAGGTGAGGAGGGAGAGCATGTCACGGTCAGGCGAAGTGGATATGAGCGAGAAGAACTGGCCGGAATCATCACCTGCTGGTGACCGCGGCATGACTCCTCCGATACCTGAGTGGATTCTAGGTGCGGGGCAGCGCACATCCTTTCATGGATATTCGAAGAGGAAAAGCGAGAAGGGAGAAGTGATAGGCGGGGGATGAATGGGGAGTTTAATGGCTCGGAGCCTGCGGTCTTACTGACGACGTTTGTTTTCTTATGTCTGCATGTTTTGTATTTTTTTGAAGCGCGGGAAATACCACTGGTTTTCACGGAGTGTGGGTTGGGTGGGATGGGGTGATGGCTCAGGCGTTAATTTGGGAGGGGAGGCAATTTTACGAAAGGAAACAAACTAACTGAAATGTCTGTTATGATGGGATACTTTGGATATCTAAAGTCAGTTCTAAAGTCAGCTGAATTGAAAACAATTTAATAATTAAAATAATTAATAAATGGCCTTTATAAGTGAACTTCAACTGATGATTTCTGTGATTTCTATGATTTCTATGATTTCTGTAACCTTGATAAGGCTTTCGCTTTCATAAGCTCACTCACTCGCCCAGAACGTACTAGCGTCTTTTTAGAGTTCCAGAGTACGTCGTCGCCTTGCGACCTGGTGTTGGTGGGGAATTCAGCCTTGACGCTAGCCGACTTTCTACTTCGACAGCTCTGCTGTTTGTGGCCTTCAAGAAGAAACTCCACCAACTCTTTCGATCCAAAAACAACTCTTCTTCACCAAACCCCTCCAAATACAATCTATACACCACTTTTCGACATCTTTCTTTAAAAAGGGTCGAGTTTCGGGACCTAGTTTCCTTTTTTACTTCTACGAATCACCGCTTCAAGCAACAATAGCTGGTGCCCAGGCGCAACCAGAGAGTCAAGATGAAGCTCACTTTCAGGGTTTGTCGCCTCACGGATGGGAGAAGGTCGCTGTATATGTTGCTAACGTCGATTTTTCTACTGTAGGATCTGAAGCAACAGAAGTTTGTTATCGAGGCCGAGCCCACCGAACTGGTACGATACCCTCACTTTCACGATGGCTCGACCCCGCTCCGGGTGGCGCCTAGGGCGCTCCAGACCGATCATCGAGCTTGGTGCCGCGAATTGCTTGGGGGACATGACTGACGGTTTTTGTGCTAGATTTCGGATGTTAAGGCCAAGATTGAGAAGGAGAAGGGCTGGGAGGCTGCTCAGCAGAAGCTGATTTACTCTGGTATGCTTACAAAACATGGACACGCGCAGGAGCTTGGGATACGAGATCACGAAGCTACAACGGACGATTTGGATATAGCTGACAATTATCAGGCAAGATCTTGCAAGATGCGAACAGCGTGGAGTCCTACAAGATCGAGGAGAAGGGGTTCATCGTGTGCATGGTCTCAAAGGTACATTTTCGCCACCAACCGCCCCCAAACTGCCCAAACTCTAACTAATTCGTCCACAGCCCAAGCCAGCTCCAGCAGCAGCAGCAGCGCCCAAAGAACCCGCCACTCCAGCCCCAGCTGCCTCATCCGCGACCCCAGCGCCCCCTCCCGTCGTAGCCTCGAACACCGGCACAAACACCGGCATCCCCTCCACCCCCTCCCCCGCCGGCGCCGGCGTCTCCGCAACCAACGCCCCCGCCCCCGCACAACCGCAATTCAACGACCCCTCCGCCCTGACCATCGGCGCCCAGCGCGCCGAGGCCGTCGCAAACCTCGAGAGCATGGGCTTCGAGCGCGCTAGCATCGACGCCGCCATGCGCGCCGCCTTCTTCAACCCAGACCGCGCTGTCGAGTACCTCCTCAACGGCATCCCTGAAGACCTGCAGCGCGAGCAGCGCCCTGCTGCCCCGCAGGCCGCCGCCCCTGCCGCTGGGGCCGGTGACGCACAGTCGCCACCCCCCGCTCAACCCGCCGCCGGCGAGGGCGAGGGCATCAACCTTTTCGAGGCTGCTGCTCAGGCTGGTCGCGGAGGTGCCGGCGGCGGCGCCCGCGGTGCGAACCCCTTCGCTGCTGCTGCAGGTGCTGGAGCTGGTGCGGGAGCCGCGGGTGCACAGGCCGGACTCGGCAACTTGGATTGGCTGCGTAATAACCCGCAGTTCCAGCAGCTGAGGCAGGTGGTGCAGCAGCAGCCGCAGATGCTGGAGCCGATCTTGCAGTCGGTTGGCGCGGGGAACCCACAGCTCGCGCAGCTGATTGGACAGCACCCGGAGCAGTTCTTGCAGTTGCTTGGGGAGGAGGGAGAGGAGGGTGATGCGCTTGCGCCGCCGGGGGCAACGCAGATTAGCGTTACTCCGGAGGAGAGTGAGGCTATTGAGAGGGTGAGTTTTTATCTTTTTTTCCCATTGGGTTTTTAGGGGTGAGTGTTCTGGTGTGTGCTAACGAATAACCAGCTCTGCGGTCTCGGCTTCGAGCGCGACCTCGCCATCCAGGCCTACTTCGCATGCGACAAGAACGAGGAGCTGGCCGCGAACTTCCTGTTCGAGCAGCCCGATGAGGATGATGGACAGAACTAGAGCTCTGATCTCTGATCCGAACTGAGCGATCCAACCAATCAATCACCCGATCTACTTCCTTGCGCAAACAACGAGTTTTTTTTGAGGTTCAAGTGGCCTTGTAGGCTGTTTTTGCTTTTGGGAAGGGCCGCCTGGGGTTGGCTTGGCTGGCTAGGGATGGATGGCATTTTTTTTTAACTTTTTGTTGCTGCTGCCATGTTAGGCCCGCGGCGAGACGAGATGAGGGCGATATAATGAGCCACCGATTTGACGATTGATGGGAGCCTGGGCGTGGTGTTATGGTGTGAGAGGAGGGAGTGGGATGAAGGGATTTGTACCTAGTTTGCATATGCTGACTTGCGTCTCTGACGAGAAAAAAAAACTCTTTTTTTGCTGATGGGAGGGTGTTGTGGTATACAGACGGGTGAAAGGGGGGTTGGTGGGGTGGGGTGATGAGGGGGAGGGGGTGGGATACCAAATAAATGCTATGAAATTCTGAATGGGTTCTTTATGCTTTGCTTGTGTGTTTAGGACGATTATTCTCACCTGGTTCACGCATAATCTCCCATAGAGACCGTATAGCTCGAATCCCATAACTGATCTACTGTCAGATCATTCCCTCTTCTCTATCCATCTCTCATCCTATCTCATCCCGAGATCTTCTTTCATAGAATGCCCTGGCCCCTCGTGCTTTGGCCCCCGTAGTGATGGCACGGGAGTGGCGGACGTGATAATTCAAGAACGTTGATAGTACGGGATGGAGGTGGAAATTCGAGAACGATGGTATGATTATAGGGATAGTAATAACCTACCTGTTGTAGGCTTTGGATCTCCATTTAGGGGTGTGTCCATTTCATACTAGATATATATTGCGTTTAACCTGGATTTTACTGTGATATATGTAGTGCTGGCTACGTGACATATATGTATGAGTATCCCAACCCCCTCCCCCTCCCCTCCAGTCGGGCATCCTCCTTTCACCCTCTGCATACCACAATCCCTACCATCAGCAAAATAATGTGGCCCATCGGGTCCTCTGCGGCTCAGGTAACACCCTTGAACACCAAGCCGATAGTCCACCTTCAAACTCAAAATCGGCAGTCTCCCACTCCTCTGCGAGCCTGTCCTTCCATTCCTCTATCCAAATTTCTTTCCTTTCCCCGGTAGTGGACACGAAGGGCACCATACCTTTGGGGAAGACATCATCGAACCGAAGGAATGGGCCGGTGTAGTAAAACTCATGCTGGGGATCGCAGACGCCCACCATAATTTTATCTGACGTAGATGGAGCTGCATCATCTGGATTCGCGAGAGCCGGCGGGCGAAACATGAGATAGCATCGTCGACATAGTCCCTTGTTGGCACAGGAGCGACAAAAGTACCACCAGTGGACCGTCTTAATCTGGCGCCTGCAACTTGAGCACTCGATCATAGGGTCAGTGCACAACCATTCACCCACACTAGATACATCATCCAGGCCTGTATCCACACCGGCATCTGCATCTCTAGTTGTAGTATTGTCGAGTTGTACCCGATCCAGCGATTCAGAAAGATCACCCTGCGTATCGTTGTGTAGCACCTTAAGGCCGAACTCCCCTTTGTCAAAAGCCCTCACTATTCGCTGGTCGTCTAGCTTGATCATATAAAGGGCCGCGTCTAGGTCTGCGTCGCTACCTCTAATGGCGAGGAATGTCTTGAAGAGGCTCAGAAAGGCCGCTTTGTCGTTCCACGGATCGTCGTCTGATAATAAGGATACGCACTGTCTTACTCGCCCGCGGAGAGCATTCCGAGCATTTATCATATCCCCGTGATCGCGAAGCCAGCTCGAAATAACCACACATACATCGCTGTATTCAGCGTCTTTATCCAGTGCTAACGGGGAGCGCTCGGCGAAGGGAATATCTTTGTCACTTAGACACAAGGACGCCAAGTCGCAGATTGATCGATTTTGAGCAGGCTTAATGTCCCACTCACCAGATGGCTCAGAGAGGGCTGCAACCTCGTACCATCCCTGGATACCTTGGCTAACCTGCCCTTTCTCAAACAAAAGTGTGGCTAGAAAATATCTGAGCTCCGCAAGGTTATTCGCTTCCCAAGTCAAAGGTTCAGTTTTCCCGAAAAACCCATGGCTATCAATGGCATTCCTCTCCGAAGTTTCGGTGTCAATCTTTCCTATAACCTCCGATATGATATCAACATAACACTGATCGTCTCGAGTTACGGCATGGTGAAGGACCCTGTACATTGTACGGGGTATTAAACTAAACCATTCCAGGACAAACGCCTTGGAATTATTACCAGGAAAAACCTGGAGGTGAGTGAAAGCAAAATCCAAGACAGACCGAATACGATGTGGCTGGTAAAGCTCTAAGAAGATGGTGAAGAACGATGTTAGCTGGGGATAAAACCACTTGTCAGTGTATTGCTGCAATACATGTTCCCATGCTTTGTCTGCATCCGCCAGTGCATCGTCTGCCAGCTTCGCATGATGTTTCATTTGCGCCGCGTTCAGTAAACTGGCGATATATTCGGCACTCTTGAGTTTATTGTCCCCTAAAAAGTCCTTACGTAGAGACTCTGATAGCTCAAAATGTAATAATGCCTTCTTGTGTCTTCCGAGCTTCATAAGTGTACGATAAATGTCTCTGTGAATAACAAACAGAGACAGCGCACTAAGGTTGGGGGATTTCTCGTGTTCGTGGAGAAAGATTTGGAACTGATCGAGGGCGTCTTCGTACCACAAACCTAAGCTTAGAGCCTGTGCAACTCGCGCATGCCACATAGGCGTTTTCTGAATATCTTGAAGCTCTGCGATACGCAAAACTATCTCAGAACTGTCGTAACTTGATTCGTTTGACATTGAGACATCCGCATCGAGCGCAGCATCTCCTGTTTCCAATGTATTATATGTTATTAACATATAAGGAAGAACTTCAGGGCTTCCATCGTCCTCATTGATATGCTCTGGGTCTAGCCATAGTCGGGACCAAAACACGGCCATGTGAGAGAATAGCACCGTAAAGGGACCTGCATCGCTTGCTGAGTTTTTCAAGAACATCTGTAACGTTTCTGGAAGAAGCCAGTCTAGAACTAGCTGCGACTTTTTGTTTGCAGCGCTTCGAGTGTCATTATCCATCCAATAGCGACCAAGCTTTGATATTTTAGCCGACGGAGAGGAGGAATACTCATTTGCAAATCGACGAGACCTTTTCTTAATAATCCACATCATGTTTTCTTCGTGGGTGAAGAGATCCGCAAAAAGGTCGGAAATTTCACCTCTTAGCTTTCCTGGCTCTTGGAAATCTGCACACATGAGATGCGAGGGCAGGAAATCTGTAGCATAGTGCCAAATATCTTGTATCGATCTATCCAAAGTGGGCGAGTCGTATTCCTTAACGGCAAGGAGACAAACGTATACGAATCTCGCTTCGCCTTGATGGGTGTTGACATTAATAGGCCCGCCATTTTCAGATGCCTTGAAATATTCATAGAATGAACCATGTCGGAGTGTCACAACATCACTTTTGTCGCGGGTATCTTTGTTTTCGTTGGGCCTCGTCGAGAACAGGGAAGAGTATATAGTGCGGATATCATCTTCGAGATTTAACACCTCTTCCTTCAGGATAATTTCTAGCATAATATCCAGTTGCCATACAGTCAGCGGTTTTACCGCTAGTGTGACAAACGAAAGTAGGATATTAAACTGCTCAATCTGTGCTGCCGTCGTCTCGCCTGCGGACCCTTCATCGTCGTCAGACATATCCGATATAGACAGTTCTTTACTTAGGCGCTGCAGCTCTTGACGCAGCATTGCGCTGATTCCTCGCGGCATGGCCTTGACTGCCTTCCGAATCTGCTCTTTTGTCCGACAGCGCAGAACAGATTTGATAACTAAATTGGCCCATTCCCAGAGGCCTTCTGCCTCTCGACTGATTTCACTAATAATCTCGTCTTGAAAATCTGGGGATCCGCGAAATAGCTGAGTTTTTCGTAATTTCTCAGAAACATAGTGGTGAAGGTCGTCCTTGTTTTGCTCATTCCCCACTTCAATCTCTGGAATCCAGCTCAATGAGTGCTCATCAATCATGGGACGCACTGAGTCCCTGCTGAGAAGTACAACACGTAGCGGTGGTCGTTGGGTCACATCATCATCCTCAAATGTCCTTTCTAGTAGACTAAAAAGTATTTCTTGCTGCTCCGGCTCAACCTCATCGATCCCATCAATCACAAAACAGGCTGTGGTGTCTAATGGATCCGTCGCGAAGTATTCGACTAAAAGCTTCCTCCAGACGATGTAGCTATTTTCCGGGTCCTCTTTAAGGGAAAATTCTTCAGCGTGAGTCGCAAAGCTAGGTCGCTGCGTTGCTATTTGCCATGCAAGGGTTCGTAGAGCCTTGTTTACTGAGCGCAGATCAACATCGTTGTTCTTGCAGAAGAAAGAGGCGACCATGGGCGGAGTGATGGTAGGCGACTCCGCCTTCGAAAGATCGGTGATAATCTTAGATGCCAGATGGGACTTGCCTACCCCGGGACCGCCATGGAGCCAGAGGAGAGGCTGTGATCCTTGCCACCAGGTTCGGATCCGATCCTCAATCCAACTACCTGACCCGGGTATCCGATTTTCGTTAGTGGAAGAGAAGACTTGACCAGAAGCTGAGACAGGATTCAATGATGCTTTCACTCGCTCTAGTTTTTCACGATCACTCTTGCGGCCATCTCTCTGGAGCAGTTCCTCGGTGTTTCGGAGAGCCTGGTGAGTGAGATTAAGACCCTGAGCAGACACCATCAAATGTTCCTGGCTCGTCAGCTCCTCTAGCTCACTCAGCAGAGAGATAATTGTTGTATCCTCAACAATAATGTTCTTTGCCCACTTTGAAAGTCTAGTTCTGAGTGAACCACGGCTCAGACATTTTTGCGATGCCCCGCAGACCCGAAGAAAATGCACCAATACATTCACAATAATTGCCTTCATCCCCTCACTGAGGGGAACGCCCTTGTAGCAGTCTAGACGCAGAGCGAAATTGCCTAGTTTGCGAAACAAATCAGTAATTCCGTCAAACGCCTCGCTGACCTTGCGTGCTCCCCGGACTAGTAGCAACATTGCTCCCATGATGGAAGACGCAGGCGGAAAGGCTGCAGATGCAATATTGGCGATTAGATCACCCCAGGCCTCAAAGGGTGCTAAGATCATTTGCATAGCATGAAGAAGTGGTCGTCTCTTCATTCGAAAATCTTCAAAATTGTCCTTCTCAGATTCTAATTGGCGAGATAGATCTTCAGGTCCGTGGATTTTTGGGAACTGATCATCCGTGATATTGATTCCCGTCTCCTTGGCATAGTCGCTGCAGGCACTATGCCAGAGTGAGGAGAGCTTGTCATCTGAATGGCCACTTGCTGTAACGGCCATGGTATTTACTCACGAGACATGCAGCCACTTCTAGGAGAAAAGAAGCAAAATAATGGAATAATGCACATATAATAAATATATGTCGAAGAGGGGTGACCCCTCGAATTCTCAATCCTACGCGGCTCAGCCACGTCGAATTCTTACCTTGTTAGGAATAGCGGGATGCACCTTTCATGCAAAGGGTAAGCTGTTGGCCTGAAATCGTTATATACCTTGCGGAGTACAAGCATCTCATTTCTTTTTGAGCATACGAAGCCAGCGAGTAGCTTCTTTTCAGAGCTTCTAAGTTCCAGCTGAAAAGGAGGCTTCGGCATCTTAAATGTCACTGATATCACTGGTAGCGGCGGCAGGCTAGTGTGGTGGGTGATCGGCATCGTCCCATCCCGCCCGCAATTAGGCGGGTGGCGATCCTTGGATGGCGAACGCCTCAGGCTATAAACCGAGAACTGCGAAGGCATATTCCCGAAGCCACGAATCATCATCCAAAACGTTCATATAAAAAAATAAGGCACATAATTTAGACTGCATTAAACTGCTAGCTACATATATTGGATAACTGGTTCACTATAGTTGCTCACGAGAGAACTTATTTGAAAAGATCCTTGTGATCAGCCTTAATCATGTCGGCGGCCTTCTCACCAATCATGTAGACTGAGTTCTGGATGCGACAGTCAGGGATGATGGGGATGATAGACGCATCGGCGACGCGAAGATTCTTGATGCCGTGGACCTTGAGCTTGGCGTCGACTGCGCCCTAGTTAATGTCCTTGGAGAGACGGACAGTGCCGCAGGGGTGGAACGCAGTCTGGCAGCGGTCAAGTACAGCTCTCTTCATCTCATCATCTGAGCCGAGAGGCATGGCCCAGGGATATTCATCGACAACGAGGTCCTTGAAGCCGTCCCCCTTAGTAAGGATATCATAGCAAAACCTAATGCCCTCCCGCATGGCAATGATGTCAAGGTCATCGGCGAAGAAGTTTAGGTTGATGCTAGGCTGGACGAGAGGGTCGGCACTATTGAGCTTCACCTCACCAGGCTCGGATATAGGGCGGACCAGGTCAACGACAACGGTAACGTGGTCTCCTTTCGGTGGGGTAGGGAAGTGCCACTAGAATGCACTGCCGAACATGTAGACAAAATCCAGTTCGAAGTGAGGCTGTCCCAACGGGGAGAAAGGATCTTTTCCGCCATTGGCAGCCTTAGCCTTCTTGTAGGCGGGATCCTTCTCTATATACTTGTCGATACGGGAGAAGCCCACTAGCTCTAAAAGACCTGAGCCAACAGGGCCCGAATGGTCTTTCTTATACGCGGAAACAACAGCCTCATTCTTAGGGGTTTTGCGCAAGAGGATGTCGTCCATACTAAAGCCATCCCTAACGCGCAAGACGAACGGGACGCCGGGATGGTCACTTAAGTGCTGACCGACGTGACGAGAGTCCACAATCACGTCAATGCCGTGTTGAGCTAACTCACGGGCAGGGCCAATGCCGCTAAGCATCAGGGGCTTTGGGCTCTTAAAGACACCCTGTGAGAGGATGACTTCGCGAGAGGCGTAGAAATTGAGCTCCTTCCCAGAGGCGGCAATGACTGTCACACCCTTGCAAGTGCGATCAACGTCATCGATGATTAGGCGCTTAGATAGAACCTCAGGCAAAACAGTAATGTTGCGCTTGTTTTTCAAGAAAAGGTAGCTGCCAGAGCGCACCCCCTTATAGATTGTATCGGCACAGCGGGTGAGGCCATTCATCTCGCCATCGTAGACATTTGAAGTCTGAGGCTCTCCCCTAGACTTCCAGGCCTTTGTGACAGCTTCTCGAAATGGGTTCATATCGTCGATGAGCTCGGCGTGGGAAATGTGAATGGACCCATCGGTGCCAATCTTCTTCAAGTCGGGCGAGTAAAGCTTAAGGTCATCGTGGTATGTAACGCTCTTTTCGGAGGTATGGAACGAGGGGGTCCCAGGTCCACTCCTTCCCACCGTACTCCTCCCACAAATCAAAGGTCGACTTGCAACCAGGCGCCCATGTGAAGTAGTTTAGGGAGGAGCTGCCACCGAGGACTTTGCCACGGGTGTTAGGTTTGTCGATGCGCTCATAGTCGTCACGCTTAACAAATGTGGTCTTGTAGGCCTAGTCGTGCTTGCTGTTGCGGAGGTCCATTGCGTTAGATGGAACGGTGATCAAATCAACCTCGTCTGGGTTGCCGACACCTGCCTCGACGACTAGGGTGGTAACACTGGGGTTTTTAGCGAGACGGCTAGCTGCAGTGTTACCTGCAGTGCCACCGCCAACAACAATAAAGTCAAAGTGAGCTCCGTCGGTAGCCGCCATGATTGATCAAAGAGTATGCTGTAGAATAGTGTGAAGTGGATGATAACTAACGGTAATTCGAAGTCTGGAGGTGGAATATATTACCTCTTATATGTCTATACTCTCATAATTCTACAGAGGTGGCACTTCAATACGTAGTTGCCGGGCTAAGGACTCCATCCGTTACATCGGAGCTCGATATAAAATCTCTCGCACCATCTAATTAGATAGCTCGCTCAAGGACAGAATATGTCGACGTAATCGTCTCCACCATTGAGTAGATGCTAGGGTCGTCATTAAGAACCACAGACTTAAAATCGCCAATTTAAAAGCGGATTGCCGTTGGTTTAAGCTATGATGGCGGTTGTGTAGACCTTTCGGCCAGGACTCGGGTTTGAGGTGGCCCGCTTGGACAAGTGCAGCATGGGTTAAAAGCATGAACCTAAACCACAGTCTAGACCGACCTATGGGTTGGTCGGGGTCGGCTTTCTAAAGGAAGGGTTGCTTAGTAAACGGATTATCAGGAGTTAGAATCGTTATGTGAAAATAGCCCCAACTGTGATAATCATAAAGTAGCCATTTATGATTCCTCAGAATACGGGTCTTAACAAGTTACTCGGCTTCTCCACAATGACCAGTATTCGGACGTTAGCTCTCACAATGCATCGCAGTCGCACGATCGTGACAGAGGCTCCTGGAAAACCCGTGACAGCGGAACGGAGGCTGGAACCTTATTTTCATACTAGCGGCAAAGTTAACCGCTTCTCTAAAATAATTCCCGGAGCTCCGAAGCTAAGGAACGGAGGAGCGGGACTTCTAGACAAACATATGTTCTGTGTTCCCGTAGGCTCTACTAAAATATCTCGCCATCTGCTCCCCAGCTTCTAGACGAACATAGGTTCCATGTTCTCATACTGTTGTCCTAAAATCCCGATACTCCGCTCCTTAACTTCGGAGCTCCGGAACTCTCTAACTGATATATATTCTCATATTACATTACAAAAACAAATGAGCCTTTAGACACGCAATTATGACGCAGCAATGCAAGAACTGCTTTCTACGGTCATACATTGTACATAATCCCATAGCTTAGCACGTCCCCATACCCTACGGGAGGTCTCAGGGACGCGGGTTTCACCCGCGTTCCGCTGGACGCAAATAAATATCATCATCATCATTATGACGTAAGTTTACATCTTGTTCCTAATTTTGATTTCGTCACACATGGATCAGAAAACTAGGTTCTACCTACTATGGGATCGTATGGCATGGGCCTGTCTAACATAACATAAAAGGGCTTTACAAAATCTTCAGCCGCCCCGAATATCTACTGCGGATTCCTGCAGCTCTCCTATTACGTGTTTGCTATCGCGCTGCGGCAATATGTCAGACAAAAAAACACCAACTTATACTCTCGCAGAAGGTTAGTAAGAAGTCGTAAATACTAGGTAGGAAGCACGGCTAACAGGTATAGGGTGTCCTATTGCATCGTCAAGCACTGCTCAGACGTTTCGATCTAAGAACACGCCTGCCTCCTCTGCTAAATCCCTCGTCCTGTTACAAGATACACAGCTCATTGAGACCCTCGCCCACTTTTCCCGCGAGAGGATTCCAGAGCGTGTTGTTCACGCCCTCGCCGTCGGGGCTTGGGGCGAATTCGAGGTTACCAAGGATATATCGTCCCTCACTAACGCCAAGTTCTTGAATGGAGTTGGCAAGAAGAGCAAGGTGCTTCTCCGAGTCAGTGCAGTGGCACCCCAAGCTGGTGGTGCTGAAACGCAGAGGGATGTTAGGGGGTGGGCCATGAAGATATTTACAGAAGAAGGTAACCAAGACTTCGTCTTCAACAGTATTGTAAGCATCTCATCTTCGTACGTTAGATAAGGACTAATTTCTACCAGCCTGTCTTCTTCATCCGCGATCCAATTAAATTCCCTAGTGTAAACCGATCCCACAAGAAGAATCCAGCGACCAATGCTAGTGACAATACAATGGTGAGCAGACCACCCCCTTTTGAACTCATACACTAACCAAGTATAGTTCTGGGAGTGAGTTTAATTATACGCAGCCTGTGGCAGAAACATATTTCTAACAGACAGCCAGTTATCACAACAATAACCAAGAAGGCACTCACGCCATCATGATCCTTTTCAGCAACCGCGGCATCCCAGCCTCGATCAGGACGCTTAATTCATACAGTGGCCACACCTACAAGCTAGTCAACGACGACGGAAATTTCACTTATGTCAAGTTCCATTTCAAAACCAACCAGGGGGTTAAGAACCTCAGACAGGCGGATGCAGACAAACTTGCCGGAGAAAACCCAGACTATCATACCGATGACCTATTTGGATCTATTGAAAAAGGTGACTTTCCATCTTGGACCCTCTACATTCAGACTATGAAGCCCGATGAGGCAGAGAAGTATAGATGGGACATTTTCGACATGACAAAGGTCTGGCCGCATAAAGACTTTCCGCTTCAGGAAGTTGGAAAATTGACACTGAATCGCAATGTAAGTGATGGCCAGTAATTTTAGAGGGCGTAAATAACGACTGGTACTTATTAGGCGCAAAACTACTTCGCCGAAATTGAGCAGGCCGCTTTCTCGCCCTCAACAATGGTCCCTGGCATCGCGCCTACCGCAGACCCAATGCTTCAGGCGCGCATGTTTGCGTATCCAGATGCTGCACGGTATAGATTAGGAGTTAATTACCAGCAGCTGCCATGCAATTCCCCCGTGTCGCCTGTGTACTCACCGTACCAGCGGGATGGAGCTTCTAGACACGACACCAACTATGGCCGTGATCCAAACTACGTTAACGCCAGCCTCAAAACAGTCAATTTTAAAGGTGACAGGGGAGCAAATGGAGTCAGTGATGGCGGGCACGAGGAATGGGTCGCCGGGAAGGTGCAAGGCTACGCTACCGAAGTCAAAGATGATGACTTCGAGCAGCCTAGAATGTTCTGGGAGATGCTGGGGCGTACTGAACCAGATGAACAGCGTGACCTCGTTAGCAATATTTGCACGCACTTGGGGAAGGCGATTCCGCGCGTACAGAAAGAAGCCATTCAAACCTTCAAGAAGGTGGATGCTGGGTTTGCTGACCAGGTCCAGAAGGGGCTGAAACTGTAAAGCTGGTGCATGAGTAACAAAACAGATTCGTTTCAGTCAATATAAGTTCTATACGTTGTACATATTCAGCCCAGCATACCGTCTTGTGATTTCGACCCATTAACAGACTGCTGCTGCGGTAATGAGAACAAGTATGACGTTTGGTAATATATTTTAACAATGCTATGTCATTTGTTTTATGGCCTCTCCCGAGCAACTTCGTCCGCATTCTCCGGCTATCTGTCGCCCACACCCAACATTGTAGCCCTCTCCTCTGCTGGCATATCATCTCTAGTCTTCCCGCCCTTTGGCACATCCCTCTCCAAGCCCCTCTTCAAGATACTATCCTCGGCACTCGTTCCCACACCTTCCAGCCCACTTCTCTGCGAGGTGTGATGCCTTAGATCTCCAGCCGTCTGCCCTTGAACAGGCTTCCCCAAACCCTTATACACGTCCTGGCTCGTGGCGCCCGTGATCGTCGACTCTGCATCTACCCAGGTATCTGGGCTGGATAGTTCTGGCGACTGCCCTGGCACGGTTTTCTTGGGGTTTGGCTTAAATGTGCGGCTGGCGGGCGAGCTACCCCTAGGCTGAGTCGATGCGTGGAACTCGGGTGCGGCGTCATTGCCTACTCTGGTACCGGGAGCGTGCTTGTCCGCTTCTATAGTCCTGGAGGGAGGAACCGAGGCATGGAATTCGCCTTGTGAGACAATGGGATCTGTGGGCATTTTGTATGAGTTTGAGTATTTGCAATGTAGATTGATATTTGTCTTGTATTGAGTATTTGTTTGGTCGTTTCAATTGGACTTGTGTGTTTCTTATCCACGTATAAATGCTACTTATAATTGCCACACTGTTAAAAGGATCCTTAATACACTATGTTATAACATGAAGGTGATATCATAGATGACGTCTTCTGATAACCTCACATCGCTCAAATTCTCTAGAAATAAATCTTTATAAATGCAGAATCTATATAATATAACGTATTTCACAAGTGAGTTGCGCACACAAGCGAGTTGCGCACAACAACACTAAAGATTGACTATTACTACTACTACTACACCACTACCCTATATAATAACCCTTATTCAATTGTAATTGATTCCTAGCGCCTCTCGCACGTACGGGCATTATGGCCCATAGTGCCACATACTCCACAGCGCTTCTGTCGGCCTGTAGAACCCACCTGCCCACTACTCTCATTTGCCACCTCCGTACGGACTTGAGCTTCAACCTCAGCACTCTGAAGGATATCCTCTGCGTCTCGTACGGAGAGACTACCCCCTTGCATTATACGCCTCTTACGCTTCCTTTCCCTCCTCTTTTTCTGTTCATTTGCTGCTTGTAGAGCCTTAACTTCTGCCTTTAGTAGAATAGCAGAATGCATCATAACCTGAGCTCCCTTTGCAAGCCGGCTTAGTGCATCATTAATTGAGCTAGGTGAGCTATTCTGATGTCGTACGACACGGTTCTTAATATGCTCTGTTTGAAAGTTAAGCTCCCTTATAGTTTGAGGGGTCTTTGAAGTCCAATTATCACGCTTAACTAGAGGAGGGGTTGGAGTTCTCAAGTGTAGATTCAAGTGAGAGAGAACACTCTGCGGCTCGTACGGAACTAGTCCTGTAGCTCGGAACCCACTCTTAATGTTCTGCTCTGTAAATGTAGCTTTAAAGGCTTCTTTAAATGCAGAGAGGAACTTAAGCTTTGTAATGTGGTTTAGCCGGTTCCGTACGAAGGTTTCAATCTGCTTTCCGTACGAAAGCTTTAGTGGTGCAAAGCAGCTCACATCAAGAGGCTGAAGAATATGCGACGAGTGTGGTGGCATACAGAGGGTAATTATCTTCCGTTCTGTACAGTAGTGTTGAAATTGAGCAGAGAGGTGGCTCTCATGTCCGTCAAGAATAAGAAGGCGATAGGTTCCAACCGTACGAGCATTTGTATACCGATCGAAGTGTTGAATCCACTCGTACCCAATTGAATTTAAAGTCCACCCATTCTCACTTAGCGTAATCACCCAATCGTCTAGTAATCCTAAGTCCTCGTACCAAGCAGAGAGGTGATTCTGTGCCTTAAAAATGATGAACGGCAGGAGTGCCCATCCGTACGAATTAACACCTTAGATAATTGACACCTACTCTCTATTTCCAGGCTGTATAGTCTTCGGACGGCTCTTTGCTTCTGAGCTTGTAACTACCTTCGTAGTAGCAATAACTCCCATTGCGAAACCTGCTTCATTAAAGTTGTAGATATCCTGCTCTAAGATTCCGTATTTTGCAATTGTATTTCGTACGAGAGTGAACCACCCTTGAATTATCTTAGGATCTTCGCATTTTGCTCGTTTGTAATCATACTTCTGACTAAACTTTGCTTTGATTTCCGTACGACGCTTTATAAAGTTGGTAGTCCAGTTCTTCCTAACAGGGCTCTTGCCTCGTTCGGAGAGTAGTAGGTCTGCCATTTCTTGTAGAGCTTGAGGCCGGGGCGGAAATCCACGTGAATCTAGGTCGAGGACATACTGAACAAGAGCTGACTCTTCGTACGAAGTTAGGTTTTGTGATTTAGAGGTAGAATCACGTCGGGAAGTCATTCCATTCATTCTGTTAGCAATAGTTCTAGGCGATACATCATATGACATTGCAGCAGCTCGGACACTCTTAAATTGATGTTGTTTAAGTGCTTGAATAGCTTGCAAAAGTCTCTCCTCTTTATTAGAGGATTTAGCTTGAGTTGGTGTTGCCATAGGTTGAATCATGTCAAGTTGACGCGTTTTGGTGTTGTTGTGCGCAACTCGCTTGTGTGCGCAACTCACTTGTGAAATACGTTACTCTTACTACAATTCTTTGCATTTCTGTCTCCTCGAATACTAGAAATACATTATATGGCGAGCCTAAGCCGGCACATTTCCTCCGCAACTAAGTTGAAAGTATGATATGCACTACTAGCTACTCTGATAGCGCTTAATTCCAACTTTCATCACGTAGTCGCAAAGTTGCAACGGCATGTCTGGGAATTGGATGGTTTCTCGGAACCGTCTTGGGGCTTGGAGGGTTCACTGAAAGCACTATACCAGCCATGGTATGGCCATCTGTTCGATCCGGTTTACAGCACTTAGATCCAGTATAATTAAGACGCTGTAGTTGCGGGCCAATACTATAATCTCCAGATCGACAACGCTAACTTTTCTGTATAATGATCAGCCAAACCACTTCGCCTTGGAATTATGACGTCACAGGCTCCCAGCTGGGCCTTTAAGAGCCCTGGGGGTCTCATGGAAAATGTTTGGCCATCTCCATTATCCATCTATAATACTGCGATATATTATAATATTTATAAAGATACAATACTTCAAACTTTCACACCTTCGGAAATAAAAATCGACATCATGGGTTTGGACGAACTTGAGAAGAAGGTCGCTGACCACTACAACGTACTTCCCCTTCCTTCTCCCCTGATTCTAATTCCATTACCCGATTATTTGCATCTTTGGTTCGAAAGCATTCACTAACGCCCTCTGCTTTTTAGAAGGGCCACCCTCAAGGACAGGCTCAACAGGCGCAGCAACCCGCACCACCGCCTCAGCCTCAGCAGCAACCCCCACACGAGGTACGCTCAGCATGACTTATTACCCAAGGACTGTAGCTGACAGTATGATAGGATAAACACCACGCTGGGGACATTGCCAAACGTCTCGGTAACGCCACAGTCTTTGGTGCAGGCGCCTCAGTCGGCTCGAATATTGTGAACGGCATCATCCACTAGAGTAGGATGTGATCAGAGATCTGAGTGGTCACATTGGAGGTTAATGATTTGATTGAGAAACTATGGGGAGCAGGGCTCTATGTATATTTATGAATTGATTGTAAACTACACCGCACACCATACTGAGTTGATGGAAATGTGATTCGAGCAGCTTTTAATAAACTCCACAACCAACGCTATCCAGAGCCTCTACTGTAATAACTAGACTTCAATCTCGTGCTTCCTGCCCTGTCAAGCTGTTCACGGTCAACATCATAAAATGTCGACAGGATGATGCGTATGATAGTGCTATGCAGCAGACGGTAGTTCCAAGTCCTCTCCCTATTTGATCATTAGCCTTCATCTTTGGGCCCAAGAGAGGCTCAAACATACTACTTGGTTTGCACGTAGATATCAGAATTGCCGCTGCTCTGATATCCCTCAGTAGCCAAGATCTGGTAATAGTGGCTACCAAGGTTCATGCCATAACTAGCCCAGGCATTGAAATGAGTTTGCATGTTGACAGATCCGCTGACACGCTTCCCTTGGCGAACAGACCAGTACTGCTTGAAGGTTGAGGTGCCATCAATAGAAGGTTGGTTCGTGCGGGTAGAGACGTAGATGTTGTAGTTTGCACCATCTGTGTTGATAGTGCCCTTGTACTGGCCTCCGCTGCTGGGATCGTATGTGCCGAAGTTCTCAACGACATAATACTCCACAAGGGGGTTGCGAGTCCAGCCATACACAGCAAGGTACCCATTGCCCGAGGGGTTGAACGAACCGCCATAGTTGATCGTTCTATCAACAAGTCAGCTACAAAGCTAGAAGTATTTCCCGAGGAAGAACTGACCGGCCAGTTCCAGGATTCCAGCCCTTTCCGCCAACAAAGTTACCAGTGTTTTGCCAGTTCACAGAGTAGCGGCTACCCTCGCCCATGGTATATGTAGCAGAGCCACCTCCATCTGTCCACCACGAGTAGAAATAACCATTGTGCGTTCCCACCGAGTTGGGAGTGGAACGCTTCTGGAGGGCCTCCGTGGAGTTTCCGTCATCTCCCTCATGCAGGAAGTCAAAGGGGGCGGCCAGAACCCCAGTGGCAGCAGTCAAGGCAACGAGGAGAGTTTTGAGCGAAACCATATTGAAGAGAAGGATGATAACTTCTGTCTTATTGGTGTGGGATCAGTGTCTTGCGGTTGATGATGATCACCTCTATGAGCAGCATCGTGCTTTATATACTGGATATCGGACATCCCATCTATTACCCAGATATAACGGCTAATAACGAATAATTAGCGCTCCTTGGGTTGACTCTGGGATAATAGAGTTGCCCAGCTTTTTCTTTATGCCGCCATATAATACCACCAAGATCGAGAACATGCCCATACGACAACGCAAGTAACCACGATAACTTTCGTTCGCCGAGGCTTATCCTCCCCGTTTTATGTCTTGGCTCGGAGCATCAGGCTAAATAAAAGGTCTGTTTGTGGGGGTGGAGGGTGTCACGCGTAGACTATTGTTTATTTCCCCACGATATGAAGGACTGATTGAAAGTATGTGCGTATCAGGGATGCCTGAACGCTAGCAGTAGATATCACGAACTGTCGAATAAAAGAAGTTTCCAGAATGCGGGGTTAGGCATGGGATGCTGAAACTTAATCTAAGGCACTGCCCAGAACATCGGCACTTATACTCCAGTGTAATAAGATCGGTATACCCCAAGGTAGCTCAACTATCTTCTGATTGACATTAACCACATCCAATCGGGTCGTGCCTAAGGTCGTACGGATATCAGTACTCATTTAGGCTCGATAGGCGGCACTTCAGAATGTTAAGAGCAATATACTTTGTACTTGTAGTATATCACTTCCCCGTCAATTGGTATTAACCACCAGCCGGCAATCGCCTCGTTGCGCCCGAGTGAGCGGCCTGGGCCTCATGGATGTTCGGTAGGTGTTAACGGGATTTGAAGAGCAATGAAGTGTGAAGTAGATCACACCTTCCATATATATTAATTGCTTTTAGCCGTAACTAATAAAGTTGTGCCTGAGTGAACAAATCGAACCTCGGTAGCGACGCATTTAACCGGCAGTGAGATCCCATCATCAGGATTTACTGCCTGGGTTTGGCAATACTCGAGTGGTAACTGTTTTCACAGGAAGAAACATCGTGAGGGCTTCAATATTTTAGAGGACTATTCCCGAAGATACCAGGACTTACTTCGGTGGTTTAGATCGGACAATTCGAAGTTAGATACGGCCACCACAAGCATACAACCCTCACGTATAGCCATAGACCCAAGAGAACTGGGCGTCCCATTCGCTCTGCCATACACAAGCTTGAAATCAATTGCCTTTTACTCTCAATCATGCTAATGGGCATGGCATACGTCCTTCTTCCCTTGTGATTCGATACCTATCTCAGTCGCAGACGGGAAACGGATCACAGAATACACAAGTTGCCAGAGGGAACAAGAGAAAGACAGGGATTTGTACTCTGACGGCGGTGTGTCGCTGGTGTGTCGCTGACTTGATTGGAGAATAGACAGTGGTTGATAAAGCAAATAAGGCGTAGAATGGGCGTTAGGAGTGATGCAAGTGACGGGGATGATGAGAGTCGTCGTACTTCGGATCTGATAACTATTATATGTCACTTTACATATAAATTACTGTGTAGAGGTACTTATCAGCGCCATGTGTAGTGGAACACAGCTCCCATTCGCGGCACTCGGCAGGGTAGACTAACTCTAAAGTTCGCGACAGTCCCTAAAAAGCTTGTCCCCCGCAGCGATCCGGAGATTAGACGTACTAAGTATGCACAACATCAACACAGGACTGGAAGGCCGACATATTCAAGTTTCTTCTTCAAGGCGCTACTAATGTTCGATGCCAGAACAGTCCCTCACCGTCCCTCAGCCCTGCATCGCGTGTGCCATTCAGATCATACTGTTGGATAAGATCATGGGACAGCCCGACGATCAGTCCATCACGGGCATTTAGAAACCGCGGGGGTTGGCAGTTCGCCGGTCATGTTGCTATATCAAGGGTGTCTCTGGAAGCTATAAAGAAGCTTGAATCAGCCAAGAATGAGACGTAATAAAAAAGTCCTAAGCTCTTCTCCAAATCTTTAAGACAATCCATCATTCACCATGCAACTCCTCAACTACCTTCCACTTCTTCTGGTCCCGGCCGTGGCCGCTAAGAGCACCGTGTACCTGATTCGTCACGGTGAGAAGCCTTCCAGTGGCAACGGCCTCAATGCCCAAGGTCTCCAGCGTGCCCAGTGCCTGCGTAACGTGTTCGGAAGCTCATCTTCCTACAACATCGGTTACATCATGGCTATGACCCCAGACTCTGGTATGCTTCCCATACTGCCTAAGAAATGATTGTACGTATTTCAGCAGTACTAATGAATCCTCAGATGGGTCCCGCGCTCGCCCGCTCGCAACTGTCCAGCCCCTTGCTACCGACCTTGGTATCACCGTTGACACCTCCTGCGACCGTGACGACCAGAAGTGCGTCGCCAAGGTTGTGAATAACTACACTGGTAGTGGAAATATTCTTATCTGCTGGGAGCACGATGCCCTGACCGATATTGTGGATGCCCTGGGTGACAGCAATGCCCCCAGCTACCCAAGTGCTTCGTAAGTTTCTCTATTGCGCTTTGGCACTCTTATGAGCATAATTCTTACATGCGGAATAGGTTCAACCTGATCTGGACCGACCCTTCCCCGTACTCTGCCATTACTGCTACTACCTCTGAGAACTGCCCTGGACTTGATTAGACAGAGTGAATGATGGGTTGTTGAGCGTTGATCGCTCGGGAAAATGGATCACTTTTAGTTACCTTTACATATAAAATTATACATATGCACTAAATCGTTGTAACCACTTTTCCCTTTGCTCCAGGTTGGAGTAGGCTGGGCAGCCTATTTGGAACCGATGTGCGTCACAGGTCTCCCGCCCTCCAACACCTCCGAACCGGACCGGCGAAATCCAGATTACCGAGAAGGATTCCCGCGTGGCCCAAGGATGGTTGGGAGGAGGCCCACAACAGGACGCGGTGGGCTTCCTTTGATTACACCTAATTCTGTGCCGTTTTGGGGGTGTGTTGGTGGATAGTGCCCACGACGTTTCTAGAAAAGGTGTATATAGTAACAAAATTATATAGATGTGTACATGACATGAATACCAAGGCCACGAAGAAAATGCACGCACTCAGGCCATTAGCTGACACCGGTGGGCAGTAACCATCTACCAAACGCCAGCTATGCTCATCAGTATCATACAACACACCTCTCTCCTTTATCCGCCAGCGGCCACTCAAACAAAGGTATAAAAAGTCTCTAGAAACAACACTAAAGCCAACACAGTCGACTATAACATTATTCTCCAACAAACGCATCACCCCCTACGCACCACCACTCCCACTCCCATTCCCCGGCCTACCCCCATCCAACAGCAACTTTGGCTTAATAAAGCCCTCATCTAGCTGCTTAAACCATGCTGCATGATCTTCCGATGTCCCGCTTAGCAAGCTACTCATAGCCGCACCTGCACCCGTGACGGTGTTGCCTAGCCCCGCCACAAACCCGGCGCTCGGCGTCCGCTCTGCTGCCACCCCGCTCGTAGGATAGATCTCTGGATTAAGAAGCCCCAAACCCTCCGACGTGCTCGACGAGCCTTCCGGCCGCGCCGCCCGTCGCGCCGCCGGAGGAAGATCCGAGTCACTCTCCTCGTCATCGGACAGAGGGGCGCGCAACAGTTCCTGGTCAGAGCCGTGGCGCCCGATACTGCCACCTAAGGCGGAGTTGGTCCTGCTGAGGCTCTGCTCACGGGCAGCCGGGCTCGAGTTACCGGACGCGTAGATGCGCCTCGTGGCACCGTTCGTGGGGCGACCGACGTTGTCGAGCTGCACGCTGGAGCGGCGCTTGGGGAAGTTCCCGATGGCGCTGCCACCGCTGCGGGCAAAATAGGGCCCGGAAGCGCCAGTGACGGCCTCGATGTCAAATTCATCATCACTGTCAATCTCCTCCACGACGCCGGTGCGGATGCCGAGGATCTCGAGCATGCGCGCTGTGGTGCCGCCGAAAATGATCACGGTTAGGACGACAACGACGAGGACGGTGGCTTTGAGGGCGAATGCGTTTTCGCCCTCAAGACCAGCAGCGAGGGCGACGCCGACGGCGCCGCGGAGACCAGCCCAGAAGAGCATGGCTTGGTAGTTGTAGGGTAGCTCATCGGGTGCGTCCATTCTGCCGCGGCGACGGGCTCGGTAGCGGATGAACCAATTGATGAGCCTTGATAGCGGAAAGACAGCGGCCCATCGCGCGACGCAGATGCCAAAGACCGTGACAATGATAAAGAGGGGCTTAAACTGCAGTGAGGGTTCCGTAAATAGGGTAATGCCGAGATAGATGAAGATAAAATTCTCTGACAATTGTGCCAGCACAGAAAAGATATACTTGGTGCTGAGCTGCGTGCGGCGCGACATATTGTAGTAGGCATAGTGCTTTAGAGTGATGCCACAGAACAACAGACTCACGATGCCTCGACGGTGTTAGCAATAATCTAGTATACCGATATAGAGGCGACTTACCAGACATATGGAGGCCATTGGAAAGGAAGTAGCTCGCATAGGCGATCAGAAAAATTAAGCAAGACTCAATCTTGGGGAAGCGCCGCACGTAGGTATGCTTCAGGACCAGAGCAGTAGCAACCCCAATGAGAACCCCTATTACGAGGCTGCCAAAGAAAACGGCCAAGAAAATTCCAATACCCTCGATGATACTGAGGGGTCCCAAAGCAACCTTTTGGCCGACCTCCTGATACTTCTGAGCTGTCTCAAACAAGACAATTGCAATTGCATCGTTCAATATGGACTCGCCAAAAATGATGGTATAAAGTTTCGGATCAACTTTGTAGGTGTTGAAGATGGCAAGGATAGTGACTGGATCAGTGGCAGATAGTGTAGCTCCGACAGATATGGCCTCCAGGAAGGTGATATCAAAGCCCTCTAATGGTATCCTGGTATATAGCCAGAGAATTGACCCAAGAACAACGGCTGAGATGAAGGTCCCAGCAAATGCAAAAGTTAAGATGGTGCCTATATTCCGGAAGAAGTTGGCTTGGTGTAGCTCATACCCTGATGCAAGGATAATAGGCGGCAGGAGCAGGTTGAAAAACAACAGGTAATCGAAGGTAACAAGGTTCTGTATCGATGTCCCGGTGGTGATTCTCAGGATCAACCCCACAGTCATTCCACCAAAAATCGATATGACAGTTTCGTGTACGGCTTGCACCTTTCGGGTTTGAAGCAGGTATGACGTAAACAAGGCGATGATGAGGAGGCTTATGAGGATGAAGAGGGCCCATGACATAGATATCTCCCTTTGGGAAGGATCGCGTCCTATAGTAATAGGTTAGGCAGAAATTCGTGAAGCGGACAAAGACACGTAACCAACCTTCTCCATCGTCGTCTCCATCATTCCGGCTCTCTGTGAGGAAGCATCATCAGCATGGGAATACAGCATGTCATATACATTGGTAATCATACTGAGTAGGCCATGTATCAGATAGCTCGCAGCGGCGGCAACCATGCTTGGCAGTCTTGGGATGTAAATATATGCCTCCGCGGTGGACGGACCTTAGGCGACTCGAAGGTCCCCTATTGAGCAAGAACTTGCGGCTCGTGGGGTGACGATAGCGTCGCTCAACGGTGAGCCGAGAATGGTAAGAGAAAGCACCATATATATCCTAGGATGAATGGGCTTGAGAAAGTCGAAGATGAGGTCTTCACGATATCCCTTGGGGTTGCAGATGGAATTGTACAGATTGCGACAGCTCCAAGGTCGGCATTATTATGCTCCGAAGGCACTAGTGGCTGGGGGGGTTAGTAGCCGCCAATCGGCTTGCGTTAACCGCTAACCGCTAGCCGCTGGCAACTCCACTGCACAGTTGGTCTCTATCGCGCGGCCGTATTGAACCTGAATGACGATGATAGGCGATGGTCGTCATGCGCCCTTGAGTTCCATCGCGTCGCAGAGCACATACTCTTATGTTTGCTTTCTTCCTCCTCTCCTTCATACTGTAGCCGCGTACTGTATAAAGTCATACCCGTCATTCAGCGCATACTTGAAATAGAATTTACGCCTTTGCATGTACATACTGTCGCTGGCTCGGTCACACCCACATCCGAGACATCTCAGCCCAAGCTATCCAAGCTGTCCAGGCTGCCCTCGTGATGCCCTGAGCCCCCTCACCTCTGAACGCCAATAGTCAGCTCTGTTCAAGGTAATTAACTTCGACATTATATAGCCCGTTTGTACACGCTCTCCGCTTACATTATTAGAAAACCTGTCGATCTAAACCCAAGGATCTGACCAGCTGGTGTTGTGTCCTCGACGACCCCGCCACGAGTAATGTCGCTTTAGACCATTCCCACGATTAACTCGAAATCTTATACATACTGTCCTCATAAAGTTTTGCGTTCAGTCTTCCGTGCGATATTACAGGCATACATAACCCAGGCTAGGGTCTAAATATCGACACAGTGTCGGAGAATATACAGCTTGAGCAGATGAGCTTGTCAGATGGGAAATCACCACCTCAAGGCAGAGAGAGAACAGACCCAGAACTGGCGTCCGGTTCAGAACGTAACAGTTCGGATGCTTTAGGGGTAGCCAACGGCTCGCCGCACAAGGTGTCACTTGATCAAGCCGGGAACCCAGCAAACGAACAGTCCCCTCTCCTCCGAGCCTCCCAGAGCGACGACGAAGGGGATGGCTTGCTGGATGATGGCACCGCCCTGGACCACCATGATGAGTACCAAGTAACCAAGAGCGTTTGGTACCTTATTATTCTAACGATAAGTCTTGGGGGATTACAGATAGCATGGTCTGTGGAATTATCAAACGGCTCGCCATACCTGCTGTCGCTTGGACTGAGTAAGTCTTTGATGGCTTTGGTATGGATTGCTGGGCCACTGTCTGGAACTCTAGTTCAACCGTATGTTGGCGTTCGAAGTGATAACTGTAGGATTCCATGGGGCAAGCGAAAGCCGTTTATTCTTGGGGGAGCAGCAGCAACGATAGTTTCCCTTCTAGCCTTGGCCTGGACGAAAGAGGTAGTCAGTGGATTTCTAGGCATTTTCGGGGCCAAAAAGGACGACCCTGGTGTGAAAGTAACCACCATCGTCGTTGCTGTCCTTTTCGTCTACGTTTTGGACTTTGCTATCAATACTAGTAAGCTATTATCGCTAATTCTACGCGGCGTTTCTAACATCTTGCAGTCCAAGCCGCGATTAGAGCTTTTATGGTCGATTGTGCCCCAACACATCAGCAAGGTATGGCTTCTTCGTATCTCGCCGGTTGTTGTTGCTAACCCAGCGACAGAGGCGGCAAACGCCATGGGAAGCCGAATGACTGGAATCGGAAACATAATTGGGTATTGCTTTGGCTACATCAACCTCCCAAGGTATATGTGGTTCTTTGGAGATACCCAATTCAAGGTACTCTGCGTGATTGCGAGTATCTGCCTGTCGATTACTGTGGCGATTAGCCTCATCTTCATTAAAGAGAGAGACCCACGCGAAGAAGGTCCACCTCTTCGTGACAAGGGAGGAGTCGTTTCCTTCTTTAAGGGTGTCTTTAACTCGATCAAAAGCCTACCACCACAAACTCGCAAAGTCTGCGAGGTTCAGTTCTTTGCCTGGATCGGATGGTTTGGATTCCTATTCTACTTATCAACATGGGTGGCAGAACTCTATGTTGAGCCATTTGTCGAAGCCAACCCAGACCTAACCCCGGAAGAAATCGACCGCCTGTATGAGAAAGGCACTCGCATTGGCACGTTTGCACTTCTCGTATGGGCCAGCGTATCTTTGGCTGCTAATGTTCTCCTTCCGTTCTTCATTGCGCCAACCTACGATGCCCCGTTTGTCCCATCCGCCGGTCAAGTGACCCAAAGTATCCATTCACAAAGCTCATCGTCAAGCTACACGACCCGTTTCGACCGCTTCCTCGAACGCCTCGTCATTCCGTGGCTTTCGCTGCGCCGCGCGTGGACCATTAGCTTAATCATGTTTGGCCTCTGTATGTTCTCAACCCTCATAGTTCCCAACCCCACTATCGCCACCATAGTCGTCGGGATCGTGGGTATACCATGGGCTCTCACTATCTGGGCACCCTTCGCCATTATTTCAGCCGAAATCTCCAAGCGCGACGCTCTTCGCCGCGCACAGGCACTGAACGTAGCCTCGGGCGGCCGAGTTGATACACTATCCCGCGATGACAACGGCGACCAGGCAGGTGTCATCCTCGGCATCCACAACGTTTCTATCGCCGCGCCACAGGTCCTTGCCACGCTCGGCTCGTCCCTGATATTTAAGTTTCTCCAGAAGCCGCGAGGGACCCCGGGCGATATGAGTATGCCTGCGTCGCTAGCTGCTGGTGGTATTTTTGCGTTCATAGCGGCGTATATGGCAAGTAGACTTGCTGAAGATGGTCCCGTTGAGGGCCTGGAAGCTGCGAGAGTCTTGGCTGCGCGTAGCGGGGGGAGGAGGGAGACTAATGCGAGCCAGAATAGGAGGAGTTTGAGCCGAAGCCGAAGCTTTGAAACTGGCTTAACTTACTAGGGGTTGCTTGACAACATTGTGCTGAGTTTTGTGGCAGAGAGCATTCATTGCAAGCCGGGTTTTACGGTGTGACGCACCAAATAGAGCACTGGGTCTATAATAGTCGAGCACAATTCCAAACTATCTATGAACCTACAAAGTTTTAGGCAATACAGTGGCTATTTAGAGTGTGTACCAGCATGCCTCGTCCTCTGCTTAATTGTGCATTGACAGGTTACATTGCTATCAGGGACAGAGGTCCCTATGGCGGCGACAAAACGCAGGGCTAGGAGACTATACAGATATTTATCACCTACCCTGGCTATTTTTGTTACATTTCCGTCACAACACCAAACAGGAACTCCGGTCACATCTAAGCATGCCGCGCATCGCATCCAGGTGTTCGCCGCGTCGCTCGCCGCGTCGCTGCCCAATCATAAGTGGTGGCGGCATCGTCATTCGCACCAATACGAGCCACATCAACTCGCAACATCCGCCGTATTTAGCCACAATTGTAACACTATTCATATCCTTAGAATGGTCATACGAGCTTATCTAACTGTGGCTCCCGTGATCGTGGGTACTTAGAATTCCGCAATTCCCGCATTTATAGCCTGCGATATGCTTCATAACAGAGAGGGAAGCAACGCTAACAGGCTCGTATTACCGTGACACATCGGCATCTATGTCGCCATGCCACTATTACGATTTGCCATAATGTCGCAATATTAACTGAAGGGGCGTTACGAGATGTTTGTTCGTGTTCTAGCTAATTTAAGGTATCTGTCATGACTGTCTAGACGTGTGTGGTCGACTTATAAGTATCCGTTTTTCCTTCTGTTCTGTTGCTCATTCTCTATTGCTTTATCCACCTACGTTCGTTATCGCACTTACTGTCGTTCTCATACTGTCTCTTTCTCTTGCTCTGCTCCATAGTCGATACCCATTCCAATAAGCCGTTTATATATACACATATCCCGCAACGATGCAGATCCTCGCACTCCTCCCTCTCGTGGCCATCGTCGCTGCCCACAACACCCCCGAGGAGCCAGTAGAAGGGACCGTTTCAACCATCTACACGAACCCAACACGGGTAGAGCAGTCAACCGTCTCAACAATCCTCACGAACCCAACACGGGGACAGGAGGAGGCGACTGTTTCGACAATCCTCACAAACCCAACACGCAGTGCAGAGGAGTCGACCTACACGACCATATATACCAACCCAACACGCAGCGCAGAGCCGTCAACCTACACGACCATCTACACCAACCCAACACGCGGACCAGAGGACGGGCTACAGACAACAGCCCTCACCAACCCATCCCAGCCACCACCAGGTAGCACTGGTAAGTCATTCCCCTTCTATTCCGAACGAAGCTAACTGTCAAAGTCACCGTATATGTCACCGCATGCCCCGTGTACCCAAACACCACCTTCACTCGTGGGCCCCCTGTGCCTCCCACTCCCAGTGGCGGCGGCCCAGGGACAACCTCTCCTCCGGGAACTGGTGGACCACACCCAAATGGAGCGGCCGCAGCGTCGTATATGGGCGCCAGCGTGATGGTCGGGTTGGCCGGTGTTGTCGTTCTTGCGGGCTTGTTGTAGATTGATGTAAATCCAATGTGGATGGATAGATGTGGATTTATTATATGCTAAAGGCGGAGAAATGTTAATTGGATAACATTCTAAGGCGGAGGAACGTAGATAATACTATTATTAATTACATTAACTTTTCGATACTTTTTTTACCCCATATACACTGCTGAAGCGTAATATAAAGACGCACACTACGTCGCCTGCAAAATTTGTGATAAGCAATTCCCCCAAGAAGGAGAGCCATTGTATATAATATGCGATTTACACATACAACTACAGACTCAAGCAAATTAGGCATCCCGTCCGCTCTGTCATAAACAAGCTTGTAATTCAGTGGCTTAATACTATCAATCGTCCTAATAGACATATGTTCCGGCCCAACCACGAATAAGTGGTATTCGCGAATAGGCTGGCCCAACCACGAATAGCTGCCTAACCACGAATAGCTGCCTAATACGCGGGGTAGTATTATAGGATATTGTAGATAGAATCATAACATTAACCTTTAACTATTAAAATGGATCCTACTATTGCCTATATTAATCCATTCCCTCAAGATGTTCGCACGGCCTTTCAGACCTATATTCATAGCTTTAGCTATGTTAATAGAGAGCAGCTAGACTACCTAAAATATTAATAATTACCACTCTATCTTTAGAACCCACTACTAAAGCCTACAACTCAAGTAGAGTCACGACTAAAGCATAGAGCTCAAACAGAGTTTATGCTTATACATAATAAGCTCTACTGGAAGCCTAACTCTAAGTTCTAGAGCCTACGATCTGTCGTTCTAGAGAGTGATGCATTTGACACTATTGTTAATGAACATCTACAGCTCTTACATGTAGGCCGGATAAAAACATGGACTATTCTACAATAGAAATACTATGGGCTAAAGCGAGAAGAAGTAGAGTTTATAGTAAAGCGATGTAAAAATTGCACACTAAATCGACCTGCTACTACAAAAGCTCCTCTAGTTCCTATTACTATAGGCCGAGCATAGGAAAGGGTTTAAATTAACTTAATTGATATGCGCCACGAGCCGTTAGGACGATATAAGTGGATTCTATATATAAAGGATCACTTCTTAAAATATACATAGCTATATCCATTAAAGAGCAAGCATGCAAAGCCGATTGCAGACTGCTTTGCTATCTTTATTGTAGCTTTCTTACCTCCTAAGATTATGCAAGCTGATAATGGGAAGGAATTTAAGGGGGCTCTACTTATCCTACTACGAAAGTATAGAATTTAAGTAGTAAATAGAGCACCACGGTCACCTTAAACGCAAGGCCTAGTTGAGCAGGCAAATGGAATTGTAGAAGCAAAGCTCTAAGCATGGAAAATAGACCATGGGTCTACAGAGTGGAATGATGGGCTACTTAAGGTCACGCTTGCAATGAACACCCAAATCCACTCTACAATTGGGTGCGCACCAGCCGAGCTACTGTTCCGAGACAGGAACTCTCATATTGACTGGCTTAATAGCTAGGCCCAGAAGGACCTCTTAATTGGAGTTGAGTAGGAGGACCCTAATATGGGACCAATTTTTGAGAGCTAGCTTGAGCCTGAAGCTCAAATTGACCCACAGCTTCAGCAAGAGCGAGAGCTCTCAATCAATTCTGAGCTGGCGCCCTCGATCAATTCTGAGCTACTGCTCTCGATCAATTCTGAGCTACTGCTCTCGCTCAATTCTGAGCTGGCGCCCTAGATCAATTCTGAGCTGGCGCCCTCGCTCAATTCTGAGCGAGTGCAAGAGCAGCTTCATTCTGAGCTCCGTCGTGGGACCCGGGTTCGGGTGCCAGCTCAGCCTAGGACTGAGCTTCGAGCTACACCTGACCCTATAATTGAGCAGGCTATAGCAGCTACTCAAAGAGCACGGGTTTCTATGGTACGCAAGTACACTAAGAAGCATGATATACAGCACTTTAAAGTAGGGGATATAGTCTCTATAAAGGTTCCACAGGAGGATAGAACCTCAACTGATAATAAGAGGCTCTTTGCACGCATTTTAAAAGAGCCTTACCCACACTGGTATTAGGTTATAACAGCCTCTGGTATTATACAACGCCTTATACCTACAAAATCACTTGGTGTTGTAGAGCAGGCTCTATGGTCTGATATTCAAATTCCTAATTCTACAAAGCAGGTAGGATTAGGGCTTGCAGCTAGAGAGGCTTCTACAAGTGTACGGGTAGGAATATCATGTCAATGCAAAGGGCAGTGTAGTACAAAGAGGTGCCGCTGTTATAAGGAGGTTAAGCAGTGTAGTGTTCACTGTCATAATGATGATCATAACTGTGGCAACTTATCAGGCCTAGCTACTCGTACGGAATTAGCTTTAGTAGAAAAGCCAAAGCGGAAGCGGGCAAGAGCAGACACTATTGGCAATAGTGTTTAGATTATTAATTTATTCAATTTGCTATACTCTTTTACTATTTGTAGTTGGCCTATTCGTGGTTGGGCCAGCGTATTCGCGAAGGAACATATTCGTGGTTGGGCCGGCCCATTCGCGAATGGGCCAGCGTATTCGCGAATACCACTTATTCGTGGTTGGGCCGGAACAGATATGATAAAACCATTAGCGTTATTGGAGTTATTATAGTTGGGTCATGTGATATCTCGTTGTCACGTAGCATTAGTCTCTATGTTACTGGGTACTGAGTCTACTGAGTCTACTGAGTCTATAGTATATAAAGTTTGCCTTGCGCTAGACTAGAGAGAAGTGTGGACTCGCAGTTGCCATGTTCCTGGCACCTTAACTTTTTAGTTTCGAATTGGGAAAAGTATGAGCTACCCCGCAATGCGGCACCGACCCCACATTTAAGACTGTCAATATTCTCGAATCCAAAAATTCTACAGTAGCATCTCACAAAGATTGTCAAGTTGAGGCTCCATATATTATTGTAAGACTTTGTTATCCTCACCAGTCAAATAATCATGGCCAGGATAGATATGTAGATGTTACCTTGTGTGACTATCCGTAGGATGCGAAGGATTCCTCGTGACATGGAAAAGGATTGGCGGTGTCAGATTTAAGCAACTAACCGAACCTATAATACGCTACACAACATACAAAATTGGCTTTTTTAAGTTAGTAGGGTGTTAATGACATATATTTTCCGCGAATGGGCCGGTCTAGTCCATTTGTGAAGCTGATGTATCCGCGGTTGGGCCGCATCATATATAATAGTGGTACCAGCTGTTCGTTGGGCAAATCGAAACACTCTACACAGCCAAGAGCCAACAGCTTCAGCAACTACTGTCTTCCCCTGACAACATGAAGTTTTCAACGCTCTCCCTTCTCAGTCTCGCCGCCATTAGCACACCAGCCCTTGCATGTGTACAATTCTCCCTGAACTTCAACCTCGGTAAATGATCCCCCCAAAGGACTAATCGCGTTTGCTAATACCCGCCACGTTTAGATGCACAGCGTATAAATGCCGCTTTAACAGATAATGGCGGTCAGAAATGCGCGATCACGGACCAGTTCTTCGGGATTATAAACAACGGCTATGATACCTGGGTTTATTTGAGTTGCGTTGGAGGCTACCAAGCTGGCATTTATTTGGCCACTGGAGAGGTTCACTATAAATACGGTAGCTTTGATGGAACTTTTGGTACGACGCAGACGGTAATTGGTCATACGACTTATTGGACTGCGAATGTTTGGGGTTGTTAGTATTGATCATTATTAGCAATGACTACTCCCACTTCAGGCTCTTTCCCGTTCTTTGGCAAGAAGTGTACTAACGAGACTCCTTCTTCATTATTCATCTCATATGTATTACTAATATCTCTTGATATATGTTAATACATCCCTCTTAGATCATAGGCTGTAGAGCCCACGTCCTCACAGGATATAATTCCCTAGGAAACCCTCGCTGTAACTCCGTCCTCACAATTTGTAGCCCTGCTTCCTTGAACAACTCCTTGAACTTTTCCTCCGTCCTATCACAAATATTAGCTTTGCTCCTATGCACTCCCAAAACCATCCACAAAAAGAGACAAACATGACGCCAAACGGCGCCATAAGAAACAGGGTAGACAAACCGAGTGACACTGCTATCAGTCTCATCATACACATCCTCCTCACTCGTCAAATTCTCCTTCACCACAATCCACCCCACCACCTTACCCCCCTCCTCTCTCCTCAATGCCTCCCCACACCTCCGCAAATACCCAACAAGCTGAAGATCCGTCAGGTGACCAACACACCACTGGTTCCAAACAAGATCATACACCGCACCACTCGCCGGCTTCCACAGCTCCAGCCCAACATTATACACCTCCCCCACACCCGGTACATCCGCCAGCGCATCCGTAAACTTCTTAATCGGCTCCACAACATCCACCTTATCCGCGAGCGACAGCAACAAGCCTCTCGTAATGCGTCCAATCCTGCCCACACAAGACCTGTTAGCCAGCTCGTTCACCCCACGGCATCACTCCAGCAAAAACTCCACTCACCCAGCCCCACAATCAACCGCCCTCCTCAAAGGCTTCGCATCCCCCTCATTCTTCCCAGCCAAAACCCCCAGCTTCGCCATCAGCGCCCTGCTACCTTGTAGATCGACGCGGCTCACGTGCGGGAATCCGCCGAGCATGCCGTCGACGTCCGCGTTGATGCCAGACCAGTACTCGATCGAGGCCGAGTGGTCGATTTGCGCGTCGGGCGTGCCGGTGGAGAGGTCTATGTCGGCCATGGCGGGGTGGATGGCGGGGTGGTGGGGTGTTTTTTCTGGGATTTGCTGGGTTTGCTTCCAGTTCGGGTGGATGATGACTTGTTTTCCTTGCGCTGGCCCGTGGCTGTGATATATGTCTAAAATAAACTTGTTTTTTTATAAATTATTTGATAAAGGGGAGTTCGTTGGTCGACAAACACGTGTGGGCGACAATGGTGGTCGGATTTACGCATTCGTCTCCCGCATATTTCCTTTCGCCTATTCTGGCTAGCGCCTTTTACTTTTAAATACTCCATAACTGCCTTTGAAAATGGGGTATCAACAACGACCCATCACTATAATCGAGGCAGAAAAAAAATTATAATGATCTGAATAAATAAATATGTGCTTGTAAATAAGCTAAGTAAATCAATGGAATCGCTCCCCAGCTATGCTGTCTAACAAATTTTCTACAGTAAATATTCATGGCCATATCATGCGTACGTTATTGTGTCATGCGTACGCTATTGTGCACGATAATCTGGCAGCTCGTATATATGGTCATTCCTCTGCTCCCCCTGGTATATCTGGGGCACAACGTTGCCCTGGTCACTAAATTGATTACTCCTTTGCGCCTGTTCGTACATTCGTGGAGCTATTGTGCTCTCATCACTCAACTGATTCCTTTGCTCCTGTCTGAACATTTCGGCGACCACCGTACTCTCACTCCCCCACTGATACGGCATTTGTCCCTGAAACTTTTCCTGCTGATAATAGCCAGATTTTATAGCCATATTCTTCGGTAGATCGACGTTCTGCCTTTTCCTCCGACCAAAAGTGAACCAACCTGCGATAATGCCCGAGGTGATTGCAGCGGCGATTCCAATTCCTATTCCAGCCTTCACGCCAACGCTCATCCCAGCAGGAGGCGGCGAAGCAACATCAGTGCTAGATGTAGATGTTGATTCGGCCGCTGACGTTGGGGTTGATGTATCCGCAATAGTAGAGGATGTAGTGTGGGTTGAGCTTGTCGTCTCGGTGGAGCTTGTTGACTGTGCAGTACTTGTTGGCTGTACTATGGCGGATGCTGCAGTGCCTGTGATATTGAAGTAATGGCTGTTCGCCGCTGAAGCTGATTCTCCTTCTATGAACAGACAAAGATAGAACATGTTTGACACAGAAAGATCTTTGTTTGTTTTCACAGTCCAGCTAAACGATCCAACATCACCTGGTACGTTTTCTATGAGAATAAATCAGTATGAAGCGAACACATATAAACAATATATGGAATAAACATACGGGTGATGTATTCCAATGGTCTTAAAAATTACGTCCCGTTTAATTGGAACATGATTAGTGCAGTGCGACTGTTCGCTCCTCCTGGTGTCCATTGAACGTTCACCACCGAGTCCTCAATATAAATAGTATTTAAACTGAAATCGCCAAAAACTACAAACGGGGGAGGTTTAATAAATGTCATACAAAAACCGGCAACAGAGAGCGCCAAAAGACGAATGGATAACAAGGGCCGCATTTTGCAGGTTTGAAAACGTCTCTGCCGTTGACTGTTGACAGATGCACCGCGCAAACGCAAAAAACAGAGACGAGGAAATAAAAAATCGGGAATGAGGGTAAGGAATATAAGAAGATATGCTAAACACGCTAAACTGAGCTCTTACGATACTTTTGTGACAGTTATTTTTTACAACGAGAACCCAAACTCTACTGTTGTTGGTGATGGTTTGGTTGTTGGCGGTTACAAGATGCGTCAAGTGCCTGATAGGTCCGTCCCGCCCACGGACCCTTGTAGCCGCAGACCCACCCATGCATCCGCTCTTCTTTCTAGCCGCCCATCACTTTAACCCTTCCCCGTTTCGGTGCCTGTCACCGACAAAACCAACAAACCAATCCCGTTTGATTCTTTAATTGGATACTATTGACCCATTTGGCCAGATCTAAAGCTATCTGTTACAGTTGATCCGCTGCCAAGATGTACTCGTGCTACCAAAATAGATAGGGCGCGGGCGAGGCAAAATGCACCGACGAAAGGTTTCAGGAGCACTCGTATAGTATATTTCAAGCCTTGGCCTAACATCTCGCTTCTTTTCCTTCGCCATGTTTTGAGTTGTGGCAAAGTCAGCATCACAGTTACGCTGCTTCCAAATAAGCCCTCGAGTTCCAAGCTATTCAGGTTCTTTACGGTCTTTCTTTGTCACGGTATTTATAGAGGGACTCGGTGGCGACTTCGACGACAAGGCTGACGTAGCTGAGCTGGAGAAACTAGAGAAGCTTGGACTGCCAAAAGATAACCTCGAGGACGCCATTAAGGTCGCCCTGCGACATTACCGCAACGACCCGTTTCACTATTGAGAATAGTTGAGTGGAAGTGAATATAGAGGGTGTGAATCGAAGACAGTAAGGAAGGTGCGACCAATGTGTTGCTTGGTAATCGTTCCTGCCATTTTCTCTGACTTCACAGTTCAGAGGAAGCTGCGACTGGGTTTGCTTGATAATCATTCCTTCCATATCAATAAATATCACCAACTCGAAGTCTCGAACGAAGCTGCGACTGATGCTTTGATTGGTAATCGTTACAAGGATATATACTTCGAGCTTGTCCCCCACAAGGTTCGTAGATTATATCTCCCTCTTCCCATCCCCTAACTCTGCAGGGATACCTCCATATGGCGCATACACATTATTAGCCTTCCCAGCGCTATTTTTCTGGGCGCTCCCCCTCGATCCCTCCATCTCATTTACAAAAACTGGCGCATCCAACTGCGTGGGGGTTCTTCGAGAATCCAGCTCTGATATCCCCCCTACATATCCATATTTCTCTGATAGATCCGGCACAGAGTGCTCTTCAGTCCTATTCTTCCTCTTGCGCCGTCTCATAAGTAGCCATAGAGCTACGCCAATAAATACAGCTGCGCCTACTCCGACCGCGGATCCTATTCCTGCCTTGCCCCGGTGGAGAGCCCGCTGGCTTGTAGTATGGGTGTTTCTGTGGGGGATGATGCAGGTGTTGTCGTGGGTGTGGTCTTTGAAGAACTCGAGGAGGACGACGAAGAGGGGCTCAGGGTACTCGTTGTAGAAGTTGGACCAATTGTCAGCGGAATTTTAATTACGGCTGGGGTATCGCAGCAATCTGTATTTGACTGCCCACAACACCAGGTCGTGGCTTGCTCGGCGTCCTTATCACAGGGTGTGACCGGAGCGTTGCCATTGGCGTCCTAAATGTCATGTTAGAGTCTGCATAACTAGATGTGTCATCTAACAGTCGGGAACATACAATAGGGCAGTCGTTGAACGCATTGAGACAATATTCACTTTCCCATGTTTGGTCACTGTAGCTTTGGCGCCAATATCGATTAGCACCAATAATGGTTGCGTTGGCTATCGTAATTCCGCTTGGAAGACTTCGCCTCTAATCAGCACATCGTCTTTTATAGATCATGTCTCAGGAGCGCATTCTATCAAAAAAAGAAGAGCGTGAGGGTACATACCAGCCTAGGTCTGGGGGATAATTGAACACGCTCTCATCAGTGCTCACTCTATAGCACATGCTAAACTTCTGGTTTTGATTACATGGCACCTTCAACATCGTGGGGTCAGCAGAGGTCCTTTTATAACCCAGCCCCAGGAGTCCGTTTCGTCAAAAACGCCAGAAAGTTACATACGAAGAGCGAGCCTGATGCTGCATGGTTGCCATCTTCTCGATAACATGCAGTTGATGCTGCTGTTGCAAAGGACGACGTAAGTAAAACGATTGGAGAAACAGAGAAAAGAAATTTCTGCGCCATTTGAACATTTCTATACAGCCGAGATGTGAGGAGATGGCAAACCTTGGGAGAAATGAAGGATGGAGATGGCTTTACCACTTAAGTTCACATTGATGTTTATCTATAATAAGAGTTTATCTATAATAAGACATTACGTTGATTGGGTTGAGCGTGGGCGCTTAAAATACGTAGGTGTAAGCGCTCTCTCCCCAGACCTAATGCTACCGGAACGGGTGACCAATAGAAATAGGGAGGTTATAAACGCTTGGGGGATGATCGCTCGGGAATATGATATTCCACACCTAAATCAGGTGACTCTCACGGGTTCCCTTCGGTTTGCAGCACCAGCAAGCGTCACCACAAGGCAGAATACAGTATATAGAAAAATAGTAAGAATTATCTACTCTACTCGATGGGCTACGTGACTACATATAGGAATCCTGGGGGGTGGCCGAAACCCCGAGTTTCTGTCCACTGTTTCGTTAGCTGGTCACCAGACTAGGAGAAGCTAATGGGATGCCCCTGGGAAACTCCCCAAAGCAGGGTTATTCCTTTGCAAATCACAAGTTTATCGCCGGAATCTCCAACAATTAAGAATAGTCACTCTACCCTCTCCTATAATACTGTTTAATTACCTATAGAAAAGCATAAAACAAAAAGAGCAAATATAACAAAGACTAAATTAATAATTTTCTGGAAGTCTACCTTACTCACATGATCGTCTTTCTGCGCTACGCTCATGAGGCTAGGTCTTTCAAGAGGTCGTCCCCATCCCATCTCCATCCCCATATCACCACTCACATCACCACCTTACCCCTCCACCATAGGCAGACCACAAAATAGACGCAATCTACCACCCCCTCTCCTCCATCCACCAATTCGACGCTCATAACACCCGCCAAGAAGCCCTTTCTTATCTCCCTCTCTCTTCGGGAAGGTGTGACGCTCCCTCGTGCTTGGCATTGCTTGGTACTATATACAGGGGCTGGGGTTGATCAGGAACCGAAGGAAATAGGATGCTGGCTTCACCTGATTCGATTTAATTACAGGATTCTTAGTTATCAGACTACATGTGTTAGGGCATGAATGAATGACTGTAGAACGCGGGGTCTGCCGGCATTGACCATGACCTTAACAGCAAGACTGGTGAACAGAAAAGGAAGGAGATGTCACTCCCTCACTAGCTAACTAGCCTTGTCAACAGCAGTCCTTCATTAAAACAAGCTGCAACGCACCGGCACTCGCTCGTTTAGAGCACGGTCCCGACGCCTATTCGTGGGATTCTAAAGGAGAGGGGAAACATCTCCTTGCCTCATTTTTGCATTCTCGTCGGCAATGACAGATCTGATACAAAAGACCACTTGAACATGAGTTGACGGCAAGGGGCTATCCCGTGACAAACGCAAGTAAAGTCAGGAGCAGCAGGCGCTGTCTCTTTGTGGGGAGGAAGCTGCATCTTGACAATTGAAGATAAGAAATGCCGAGATCTCCTCGGTAGGTAAAAAATCCAACACCACCCCGCTCCAAACTCCGCTGAATCTGCAAGACATCCTCTATGCCCCTCCACGAGCCCACCCTCGCCTCGCGCCTACCTCTTCCCGGCCCCACCTCCGAAGCTGCTGCTGTGAAAAGCAGGGCACTTAGTGTCCATAGGGTAGCAGTAAAGACGTCGGCACTATTAATCTACACGCGCTGGCCGTCTTAAAGCTTAGATACCGGTACATCGTGGTTGCCACCCTACACCAACCAACCAAGCCCCCCATCCCCCTTCCAGACTCCTTCCCAATCCATCCCTTGGTACTGCAACAGGCTCCGCTTTTCGCGCCAAGAGAAGAGTGTAATATAGACTTAAAGTGTACGGTATTCAATGACAGGGCGTGGCAGCTAGGAGGACGCCGCGAGCGATATATACCTGCTTCGTTGGGGCTCTTGGCCCTTTTGCACTTGTCGGAGCTTCTTGTTTTGGACTGGCTGGCTTGGTTTGTCTTCGCTGATCATTCGAAGGATCATGTTATGGTATGGGATTGTAGAGCTGCGAGATAGAGATAGAGAGGTGGGGTTAGATTGACGTGCATGAAGGTGAGAGAGTAGAGTTGGGAAGGGAGACGAGATGAACGTATATATAAAGACCTAGTAACCACCTTGTTGGCAAAACAGTTCCAGTCCCAGTCCCTCAGTTCTACTTGCCAGTAAGTGTTCACTTCTCACAGTTTGACACTTTGGATGAACCCATCAATTTCCGGCTATCGTCTTAGAGTTCATCCAAAGCAAACCAAAATCTTCTCCAATCGAACTCTTACTAACACATCAAATAGATCCCCAAACCCACCCCTCTTGACCCCCCTGATCACCGCCCATCATGGCACGCTTCACCCTCCTCACCCTGGCCCTCGCAAGCACCATCCTCTCCCCTCTGTCCACCGTCCTCGCGCACCCCACCAATGGCCCCCGCAACACAAGGCTCGGCTGCGGCGTCGTGCCCACCCCCGAGTTCCTTGCCACAGCCAATGAGATGGCCGCCCAGGAAGCATCGTCGAAATCCGCTCTCGGTGCTCTGACTGCCGCTGGAGGTGTTTCCGCAGCTGCGACTATCAACGTCAATGTGTATTTCCACGTCGTAGCGAAATCGACCGCTGCGAGTGGTGGGTATGTGACCGCGGCGCAGATTGCGAATCAGGTGACGGTTATGAATAACAACTATGGTGAGTTTGTAACCTAACCCCTGAACCCCTCGCTTGTGCTTTCTCCCATCTTCCTACTTTTGATCTTGGTTTGGGTTTGAAATGAGAAAATGGGCATATGCTGACCAATCTCCAAAGCTGCTTCCGGTTTCCAGTTCACTAACGCTGGTGCTGACTGGACCGTCAACTCCAACTGGGCATCTGACGGCGCCGAGTTGGCGATGAAGAAGTCGCTCCGCAAGGGTACTTACAAGGATCTGAACATCTACTTCATGTATGCTATCGGTGGTAACTTGGGATACTGCTATTTCCCAACCAACGCTGCTACTGGATCCAATGACTTCTATGTAAGTGCTTTGTCAACCCTATAACCAAATTTCCTTAAGCATTGAAGATTAGAGCTTGAGTTAGAGTTGGGATTAGAGTTTGAGGTTGGTCTTGGAGTAGGAAAGAAGCTAACGAGAGAAACAGTACGATGGCTGCTCCATTCTCTACACCACCGCTCCTGGCGGCCCCGAAACGAACTACAACCTCGGCAAGACCGTAACACACGAAGTCGGCCACTGGATGGGTCTCTTCCACACCTTCCAAGGCAACTCGTGCTCGGGCTCAGGCGACAGCATCTCCGACACCCCGCAGCAATTGTCGGCTAGCAGTGGGTGCCCAACTGGCCGTGACTCCTGCCCAACTGTCGCTGGTTTGGATCCCATCCATAACTACATGGATTATTCTTATGAGTGAGTTTGATTTATTTGATGTTTGGTGGGGATGTGTGAGAGATGGATGGATGCTAATGAGATGCAGTTCTTGCTATGACAACTTCACTCCTGGCCAGAATACTCGTATGCTTAGCATGTGGAACACCTACCGTGCTTAGATGCGTTCTAGCTTCGAGAAAGGGTTGTTTCAAACAGAAACTGGTGGAGAGGCGAAATGAGAGTGAGATTGAGACTGGGACTGAAACAATTACCATTGGCCGTTGGAAAATGGGTTGGCTGGACTGAATGTGTGTCACTTAACGCTTCTGTTAGTTTGATGTTAGGAAGGTATGTTTAAAGCGGTTGGTCAACTCACGGCTTTAGGCGCCTATTGTGTCCTTTGTAATGAGACAGTTTGACCTCTATGGCAAGCACATCCCAGTCGTTATTGTCGGGACTGTGCACGACTAGTAGGCAGACATCCTCATAGCAGAGCACATCGAAGAGTCTAATGTCCCCTTCCACTATACCCGTATTAATGTCAACTTTAAGATCGTCGTCGTCTAAGCTAGGATTATCTCTTCGTTTCCTTTTGCATTAACTAGCTCTGAGGTTGACATCCTATGCTAAAAAGAAGGAGTAGTAGTAACATAAACTAAACCTAATGTTAATCTATAGGGTATATAGATTTATTGCGGGCCTAGTAGCAGCTAAGTAAAAGCCGGAGGTCGTCTACCCCCTCTTCTTTACCCAGTCTTCATTATACATATGCTAGATGGATGATATTATAGTCCCTCTAGAATAGTGCTAAATCATAGAGTACTACGGGACATCTATATCCAGCCAGCTGATTCAAATGTACAATAATTTGTCCAAGCTGGCCTCCCAAAACATCACGTGAAACGATAAATACCCCTTTTCAGGGAAGGCATTCCACCATTCCACCATTCCTCAACCCCTCAATCACTTTACAACCTAGTTCCGATATTAACATGCACAGCCTTCGAGTTCGTATATCCTGCCAGTCCCGCCTCTCCAAGCTCCCTACCAATACCACTCTGCTTCACACCTCCAAATGGCACCCTGAAGTCACTGTCATTGCTGGAGTTGATCCATACCATGCCCGCCTCCAGCTTCCTCGCAATACCATGCGCGCGCTGGATATTCTGCGTGAAAACAGCTGATCCCAGGCCATAGATCGAGTCGTTGGCCATCTGGATAGCCTGCTCCTCGGTCTTGAAAGATGCGATGACCACGAAGGGACCAAAGACTTCCTCTTTGTAGATGTCCATCTCGGGCTTGACATCCGAGAAGATGGTGGGCTTGACGAAGTATCCCTTTCCGTCACCAACGTCTGTGAAGCTCTCTCCACCACAGACCAGCTTTGCGCCTTGGTCCTTGCCGGACTGGGCGAAGCCGAGAACGCGCTCGTGCTGTACCTTGGTGATCTGAGGGCCTTGGCTGGTGGTTGCGGCGAAGGGGTCACCGACGACTTGGATCTCGGAGACGTATTTGGTTAAGTCGGCGACAAATTTGTCGTAGACACCCTCCTGGACGAGAATGCGGGATGTGGCGCAGCAGACTTGACCCTGGTTGTAGAAAATGCCGATGTGCTATGCATGTTAGGTTGGGTTCGTTTGCTTCAAAACTGTGGAGGAAACTTACAGCCCATTTGACGGCTTGGTCCAGCTCAGCGTCGTCGAAGATCAACAACGCAGACTTTCCGCCGGTCTCGAGAGTAATGTTCTTCATGTTAATGGATGCCATCTTCATGATCTCCTTACCAGTAGTGGTGCTACCAGTGAACGCAATCTTATCGACATCCAAGTGGCTCGCAAGAGCCTTTCCAGCCTCTCTCCCATGTCCGTTAATAATATTAATAACTCCCGGCGGGAAACCAGCCTCCTTAAACAAGCTAGCCATGTATAGAATGGACAACGGGGTCTGCTCAGCTGCCTTGAGGACAACCGTGTTACCACACGCCAATGCCGGTCCCAGCTTCCAAGCCGCCATCTCGAGCGGAAAGTTCCACGGGATAATCTGACCACAAACACCGACAGGTTCTTTGATAGTATATGCAAGCTTATCGGCACCAACATCGATGGTCTGGCCATGGTTCTTGTCCGCGTAGCCGGCATAGTATCTTAAGACCGTGGCGCTGCCCGCAACGTCGTCATTGAGGGACACACTATATGGCTTTCCATTGTCCCATGTCTCGATAGTGGCCAGCGTCTCCGCGTGCTTGTCGATGAGATCAGCAAGCTTGAACATCATCGTCCCGCGATCCGTGGCGGGGATGTCGCGCCAAGTGGGGTTCTTGAAGGCGGCGCGAGCTGCGGCAACTGCAGCGTTGACATCGTCTTCGGTGGCTGCGTACACGGAAGTAATCGCGGTCTCGTTGCTGTCAAATCAACAGTTAGTTTCTGTGGAATGAAACTGGCGGTGAGATGAGCAGGATTGGGCTCACGTCGGGTTGATCGTCTCGATCTTCTGGCCATTGCTGCTCTTTACGAACTCGCCATTGATGTACAGGCCGATGGGCTGGGTGTACTTGACGCCATTGGGGGCTGTCAATTCGACGGAAAGGTCGGAAGACATCTTAAGGGCGGTCTGTGTGCTAAAAAGCTGGTATTGTTTATGCGGGCTCGAAGCTGGCGGCAGTCGCGGTGAAGCTTTGAAGCGCGTAATGTACGAGGAAGGTTTTGAGTGGGCTATAGAAGACAATGCTGCATTGCGGAAGGAAGAATAGAGCTTATGAACGAGCATCTCAAGTGGAATAGAAGTTCAGGGAAAGAGCCAACAACAGGCAAATGTTAGATGCGGGGTTACCGTGCGGGGGGGAAGTATTGGGGAGTGGACTGGAGTGGTGTCAGCATATGACGATAGTGGGCTTGGCGCTATATTGCCGCGGTTGTTCCGAATCTAGGCCTTCAAAATATGAGATGCCTTATTAATCTAAGGCCGCTGTTGGTTTTCTTGGTATTGTAAAACATATATTTTTTTGATTTGGGACATTATACTTGTTATATTGTCCTTTTTAAGGTGCGTATATAAGTATGTGCTTTTGTAAACATTTCAATGTATAAATGTAGGTAGCTGTCACGTACTGTATGTCATCTGCGGCCCATTATGCGGCCACCCCTGGTCTGCAGATAGGTAATCTGAACTGCAACGACACTCATTCTTAACAATTTGGTATTATCGATACTATATATGTATATGTTGCTGTATGTCCCGGCATTCCACTCAGATAGTCCTCTTATATTTGAAGACTGCCAGTATATATCCAATTTCAGCTGCCGTCAATGTCGCCGTCTCCCCAAACTCCAAACAAATAACCCCCTTAAGACTTTCTCCCCGCCATCCTGGTAGTTCCCAATCTGTTCCGCCCAGTACGTGATATAAATAAACAGTTACAAAACCTCCCTCCCCGCCCAGTTCGCCCTTTACCTGGGCATATAAGCTCCATGCTCCAAACACCCGCCGCCGCTGCAGAAAAAACAACAAAACGATAACAAAAAGACTCCGCCGCGCTGAGAAACAAAAGGGGTATAAATAGGTATGCTCGGTCGCCCGATCCATGCAATTCTTCGGTGGTGTTGGCACACGCAGTGTGCCGTGATAAGAGCGAGTTATAATAACAGATAGTGTGGTACAACAGATGATCCGGTACAATATATAATGTGGTGTAATATGAAATAAATGATAGTGTGATAGTATGATAGTTCGTTGTTGCTTGCAGATTCGGTTGTAATGTGGCACCGTTGGGTTAATTTGGTTTGATAAAGGGTGTGTTTCGGTAGGTAGTATTTGGAGTGATGATAGATAGTGACGACCCTATTGCCGCTGCCCGCTAGAGTCGCCTGGCTTCGGAGTCGGTTGTTGCGCCTGCTGTTGAGCTTGCTGCTGGGCTTGCTGTTGCGTTTGCTGTTGCGTTTGCTGTTGTGCTTGCTGTTGTGCTTGATGATTTGCTTGATGATTTGCTTGATGGTTTGCTTGATGATTTGCCTGATGATTTGCCTGCTGATTTGCTTGGTACTGCGTTTGGTACTGTGCTTGGTACTGTGGTTGTTGCTGTGGTGGCTGTGGTAGTTGTCCACTTGGCCACGATCGGTCACTGCCACCTGGGGGGTAGAAGGTAGATTGCGGACGTTGCGCAGCGGTGTTGGAAAGCCAACTTGGAACCACCACAGGGCCAGAAACGCTTCTAGTTTGGGGAGGTAGATGCTGTGGGTGTTGGCCTCCTTCTGGTCGAGGCTGTGCGCTGGCGTATGGGGTGGTAGGAGGGAGATATTGCATATTCTGCCCTTCTTCTGGTCTGGATTGGTTATCAGGGCGTCCATATTCTCCCTGATCATCTAGTCGCCTTCGTCTTGCAGGTCTTTCGCCTTGGGTCATGTCGTCTCCGGGGGACTGCCGTCGTGAGCCGGGAGAAAGGTCATGAGAGAGTGGAGATGGCTCCCGAATAATAGGACTCCGTGGTGGCGCTTGTAAAGCTTGGTTTCTGGTCGCCGGGTTGTCGCATAACATGCGCCACATTCTCTCTGCTTCAGCCTGAAAGAAGTCGCTCCGTTCCTTGTGGTAGGCTATCATCTTATCTCTGTCTTGAATCTCCTTATTCTCCTGTTCCTTTTTATCTTTGGTCCTTTTGCGGAAACGCGCCGAGGCGCTTGCATTGCGCTTTCGTCTATTACCAGCCTCAATTGATCCTACATCCACATCCACAGGTATGTTGAACTCGCCATTTCTTGCTGCCCAAAGCAGGTCATGCCCACCGCTAACGGGGCCTTGGGGGGGCATTATCTCCGGTGGGTGAGTTGTGTAGGGGCCTGGTTCTTGTAGGTTTCCCTGTGACGGACCTCCTTCTGGGACGGCTCCTCTTTGAGTTGGACCTGTGAAATATGGTGGGCCAGAAGGCGGCTGGCTCATCTGAGTCATCGCAGCGGGCGATGGGTGGCTGCTATAAGAGTATGGAGAGTTCGGGCTCACACTCTGTGAATTCGGTAACCTTGCTGCTGGCCCTCCCATCACAGCAACACTCGCTCGTCGGTTTAAAGGTGGCCCAGACACGGGAGGAGGCAAATTGATAGGACCTCGAATATGTGCAGGAATGGCGGGCACCGGTGGGATTTCGGACGAAGCACCAGTCCCCGGGACTACAACGTGCGGCCACCCTGACTCGTATTCAGGTGGTGGTTGAACAAAGGGTCTTTGGCCTCCCATCGCCGCATTGCCGAGACTAACAGTTCTATTGACGCTTGGGGCCAAACTTCTCCTGCGCCGCCCGGCGAAGCCGGCGTTCGCTGATAATAAACTAGGACTATTCGGAGGTTGATTTAGACGTGATATGAGTGGTGGTATTACTGCGCGAGTGGTCTGTTGTGGTAGTGACCGATCCACGAAAGCCATCTGGGAATTGGAACTAAACGTGGACTGCACACGGCTGTTTGCAGACTCCGTTGGGTTTAACATGGTATGGACGCCAACTCCCCGAGAAGCACCAGGTGCACAATTATCGCCAGGCGTCATTGGCGGATAAGTTTGTGCATGGGGTTGGGCTGCTGGCTGCTGGCTCAGCTGCTGTGAATTTTGATCTCGAGAAATTTCATCTCCATGGTCAAGCCCAGCATGTTGACCTTCTTGTCCCCGAAAAGTACCAGCGGGCGAACTATCATCCCGGCCATCGGCGGTTGATTGAGATACAGGACGAGACGGAGCCGGCCTCTGTGACATTGAGCCCTGATCTCCTGGCCCTTTATGGTCCCAGAGATCGGGACATGGGAGTTTTTGCCCGTCCTGCCCCAAAGTTGGACTGCCGTGGGGGCTTGGATCAGATTGTATTTGGCCTCTCCCTACAACACTGGGCTGTTGTTCCTTGAGGCTTCGTGCGGAATTTGCAGGATACAAGAAGGTAGAAGCAGCGAACGCTTGGGGCGCTGGCCTGTAGAGAATGGTTTGCACAGCCAGGGTGAAGGACGATGGCGGGTTGCCTAAAAGGCCACCACGGTGCTCCGAAGCGTAGGCAGGTAAGTTTCCGGTATCACCGCGTAAAATCCAATCGCTTCAGCTTGAAATTTTGACTTCGAGTGATGGTAGTGTTTTTGCTTTTTCGTGGATCTCTTGTTATAATGTATGATGAGCTGTTGGACAGGGATAGTCGCACCAAACCGCCGTTGATTCGATAGGCGGCTGGATCTTGGTTACCGTCAGCTATGAGCAGTAACGTTTTCAAGTGAGATGTATAGGTTGAGATTGGCGCGCTTCTATTGCGTCCAGGCCAGTAGCACAACAGTCGGTGCAATATATTGAGGAAGAACAAATTACGGAAGGAGGGACGACGTCTATTTGTTGTGGGCGAGCCAGTCAAATAATGAAGAATGAGTTGAGAGTTGTGAGTGGTTCGTCGTACTATGGAGCTGACTTGGATCCGGTTGGCCAGGCTTAACAGGAACAGCGGTAGACTCTCGTCATGATAGCCAGCCTTCGTAACCTTACATCCTAGGGCTCATAAATCCCGTATCGTGGGAACCGTAGAAAAGAGTTTGCATGAGCGGAAGCGCGACTTACTCTGCATATGACGGTGGAAAGCCCCACGCATATTTGGGGGACCATTGGGCTCCCTAGCCGTTGTCCTCCTGTGAGAAAAGATGTCCCAACAGCCAGGGCATGGGATGCATCTTAGTGTGGGGCTATGTGCACCTTGATGAACATTGAAAGTACTCTTGGCGTATACCGTGGGTAGACCGGGGAGAAAGCCAAATGCCCCCCAACACGTTACTCCAAATAGGGAAGCCTTTCACGCTTGTGTAGGGCGTAAGCGGGAGAAAGGATGTCCCCTCAGGGTAACTGATCCACAGGTACTGGCTGCAGGCTTAGCACAATACTGCGGTGCGGGTCAACGCCAGATGAGTTGCGAGTAGCTTGAAAGGTAACAAAGTACCCTTGGTGAACGTTGCAAATCAGTGGTAAATCGACGGTGTTGGCTGTGCAGACATGTCATAATCTTTGCGTCAGCGCAATCATGTCCAGTTGCTGTATCCCATCACACATACCGATACTACTCTGGCTACCCTGGTCGCTCCGCGCAGTCTAACGGGCGAACCAACGACATAATCTAGAGGCGCTTCGGTTGCTGAGTTGCTGGCTGAGAACCATATCGCCTCACTATCCAGCGATCATCAGCTTCCAACACACTAGGGGACCACTGCTCCTGATCGGGAGTAGTGTTTCGATCAGTCCCGGCGTCTCACGTCCCAGCTGATCATGACCTCCGGCCGGGGAAAGGATCCTGCGACTGTTTGGGGGTTAGAATTGCACCCCACTCCGGGTGAGTCGTAGCGTGTGCTCCGCACTCGCTCTAAGAAGTCGTCCTGACCGTCTTGGCGGAGATCTTTACAGGAACTCGGTTCACGACGTGGGTCCGAACTGACGGTTGGACTCGACACGCCAGCGCCGTCGTACAATCAGTTTTTGTTAGTGGACCGGGGAAGGCGGGACGAGCCACTAGGGACAAAATCCAACGAGAGAGAGCAACGCCTAGAACAGAAACAGGTAGCCCAGAGTCCGGTGTGGTATTGTGGTGCGGAGTACCTACGTAGTGTACAGAGGAAAAGAGAGGGTTTGAGGTAAACCCCTGGTGGCCAAAACACACAGTGGCTTTGTGCAAAATCAATCTAACCCTGCCCTTGTAAATCACATTGGACGAAACGCAACTGACAGGAAGTTGTGCCTTTGCAAGGAAGAAACAGTAGAAAGACACCTGGTAAAACATACCTGCCCGCCACAGCTCAGGGATCGAGGATTAAAACAGATAGAGCGTCCGACACGCTTACTCCTGGACATGTATGGTCAGTGTACAGCTCATGACGAAAGGCACTGTGTGCACCACGAGTTCAAAATTATCATCCCAATGCAATCATTGTGCAGCATCGTACATACGTATCCGGAAATGTCCCGAGAGGCACGACCCGGTCGGCACTACCGCTCTAGCACAGTGGGCCCAACAAGGGAGCACCAAATGCAAGGTGAACCCCCCGCGGGTCCGTGGCATTTCGTCGAAAGCGCCAAGTTCAGCCCGCCCGGCAATGCAGGCAATCAAAAGCTGTCTGTGGGTATTAAATTGCTTCCACGTTCCTCATGCACGCCGCCCTGTGCTTTTCAACCCATTGTGCGACCAGCCCTCGCCGAGCGATCCGAGTGGCGTGTAAAACAGACGCTCAGATCTTATTGTTGCCTTGCATTACAACGCTTGTGCTTTGAGTCCCATCAATCCCGTGCACTTAGAAAACTGGAGGGAACGTAGTGTCATACGTACCCCAGTGGCGTCCGTCAGCTTCGCTTTGGTAGCGCCAGGGCGAAAAGGTGGTGATGACGGACTGATCGTCCCAAGGTTGCTTCCCAGCTGCTTCGCCTCGCTGGTGCCTTTGGCTTCCATTCATTTCCTCGGATACCCAGTCGTGTGCCTTGGAATGATCCTCATTACATCTCATGTCGCAGCAAGCCACTGGTTGACTTCGTCCAGGATGTGCACCTGTATCGTAGAGTAGAGTAGTATTTACCACTACTGAGTACGTGCACTGGGATGTACTGTCTTTGTGAGTGGACTTGGTGAAGTGCGGAGTGCATATAAATCCAGCAACTGCATATGTCCATGCACTGCCGACAAGGAGTATGACTGTTTCACACGTCGAGCATAAAACGGGACGTTGATTTTGCTTCTGAGCCTGTGTGCTAATATTCCCACCGCATCAAACCTTCATCATGGGGGCTTGGCGTCGGTCGAACTGCCCAAGGAAGCAAGACACAACACCAACGCGAGAGATTTTCAAATTTTTCACAGGGCCTATGGTCTCGCTTTGCCGGAAATAGATATCGTCATGTGGAACAGATCGGTTTATTATTTCATCTTAAAAACGAGCTGTAGTGCAAAGACTGTGGGGGTAGGAGTGAAGGTGGTTGGCTGGTTGCGTGGCCTCCAGTAAGATGAGATACAGTAGCTCTACATGGGCCCCAGAATATACGATCAGATTTCCAGTGCTGTGGTGGTCTAAAAGGCGTTCACCCATGACACTCCACTGTGGTTTTTTCTCAATGGTAGAGTGTGACCTGCCATTTCATCCTGCGTTGTGGGAATGGTTTGTGGTCGGTCCCCAACCAGGAGATAGATAACATGCATGTAAACGCGAACCGTTTCTGACGTGTGTGCAAACTTGAATGCGACGGAAAGAAGCCATTCATAGTGCTACATGTCAATTGGTAGCGAAGGAGCAGAGTCGTACAACGCTGAACTCGAAGTACTTCCTCTCAGAAACACGGTTAAAGTGAGATTCACACCGTCTGTACGCACTGAATACATGGTCCTGCATGTAGTACGTACTTTTTGGTGCAAGAAAAGGCTCGCCCCATTTTAATCCCGTCTTAAAACCCCAGCAGTCCCAGCAGTGCATACAGTAGTGACCGACCCGAGCTGGCGGTAAACAATTCGAGAAGTTCCCGTTGCCCATGTAAATAATTGACGCCTGAATTGCTTGGATAATTTGTACCTGAAGCTGGTAGATTCTGCGAATTTGGGGTTAAAAAAAAATAGGAAGGAGCATGAGGAGCCTTCGTTGGCATTTGAGAGGCCGACAACAGGAGAAGGGAAACCCTTGCATCGAAATATACGCAGGTAGCAACGGGACCAGCAAGGCGCGACGCAGCCAACAAGGCAATCCTACCCAAGGACAATGCCCAACATCAGTGTTGTTTTCCATGAAATTGACTGGAATCATAACTGTATGAAGCCATACTGGGATCACGGCAACAAAAAAAACGGCCCGACAGGGAGCTCTAATTTCTCGTGTAGATCGACGCAAAGCTGTGCACAATCCTTCGCTCCTTCGCTCACAACCCCCCCAGCCAAGACTTTCGTCGTTGTGTCAATGATGGCTTAGACCTTACATCATCATAGAAGAAGCCATTCGCGCATCCAGTCCAGACCGCCACACCTGTGAAAATATTTTGCCACCCAACAAGCTTCCTTAGTTCAGCATGCGCAAATTAGCTGACTTGTCGGAATCCAGCAATCGCAGGGACCTACTCCCTGCATGACGGCTGGGTTAGCCAAGTAATTGGACGGTGTGACAATTAATTGTCTCCTCTTTAAGCGTCGGTCAAGTCGAGTCCGAGATGAGCACCAAGGCACGGAGTTGTTCGGATGGTGCCTGTGATGGGTCGGTGCGGTGAATTAGCTGATCGGAATCGGAAGACAAATATGCTCATACCCCGTAGCAAACAGACCAGTGGCCCGACGCGCTGATGGCCGAGCCCAATTTAGTGAACGCGCCCTTCCTACACGGGGTCTGTGCAAGGCGTACCCGTAGGCGGGTATACCCATTGCCAAGGATATGCATACGCGTCCAGTAAATGATGCCTTGTTGGTGACGGCTGGGGTGAGCTTCGACGTACATAATCGTGGGGGATGAGAAGCACCAAGGGCTTGTCTCCGACTTTCTGCAGAGTTAGCAACGGTGAGAGGTTCGAACGCTCGTTGTCATGCACCCAGACACTGCGTGCATTGGATCCCTCTAAAATCGATGTTCAAGATCTAGCGGTCAGCGGTCAAACCACCATAAGGTCCCATTGTCCCGCGGCTGCATATCCTCCAACCTGCATGCCCACAACAGGGGTGACATGTATTTCTCATGTATATTGGATGTCCATCCCACAGAGCGTCGACGTGTAGTTTCAGGCAAAATAAAAGTCGGTCACCGCACATTGCAATTCCGCATCCTGGGCACTACACTTTTGAAGCACACCACCAGCTTTTTGGTAATCATATGCTGTATCTAACAGCTCTAACCTGCATACGGCAGAGGTTTATTGTGCCAGCAGAGCTTTGTGGCCATCGTATACTACAGTCAAGATCTTCAGACTGTGTAAATAGGAGGTGAAACCTGCCACAAACGGATCAGTAAGGTAGATAATCACCACAAGAGTACTCTACCTGTGCCATCAACTTTTAACACTTTGATGCGCGGACCGGTTCATGCACGTCTCCTTCCGCATGAATTAGTTTTTGCTTTTGGTGTCGTTTTTTTCTCATCGGCTTGCCTGTTTAGGTGAGGCTTCATGCATGCAGTGTCCGCCTCACCTTTGATGGCCCATCAAAAACGCCAGCGTGGGGGGGAGGACACACACAGTATCACATGACTGTAAATAGATCCAGGTCATATCGACCTGCTTATTCCGTACCTGCAACATCGTTCATGACTTGCATGAAAAACACTGCATGACTTTTGTCAGTCAGACCCTGCAGCCTTCCAGCCCTGTTTTCGTCAAGTTCAAAGTGTATGTGTATCACGTGATTGACATACTGCCATATGGCTTTCTTGTCTCCTGTCTCCCATCCAAACACCAGTGCACCATGGAATAGAAGAGGAGCTTGAACTTGATATAGCACACATACCTTTTATCACGTTTTCCTCGGCGTCGAATGGATTCATACTAGGTATCGCCCAGTGTTCCTTGTGTTAACAATCAACTGTGATGTGCTGATGTTAGAAAACCAGTAAACCCTGAGATTTATTGCTCCTAAAAGGCACCACGCAGCAATATCAAAGCATCTTGTTACTGATGATGGCTTTGACTGACCATGGTTTTGATAAACTTCATCGACTTTCTTGTGAATATCAGGTGACCAACGACGGATACATAGCAAGGGGGATAAGATTAATGAAACCCCTCATCACCCCGCTCTCGATAACATCCTAATCGGATAAAGGTGAAAGGCCTAGAATTCCTTCGATTCCCTCGCCCTCAAGGTTCAACAAATATATAAACACAAGTATATTTGGCCGATAGCCTTATATTCTCCGATCGATCGATTGGCCTAACCCCGTTTTGGCGCCGCGGACCGTCCTTCCGAGAGCTCCGCAGGTAAGAGATAGAGGCTTCTTATATGAGTCTCGAAGAAGCCACCTGACTTCTTCTGTCTGTAAAATCTCTCATATATCCGTTGCTCCTCTCAATTGCGCTTCCCTCGACGACCCTCGAAAGCAACCTTGATCGAATTGCACTGTTATCGGCCACTCGATCAAAATTGCGACCCAAGGCCGTCAGAGCTAGAGAGAAGCCTCAAGATAAGACACGCTCAGCCCGTCCAACAACATGCCGGAATTACAGAGATGGGAAATTCAGGAGCCATACCTCAGGCCCAATGGTGACCTCCTTGAAGGCCCATTTTACGAGCCCGAAAACAACCGCCTCCGTTTCGTCGACATCATCCAACGCAAGCTCCACGTGATTGATATCGCCGAAGGGCCGACATCGCTCAAGACCATCGACTTTGATATCCCAGTTGGCGTTACGGCAGATATTGAGGGCGTCGATAGCAAGGATAAGATCCTGATAGGCGGAAAGACTGGAATTGCGATCCTGGACCGGAACACAGGGAAGTACGAATATATCAAGAAGTTCTACGATGACGTGGATGAGGCTCGAGATGATCGGATGAGGAGTAACGACGGGAACGTCGATTCCGAGGGCCGAATGTGGATCGCGACCATGACTGATTTCCACGCTGGACCGTGTAAACCAGAGGGTATTTCTCCCCTTTCCAGCGCGATATCCCCTCGTTAAGACTGACAAATGCTAGGGCACCTTTTAAGCTTCGACTCCAACCTCAACCGCGCATCGCACCGCTCCGAACTCGTCATCCCCAACAGTGTCGGCTGGTCCCTCTCCAATACCACCTTCTACCTCGTACACTCCACAGAGGCCACTATCTACGCCTACGACTTCGACGCTGCCACTGGTGCTATCAGCAACCCACGCGTTTTCTGGAAGCTCGATACTGGCTCTGAACCCGACGGATTTGCCATCGACGTCGAAGGCTACATCTGGCAGGCCGTGTACGGTGATGGCAAGGTGCTGCGTATCAGTCCTGAGGGCAAGACGGTGGGCGAGATCATACTGCCGACGCGTAACGTGACGTGCTGTGCGTTCGTGGGTGAAGACCTGTGGATCACGACGGCGAGCGAGTCCGCTGAGAATGCGAAGTTGTACCCTGAGAGTGCGCGGAACGGGGGCGCGCTCTACAAGATCAATGTTGGCATCACAGGGGTGGATAAGCACAAGTTCAAGTTGACTGAGGAGACGAGGAAGACAGTTGGCCTATGAATTTTCTCAGATGAGGTGGGTGAAGGGCTAGGTATTCTTGTTTCATAGTGAACACAATTCCAGCTGTTGCAGTTGCTATCTCGCGCTGGTGTAATTTGCCCTTTTCTTGACTCCATTTCCGAGTCCGAGTAACTTATGTATTAACTGTAGCCTGAGTGATTAAGCATCTTTGTTCCGACCACAGCCAATTTAAATGGTAGCTGACTTCACTGCCCCTCTTCAATTTTGGGAAGGCACGATCAGTATCCGTCTTCATATTTTGAGAAGGCACGAATAGTGTTTTTCTTCAAACTTAGAGAAGGAACGAGCAGCGTCCCCTGTCAAACTTTAGGAAGGCACGAGAAGTGTCCTTGTTTATAATTTGAGAAAGTACGAATGGTATCCTTCATGAAACTTTGGGAAGGCACGAGTGGTGTCCCTCTGTAAACATTGGGAAGGCGCGGGTGGTTAGTCTATCAAGGTCTACGTCCAGCATCATGGAGATGGCAATTACATACTACTGATCACCCCGAGAAAAAAGTTCAAAGGATAAACTGACGGTCAGAAGTTCTTCGATAAGGGCATTGTTCAACGCATAGTTTCTCTGTCATAACTGATTTACCCCCTCGACGCATAGTTCCTCGGCCATCGCCGCGACTATTCTCCTCGCCACGATGTCGGACTTATACAATGCAACCACTTTCACCAATCGCGCAGTGACTCCAACGGGCCTTGGTGGTTTTGCTTATCCAGACCGTCCCACCGTGTTTATCTTCCTCCCTGGCGGATGGTCTGGCGACATGTGGCATTGCGCAGCTGCAACGGCTCTGTGCCAAAGCGAAGATAAAGATGTCATTCGTGCATATGCAATCACGATCATTGGAATGAAAGAGAAAGTCAGCTTGGCCCGAGATGGCACTGTGGAGGTTTCTCCAGATTACTCGATTATCTATGGAAACCGAACATACAACTACTTTCACTCCATTCAGATTCCTGCTCTCCTTGCCCGACTCAACAAACTGGAGAGTAGATTCCAGCCACTTTTTAGCGGCAATATCACTAAGGGCTCTGGCGAGTATTTGAATAAGATCATCGCCCTTTACCGTGCGAATTACGGGAACCCGAATGCTGTCTGCAGCTTCATGTGGCCTCTCACTCCCGAGACTGAGGAGGTTGCCAATGCACGCCCATTTCAGCTTCCCCCAAATGTCGCCAAACCAGTCTCCTTGGCAGAAGATGTGCTTTTCCCCAACGACGACGATATCCCTGAACTCGCCACAAGCGATATAAACCCTCCTTACCTGTTTGACGGAAATGAAGATGCTGTGACAGGCCCAGGCCATATGCTGCACCTATGGACTTCAACAACTATCACCATGCAATATCTTTATGACCCCAACAAACGCGCAGGCCGCATTCAATACCTCCAGGAGCAACTTGGCAACATATCAAAGACAAACTCCACTTGGTTTCAGCAAGCGCGCGCACTTGCAGACAAACTTGTCATGCTTGCCACGCAGGAAGGTGTTGACAGGTCGAACGCCAAAAGGGTTGTGCTCTTCAACTACCGCAAGGGCGACGTAAACAAGCAGCATGACGGGAACATAGGCCTTCTCAGTTCTGTCTCTCAGTTTGGTGCCACAAAGGGATTCGTCGTCATTGCACTTATTGTCAATGTGCCTCAGGAAGAGGTTGATTACCTCAGGATAAACAACCATGTCGTCCTGAATCTCTATGCAAAGGGGCAATACTACGACAAGCGGTACACTGCTACCTTTTGGTCAATCGTGGCGAACGAACTGCAGGGAACCATCGTGCAGGGGCTTATTGGTGGGAGAAGCGGAAGCATGGATATTGCATCTTTCATGGGTGTCAATACCTGTTCATTCGATGAGCCAGTGTTTGGCAAGGGTTATAAGTTTGACGATGAATATATTCTGGCTCAAGGAGGACAGTTACTCAGATTGATGTCGCAGTACCCGGTGATGAGCATCGTCTACGTGAGTGTGGATAGCTGGTACGATAACAGGCAGATATACAATTCGTATGATGAGCTTGACGAGAGAGGACTGGGAGAATGGCTGAATCGGGCGCCGAGTGACCCTCATATCTGCCCAGCGATATCTGTTGTGGAAGTTCGGGTAAGTATAACTGGAAACTGGGTCATGAAGTTTGATTATCAATAGCATATATGCTGATCCACCATCGCAGTTTACTCAGGCAGGAAGCAAGTCATTGGATACCGCCTTGTTCAGAATGGAGAACGACGACATGAGAATCAGAGCCACCAGTTTGAGGGAGCTGTTGGGGTTGCAGTAGACGAGAGTGGGCAGCGGAGGGGGGGACTACGAGAGGTGCTATTATCCGCGTTTCCTATTTCAGTCGCCATGGCTAGATTCTCTTTTGCCAGTGATTCCATTTGACGAATTACGGTTTCAGTGCCTGAAAATGGCGGAGTATATTAACATTCCCGAGCCACAATAGCTGTTGCTTCTATCATTAAACTTCGCGGCTTCAAAAAGGACGACCTCATTACTTCGACCTCGTCCACATTCACGAAAATTATCAGCAGAAGCAAAAATAGCATATCCAATAAAAACACAACGCTTCTCAAATTTCGCTCCTCTCCTTCGTGCTAATATACTATTACTGACCTCCATAGCCCTCGTACTCTCTGCCTTCCCTTCACATGACACAGCAATGCTCCCCATGCCACCCCATCTCCGCCTTCCGCGCCCACGCCTTCTCAACATGACACCCGTGACACTCACCCTTGCTCTCCTCGAGTGCGTACTCGGCGCGAGAGCATTTCTCTACTAACTCTTGGGCTTGGGAAAGGGTTAGTTGCTCTCCCCCGCCGTCACCATGATTGTGTGGCGGGTGGGGAGCTGGAGTAGAATGGGGGTGGGAGTGAGAACTTGGAGGGGAGTCGTTGCAGGGGAAGGTGATGATGGAGTGGGGATGGAGTGTAGTGGGGGGCAGGGGGATGAGGGAGCAGAAGCTTATGTGGTGGGTGAGATGGGCGGGGAGGCAGGTGTAGGTTGTTGTTGTTTGTTTGCACATTTTGATGGTTGTGGTGGTGCTGTGTGAGGGTGGTGTTTTGGGGTTTGGAAGGGGAGAGAGAGGATTGTAGGATCGGGGGTTATATGGGGGGATATTGAATGGTAGGCGAATGAGAAGGTCGAATGAGACGAGGATTCATAATGGGATTATTGCTCACGCTGGTTGAATGGGGCTTTGCGGGGTATGAAGGGGTTTCTTTGTTTGAACAAGAGGGTTGTGGATTTTACTCGATGGAAGTGGAGGGTGGCGAACAAAACCGAAGCTTCAGGGGTTTCATGCTAGTTCAAGTGCACGACGGACTCTTCTTTGTTGTATGCGTCAGGGGCGGCGGCAGGCGGTCAAACTGAGAGGTGTTGCTCATGAGTCTCAACATCGGCCCTGCTGCCGAATTATTCAGCAGAATAGAACTTTCAAATGTCACGCACTATAAGGGCATTATTATTGATATCAACCTTGATTCTAGGCTACATTGAAAGGTATTAAATGACAGGAAACCTGCTAACGGTCGGCCGAGCTTAAACTCCAATGGAGAACTCCATACAACGGCCGAAAGCTCCTCAACCTCCATACACTCACCTACCATAGCACAGGAAGATCAATCGCTAGAAATTGTCATTAAATACGTTCTATGCTTCCTTAACCATCCTCGAGCTAGTTGGTCATACTCTGCTTCACATCCCAAAAAATACCATTCATCGCCCATGACTTGGCACTTCTCGGCAAATTCCATGACTCTATCATAGTTGGGAAGATCACAGTGTGGCACTGTCGAGCCACTACAAGCGCAGGTGCTCTCGCCTAAACCGTCGCAGACTTTTTTGGTCGCCGTCGTGATCGCTTCAGGAGTTGCATTGTTGTTAAAGCACATGTACCGGAAGTTGCCGCAGGCATGAACAATGGAAGCACAAAGCATGAGCAGTAGTAGGAGTCTCATTGTGAAATAAAGGAGGCGGCGTCAATATTCAAAGGTCCTAGATATGGTGGCAAAATAGGAGACTGGCGCAGACGCTCTAAAAGAACTTTATAGGCATCTTGAGACTCGGGAAATGGTAGCAGCAGCAAACTCTGGTGACGTACACTGTTTAAGAGTATCATTACAGAGTTTTAAATTTTGAAGCTGAGAAGTTACACTGTTCTGCTGGTGTGTGTCATGACTAACCAATTGCGCTCCAGACTCTAGATGAAGACGCAACGGTGAAAGCCGGATATGTCCAGCAGGACCATTCAAGAGTCTCACGTTTCGAAGCCGGAATAAGGACCGTTTCACTGGTGTGAATTGCGATCAACCAATCTGCCAGCGCCATGAATTTCTAGTAAGTAAAGATACTATAACGTTGGCCAGTGGCTGGTGAGAAATATATATCTTGGACCTAGACACGCCAGAGAGACTAAGACCATAGCTAAATCTGAACTATCACCCAATTTGAGCTATAACCCCCCGTATCTTCTTCTCCTATCAAGGAATAGTCCCATCTTGTCGAGATAGGTTCGCTATGGATATCCCTCTACAACATCTGCAACAAATTGGGCAAGGATTGAGTGGACGAAGAACTAGTATGAATTATAAACATGATGACCGAAACTTTGAACAAAGAGCCTCTTTGTTCAACAACTACTCAGATTCCGAATGAAAGAAAGATAGTCATTCTTCAACGCCCCAACAGCACATTCACCTTCGCCGTCCGCCTCGGCCCGTGCGGCAAAACAGGGGTAAAAAGACCCCTTTGTCCATCTCCATCACTCAAAGAAAAATCTCGAAACATATACACAACCACCTCCTCCTCCTCCTCCTTCCTTCATCCTCCGCCCTCACCATCACCAAAAATGTCTCTCACTGAAACGCCGTCGCTTCCACCGTGCCGACCACAACATCACAGAACATCCTCAACAGTCTCAGACTAAAACGCCTTTCGAGATGACGAGTATAAATACGCCCTCTTCTCCTCTCCATTCCCACTCTCCAGAAGTCACCACATGACCGCACTCGCACAACAGGATATCAACACGCCAACCAGGTAAGTGATCTAAACCATCAAACCAACATCACCATTATCTCTCACACAACATCCAATCCCACTCCCACACAATGTGCAAAATCATCCACATCCGCCACCGCTGCGGCCACAGCTTCATCCAGGAGTTCCCCTGCGGGTGGTTCCGCTCACAGCTGGCACCGGTATGCCGCCCCTCGGAGTGTCCGTATATGGAGTATATTGCTGGCGCGGATTGCTTGCTGTGTGTATGTTGTGAGGTGATGATGAGGCCGGGGGGGTATTGGCCAGGGGGGTTCATTTAGGTGGGCGAGAAAGAAAAGGGCGGTAAGTCAGGTAAGTAGTATTTTTTTGGTTGAGTTGAGTAGTTGATATGATTTGATTTTGGGTTTTGTTATTCAAATATATATAACGTATTTCACATGCGAGCGACGCACACAAGCGGGTGACGCACTGGATTCCTCACTAAAAATTAAGTATTCTAGAAGGAAATATCTCAACAACAGCTGAATGAAATATTTTAAAAATAGAGATCTAGTCCTTCTTATACATTTAGATTCGTTTTTTGTTAAATTTAAAGTAAATAGTTAAGAGGTTGTTTAGGTGTAAGGGCTTAGGTTGAATTTAAGTGCTAAGAATTACTAATTTAAAGATCCACTTAATACTATTATTTCAAAACTCTTAGGATAGAAATTTAATTGTATACAAAAGACCAGCTATACATTTTTAAGTATATAATAAGCCTGTTGTTGAGATATTTCGTTCTAGAATACTTCATTTTTGGTGAGGAATCCAGTGCGTCACTCGCTTGTGTGCGTCGTTCGCATGTGAAATACGTTATATATTTTTTCAACATTGTTTTATTTTGATTAGTGTTTTATAGTAAGTAATATATTCTCCTTGGATGTGAAAGATAAAGGGCGTTGGTTTTGAACTGAAAAGTAAGTAAGACAGCCAACTCTTGTACTTGCCCCGCCTTATAAAATATAACACCTTTATACTCAAATAAATTTAATAAAGTTAGAATTGTGATGATTTGACTTTGGTTTACATTTCAAATGCATTTTTCACAGTTCTTTTCACGAGCACAGAAATTTGATTTTGGTAATGATGCTGATATTGATATTTTTAAATAAGAAAAATATAATAAACACCCCCTTATATCCCTACCTTAAAAATACTCCGAGTTTCGTCTCACCGTGAGGACAAGACAAACCGCACCAATAACAACCTGCAAAAGTCAGCACACCACCACCCTCTCAAAAAACTTACCTACCTCAAAAACCACCTCACCAACCTCCCCAATGCCCTCTTAAACGTCCCCCCCCTCTCCGGACTCCTCGCCCTCTCTCCCCTCACACTCTCCCTCCTCAAACTCTCCCTCCTCATACTCTCCCTCCTCATACTCTCCCTCCTACTCATCCTCTCCGTCCTGATCCTTTCTATCTCTCCGCCCCCCTCCTCACCCCCCGGGCCCCTGTACGGATGGGCAAACTCCGTAGTGCACCCCTGACACACCTTCCCATCCCTCTTATGCGTGAACCGCTTGTAGGGACACTCGTGCTGGGATCTCCAGCGCTGTCTGGCGTAGTTGTCGAGGAAGTATTGGCAGGGCCTGGTGGCGACACTGAAGGTTTTGTGGTGGCAGATGTGGGAGGTGGAGACGATGATGCACATGTTGGCGGTGGTTGTTGGGTTGTGGTGAATGTGGTCGTTGTTGTTGGGAGTTGGTAGTCGAGTTGTGATGCATGTGTGTGGTTGTGTCGGCGTGAGTGAAGAATTGTTGTGTGAGGAATGAGAGTCTGGAGGAAGGAAAAGAGGGGGTTATTATACTGGAAGTTGTGATGGAAGGTTATTTTCAGAGACATTTTTGAAACGAGACTCCATTGTAGAGTTGTTTTTCGACAATAGACTCCATTGCGGATAAAACACACAAAGGGAACAATAAACTCAGGCTTGAGCCGATCCAGGCCCGAGCCGCCCCAAGTCCCCTCATAGACGCGCTGTCCAACACAGAAATCCAGGGGCAACAAACGGGGAACCCAGCCAAAACAGCAGCCATCCCCATCACACCCCCCAACCACCAAGCAAACCACCCCCCTCCTTATAAACCAACTTAATTGAATTACTCCCAGCGGCACAGTGGCGCAGTGGTAGTACCACTGTCTGGACAATCTGGCCAGCGGAGGATAAAGGGGTTATGGGTTCGACACCCGGTGATGAAGAAAAAATGGAAATAAAGAAAGAGTTTGGAAACTAGCGATCAACACGACAACATAACATAACGACAAAAAGTAAAATCACAAAGTTGATTTTCTCTCTCATCAGATCTCGAGATCTGATGAGTCTTTTGCTTTTTTGACCTTTTGATGTTTTGACCCCTTGATCTTCTGTATATCGTCGTACACATACGCGACCTTCTTCTTTCTTTTGTTCATTTACAGCTTCACCTTGCTTGACCCTTTGGTGATATGGTAACGTATTCAACCTTCTTTTTTGGCTGGGCAGTTAATTCGATGCTGTAGGTGTATCCGGTCCAATGAATCACTCAGCATTGTTTGGCGTGGTGGAAGTTATTCAACATCAGACAGCTGCGAGAGCACAAAGAAGATTCTGATACAATGTGTCTGACACAGAGCATAAAGAAAAGTTTAACTGACACAATGTCCTTGTACGATATTATTTACAAGTTGCAGACTTCCGCATGAATAAGGGACTGTAATAACTTCTCTAACATCTCCGAATAGGACCACTATCCTCAAACACAAAATAACATTTTTTCGAATAGGACCACCATCCGCACCAGGACAACACGACAATACTGAAACCAAACCTACTTATTTGTTCATCCATCTCTCCTGCGGCGCTGTATAAATACACCTCACTCCCACCACCATGGTATCCTCCTCTCCAGAAACCCCTATCCGCCCACATTCACACCTACACCTGCTGACAACAACCACAGATCCCCACAACACACCACCACCACCGCAACCATGTGCAACCAACTGACAACCAGCTATTCCTGCGGGCACACCAAAACAACACTCCTGCACTGCCCTCTCCACGACCCCCAAGACGCCGGCGCCTTCACTACCCCTTCGACGTGTCGGCGCTTGAAGGAGACCACGAAGAAGTGGCAGTGCGTGTGTACGTACTGCGATGAGCAGCTAGTCCGCGAGGCAGAGGAGGAGGAGAGGAGACGGAGGAGTGACGCCAGGGAGCGTGAGAGGAAGCTGATGAAGATGAAGAAGGAGTGTAGTGTGATGTAGGTGAGCAGGCGAAGGAGAGTGAGTATTGGTGGGAGAGAAAGAGAGCGTTGGAGTTGGGTAGGTTTGAGAGTATGAATATCAATATGCTAATGGAATAGTTCTTACGATTTGTTTGCCCATGTGTTTGCCCATGTGTTTGCTCACACTGTGATGTTACTATGATGTGAATGGAAGGTATGTCTTGAACGCTCCTTCCACATGAAGTGTATGGTATGTCTTGATCGCTCCTTTCGCGGCTTATGAATTGCGTGGTCTCAGACCCTCAAGCTGTTGACCAAACAGACATCAGAGTCACATCACTCCCACCTACCATGTCAGCTATACGAGTCTCGACTCTCCATCGACCCCTATTCGACATTATTTGGCACCTGCGCCATCACTCCCTATTCGCCAGTCCGCAGCCAAGTCCACATAGTGTCTCGGCCTGCGCCGACCTGCCTCTTCTGCCTCTTCTATGGCTTCTTCGGCCTCTTCTACAGTTGCATACTCCCACTCATCACCCTCCGCATGGACCCCGTGATGGCTGCTGCGTCGTGATGCAATATGTCGCGATCCGCCCAGCCTCGCCGAGCATTCCTGCTGTCACGTCTGATATCCTCAAGAGGAAGGTGGTCGTTCGGGATTGTGGCTGACAAACGGTATTCACGTGACCTCGCATCTCCAAATTTCTCCAATTTCTCCAATTTAGCTGGTGAAAATCGGATTTTCCTAGCTCGCCCCATTAAAAATTGTGGCTCAACGGGCTCAACGTTGGACCTTTCTCATCCGTCGACATGGCTCAAAATGGACATATCGCTGGTCAAAAAATCATTTATATAAAAATGCTGACCTAGTAAATAGATATACTACCCTTGCACTCACCATACGGCCATGAATGCGTCTTTTCACCCCAAGATCTCGTCTTCTTCCATCATTCCCCGTCATCCCCGTATCATTTTACGATCCCACCCAATTATGAGATCGGCGGTGGCAAGTGGAACCCACAGCATCGATTCAGTCGGATGGTTACGGCCTATCCAGCTACTTACCCCAGGTTTCGCAGATTTCTCGGCCACATTTCTTCTCGCGTATGGAAAGAATTTTCTCGAGTTCCCACTGCCATGTTCCATAGTATCCATAGAATGTAAGTAGGGGTCTTGCGAACGATCACGACATCGACGCTACTCTTCATGGGCCGCGCCGTCGTGGCTGTTTGCCGCTGGTTAAGCAACTAGGTAAATAGGGTCGCGACTCGCTCGTTTTTCTTTCTTGATCTCTCTCTCCCTTAACTCTCTTTCTTGATCTTCTGTTCATCTCTTCCTGTTCCTGTCATCTGTGGTGTGTATGATGGCTTGAAGGGGATAGAATTTTCGCCAAGTTTTTGTAATAATACCCGCCCCCTTTTCACGAGGCTTGACACATAGCGTGGCGACAGTGTGAGAGGCGATACACGTGACGCTACCCCCGTTACGACGATGGCTTCGTTTATCAAGAAGTTCTCAGGAGGGTCCGTTGACAAGAAGGACCCTGTGTCGACTCCCAGCGTCGACTCCAAGACTAACCTCTCCGGCGAGGTTATTGCTGAAGGTACGATAGTATACTGAGGACCCCCCTCCTCCACCTCCCCCCATCCCCACTCGGCTTGGCCACGAGCTAACCTTCCCCCAGAACAAGGCGAGGTCTACATCACTAGTGATGACCGCCGCAATGTTGGCCGCGTCTCTGCCGCCTTCCTGGTGTTCAACCGCATGATAGGAACCGGTATCTTCGCCACCCCCTCCTCCATCTTCGCTCAGTCCGGCTCCGTCGGCCTCGCCCTCTTCATCTGGGTCGCTGGCATGATCATTGCCGGCGCCGGCCTGGCTGTTTACCTTGAATTCGGCACGGGGCTGCCGCGCAACGGCGGCGAGAAGAACTACCTCGAGTATGTCTTCCGCAAGCCAAAGTTCCTGGCCACTGCCATGTATGCTTCCTATGTCGTCCTCTTGGGTTGGGCCGGCTCCAACTCCGTCGTCTTCGGCGAGTACATCCTGCACGCCGCCAACGTGGAGGTAAACCGCTGGAACCAGCGCGGCGTCGGACTCGCCTGCATCACCGCCGCCTTCCTCATCCACGGCTTCGCCCTGAACTGGGGTCTGCGCCTGCAGAACGTCCTCGGTGTCATCAAGCTACTCATCCTCCTCCTCATCGTCTTCTCCGGCTTCGCTGCTCTAGGCGGCCACCTCCAGCCCGGCGTCGAGAAGCCAGACAACTTCACCAATGCCTTCGCTGGCACCACCGGCTCGGCATACGGCGTCGTCTCCGCCCTCTACAACGTCATCTGGTCCTACATCGGCTACAGCAACGCCAACTACGCCCTCGCTGAGACCAAGAACCCTGTGCGCACCCTCAAGGTCGCCGCGCCCCTTGCCCTCGGCGCAGTAGCAGTCCTCTACATGCTCGCCAACATCGCCTACTTCGCCGCCGTGCCCCGCGAAGAGATTCTCTCCTCCGGCCGCATTCTCGCCGCCTCCTTCTTCAGGAACATGTTCGGCCCCGAAGCCGAGCGCGCGTTGTCTGTCTTCGTCGCGCTGTCGGCGTTCGGAAACGTCCTTTCTGTCATCTTCTCCCAGGGCCGATTGGTCCAGGAGATCGGACGCGAGGGTATCTTGCCATTCTCTCACTTCTGGGCTAGCAATGCCCCATTCAACACCCCTCTTGTCGGCCTCGCAGAGCACTGGCTCGTCTCGGTCATTATCATGCTCGCGCCCCCACCAGGAGATGCGTACAACTTCATCCTAAACGTCATCTCCTACCCCCTCGCCGTCGTCAACGTTTTCGTCGCCGGCGCCCTGGTACACCTCTACCTCCACCCTTCCGCCGATCACAGACCAACCTGGTCGCCGCCCTTCCGCGCCACGCTGCCAGTGGTTATCTTCTTCCTGCTGTCGAATATCTATCTTGTTGTCGCGCCGTTCGTGCCGCCGGATGAGGGACAGAGCATTTATAAGGATATCCCGTATTACCTGCATTGTCTGGTTGGAATTGCAATTCTGCTTGCGGGAGCGCTGTACTGGCTTATCTGGGCTGTGATTCTGCCGAAGCTGGGTGGGTATGAGTTGGATCGTGAGGTGGATGTTGATGCGCATGGGTGGAGTAGGGGGAAGTTTGTGAGGAGGAAGATTGAGTAGGGGAGCGATCTATGGGCTTGGCGTTTTTGAGATTATTTCTGGGATAGACTTCTGGGCTGTCCCTGGGTATGGGATAGGTGGATATAATGGGACACTTTAGACTACATAGAACTTCTTATTTTGAAATTTATATACCCCTCTGAACTACGATCTCTACTATCACTACTATGCATTCCGTGCCCCTATGTGATCCACCACCACCAACTACCCCCCAAAACGCCGCAAAGGGAAGGCAGGACCACGTCAACATCCCAACGTTCCTTCCGCCGCAAGCCCTGACGGCTCAAAAGATATGCACGGAAGACAAACCGCGTCCCGCACCGTTCCTTCCGCAGCAGTTCCACTAGGGAAAACGGGGAGGCGGGGAGGGAAGCCACGACTCAACCCCACCTCCCAACGTTCCTTCCTTTTACTCCGACAGCGCGATTCAAACATCCAAAATGGAAAGTGCACCACCCTCGCTCCTTCCCCAACAGCTATCTCCAAATCACCACGCTAAAAGTGGACAAAGGAAGGAAGGCACGACCCAACCTCACCCCTATCGTTCCTTCCGCAGCAACTCTGACAACGCGGGGAAAATAACGAGGCTGGGAGGGAAGCAACGACTCATCCTCGCCTCTTATCGTTCCTTCCTTTACTCTAACGAACTAGACACCTAGAATGGAAAGTGCGAGACGCATCGTTCCTTCCGCAGCAACCCATAGACGAAAGGTTGAGAATGGAAGGGGCGACTCGCTCTTATGTCTTAGCGTTCCTTGTGTAGCTGATATATTAACCTGGGGGAGATGATATGAAAAAGCAGGGCGTAGAAGAGCTCATGACCGAATCTACGACATACCGCATCATACTCACTGTGAATGAAAGTTGAAGACTATTTTCCTTCACAAGTTGTTTTGTCCTTTCGTTTTTCTTTTCTTTTTCTTTTCTATCATTCTCCATGGGGATAAATGCAAAATAATGTTACCCACATCCACATTCATTCCATGCCCTTGCGGCTACTGATATCTCGTTAGAAAGAAGGCCGCATAGGTGAGACGATTGAATCGGTGAGAAGACTGGATCGATGAGAAGACTTAGTTGGCGAGAAGACTGCACCAGCAAGAAGACCACACGTTTGAGCAGACAACATAGATCCCCATCTCTTGTCAGGCGAGCCTTATTGTATGGTGCACCGTACGTGACACTGAAGTTATCCATGTATTTGTCGCCAAGTAACCCTCCAAGATGTTTGAAGCCGGCCAATGCATTCGTTCCCATATAGTTTCAGGTTATCCATCGCCCCTAAGCCACCCCCATTCTTTCAGGTGGGAACAATGGTGAGTTGCAAACAATACCACGGTGTCAAAGCGGCTGAGACGGACTTTCTTGCTGGGGGACAATAGACTCTATCCTTTCTTTGACTTAGAGGATAAAGAAAACTTTTTCTTTTCCAGGCTCTGAACGGTCTACTGATCTGATACTTACTTTGCCTGGCAGTGCCTCGATTTGTATCAGAAACGATGTCCCGTTCATCAACTCTCTATATAACCCCTCCCCACCTCCTCCAATCTTCATTTTCATTCCAGACTCAAATCATCTCACACACATCACAGAATCCTACACACTTCCACCACTAACACTACAGCATCCACACATCCACATCACAAACACTACAGCAAATTCCTAATCCCACAACCTCCAAAATGCGTCTAACACACACCCCAGACAGCCTCCCCCTCAAATCCGACCATTGGTCCCACAAGCACCTCACCCCCTCCAAAGGCGGCGGACCCTTCGGGGTTAACGCATACTGTAAGAGTCGAGGGTGGCCACCCGTGTTTAAGGAGCGGCGGTGGCGAGGCCGGGCTAATTTTAAAGTTGCTATTGCGAGGGGATGATGGGAGAGAGGGATGATGATCTCGATGAGGAGTCTCAGGCGGATGAGGAGTTTGATTGGGACGAGTTTTATGCTAGTGAGCAGGAAGACAAGGAGTGAATGAGGTAAGTGAGAAGGTAAGATTTTATTTTTAAATAGAGGGGTTTGCTTTGGGAGTTAATAGATGGTGTTTCTTGAGTTTTGAAATTCTTGTGTTTTATGCCGCCTGGTGATCTGTTAAATCTCTAATAGCAGCTACGATCTCATCTATGGCAAATCATCAAATTGTGCACAGATCACAGATTCACTAAAGCATTCTGCTGGTGGTGGGGACCTGCTACAAGTCTCTTCGCTCCAGCCAGAGAGAAACGCGACTATTGCTCGAGTCACAGGCCTTGAGCGCGATGATCTCGGTTGGTCCAGCGCCCCTGAGTCCCACTCCGATGCCAATACCCTGAGGCCTTGTTGTTTGTTGTTCTTGTTGTTGTCAAGTTTTGCTGCCGTGCACTCTTGCCGTCGTTGATTCTTGCTGTCGTTTGATTCTTGCCGTCGTCGACTGACTCTTGTCGGTGTGTCACTCGTATCCAAGTTCCGGCAACAAAATCCTCGTGCCGTCCTTCGCCTGCTTAATGAATCGTTTTCACCCTTTCCTTTGTCGTGATATTTCTGGAGGTGTATAGGGTGGGCGGTCTGGACCGGTGCTGCGAGACCCATATATAGTGCTTGTGTCTGACTTCCATTTTGTATCGGCTATCTAGAGGGGGTGTGAGGGGGATGGGGGCGATGATAAGCCTTCTGCGGCTTCAATACCGAAGGAATACATCCATAAACACTCAACGCGTATATCATCCCCAGTAGCAACTATCGCAACTTCATCTCCGAACCTCTGATATTAGCTTATAGTACAATGACCTAATAGTATATACCCCCCCTCCCCTCTCCCTCTAACCTAGCCCTAAAGAACCCCTCTACCCCCCCTAAATGCACACACAAAAAAACGAAGCCCAATGTCATCCCTCACCCCCTCACCCCCTCATCCCCTCGCTCCAAACCGCTCCTCCAATTTCAACGCCAGATATATTTACAGCGTACATATATAATGCAAAGTCCTCCCCCCCGACTTTGCGCTCTCAAGGAAAAAAGGTTAAGTCGTCCGTCCGGTAAAACTAACAACCCCCGCCCGGCGCGCCACCTATGCATGCATGCAATAACAAAAAACGCCTTTTTGAATCAGTTCAATGACTGAGCACTTCCGTCCGCTCGCTCTGCAGCAGCCCCTCCATCTCGCTCCCATTGTTGTCGCCCTCAGCATCGTTGTTGCCCGATTTATCATGCGTCCCGTTCACCGTATTACCATCGCCCATCTTACACACTGCGCCCTCAACCCCCTGCGCCATAGCCTGCTGCATCTCCTCTTCTCTCACTGCAGCCTCGTTCTCTCGCTCAAGTGCTTCTTGAGCGGCTCGCATCTCTGCTGCTGCTGGGTCTTCTTCTTCTATGTGGTCTGGTACCTGTGCGTCTGCTGGTGGAGGCGGTGGGGGTGGAGGTGGGCCGGGGGAAGCGTCGACTGCGGTACCATCTGCCTTAAAGCGCTTGGCGAAGGCATCATCGGTATCGGCGGGTGTGTGTTGGGCATCTTCGTTGCGCTTACGCTTCAGTGTGTCATCGCCTGAGCTCTCACCTACTGGGGTGGCTGGGACGGATTGCGTATGCAGCTCGTCATCTGACATGTCGACATCGGACATCGCGGCCTTATCCTCCGCATCTGCGTCCATCGGGGTGCTGGTGTCCGCCGTAGCTGGGGTAGCAACGTCATTTGACACGACGCTGGCGGGAGTCTGGCCGTTCTTAAGAGCCTCAGCTGCCTTCTTCTCAGCCTTCTTCTTCTCATACGCGACCCTTTTGGCGACGGCTTTCTCGAAGTAGTCGCGCACGCTCTTCTTAACTTTCTTCTCGTGGTACTCAGTGATCTTGGTAGGGTCTTCGACGCGCTTGTGCTTGAAATCAGAGGCGGTGAGGATCTTCCCGATTTCCTTGGCGAAGCGCTTCAGTTCTTCTTTGGGAAGCTTTTTGCGGTACTTATCCATGACGTGTTTAATATGAGGAGCAAGCTGCGTACGTGTAAGTAGGGGGGTGACTAACTGCCCGGGAGATGTGTACTTACAGTATTTTCATATATCTTCATCTGCTTCTCCTCAGGCAATGAGCGCCACTTCTCAGCCCTCTTCTTCTCTTTCAGCTCTGCCTCAGACATCTTTGGAGTAGCCACTGGCTTAGCCTGGTCGCCCTTCGTGACGGAATCAATAATATCCTGTAGTCGTTTTTGGTCTTGAATAGCTTTCGCAATATTCTTTTTCGGTGCTGGAGCATCGTTTGCAGGGAGAGTCGGCCGTTGCCACGTCGTTTGACCGCCGCGACTATAATAATATGTATTCCCTGCTGGATCAAGCGTCGCAAACCACCCCGTAGGTAATGGAGCTCTCCTCGGCACTGGTGGTCTTGGTTGGAACGGTCTTGCTGGACCTCGTGGTGTGGCGGTGGAGTTTCTGGGCCCAGTGGGAGCTGCTGCGGTTGGATTAGGTGTGTGGGAGGGCTCATCCTCGCGGTCACCTCCTCGACGAGCGTCAAATTGGTTTGCAGCTTGGGCTGTGGGATCGAATTTCTTCCGCGGAATGCGGTACGCAACCTCCAGCTTACTCCATACTTCCATCAATCGCAGCGATTCTGACGCAATATCTTCATGCTCCGACTTGGTCAGAGGCTCGACCACCTGCTCAATCTTTGAGTCGACAATCTTGTTCCTGGTGAGCCGGGGCAGCTGGTACAGGATGTCCAGGACTTGGAGAATGATATTGTTATCCTCTTTCCAAGTCTCCAAGCATATCCGCATTATACGATAACCGTGAAATTGGACCACCTTTTGTCGGATTCGCTCGTCCCCGCACCGTTGTATGCGATTAAGCAACTTGACCGCAATCCACTTCTCCGTGCCCTGCATAAGTGTAGCCATGACCTTCGTAACGCCATTCTCATCAAGTCCCTTTGGTTGAACATTGTTAACATACTCCTCGTCATCTTCTCCCGACTTCTTCTTCCGAGGTTTCTTGGCAACCGCAACATCCCATCCATCACCATCATCAATTCCAAGAGCCTCAATAGTAGTATGTGAGAGTTTCGTAGCCCGTTCAGTCTGAGTCTTGCCACCCAAAAATCCCGTGCAGTTTGGCTCTGCGCAATAACATGGTTGCGGGTCTGCGCCGTACCGGTCAACGTTGTAGTTGAAAACGAGCTCCTCGCCAGCTTTGATGTTCCGCTCGGCAAATATGCCCATGCGGAGTTTATCGCCGACCACCCACTTATCGACGTAGCAATTGGGGTTACATGAGTGATTGCAGAACCGACCCAGATTTCCCTTTGTTGTCGCGTCGACGAACTCGGATTTGGTAAGGGACATGAAATAGAAATGCTTGATGCCTTCCTCATCGTACTGCCTCATCCGTCGTCGTAATGTCGGCTCGTTGACAACTTCCCCGATGTACTCAAAGATGAAATCATGTGCGGAGAGATCTGTGTCAGCGCGTAACCCGTAACCCTTCTTCTCTGTCTTGATGACGGAAACTTTGGAGAACTCCTTTCGCTGAAAGCGCTGGTTCTGGCAGTTAGGACCACAGTTACACTCATCGTCCATGCATTCAATCTTTGTCAGGCGATTGATGCAGTCCGTATCTTCCCCACATGCGTGATTCTTGCCATCGCCTGTACATGAGTTAGCAGAGAATTCAGGCCACGTAGTGAAGTCAGGGTCAACTTACGCCAGTCTTCAGAGCAATCACAGCCCAGGGCCTCGTGGTCCGCCGAACCCATATACTTCGACCCGTAGATGCAGTCCTGGATGACCTGAAATTTCGTTACGCATTCGGGGGTGGCATCTTCGAGATGATCAAATAACGGCGGGGGCCTAAAGACGACCTTCTGGGAGGCCTTCCTCGACAATTTAGGTGCTTTCCCGGCCTCCTGAACCACTACGATATCCCCCTCGACCACCTCAGTATTGACCTCATCCTCAGATGTCGGCGTTTCCGATTTTGTCTCCATATCTTCAGGCGTAGGTGACCGCGATTGTTTCGGTGTTGGTGTTGCTGATGGTTGTGGGTTGTCGTCTGTATTTGACGGGGGTGTAGCAAGTTTTGCCTCCGTCGCGGAGTCCTCCTCAGCCAACTTCATATCGCCGAGCGCAGCATCGACCGCCTCGGTCTTGGGAGTGATTTCTTGATCCGACATGCTGAATTCGCGAGCAATTCACTGGTGCCTCTCCTTTATCTCCTGGTCGGACTCGGTGGGTGGCAGATTGAAGGCCAGTGCGGCGCGGCTCTACGGCCTTGGGCGACAGTGGCGCGCAGTTCTGGCGCATGCAGGTTCGGTAGCTTTGGAGTGCAAAGTATATAACAGTAGCCAACGAAGCTGCTGGGCCGATGGGTGGCTCGTGGCGTGGCAAGTGGTGGTGGAAGCTGAGGTGCACACCCTTATCGACTCGCGTTCTGCGCTGGATCAAAATTTGAACCAGGACGCAATCTGGCCAGGGTTCGTCTAGTGGTGGTATACCAAAGCGATCGTGATTGTCAAGTCATGTATACAACTCTCCTCAGTTGCATATGTCGTGGAGTGTAGAAGGTAACAAGCACAGCTCGAATGGGGAAGTAGGGTTGCGGGTCAAATGTCGACTTTTGGAAGCCCGCTGCACAGATAGTTCCTCCCCCCGTATTATCAAGATCCAGTTACTGTCGCTGGGCGTCGTGATTACATGTCCCGTGTTCCCACAATATCACTGTGTTTTTTGTACAAGTCGAGATTTTCCCAGGAGTATTGAATTGCTATCTGCAAAGAAGAAGAGTAGAATATGGAAATGGAGGTTCTGAATGGGAACCTCAACTGGCACGTCTCGGCAAATGCCGCCATCACGCGCCGATGGCCAGATTCTGGCCGTGCCTGCCTGAGCAAAATCTTTCCCAACCGTGAACGCGCACAATTTCCACGAAGGCATTTGTATAATATGCCGATTTGGATCATATATATCACCTTTCCTCCTCCCAACCACCTTTCATGACTGCCACTCCTTTTCATAGGGCCAAAGGAGAAACGGTTAAAGGAAAAAATCCCTTTATGTTTGTACTTACTATTAGTGATGCCAGGTGCTTTATCAGAGAGAACCCTGCCTCGTTGCACCACATCTTTGCGCCCAGGCATTCTTCGTAGGCCAACGTATTGGCATCTCCAACCATTCCCACTGACTGACTACTGGACCTGCAAGACCTAACAACTGGGCACGAACATAACATGTTTCCGTCGCTTTTGAGGGACTGCAAAGAGAGATTCCACACTGGAGGTTCCATGTCCACATCACTGGTGACTATAGATATTAGCAACATAAAGTTGGGGCATGTTTTTAAGAACTATGACGGTTCAAGCTGTGATATGTGGGTTACACCCAGACTTGACTCCGCGGACAAGAGTATATTGGCATGCCTCCATGCGGTAGAGTGGGAATTGACAGCTATCGAATCCCAGGTATCCTTCTTGAGTGTGAATATTTCGGCGGGTATCCGCAGCTTGAGTGTTGTGTAAGGTATATAGAGTTGATCGTCGCATTTTTGCCAGAGACTATATTCGAATTGGTGGTGACCGCTTCGATGCATCGCATCAACAAGTCTTGACTGCATATCCAGGTTCTCGTGTATCCCTTGGCCGCAGACACAACGTTGGCCTAAGAGCCGTAGATGTGGATATATGGACGGTGTAATAACCAGAAGATCCCCCCGGTATAGCCAGCGTTGCAAGTTGCATAGATTGTAGTGGCTCCGAACCGGTGCGTTCCGGCCTTGCCAACACACGATGCAGCACTGGCGTATACTGAAACTGGCGGTCGGGCATGGCCATCGGTCGCTATAAAACTGGGATGAGCTGCTGAAATCTCTGATCCTTCACAATCTTGATTCGAAAGCGAGTGCTCGAGCGAGTCGCGATCGGAACGATTCGAAACATGGCGGCCATTTCACTGGTCGTTGTCGCCTTCGATGTGGGGGGTGGCCATCGACTCGGCGACCCAAACGGCACAATTTAACTGCAGGCCGAGATGCAGGCCGAGTCATACGGCAACGGCGCTACGACTGCGCAATTGAAAGTGCGAAAAAGCGAAGCCCGTCGCATTTAGGGCCGGTCGAGCCGAGAAGCATCGAGGTTGATTGAGGCTCAGGGTGGATGCTCCAGAAGAGATCGATCGTTACCGGTTCGTCATGGGTATCGATGCAAAGCAGACTGCGACAATCACACAAATGTGACGAACTGGCGGGCTTTTTGGCGGGCTTTTTGGCTTGGCAAAGCTGTCAGTGGGTGTGTGGGTTCTGTGGAGGGGTGTGAGGGGTGTGTGAGAGGGTGTGAGAGGGACCGGTGACGGGTCTGACGGGGACTATCGACCCGTAAAGGGCTAATAAAAATGCTTCGGTGTGTCTGAGCTCTTTACTGGTCCCAGCGAAACGTTTTCTGGTCCAATGGTCATTTTGTTTCTTGAATCGTTTGACCATTTTCATCGATATAACTGGCTCTTGGGACCCTGCAAGGACAACGCAGACGCGCCACAGACCCAATCAGCCAACGGCTGTTGAAGGAAGGCTGAGAGGGATGACCTTTCCTCATAGACGCAGGTGTCTCAGTTTTCTCATAATTCCCTTACTTTCGTTCAGACTGAACGTTCTTGTTATTAAACTGGCGCCGAGTGAGTTGCTTCAATTAGCCAGAAAAGATGGTTGGATTTAGTTCGCTGGACTTTGCAGTGGAGTACAGCGACTGTATGCGCTCGTGTTGTGCATGCTGTACCTCCTGCATCGGAACTAGACGGCGTTCTCTTCCGTCTTCTGCAGCGTGCACGATGGATGTTCAGCAGAGCCTATAGTATTTGGTCTGTTCGCCGGAATAGGAACATCCCTCATGCACGCAATCAAAGTGGTGCATGCTTGTAGATACTATGAGTCCAGTCAAGTCCAGTCAAGCGCTGGACAAGATGCATCGTGGTCTACCCGCCGCAATGCTGCTTTTAGCAAAAATCTGAATCAGCCTTCAGCTAAGACGTTAGCTGCATCTCCTTTACTGTGCAGTAGGGACGTAGCAAGGCGTCGGATCGAGCCCATTGACAGGCGCGAAAGCCGCCCTTTTCTTCTTTTATTGGGCCAGCCAGACATGCGTCTCAAAAGCCAGGGGAACGCTGGAAAGTGCTCGTGCTCTTCTTTGCCCGTGGTCTTCTTGCTCGTGCTCGTGCTGGTCCTCGGTGAGCGTTTCAGTACCTAGCTATCCCTTGATTCCCATCCCAATCCGTCTTCAGTTTCGGCTAGTTTATTCATAGTTACAGGCGCATATGCAGCTTGTATGCACGCTTTTGGCAATCTCATTTCCTGTGGACCGGGTTGTCGACGATTCAGCGAACTTAAACGACCGAAACGACCTCTCAATTGAACCTTGCTTTGGCACCGTGTCAGACCCTAGAGAAATAGAAATAGCACTGTATGTATACTCTCCATACCTGTCTATTCTTGTCTATACCTGTCGACAGCGTGCCCGTCTAAGACGCGAAGGCTGGAGGAACGACAGACACCGACCTCCTTCAAAGGCAAGGACCTGCTTTTTCCTGAGGCTAATCTCCAGGGAAGACGACAGATTTAGATTGCGACAGGCCGCAAATCCTGGGAGACAATAGGACACAAATTGAATGTATATTGGCCAGATACTCCATTTACTCCATTTGGGCGTTTAATTGCCGGCTGTTTGTTTCAATTGTTTGTTTGGTGTTGGTTGTCTGGCGTTGTCTGGGCCATAAACGCACTAAGATTAGGACCCGGGCCTGATGAGGAGGGAGTGAGAAACACGGAGAGACGCGACATTTATAGGAAAAGCAACGCCAATCTGCGCTCCTGCGCGTATTCCAACCCTCGACCACTTAATCCGACCACCAACCTCGGACGACCTTCCCTCATCCACTTCTCTTTCCCCCTTCCCCCTTCACCCGCTTCAAACTCCAGGGTCTTCTTTAATATTCCCACACTTTTCACCAATCTTCTTCACCAATTCATTTTACTGCCTCTAATATATTTGACCCCCCGTTTACGTCTGCAATCCCCGGTTTCCTTCTGTCTGCGTCTATCCGATCTGTCTATACCCCCCCACCACCACAGGCAGCCTTCGCTATATCTCGACTACCACTCCTTACCTTCCACAACAAACAAACTCCTTCAATTCCTTTTCGCCAACTTCGCAATACACATCATGGCCGTGGGACCCTTCTCAGAATACGAGCAGGTACGCAAACAATGTCTTACAGTTCATATCCGCAGGGTGTAGGGGTTGCATATGCTTGGACTCCTGCGCCTTGTGGGTGGCATTGCTGATGAATTCCACCCAACGCGATTAATACTGACTATGTACTCTGTAGCGCTTCTTGCTCAGCGAAATCCTCAAGACATCGAACATTCCCATCGACGCGCTCTTGAATGTACTCAGAGAGCAGAACTTTGATCCGACCTGGGAGGAAGTTGGTCTACCTGCAGGTAAGCTTGCGCCGAGCTTCTTACACCCACCCCAAAGCTTCCACAGCCTTCAAAACCTCGAAATACCCAGTCGCGGAACACTATATACAATATCCAAAGCTTAATTTCTAACGAATTTTCACAGGTCGCAGCATGAACAGCTGTGCTGCCGAACTAGCCAAGCTCAACTCCAGCCCCAGCGGCGACTCGAACCCCGACAGCGCCAAACAGACCTCCCGTGGAATCAAGCGTACCCTCTCAGCAAGCGCATTCTACGGCCCTGCAACCCCCGCAACCAAGGCCCGCGAGATCAAGCCCAAGCCAGCAGCAGCCTCGAACGGAGCCGACAAGCCCGTCACATCCACCCCCGCCACAGGCTCTGCCCGAAAACGCGGCAGACCAAGCAATGCCGAGCTAGCACAACGCGCAAAGGAAGCTTCTGAGCGTGGAGAAGCCGAGAAGGGAGTCTATGCCACGAAGCGCAAGTCAATTAGTGATCAGTCCGTAGGAGAACCCCCCGCGCCCGGCTCCGAGCCCCCAGCCAAGCGCGGACGCGGCAGGCCTCCGAAGAACAAGGCTCCCGTGGCAAATGTTCGTTAGCACATAATTCTATTCTATTTTAATATCATCACGTTTTGTCGTCTGCACTGCTGACTCTGTGACCAGCCCGGTGTCGATGTCGAGGAGGAGAGTAAGCCGTCAGAGGCGGATACGGATGTGGCCGCCCCCGCGGACCCTGAACCTGAACCCGTAGTAAACGACAAAACCCCCCAAGACGACGCAGCCACCAAAGAGACCCGCCAGAACCTCGAAGTCGTAGCCCGTGCCGCATCTGCCACTGTCTCTGAAGCTCTAGCACCGCAGCCCCAGATCGCCCCTTCTAACACACCAGCACCAACAACCTCCGCCTTCAAGAAAATCTTCGGCCTAAGCAGCCAGACTCCCACCACCCAGGCGCCTCCCCCCGAGCAGGCTATAGGGGCGGCGGCGCACTAGGTTTCGGTTTTCTCTTTGATGGATGGACGGACGCGCTTCCTTCTTTTATCAGCAATTAGATCCTGCAATGAAACGAACGAACCAACGAACCAACGCCGTAAGATTACCACGACGCAGCATTACGAACGAACCTTTACCCATGACCAAGCAAGAAATTCAACGGTCTTCAGTTCCCATTTTCATCCACCCGCGCACTTCGAACGGCCAAAGATTTCACTTTCACTTTCACTTTCAACTCCACGACGGAATTTTCACAGATATCACGACACCTGAAAAGCGCAAACTACGACGACGACACACAATGTCTTTCTTTTTTATCTATCTATCTAAAGCCCTTCAATGTTTCTCATCACTTCTTTTCCTTTCAAAATAATGGCAATCTTCTTTTCCCTTTTGATTCCCCCAGACCTGTATTACGAAAACCAGCCCCCTTCCAAATGGGGGTTTTTACCAACGTTCACGTCCTTCTTCACATTCACGAATGACACGCACCCTCGGCGGCAGTATTCTTTATTTTGTTTTTCTCGTCTTAATGCGCGTTCTTCTTACTATGTTTTTTTGCTTTTTTCGCGGCGGCGGGCGGTCCCCCCTTTTGTTTACCTACACCCAGCACCAGCACCACGAGCCATGCGCATACGGCATCCACCAGAGACACACCGGATACCTGTCTACCTTCACCATATCACCTGCTGCTTTTCACATACCCCCCCCGGCGGACTTTTGTTTTTTTGTTACCTCGGAGCCAGGATCCAGCATGCTCTCGGTCTCTAGAACGGATGGGAGGCTTTCTGGGACTTGGCGCCTTATGAACTGGAAGAAGTGGAGAGTGAGGGCGGTACGGGTCAGGAAATGGGTTGGGAGGTAGCCAGTTGTGCATAGCCGAGACGACGGAGGGATAGGAGGGGAGGGGATATTATCAGGGCCTACCTACCTACCTACCTACCCTGTATATTAGAGGGCAAGCGCGAACCGACCTACCTACGGAGTGAAGTGTCCATTTGCGGAGATATGGCATGTGGATAATGGGACAAGCATGCAGATCTCAGTTCGCTTTCGGGTTTTGAAGATGTGTGATTTGTGCATGAGTGATCATTGTGTGAGACTGGGCTATGTATGAGGTAGCTGAGTCTGCGGGGGTTTCATATACTGCCCATCGATCGTCATGGCTGGTCGTTTCTACATCTCGTCTTAAAGCCATGATTCGTAATTCATCGCGCTTGCCACTATACACCACTCGGTCTTCCTTCCCACCCTTCAGACTCCGCATACTATACCCCCTCTCTCTCTATACCCCCCCCCCCCCCCCCCCAAATCCCTCTCTACCTCAAAGTAACTTTCGGGAACCACCTCCCCCCACACCACCCCTTAACAACAATACTCTGAATATCAATATTCCCATCCGCCCCCACCTCCGGACTCCACATCTTCAACAAGATATACCTCCCACTAACCTCCGGCTCAAACACCAGCCGGCAGCGACTCTTATCCCTCTCAATAAAAAACCTCGCATGCGGCGCCATAAGCCCCTGCCCGCTCCCCCTCCCATCAACAGCCTTCACCGCCTCCTCCGTCGCCTCATCAGCAGCCTCAATCGCATTCTCCAGCCCCAGCGACACCACAGACGGCTGACTGCGTCTCGCGCCCCGGGATCCCGAGCGCGATCTCGACCGCGGCGGCGGCGCGGCACCCCAGTCGCCAACCTCGTCTGTCCAATCGAGCTCGATAGGCGCAGGTGGCTCCTCTTCAGAATCCTCCGAGCTAGTCTCCCCATACTCCATCAGCGCGTGACCCATGCGCTCGCGCTCCTCGCGGCGGCGTTCGCGCGCCCGATTGCGATTAGCGCGCTGGTAGCGGCGCGAGGAGGTCGACGATCCGGCGTCGGACTCGGTGTCGGAGCTGCAGGAGGTTGTGACGCGGAAGGGCGGCGTGCAGGCGGGGTCGGTGAAGTCGGTTGGGATCTGGGCGGCGGGGCGGGAGTATGCGGACCCGTCGGTGTAGACGGTGGGGGATTGGCGGGTGGCGGTGGTGGAGCCGTCGTCGTTGTGGCGGATGGAGATGACGGGGGCGGCGGCCACAGGGTTGCCGCGGGCGTTGCGGCGATGGGGGGTTGGGAGGTATTGGATTTGGTATTTGGTGGTGCGGGTGAGGAGGTCGTCGGCGTCCATGGAGATGAATACCATGCCTTCTTGGACTGGCGCTGTGTAACCCCGTGGTGGGGCTTTGATGATGATCTCCTTGAGGCAGAAGGGCCTATCGCCCTCGTGCTTGAGCACTAGATTGCAGCGGTTGCTCTTGGTGGAGTACACGGAGTTGTCCGTTTTCAGCACGTTTGCTGCGCCGTATATGATGCTGTCTCGTTCCGAGCCCTCTGAGAACGTGCCTCCGTCACAGAACTCAATCTCCATGTTGAGTTTTCCAGGCTCGACCTGTCCATAATACCCATAGTTAACTGCGGGGATGCGTGACTCTGTAACAGGTGAACCTAGCCTTCTCCGCTTGAAAGCTCGACTGTTCTCGTCACCCTGTTCTTGTGCCGGCGCAAGTAGTTGTTCAATCCTTGGTGCTTCGAATCGACTGCGCGTCTGTGACATCGCTTGCTGTAGTTGCTGTCCACTCTGATACATCTCCTCAAGGCTGGCAAGCGTTGGGCTACGCCGCCTCCCTTCTGTCAAAGAGCGGTGTACTTCCAAAAGACGGCCACTCTCAGTCATGCGAGGTCGAGGTGGAGGACCGGATCCCTGGGGTGGTACCGAAGGGTTCGCAGTATAGCCAGGGGGCGCTACATCGATTCCAGGCGCACCGCCGGTCGAGCCCAAGCGGTTTGCTACTAGCCTCGCACGCTGCCGCCTCACCCGGTCGCGGAGGTTGTTTGACGACGACATGCTTCGTCGGAGCTGTTCTACCCGCAGTCTCGTGGCGTGTGCCTCTTCTGCGGTTCTGTCGAGTTCACCCAGCACTTGTGCCAGTCGTGCGGTGCGGTTGTTGAAGCGGCTTATAGCTCTGAATAATTCGCCCGAGGGGCTGATGTCGTACAAGGAGGCGTCGTCACCCAGTCTATCCTGTAGAAAGCGAGTTGTCTCTTCGAGATCGGGTTCTGGAGAGTCCGAGCCGTCCGACTGGAGTATATAGTTAGCTATCTCCGGACCATTTCGTACAAGTCGCGGTTCCGGGATTGGGGTCACTTGCCATCAGATATGAGGCCGCGGAACAAGTGCAGGTGGCGGTGACAACAAAGGGCAGGCGCATGCACGATTGCTGTCGGTTGCAGGTGCGAGACGGATAGAAGAAGCGGGACAACGTGCCGTGTAGCTATATCAGATACGGCGGGACAGTGGCGAGTAAGAGTGTCTTCGTCTTCGCAGCGGTGAGTTGAGTGAATGGGCAGGAGAGAAGTTGCAGTTACGATTTCATTTATTGATATTATGGAGAATAGAGGATCAAGTGTAGGAGTACAAGATGGACTGTACGAGTATAGAGGGGGTGTAGTGGCGGCGGTAGCTTGGGGGTGGTAGTTGCGGTAGTGGTTGGTGGGGAAGGGAAGGAACCCCCGGAGCCCTTTAGAACCCTTTGTGAATGCGGCAGTCTGACCAATTACAGTCCTGTAAATACGTTTCTATAAAGTGCGGGTGTAGGTACCTGCCCGTCCGGTATGTCCGTCGCCGTATCTTATGTACCCCTCACCTCCCTCACCTCCCAACAACTTCTGCCGCCATAACCACGCACGACCAGGCAAAGTGTACGCTTCTAAGAAATCAGGATATATTGCTTCATTATTGACTCGGTACCTATTATACTACTTAATATTGCATTGTCATAAAGAAATCAAAGCATCTACAAACCTCCTCTAGCCTTCTCAAGCTTTAATTGCGCTATTCGTCGATCCTTTACCGTCACACTGGTGCTGTGCTCTTGTAAGGCTGAAAATAGGCTTCGGCTGGCAAGGCTACGGCGGGATAATCCTCTGTGTCATTCGCGCCAACACCGAGCTATCAACTTCCACAAGAGCGGAACCAGATTCCCAGATCTCCAGATCTCCAGATCTCTTGGGGCCGGTTTCCAGAACAACAACACTGCCAGAACAGACCAGGTCCTGCGAGCTATTCTCCAAATTCAACCTCGTCGCCGTTAGACTACAATACCCTTCCCCATCCACCATGGCAGCAAACACAGAGGATGGAGGGCCAAGCCTCCAGAATGAGGCCACAACTAATGTAGCCCCGGAGACTGGGATTACTGCCGGTGAGCTTCTTTCCAAATACAACACTGTGCATTTTGCCCGTCACTTCAGGATCTAACGCGCACCAGACGAGATTGCCCTGTACGACCGTCAGATCAGGCTCTGGGGCGTCAAGGCCCAAGAGAAGATCCGGAATGCCAATGTCCTCCTCATCAGCATGCGAGCACTCGCGAATGAAATCGCAAAGAACCTCGTGCTGGCAGGCATCAACTCTCTTACGATAATCGACCATAGCATAGTCACGGAGAGGGATCTGGGCGCACAGTTCTTCATCTCGGCGGAGGATGTTGGGAAAAACAGGGCTGAGGCGGCGGCACCACAGGTCCGGAACCTCAACCCGAGAGTTAATGTCATAGTCGATACGGATGATATTAGCATCAAGGGGCCTGGATATTTTCAGAATTACGATATAGTTATTGCGACAGACCTTCTCCCAGATACCCTCAACCTCATCAACACAGCAACGCGAGTGAACAACAAGCCCTTCTACGCGGCAGGCGTGCAAGGGCTCTACGGCTTCATCTTCGCCGACCTCATACAACATGACTACGTTATCGAGCGCGAGAAGGGCAACCGAGAAACACTCTTACAGCCCGAGACACGCACACGCTCCGTCATCGACGCGAAAACCAAAAAGGAAGGCGGAAAGCTCATAGAAATGGTCACCAAGCGCGAAGTCTATTCAACCTGGTTCCTAGCCAGCGACACCGCGCCTCTACCCCAAGATTATGCAAAAAGCCGCCGCCGTCTAAAGGCCGTCACCCCAATCCTGTCCTGCTTCCGCGCCCTCTGGGAATTCCAACAAATCTACGACGGCCGCTTCCCAAGCAACCACGCCGACATCGCCGCCTTCACCACCCTAGCGACTTCAAAACACAGAGCCCTCGGTCTCCCGACAGAGACGTTGCGTGCTGAGGTCCTGCGCAGCTTCCTCCAGAACTTAGGCGGTGAGGTCGCCCCCGTGACAGCTATTCTAGGCGGACAGGTAGCGCAGGATGTCATCAATGTGCTCGGGCAGCAGCAACAGCCCATCCAGAACCTAGTGCTCTTCGATGGGGATCTAATGGAGGCGCCGGCTTACGCTCTGCACCCTGACGGCGATCTGGGTGTAGCGCTGCTCCCTCTCTCCGCGGCGGCGCAGAATGGGAATGCGCCCGGTGCGCCAAATGGAGAGAATTGATTTTTGGGTTGGATAGCTTGCGACGCCGCCACGTACTGGTTCGCGGCCCGGGGAAAACGGCGCCGCAGAACGGGGTCTAGGCGTAATAAGGCGTTGAAAAGTAGAGCATAGATACCAAGCAAGATATTAATCTTGATTTTCCCCTTCTCCCTCACTCCCGCTGTCCTCTTCCTCCTTTCCGCTATCCACATCCTCTTTTTCACTGTGATCCGCCGCCGCATCCTCCTCTTCCTGCTCTTCCAATTCCGATAATCCTTCCACTGCCTCCTCTTCCTCTTCATCGCTGTCATCATCTCCTCTCTTCCTCTTAGAAACCACAGGGGCAACCTCGTCCTTCTTTATAAACACGTAGCTTCGTGCTGGTCTCTCCTCACCCTTCCACCCCGTTTCACTCACCTCACCCGCCGACGTCTTTACAACTCCAATCGTGCGCGCGTGGTGATACCCCGGATATGCCGAAGCCTGGAACTTGAATGATCGCTCCACTGCCAACCCGCTGTGTCGCGCTAAATCCCTAATATTCCATAGCGTGTATGGCATTCCCTCGAAGAGGGTGACGATGATGCTCCCCCCCGGTGTCAGCGACGGTATCGCGCGTTTAAAGAAGTTAACCAAGAGTTCTGCGTCCATCCATTAGCACCTTGACCACCCTCATCTCCATCCCCCGCCACTTACCTTGGTTATACCTAACCTGCCGATTCACATCCGTACTCTTCCCCCCCACATGCGGAAAATTAAAAATCACCCTATCCATCCCCCCCCTCTTCCTCCCCCCCCCACACCTCCCCTCCCGATCCCAAACCCCCATCCGTCCCGCATCAACATTAAACACGACCTTCTGCTCCCTCCCCTCCAGCACCTCCACATTCGCCCCAACATGCGGATACTTCTCCTCCAACTCCTTCCTATTCCGCTCCTGCACCGTCGCGACAACGTGTCCGCATCCGTGCGCGCTCACTAGCGAGGCGGCGAAGGATAAATCCCCGTCCCCGATGAGTAGGATGCGGTCAGATGAGGAGAAGGGGATTATAGGAGCCTGTTTCTTCTGCGGAGTTGCTTTCTTCGCTGGTGCGGCGGCGGAGGGAGTTGTGGCGGGGCCTTTGGTGCTGGCTTTGAGGTGTTTGGGGATGGGCTTGGCGGGGGGTTTGTATTTTTTGGTTGGGCCGCCACCGAGACGTTGGCGCTTGTTTTTGCCCATTGTGTGTTTGAGGAGGCAATGGATGGGTTTGGGGGGTGGGAAGTGATGGATGGGGGATGGGGAAAATGAGGGAAGGCTGAAAATTCATGCGGCCGCTGGGGCGAGGCTGGGGAAAGGTTATATGGTGGGGCACTATGGGGTTACTATTTTGGGAATGAAAGCCTCGAGGGGTTGATGGAAGTTGATGGTAAATACTATTTGTTAAATATATGGACTGATAACACGTATATCATCAGCTGATTATCAGAGAGAATGCATCTTGAATTGAACTCTAAAATGGGTATATGCACGGCTGTAATAAATTCGAAGAATTTCGCTAGGTAGGATTGACGTGGCACCCTGCATGAGGGATATCTACCCCTCATACAGCCAAGGGCTGTTACAACGAAAGATGTCCACCGACTACATTTTTCGATTTCCTTGTGCTATCAGACTTTCTTTTCTATGAGCTAATAAAGGCCCCGTGTTTAAATTAGCCATGAGCTTTGGCTTCAGCGTGGGCGACATAATCGCCGTAGCCAGCCTTGCCAACAAAATCCGCCAACGATTATTTGATAGTCCAGAGCAATTCAAGGCAATCGCTACTGAGTGAGTTACAGCAGTTGGCTGTTGGTTCCAGATCACTTACTATTCCACTAATAGGGTCCGAAGCCTCTCGATTGTCCTTCAAGATGCCGACATCGCCGTCTCTGAAAGAGAGCTCACCGGCCAGCAGAAAACCGAGCTAGATGGTATAGTGCAAGGATGTCATGATCTTCTAGAAGAACTAAAAATTGCACTTGATAGGTATCAGGAGTTGGATCCGGACGCCAAAGTCTCAAGCGGGAGGTCTCGAAAGGTGTGGAAAAGGCTCACTTGGGACCAGAAGGACATAGACGGGTTTCGGGGACGGATCTCGTCGAATATCATACTATTAAATACATTTCTAGGACTCATAAGCAGGTGAAGGGCTCCTCCTCATTTGGAATGAATACCCAAGCTAAATCAGAGCAGCCAAGCAATATTCGCGGTTAAAGATGGCATTGACCGATTAAATCTGGGACAGCAAGAGCAAGAACAGAAAGAAGAACGCCAAATTATCATCGACTGGGTTAGCACAATTAACTATGCTTCTCAACATAGTGACTTTGTTACCAGACGCCAGGAAGGAACCGGACAATGGTTGTTGGATTCGAACGAATTTCAGCACTGGCTCAACCATGGCCAGCAGATACTATTTTGTCCAGGTATGCCAGGAGCGGGGAAGACCATGGTCGCGTCTATTGTTATCGACCATCTATACGCCAAATACCAAACAGATTCCAGCGTTGGCATTGCCTACCTGTATTGCAACTTCCGGCGCCAAGATGAGCAGAAGCCCGTTGATCTACTAGCGAGTCTGCTAAAGCGGTTGCTTGAGGGACGGCCCAATTTGCCTATTAGCATGAAGGATCTTTATGAGCAGCATAAGAGCAAACAAACTCGGCCCTCGTTTGGGGAAATCTTGACAGAACTACGATCCATCATTGCTAGTTTTTCCACGACTTTCATTGTTATTGATGCACTGGACGAATGTCAAGTTTCCGATGGAGGTCTGACAAAGTTTCTATCAGAGATACTCCGCCTTCAAACTAATACTGGAGCAAATCTATTTGTAACATCAAGATTCATTCCGCATATAGTAGAAGAATTTCAAGGGGCTCCATCATTAGAGATCCGTGCCAGTGATGGGGATGTCAAGAGATACCTTGATGGACAGTCATCACGCCTTCCATCGTTCGTCCGTCGTAATCTCGACATGCAGGAGAAAATTAATGCTGAAATAGTCAAGGCAGTAGACGGGATGTACGAGCTTTCTCATCTTGCCATGGTAGAAAAGCGAGCTAACATTGTCAGGTTTCTTCTCGCGCAACTTCACCTCGAGTCATTAATCGGAAAGAGGTCGCCTAAAGCCATCAGATCAGCTTTAGAAAAGCTTCCGACAGGATCCGAAGCGTATGATTATGCGTATAAGGAGGCAATGGAGAGAATTGAGGGTCAGATTGCCGACTCTCAAGACCTTGCTAAACAAGCTCTCGGCTGGATCACTTGCTCTAAGAGACCTTTGACAACCTTGGAGCTTCAGCATGCACTTGCAGTCGAGATAGGCCAGTCTAGCCTTGATGAGGAGAATCTTCCTGACATCGAAGATGTCGTTTCAGTATGTGCTGGCTTGGTGACTATTGATGAAGAGAGTGAGATAATCCGATTAGTCCATTATACCACACAAGAATACTTTGACCGGAACTGGACTTCTTGGTTCCCTAACGCGGAGAAAGATATTGCGAAAACTTGCGTTACCTATCAACTATTCAGTACTTTTAGAGGCGGTTCCTGCGCCCATAATGAATTGGAGGAACGCTTGCGGTTAAATCCACTTTACGACTATGCAGCCCGAAATTGGGCCTATTACGCTTCCTCAGAATCGACAGAAGTAGAAGAGTTAATTCTAGATTTTCTTCAGAATGACGCAGCTGTGTGCGCCTCTGATCAGGCGGCGGTAGTTCCTTGGGACGACTACCCTGACTATGATATATGGTTGCCAAGGGGTATGAGAGGAACACATCTTGCGGCATATTTCGGACTGGAGAAAGTGATGAGAAACTTATTGAGGAAAGGGCACCACCCGGATTCTAAAGACAGTTTCGATTACACACCACTGTTGTGGGCTGCATCGAAGGGGCACGATGAGGTGGTGAAGCTGCTGCTCGCCACACCCGGCGTCAACGCGGACTCCCATACCAATATATACCAGACGCCGTTAAGTGTAGCTGCATATTGCGGCCACGAGTCAGTGGTGAAGTTGCTGCTCGCCGAGGCTGGCGTCAACGTGAACTCTATGCAGTACGGATCAAATACGCCGCTGTGCCTTGCTGCAGAGCGCGGGAACGAGGAGGTAGTGAAGCTGTTGCTTGCCACGACTGGCATCGACGTGAATTCTAGGGACCGAGGCGGTGTGACGCCGCTATTCCTAGCCGCAGGGAACGGACACGAGGAAGTTGTGAAGCTGTTGCTCGCCATGCCTGGCGTTTACGTGGACTCTAATGACTCCTATGGTGAGACGCCGCTGTGGATGGCCGCACAGAACGGACACGAGGAGGTTGTGAAGCTATTGCTCGCCACGCCCGGCGTTGACGTAGACTATAAGAACTCCCATGGCAAGACGCCGCTGTGGATGGCCGCATCGCGCGGGCACGTGGAGGTGGTGAAACTGCTGCTCGCCACTCCTGGTGTTAATGTAGACTCTGAGGATATTGATGGTAGATCGCCGCTGTCGATGGCCGCATTGTGCGGGCGGGACGTGCAGTTGGTGAAGCTTCTGAAATCGGGCGGGGCCATGACAGACTAGAGGAGCGTTAAGTCCTTACGAAGTCATCCTGCTAGAGAGGTACAATATAACTATCCGACTGAGGGTCCGGACCGACTTCATGATCATAATACTACAATTGCACGCCTGCCAGGGCCATCCAGTGTAGAGGGTGCCGAGGAACCAAGTGTCGCACGATGAACGCAGCAGCAGCGATAATGTTGGGAGGGAGAGGGATACAGGAGAGACCCTTCATAGAACTCGAAAGCAGCAGGAGGCCACTCTGTGCACGTTGTCCGATTTAGCGGGCGCCAAACCCCCCATTTCAGACATCAGTCTAAATTATAATGCGTCAATAAGTCGCTATCGCTACTGGTACACGTAATTGAACTGTCTCGGTTCCCTGTATATTATATCTTGATAAGTTTAATCAATCAAAAACTTGCTTCCCCAGGCCTGCTTGGGTCCCTTCCAGGCGGTAACCTCAAATGGAATGTCTAATGGCATACCCTGCCTTCTACAGTCCCATCATATACTCCTTGACTTGGATGCTGCACTAGCCTTCCGTCAAGTCCATGGACAAGCCTCTCAGATATCCCCCAGATATTCCACATCTTCCCCACCCCCGAAAGCACTCGCCTTATTCTTCTTCTTGCTCTTATTTTTCGATTTCCCGGCATTGCTGCCCCCGCCAAATCTATCATTCTCTTTCCCATCCGGTCCACGCGTAGCGTGAATAGCAGCCTTCTTCTGCCTCGTCGCTTCCGCAAGCTCGGCCTCCACGCGCGCCTCTTCGGCGTTTTGCTCTGCCTCGATCTCCTCTCGCTCGGCGTTGATGACAGCAACATCTTCGTACTCCAAGCCGGTATGGGACTTGTATTCGTCGAAGTTGATAGGCACCTTCTCTCCTAGCAGCGCGCTATTAATCTTGCTCGGGTAAAGCCTTTCCTCCTTGTTGAATTTGAGTTTGATCTGTCGCCTATTTCGATCCGGAAACATCTTGGAAATCATCTCGAAATCGGTTCCGAACATGCGCAGGCCAACGTAGAACTTTTCTTCGGCCTCGAGGTCCCAGAATATGTTCTTCTCGCGTTTCATGAACGTGCCAGACGTGGTGATCCGCGTGAACTCGTTTTCTTCGATGATTTCCATGACTCCAGCATTTGCTGCAGCTAGTTTGTGACGATCGAGGTTCAAGGAGCTTTCGTCGATAACAATCTGCCCATCCACCAATCTCATGCGAGGGCCTACGCTTGTGGTTTGAAGGGGTGTCTCGGTCGCCGATCGCGTTGTTGCCGAGGGCCTTTCATCGTCAGAGGCTCCAACAAGCTCGGGATTCTCTCTCCGCAGTTTCGCCTTCGCTTTCCTGTCTATATCCCTCTGCTTTATTTCATCGTGTTTGCTAAACTTCTTGCCGATCTTGAGATCCTTGCAGAGATCTGCCATCTTGATTGTCGAGTGGTCAATTTCCTGGTCTTCTGCGTCTTCGGGGGTCTCCGCGCGCTTTTTCCGCGCTCTGGGTTTCGGGGTGCTAGAAGTGGCAGCCCTGGGTTCCCTGGGCTTCCTAGGTTTCCTAGGCGCGCTTGTGCGCGGTGCCTTGGTTGCATGGACTTGAACTTCAATGCTAGGCCGAATATCAATATTGGCATCATCTAATTTCCGCTTCCTAGCCCTCGGCTTTGCTTTAGGAGGTAGCACGGGAATTGGGACGCCGGAAGTTCCATCTGGATTCAGAGGCACCACTGGGATAAGTTGGGATGGGTGGCCTGCTTCACCTGCACCCAAGGCGGATAAGTCCATGGACTCGTCATGTGCACTAATTGCAGCAGTATCATTCCTCTCGACATGTTCGCGATCAATATGTTGTTGGGTTGGTTGTGAAACAGGCGGGGGTATTATAGCAGTGTCTTGAGGTGTGCTTATTACTGCAAGCCTTTCTGTCTCCCTTTCAAGGAGTCCCTCCTCGCTCGGAGCAGTAACAGGAGTCGGTTCAGCGGTCGCTGTCGACGGTATAGAAGGCGGGCGTGTCGTGGGTTTTGAGATTGGCACCGTTTCCTGGGTTTGTGGGGGGGTTGGGACATGGCTCAGTCTTCGTCGTGTACTTGAAGGTATAGGTACTGCAGATTCTTGTCCCAATGGAGTCGCAGTTATTGGCGGTTGCACTACTTCTTTTGTAGGAGGAGGTATGACTGCAAAGTCTTTCTTGGCTGAAGTAGCTGGTGCCGCTAAATCTTTTGGGGGCGGAGGTATGACTGCAGAATCTTGTCGCGCCACTGGTTTTTCCACAGAGGGCGCTGGTTGAACTTCGGGTGCAGCTGGTGATTCCACCTCTACCGATGGGATGGGAACATTATGAGCAACTGGAGGCGCTGGTGCGTGCGCTTGCTTTTCGACAGGTGGGATCGATGGTGAGGCTGATGGTGGGGCAGTAACGCCAGGTCTTCGCGCCGGAGCGCGTGGCTTGAAGCTCGCGGCTCCTTTCTTCTTCAAAAGGGAACTCATGGCTCAGACGTTCCCATGTGAAAGGCCGGATAGGTTGTTGGCCACAGTGGTGAGAATTCCTTCAGAGGCGCAGTTGTCGTTGGATGTTCGCTGCGAGTCAAGAAAGTGCATTTTAGTTTACAAGGCTATCTATCCTCGTTATCGAGTCTAGGCGTCTGAAAAGTGGGACTAAGCGACAGATTTGGCGCTAGTGCACTTTTGGTCTCTACAACGCTAGGATCCGACCTTCGATCTTTGAACATCCTGCTCCCCCTTCAACACCACATCGCCACCACTTCTCGCGACAACCTACAACAAACTTCTCCCTCCTGACGACAATGAGCTAGATCTTGCTCTTGAACACTGTTTATCGCGACGCGCGATTCTTGTGCTGCCTTGCTTCTGATGAAGGTGGCCGCTGCAACCGTCGGCCCCCTTCCTGCAACCATCATCAAGATGGAGGACAGGAAGAGAGCAGCTGGCCAAAGCGTCGACGACCTTGCTCCGCCTACAAAGCGACAAGCCATGAATGGCGGCAGCAAGGTATCTGTCGACGCCGACATGCCATGGAAGGATGATCTGGAGGTGAGTTCGTCAATATTTCCTCTGCACACGATCCCTCTGTTACCTTGGTCCCCCACACGTGCCAAGTGTCACTGTGCGATAGAGGTCGCAAGACTAGATGATACACACATGTCGATGGCCTAGTCTAATGTCCCAGTTGTCACAAACTGTTGCCGACCTCACATAACGATCCTCGTTCCATATCCCAGACCATACGACCATACCATTTCATACTACCTTCGTTCTATACACAGTTGGGTGCACATATGGGTTGCGTAGGACTTGTCTAACATGGATTACAGAGGTATCAGAAAGATGCAATTTTACGGCAGATGACCGAATACAAACGCGAAAAGGCACTACTCGAGTCGGAATTAAAGGATGTTCGCAAGCGCTCTGTTGATCACGATGACCACCTACGGGTTGTTGACGCTTGGTGGAGCCAACTGCTGGATGAAGTCACGCTTTTGACGAAGAACTCCGCGCCAAGCACTTTTAATGTAGATGGTACGTTGTTTGCGCCGGAATTCCAGGAAGATTATACTGACGCGTTTCCAGCGCCATTTCCTACCGCTACGAACTTTGAGAATAGCGTGGTGTTTTCGGATCACTTGGCCTCGAAGGCAAAGCAAATCAAAGAGATGGTTGCCAATATAATGGCTAACCTTGATACGTCCCCGGAAAAGCGAACCGACGAAGTCCAGGATCTACAGCAAAAGCTAAACAAGCTACTCGCTTCGCATAAGGACGAAATGGTCAAGTATGATCGGATGCGCGTGGAAAATGAGCAGGCGAAAGAACGACTGGAAAGCGCCTCACTCCGCGCCCTTAAGCTGGAAAGGAAACTGGAACGCTCCAAGAGCTCGACTGTCGCAAAGTTGGAGCAGCAAGCGATTGCAGGAACTGGCAACAGTGCTGGTAGCGGAATTGGCAGCGTCGAGAACGGATTCGATACTCGCGCCGAGGTTGCCAACGGCTCAAAAGATAATGAGGCGAAGGTTGAAGCATCCGAAGTGGCTTTGAAGGAGGCCGTTGCTGTTTCTGATAAGCAAAAGCAACAGCTGGAGGAATTGTTTACCGAGAATAAATCGATAACAGAGCAGCTTACTGCCGCAAACGCCAGACTGGCCAATCTCACGGAGGACGACTACGCCCGGACCGAGCTGTTCAAGAACTTCAAAAGTCAGCATGAGGAAGTCATTAAGCGCATCAATCACCTGGAGGCTACCAATATCCAGTTGAGGGAAGAGGCAGAAAAGCTTCAAGCGGAACGAACGGCGTACAGGACGCAACTTCAGAACGAAGCGGAAACGGTTAAGGAAGAACTCGAGAGCCAGCTGCAGCGCTTGGATTCCGATTTAGCCCGAGTACGATCTACCAGAGACGAGCTGTTGGCCGATCAGACGATGAGGAGAGCGAACCAGGACCAGGAGCGAACTGCTATTGGCCAGATGAAAGAACTCGTCAGTGCGAAAGAAGATCGCGTAACGACCTTAGAATCTGAAGTGCAAAGGCTGAGATCCGTGGTAGATGGTTCTTGCGAGGCCACTCCTAAGCCGGAAATCGAAGGCCTGGATCTCGCCGAGCTTCAACGGAAGTATGTTACCCTGGAACAGAGCTTTGCATCGGTCAACAATGAATTGCCAGCTATGGAGAAAGCATACAAGCGTGCAGTTGCGACAGCCTCGAAGAAGGTCATGGACTTTGCCGCCCTGGAAGAAAAGGTTTCCATTCTTATTGCCGAAAAATCGAAAGCCGACCAAAAGTATTTCGCAGCTCGCAAGGATATGGACACCAGGATAGGCGAAGTCAGGGCCCTTAGAGCACAGAACTCGAAGAGCTCGGAAATTATCACGCAGCTGAAGGAAGTCGAATCTTCGAACAGAACTATTGTCACCGGGCTAGAAAAACAACTGAGCGATGCCCGACAACTGTACAATTCCACTGTGTCAGATCATAAGAAGCTCCAGTTGACCAGCTCAGAGTCAGCTTCCAAGCTGGAGGGTTTGAGGGCACAGGTAGCAGAACTTACGAACATGTTGAGGTCCAAAGACACCGCTCTATCCACCACCAAGCAACGGGCTCAGTCTGTCGAGACAGAGCTCGAACAAGTCCGTTCTCGATTCGAACAATCCGAAAAAGAGAAGGAGACTTGGAAGGCAAAGAGCTTAAGCAATCAATCAGGCGAAGAAGAAATGTTGAGAGTAAGTTTATCAGTCACCGATTTATTGGACTTTGCTAACAGATCCTCCAGATGCTCGCATTATGTACTATTTGTCGCAATAATTTCAAGAATACGGTCTTGAAGACGTGCGGCCATGTGTTCTGCAACCACTGTGTCGAAAACCGCCTGGCGAACCGGATGAGGAAATGCCCCAACTGCTCCAAGGCATTCGATAAGATGGACGTCATGACGGTTCACATGTGATTGCACAGTTCACCCTACTGGCAGACGCCAAATTTCCATTTGATCTTTTGTATGTCCGTGGCAGAATCCGAGGGACCAGTCTTCTGAGGAAGGGCTTGTATGGTGGTCGGGGGTGCAGGCTTGTATGATGTGTTTCGGACGTTTCTGGGTGTTGTCAATGGGCTTCCTGCAGCTGTTGTCAATTCGCCGCATAATTGTACATTAGTTTTTCCTCGGCACGATGGATAATGCGTGGCTTCCTATGCCGCCTGCGTAGGATAGCCTCGCTGCTACGATGAGAGTAGCTTCCCTAAAGGTTGGGTATCAGACTGCTCGTCATAGAAGTAGATATACAATTAATACAGCTTCATTGCTGATATCTTTTTAACTCTTGAGGTGAAATGTCTGCTCACTGTCTATATATATACTGATACACCATCTATCTCCGGGTCGTCGATCCAAAGCCCGTACTCTCATGACGAGCACCAGAACTAGACGAACCTCCAGAACTCGACCGACTAGGTCCCCCATAATTATAACCATTACCACCACCCCCCATCCACCCTCCACCCCCTCGAGGCTCCTGCTGCCTATCCCCTCCAAACCACCCCCTAGCCCCTCTGTTCTCTTGCTGCCTATTCCCTCTACTCCCAGCCATATACCCCGCCGCCGCTCCCCCCGCAGCACCGGTCCAGAACCCAGGCCTCCACCCCTCTTGTCCCGACGACGACTTCCCCGTTCCTGGGTAAGGTGGCGGGGGATCGGTCGGATAGTCTCCTCCCCCTCCTCCTCCTCCACCACCGCCGCCCCAGAACCCATCGCGTCTAGGCTCCCTCCTCGGTGCCGCCGGCTCCGTACCCCAATTCTTCCAAATCGAATACACAATCCACGCCGCGACGCCCAAGAAGATAGCCCAGAACACAACCTGCGCGGCTCCACTCACATCGCCATCCTGGCCAGAAAATACATTATGTCCCCCCCCCCCATAAACCTCCTCCCCCCTCTTCGTCAGCAACAACCGATACTCAACCCCACAACTCCCCTTCAACACCCTCGGATCCTCCGGCCCATCGTAACCCTCACATATGACATCCGTGCTCCCCAGCTTAAACTCCTCCGGCAAATCAGCCGTGCACGTCCACTGGATATTCTCATCGTCGTAATCGCTGCCCGCGTTCTTGCAGCGCATCACATCGACCTGGTGGTGTCTGCAGCCGTTTCCGCCCATGCATTTTAGCTGGGGGATGGCGGGGACGCGGCGGTGCGCGGTGGAGGCGGTGGAGCGGAGAGTGAGCGATTTGACTTGGCTGAGGAGGACGCTGGTGCCGGATTTGCGGGCTGCGGTGGCGGGGGGGGTGAGAGTGAGGAGGGCGAGCAGGAGGGGGGTGAGGTGGGGGAGGATGTGCATTTTGGGGGGGTGAATGTGAGAGTGTGTGTAGTGGGAAGTTCAGCCTGCGACGGAGTTTTTGAGAAATAGTCACGCAGACGAACTCCAATATTCGGAGTTTGAAGTTCGTTCGTGATTACTGATGTTGATATAGAGGAGATATGAGAGTTCAAAGGAGAGGACAGATTTCAGATACTTGGTTGGATGGGCGGTTGTTGGCCTACGTACTCTACGTACTTTTGTTTGCCTCTTTGCCTCTCTCGGTGACGAGTATTGGTCGAATGAAGTGGCGTGGTTTCTGATTGGTCGAAGCTAGTAAGGCTACCTACCTCAGCCTCTTCGGTTCAGAACAGCTCAGAGCTCGCAGCCTTGCGATCTTCAACCAACCTCACTCGGGACAGCAAGGTGTCGGAAATTCCAACAATTACTGGAGCGAGTTTTTCCCAGTCGCGAGGTACGAACAACGAAATCGGGAGCGACGGTGCGATATAAAGCGAATTATACAGGATGCGGCAGAGAATCACTTTCGTTCACGAGCCGCAGGATGGGATTGATCCAAAGTCAATCGGCATCCACACCAATACCTTGTCGGTCTCAGGCCTCAAAGCTGCAAGGGAAGATCATATAACTCTCTCTCTCGATGAGCTTCCGCAGGAGTTGCGAGTAGCGCTTAGCCAAACGAAAGAGCTGCATATTCGATATGTAACGGCGGCGTCATACGAGTCGATACCCCCCTTCAATTCGAAACTGTCGCCGGGATTGCATGTTTATTATACCCCCAAGACCGAGGTTGGGAAGGAGGGCCAGGAGTATGTTGTCGGAAGGGATTCTATACCATATCCACGTAGCTGATAGTCTGCAAGATTTAGTGATTTATTATGTGGCCTCATAGACACACTCTTCGACTTAAAAGACAAATCGCTCTGCCAGACCCCCGAAGTAGCCAAACCCCCCCCCCCTCCCCTTCCCCCTCCCCATCCACTCCCCGAAATCCAATTGCTAAGAATCCGTTCCAGATATCATTCACCTCCCTCCCATCCAAAAGCCCCAAACACAAAAGCAGCTATGAATTCTACCTCCGCTCCTCCGCCCTCGGCGGCACATCCGCCCTACAATCCTACTTCAAGCGCATCTGCTCCAGCACAAGCTGCCTCACCCGCATCTCCGAAGGCGCCACAGCCGCCTCCATCGACCTCGACTACATCTCCACCACCGGCCTCGCGAGCCTCACCACCTCCTGGTCTCCCCGAACCTGGCCGTCCTTCGCGATATCAAAGATATCCCACACCGACCGCGTCGAGCTCGGAATCCTCTCGAACGAAAAGCCCATAAGGCTGGATGATCTGAATATGTCTGGATTCCTCACCGTGTTGGGGGAATCGGAGAAGCCCGCGCCGACAATGTTTCAGTTCCCCAGCCGTCACCATAGGCATCCTGCGAAATTCAGCTCTTCGTTCATTGAACCGACGGGCCTGCATCCTACTTTACAACTCACCATTAGGGACAGCCAGCCACCGAAAAACAGGGAGGGGTGTAGCTTGAACGCACATTTAATGCTCCCGAGGAGTGTGTTCCCGGATAAATACCAGTTCCGCGATGCCCTCTTCATGGCGTCGAAGAATCTGACTGCACTACGCCATGTTACGGTCCCGGTCGATTTGGAGGCGCCCGAATACACGATGGCGCTATGGGGTTCCTCGCTCCTCGTCGAGCTTGCCCCTCCACCTCCTAGCGAGGAGTCTTGGACTGCGGAAATCCCCTTGCATCTCCGCTACCTCCTACCGAGCGAGTCGGGGTATAGTTCCACCTCTCTCCCCTCCCCCGTGCTCTTCTGGGCGTGTGAAGCGGACGAGGAGAGTAAATTGGAAGGGAGCCCGTTTGATAGGGTTAACCTGGGGTATGATGGATTGTTTGGGGATAAAACGCTGTTTTATCACCTTGGGAGGGAGAGGGGGGAGGAGGGGTATAAGGAGGTTAGTGTGCCGGTGCTGAGTACCAGGTTTAATGGGGAGATGGAGGTGGGGACCGCGCTGGTGGTGGCGTTGGGGTTTGGGTGGGTGTTGTGGAAGTTGTGGGGGGTGGGGAGGGGGGTTGGGTATGGGAGTGGGAGGGGTGGAGGGGGGAAGGTGGAGGGGAAGGAGGAGTGAGGATAATTTTTAATTGGGTTGTAGAATGTAGTATATATGTTGTTATACTGTGATGCATCGTGGTCTTGTTTTATAGTGAATTGTCCACCCAATAATCACTCTTGAGACTCTGTTTTCAAGATTGGATATCTAATCGTAGAATCCTCCGAGCTTTTGAGTCCTACATATGGAAAGAACGATTTCTAAGCAAACTCAGTCGCAGCCTCCTCAGAGCGTTCAAGTCTGATATATGGCAAGAACGATTTCAAAGCAAGCTCAATCGCAGTTTCCTCAGAACCGTCGATCCCGACATGCGGAAGGAACGATTTCTAAGCAGACTGAGTTGCAGCTTCCTCGCAGTTTTCAAGTCCGATATATGGCAAGAACGATTACCAAGCAAGTTGAGTCGCAGCTTCCTCAGAGGTTTGCGGCGATATATATATGGATATATATATGGAAGGAACGATTACTAAGCAAACCCTCAGTCGTAACTGCCTTGAGAGGCTCACAGTGTCATATATGGAAGGAACGATTTCAAAGCAAGCTCAATCGCAGCTTCCTTGGGGACTTCGAGCACCTATATATGGCAAGAACGACAAGCAAGGTCCCAGTCGCAGCTTCCTCGAGGCTTTCAGGGTCGTGATATGCGAAGTCGGTTCGGTTCGGCTTTGAAAATTTGATCATAGTTTGTGAGGCCCATACGGTGCTTTTGACACAGGTATACGTGACATTTAAGAGCTATATCGGCCATTTATGACCTGGTAAATACTCATGAAGGGGTTCTACTATATACACTTCTTCCATAGCCGCAGGATCCGAATGATTGTTTCATGTGATTGTGCATACTCGTGACGGTTAATGCGTTCAATGCACCGGGATTCCAGCCCATACAGCCGGTATATGTTGTTTGAAACAGATCCTGCATACAGTGTGTATGGCTACTCTGAATTTATACAAATAGGCAGGCCAGACAACAGAATGATTGTTTCGTGTGATTCTACAGAGTCGTGATGGTGTGTGTATTCAACTGCACACACGACAAGCACCAGCCTTGTATCCAGTTCGGTTCTAAACCCATTTTCCGTACACTCCTACAGTATATAGATCGACTATAAATCCATATGGATATTATGCACGCCATACTACAGACTGCTGTCTCATGTGATTGTGCACACAGTGGTGACAGTCAAAGTATTCAAATACATCACCACGGGTACTCAGGCCCATCTATACAGTATATGCTATCTTCAAACCCATCTTGACTATTGTCCTACAGTATACACATAAATCTCAAACCCATACGGACATAATGGCCATAGCACAGGATGTTGGTTCATGTGATTTGTGCACATAATCGTGAAAGCCAGTGTATTCAAATGCATCACCACCACTACTCGGCCTCTTCCACACAGGATATCCTATCTCCATACCCATTTTGCCTACCGTTACAGTATATACAGAACATCAACTTGGCAGTCATCATACAGATAGGCAGGCCATACAGTAGACTGATTGTCTCATGTGATTGTGCACCCAGTCGTGACGCTCAATGTATTCAAATACACCACGACCACAACTCCAGCCCTTCCATACCGTAAATGCTATCTCCAAACCCATTGCCTACAGTCCTACAATATATAGATCAACTTCAAACCCATACACACACATGCATGCAATCCCACAGAATGCTGTTCCACGTGATTGTGCAAACGGTCGTGACATCGGTGTACTCAAATTCAAATGCACACGACTCAGCCTTCTCTGTGCCCAGCTCCCAGACCAGATTTTTCCCTACAGTATTACCTACAGTATACACATCAATTGCAAAGTCATACAGACATGCAGACATTTTCATTTTCATCCCACTGGCCAATTGACATCCATGGCGGTGTGTGCTGGCACTTACCACTCCCTGAAAAACGCCTCTTACAACTTGTCACATCATCAACGCGTCTTCACTCGCGGGAGAATGAATAATCACTCAACCAGCCAGCAGTCCAGCTACAACTCTTACAAACACAGTAACAGTACACTACACTACAATATACAACAGTCACAATACAATACAATACAATTCAAATTCTCTCTCTTTCCTACAAACAATGAATACATTATCCCTCCCTCCTCCACCCGATAACCTGGGCTGAGCCTGATCTTTCTGGTAATCTGTAACGATTCATTGGCCGCTAGCCACCACCACCACCACCTCGCTGGCTGGCTGCTTTAACGGGACGGCGGAACGGGTATTGATTTTCCATTTTCCCAGAAAGTACGAGAACAAGAGAACCAGCGGTGCAGTCAACCAACCCCCATGATTAAGTACGGTAACCGCGCGTCAGGGAGAGTTGGGATTATTTATTTGATTGTTGTGTTGTAATGTAGTGTATTGTAATGTATTGTGTATTGACGATGCTATTGAGATGCTATTGCTACTATTGTCGTTCGTATTGTTGTTTCCAAATCACTTCGGTACTGTACTGTACTCGTAAGCATCTGAGAGCGTTCCCGCGCTCTTTTCGTTCTTTCTGTCTCCCTCTTTCTTCTTTCTCCTTAGAAACAGGGGTCTTCGCATGTGGCGTTAAGGCCTCTGCCAAGATTAGAATAGCCCAAATAGCCCATAACCCATAAAAGAAGTACTTATGCTCATGCCCCCATATGCCCCATAACAGATACATTTACCGCTCACGGAACAAGACACAGTTGCCGTCGGTTTATCGTTTTAAATTGCTTCAAACTGTACTGAACTGCTTAATGAATTAATTATTATCATTCTCCTATCTTCTCTCATCAATTATCCCACTGTAGATATAGAAAATAAATCAAATAAACCCAGTATTATCCCCCCAGAACTTCCATTTTCCCCCCGGCCCATGCCAGTTGTCGATGTTCCATAATTCAATTTAGGAGGGCGGACTCCATCCAACCAATCAAACCCCGCAAATAAACCCAAAAATCTCGCTAAATGGGAAACCTTGGGATTGAGGACCAGCTTTCTTTCAATTGTCTCAATAGCCACTTTTCACACGTATTCATGGTCACGTTCTAACAATCAACAACCCTTCTTCCTTATAATCATCAAGCTGTTGCCGATGATTGCTACGAGAAGCCCCATTGTCGGCTTCTATTGTCTCGTCAACGGCGTTCATTGACGAGTCGTCAAATCTTTAATGACCTCTTACTGTACACCCCTTCAAGCGTGCTTCCATCAAACGCCTCCCTTCCATCATCATCCACCATTACCCACCAACAACAATCCATCCGTCCTTCTTAATATCAACTCTAACCTGGCATCTCCATCACTGGCCGCCATTTCACTCATCCCCCCCGTGACTCTCACCTTTGAGGGTCACATCCAACCCCCAGTGCGAAATCATCACATTTCCTTGGACCCGCTCGCAAAATGTCCAGAAATGGCGATGAAGGCGGCTCTCGTGCAGGTCACGGGCCAAACACCTCGACCTCATCACGTCCACGTCTGATCGTCAAACTCCCCGTCCCCAGTCTCCGCACCATGAGCATCTTCTCTCATCCTCCCACTAATTCCCACGCCGCCGCCGCCACCGCGTCCTCGGCCCTCCCGGCGCACCCCCCAGCAAACGCTCCCAAGCGCCGCGGCCGCCCGCCCAAAAACCTCCACAGGCCGGATTACGCGCCGCCGCCACCAAAACCAAAGGTATCTGACCTCCCCAAACCCCTCGCCACGCGCTCGAGCAAGCGCAAGGCTGCTGAGATGAGTGGGGAGCCGGGGGCCGGCGCTGGGGGTGGTTCGGTTACGGGTGATGGGGATGAGGAGGATTTTGACGGCAACCACCAGCCACCGCGCAAGAAGTCACGTTCGGTGTCGCAGGCTCCAGCGGTGAGGATCTCGACTAGGAATCGGGGACGGAGACAGTCGAATTCCGAGGGTGCTAATCTGGAGGGGGCGGAGGAAATTGCTAATGGTCACGTTACGCCGGCGGCGTCGCTGCACAAGGAGTCGTCGCAGTCGGAACGGGAAATTCAGGTTGCGAGGACTTCATCACGTGCTAGGAAGCAGGAGAACTTGACGTCGAGCAATGAGCTTATGGCTTCTATTGAGCCTCATGAGCGCCTGGAGAGAGATGGAGGTGCGATGGGTGTTACTACGAGAGCTGGTGCTAGAACCAGGTCTACTTCAATCAAAGCTCATGCAGCTACCCAGGATGACGACACCATTCTATCTGTTGTCGCCACAGAAGAAGTATTGGATGCTGTTAACGGTGAAGCTGATGGCATTCAATCCGACGCCGGCACTCCTCTGAAACCAAGAGGCCGGGGTCGCTGGCCAAACGGCGCTATCAAAGCCAAGGCAATGGTAGCAGCGCTTTCCAAGAAAGCTGCATCAAAGAAAAAGGGTGCACCGGGAAAGAGAAAAACTTCTGATGATGCAGTCGTGCAAGCGGTTTACGACAGGCAAGCACATCTCAGGTCGTCATATAAAGACCTCCGCAAGATCATCATAAGAGCCGAGCAGGCGCTGCTTGATCGCGCACTAGAGGAATTAGAGGAAGATCCGGACCGCCACAAGAAGACGCCGTATTATGATAATGTAATGAAGGGCCTCGATGCGCGTCATACCAAGGTGTTGGCGCAGAATGAGCGGAAGGACATGTTGAAGAGGGATTTGTTGGAGAGGAGGTTTGAGGCCAATGTGGCTAGCACGTGGCAGCAGCATAATGTAAGTTTTTGGAGTAAGTTACGCGTGGTCAGATCACTAATTATGTACAGCTGGAGGTCAAGGAATTGCAGGAGAAGTATGAGATGATCTGCAAGCGCGCTATTATGGATATCTTGAAGCGGGCAACTCGTGATGACGACGATGCTGCAACTGTTTCCGAGGTATGCTTTCTCTACTTCATTGGTTTTATGTCGTTATTAACTAAACTAGATTGAGACTCTGGATCCCGCCCACGTATCAGCTGTGTTGGAGGGCGCGGAAGAAAATGAAACTGAAGAGGTACCCACGCCAGTGGAACTTGAGATCAAGAAACCTGTACCGAGAGGAAGAAAGAGCGCCAAAAGGCGCATTGCAGACGACGAGCCGCTTGGAAGACGGGTTGCAAAGCGTCACGCGCCTGCTATGCTTTCTGCCACCACCCAGGGCGGAGAAGATTCAGAAGCAGAAGTAGCTCCTGAGGCTCCCCCGATTATCACAACACCGAGCCGCCAAAGAAATAAGTACCAGTTTGACGAGTATGGCGTGTGCGTCCCTACTGAGTCAAAGAAGGGCGCTCAGAAGGAAGAGCCGAATAACAGGGCTGTTGTTAAGCCGTGGATCACATTTACGAATGATGAAATTGGCCTCCGAAACTACCCTGAGGAGATCAAGGAGACTAACAGAGGCCCAATACCCAGTGGTTATATCCACCTTGATCAGTTCAGAGGCATTTATGATATTTCCGGTAGGGCCGAAGACTACGATGAGGAACTTATCAGCAGACACCTCCTCCATCCGAGGATGGGTCTTCCTGTTCCTGGCTCCATTAACCCCGACAATGCCGTGCCCCCCACGGACTGGACAAAGGTCCTGAAAAACACACCTGCGCCCATTTACATTCGCGATGAGGAGTACCCCGAGGGACAGTCCACATCCAAGTCTTGGAATATGATCATGACTGAGCGGGAGTGGAAGGAGCTTGAGAGGCGTATGGATGCTGGGATGAGCTTGAGAGTCGGCTTGGGCAGGACCGGATTGGCGACGTTCGATGCGATTGCAAGGGATAAGGATCTTCAGAGTGATATGATTGAGGACATCCTGGCCGCGTCACAGATTATCGAGAAGGAGCTCAAGGAGAAATTACAGCGCTCAGTGACTCCACAGAAGAAAGATGCTACTCCGGCAGTCGAGGAAGCTGCTCCTATCGAGCGACCACCAACTCCAGACACGGCAAAGCTTCTCCTCCTCGCCGACGCCATCGAGATGTCCATCCTGGAACCAAAAGTACAATCCCCCCCACCACCTCCACCACCTCACCCCATCCACCGCGCCAGCTTCACACAAGCACCACCCGTGCAACAAGCACCTCCCACCCCAAGAAGCCAGGCCCAAATGCTCAGCATAGCATTCATCAACAACCCCAGCCCGAGCCACAACGCCCTCCCCCCGCTCGCACCACAAGTGCCACCGCCACAACAACAACAGCATCAGCCGCAACAACAACAACAACAGCAGCGCCCCTACCCCGGCCCCGTCATGATGGCCGGCCCCCCACCCCACCAACAACCACCACCACCCCCCCCTCCCCAGCGAACAATGCAAATGCAATACCCCCCCATCCAACCCCACCCCCCAACCTCTTTCTACGGCCCCTCCAACAGCCCCTCCCTCCGCACCTCACGCTCTTCTTCCGGGCTCCGAAACATCCTCCCGCGCGCGATCCCGAATGAAGTCCCCCGCCAACACCATCGGTACCAGCAGCCTCCTCCTCCTCCTCCTCCGCCGCCACAACAGCAGGCGCCACAGCAGCAGCAGCACCATATGCCGCATGAGCATCAGAGGTTTTACGAGGGGCCGGTGCAGTTACCGCCGTATTTGGGGGGGGAGCAGCAGCAGCAGCAGTATGGAGGGGGGGGGTATAGACAGGTTGCGCCGAGGCAGCCGTATAGTCCGTATCCGCCGCCGCAGCAGCATCCGCAGCATCAGGGGCATCAGATGCATCATCAGCATGGTCAGCCGCAGCATGGCCAGTCGCAGCATAGTCCGTTGCAGCACCAGGGTCAGCCGCAGCATAGTCCGTTGCAGCATCATCAGAGTCCGCATACGCATCATGGGAGTCCGCATCATCCGCCGACGCATCCGAGTCCGCGTCGTTAATCGTGGCAGGTTGTGGCGTCTGTACCTGGTATCGGGAAATATCCCTACCTTACCACGGCTTATTCTACAGAAGTGGTACATTTGTATAATACATACCCAGCCGTCTCATCTACCTTCCCCACCTTTCGAAGAGAAGGTGGGAGGGTTGACGGCCTATTGTATTTTAGTCTTCTCAAATACGTTTTTTTCGTTCTTCTTCTCTCTTTTCGTCTTGCATATGGACTCGGGGATATTGTCGTCTCATTCAGCGTCTTTACGTTCTTTTTTTGTTTTTCTGTTTGGTTTGGTTGTTTTTTGCGTGGTTATGGAGGGGTCAGGCTCATGATGGATTTTGAACATGCTCCTTGGGCTGGAATGGCTTTTTGCTTGCTTTTCTCTTCTTTCTGTTCTCATTTTTTTTGGGTGGGTGATGAGTTTTTGTGCATTTTTTGGAGGAAATATGGGAACGCGGGGGACGGACGAGAATGAAGATGAGAAGTTCTGCTACCGATTGATCGATTGGCGAGTGGGAAGGTGCCTGGCAGCGCTGGGAGCTTGGTTCTTGTGGCATATGCAGGCACTGGCAGTGGAGGGTTTAGGATAGGATAGTAGGATGACGGGGAGGTTTGGTTTGTTAATACCCCATCTGGAGAGAAGGGTGGGTGGACAAGACAAGACAAGACAGACAGACAGACAGAGAGACAGACGGATGGACAGAATGAATGAAGGAAGGAAACAAAATTACAATTATTTAAAATTACAACCCTTCCATTGATGAGGCGGCTGTGAATGTGAGGCTCGGGGAATTGAGTGGGTGAGTTAGTGAGTGATTCTTTGTCTGTAAACAAGCAAGACCTGTACTCCGCCATGTCCGTATCACTGGGGAATCTTACATGCAGGTTGATATGCAGCCTCAATTTGACTCACTTTGGCGGGCCGGCGGGCTTAAAATTGTAGTAAATCTGTGACTCCTCCCATATCCCCGTAATCTTATATTATTAGAAATTCAACAAAGCTTACTACGTTCAATCTTTTTAACATTCCCAATCCCGCCTAGATCCCTTTTCGCCATCATAATTCGTCATCCCCTTGCATCCTGCGGCGTAGAGTCACAAAAAAGAGTTCTCCAGCCACAGTCCTTTGCCTCATTAGCTGGCTTAGCCTGTTAGTCACCCACCCACTACGCCACCGTGCCCGCCCCACACCCTTTCCTCGGCTTAGCGTCATCGGTCCTTCGCAATTCTTCGCTATCAGAAAGCCTAGGCGGGCAGAAAAAAGAAAGAGAGCGATAATAGTTTAAGTATCGCACTATCGTCTGCTCGTTGCATTACCAATAAAATCACACCAAAATCACCAACGACCACAACAACAACGACACAAACTTCACGAACTAGAAGTTTGACGACTGCAACTACTGTTCGAGAAGGACATAGACAAGATAGACAATATACTAGACCAGCAGCTACATAATCTACCACCGAATATGGCTGTCCGCGCGCAGTTCGAGAACTCGAATGAGTAGGTGTACCCCGCCATGAGGCTGCTCTTTGCGATGGAAGAAAGGAACACACTCGACGCATGGAGATGGTTGCGCATACGATGAGGAGGAGGATAGTAGCTAACGAGATGATAGGGTCGGAGTCTTCTCCACGCTCACAAACTCATATGCTCTTGTTGCCGTTGGCGCGAGCGAGAACTTCTACAGGTAAGCTTTTGAACTTTACGCTGTGTTTGCATCCCCCACCCCACCACCACCAGCACCACCAGTTGCGCATATCTCTGCCACTGCCTCTCGAAGTCTTCGACCTACAATCCAGCATTTCCCACAAATCCCACAAATCCACAAAGCCACACACATCACTAACACGCTCTCCCCCCACAGCATCTTCGAAGCCGAGCTCCAAGACGTCATCCCCATCTGCCACTGCACCATCGCCGGCACACGCATCATCGGGCGTCTCACAGCCGGAAACCGCAAAGGCCTCCTCGTCCCCACCAGCACGACGGACCAAGAGCTGCAGCACCTGCGCAACAGCATCCCCGACAGCGTGAAAATCCAACGCATCGAAGAGCGTCTCTCGGCTTTGGGGAACGTCATCGTATCCAACGACCACGTCGCGCTGGTCCACCCAGACATTGAGAGAGAGACGGAGGAAATCATCGCTGATGTCCTAGGCGTAGAGGTGTTCCGCCAGACGATCGCGGATAATGTCTTAGTCGGGTCATACATGTCGTTATCGAACCAGGGCGGGCTTGTGCATCCGAAGACGAGTATCCAGGATCAGGATGAGCTGAGTAGTTTGTTGCAGGTGCCGCTTGTGGCGGGGTCGATTAATAGGGGAAGTAGTGTGGTGGGCGCGGGGATGGTGGTGAATGATTGGCTTGCGGTGGCGGGGTTGGATACTACGGCGACGGAGCTGAGTGTGGTGGAGAGCGTGTTTAGGTTGGGAGAGGGGATGGCGCCGGGGATGATTAATACGAGTCTTAAGGATACGATGGTGGAGTCGTTTTACTGATCTGGGAGCCGCGGTGCGGGGGATGAAAAGTTTGGGTTGGGGGTGCTTGGTTTTCTCGTTTTGGTGGGGAGAGGGATGAAAGGGATAAAGGGGTGGATTGATTACCTTGACCTATGAGGATTGGGGCGGTGGTATTCGTTGGGGATGCTGAGTTTTGAGCGGTATTGCTCTGCCCTAGACGGTGTTGGCGTGGATAGATAGACGCATATCCTGCGCCCGAGAAGAGAAACCTTTTGACCCCGTTTACTACATGCATGCATTTACTCTGCTGTGATTTTGTGTGCAAAATAAGCTTCCTGCGCATGTGTGTTTGTCGGTATATGTGATTTATAAGACCCAACCAGCTATTTTCATTGTGGGAGGGGACAGCCAAGTCTTATGCACAGTATCAGAATCACCTTTATTCCCACCTCCAACCTCTCCACATACTTCTTCAATATAAACAATAACCCTCTTTATCCAAGAACAGCAAATTCACACCCCCGTCTTAAATCATTACCGCCCCTCGCCAAGCCAATTATCCTCCGCCAACCAACACCCCCAATCGCCACCCGTCTCACATCAACAACACACCAGCCACATACCTCCACCACGCATCCACCGCCTCACAACCTGCAATGCCACCACCCCGCACCACAGTCCCAGACTCAGACGCAGACTCCTCACCCACCTCAGCATCTACCTCCCCAGAACCCCTAGCCCCGCCCTCAACAACCATTGCACTGGGGACGTCGAGAAAGCGTTCCGCGTCCCCTGACCCCAGCTCTGCGGATGGGGATGATGTATCAAAGCATGTCCCAAGAGCAGTGGATGCAGTTCAAGGACCCTCAGTTGGCGCAGCAAATACTGATGAAGGGACTACAACGGCCCTGGAGCTGATGAGCGAAGAAGCGAGGGCGGAGGAGAAGAGGGTGAAGCAGATTGTGAGTCCTTCCGCTGAGAACTGGGTGGAGAGGAGATACTAACGAAGCAGGAGGCGATCAAAGCGCGCAACAAGGAATTAACCGCTGAAGTGGAAGCTATGGAAGCAAAGCTTGCGGATGCGAGGGGGAAATTGAAGTACTCTCCCCTCCCCTCCCCTTCCACTCCACAGATACCAGTGATATATGAACCCTTGGTGGTTGATAGTAGCTAACGGAAGAAGAAACCCTGATGCTGCAGCAACGGTGAAGGCGCATATCAAGCGTTTGCATGCGTATAATGAGATTCGAGATGTTGGGCAGGGGTTGATTGGGTTGATTGCTGAGCAGAGGGGGGTGAGGATTGGGGAGTGTTATGATGGTGGGGAGTTTGGGGTTGGTGCTAAGGATTGAAGAGCTGGGGGGGTTGCTTTTGGCTTTGGAGTTAAGGGAGTTCATGGGGCGTGGATGGAATGGCGCGGGATTTGCATAATTGGCTCGAATATCGGGTGTGTATATGGGCTCTGGGCTGGCTATTTGCAGTATATCGAAGTATATATACGATTTCCAAAAACGTTTCCTCCTTCGCGAACGGCTACGACGCCTTTTCAACACTCTCCCCTCTCGGAGCTCCAGTTCGCTCATACGCCCCATCCGCACTCAAACTCGCCTCAATAAAATCCTCAAGCTCCTCACTCACAGTCTTCAACTTATCCTTCACATTCTGCACCCCCTCGTTCCCCACAATATGCCTGGCAGGCGGATTCTCATGCCCCCCAATCGCCGTCAAAGCATGCACCGTCTCCAGCACCAACCGATCCGCCGACTCCGTCGACAACTCGGGATACCGACTCACGATCCCCTCCTCCATCCTCTCCCCACTCTCATCCAGCTCCTCCTCCGGATGATACCCAACGACATTACACAAGATATCCCTCGGCCCCGGCGCCGGATTCTGCCCACTATCATACTGCGGCAGCTGCGGCGCGAACACCACCTTGTTACTCAACACGCCCACCTCCATATTCGGCTGCACAATCGTAACCTTGACATTAAACGGCGCGACCTCATAAGCCACCGAATCGCAAAATCCCTCCAACGCCCACTGCGCCGCAGAATGCAACGCCATCCCTGGCGTCGCAATATGTCCCCCCACTCCCGTCAGGACAAGCACATGTCCATTCCGCTTCGCCCTCATCATCGGCAGCGCCGCCTTGACAAAATTGACATGCGCAAAAAATACAGTCTCAAACTGCCTCCTACACAAATCCCTCGTCGCATCACTCACGCCCAACTCCTCCACCGACCCCACCACCGCCTCGCTCGAATTACAAAGCAGAATATCCACCCGCCCAAACGTCTCAACAGCCTCCGCTAACGCGGCCTGCGCGCTGGATACAAGGCGGCCATCACATCTGATCCCCCGGATGCGGTGGGACCAGCCTTGCGTGGTGCGGCGAGGGGATTTGCATTCGTTGATTAAAGCGCGGAAGGCGGCGGAGCGGGCGGGGTCGGAGAGTTCGGTGGGGGGGAGGCCGGCGGCGACGTAGTCGCCGTGCGCGAGGAGGAGGCGGATGAGGCGCACGGAGAGGGGGGAGAGGGAGGAGGTTAGGAACCAGACGCGGGGGGAGTTGTGGGTTGCTGGGGAGAGGGGATTAGTTGTGGGGGTACTGGGGGGGAGGAGGGGGTGGGGGACGTACGGAAGGAGGCGGGGGGGATGGGGGGGGGCCGGGAGGTTGGCCCTTCGGACATGGTGTGGTGGGCTGTTTGGGGGACCTGTGAGGGGGGTCTGGCGGGTGGGTTCTTATAATATCAATGGCATTGCCTCTATTTCCGGCAGTCGCTCTTTTGCCAGAGACAGGCGCTGTGCGGGCGTTGGTATATATATGAAGTTGATGATGTTTTATGGGGAGTTGTTATGAACGAGGCTGACAAATTGTAGCATCTGGGACAGAACTGTACCCCACGGACGAGGCTGCGGAAAAACGTAAACACGACACACATAGGAAAGATCGAGCGCACGGACGGAATCTGCACAATCCCGTCATCGGCGATATTTCGTGCAATCATGAGTCAATATGTGAGAAAGTTGCATGCAATTGGATTTACCCGCAGGAGTCAGAAGATCGTGATTGAGTGAATATAAACACCTCTTAATCCTCTAATTCCCCCGCATTCGTGGCCTCATTTTTTTACACCTTTGCTAAACCAAAGATTCCCTCATCCTTGGCCGCAGAACTTTTAGGAAATCCCCCCACTATCTCCAAAATCCACCCCGCATTCTTATATTTATATATCAACAACACCTCCTCTCTTCTCTTCCCAAAACACACACCCCCCCCCAACACCAACTCACCAAACAACCAACCACCCACCATGCCCGCCCGCTCCGAAATCTCCTACTTCGGCGCCGGCCCCGCCGGCCTGCCCACCTCCGTCCTCGAAACCGCCGCCGCCTCCCTCGTGAACCACAACGACACCGGGCTCGGTCTGGCCGAGCACTCTCACCGCTCCGCGCTGGCCTCCGGCATCCTCGAGGACACCAAGGCCCATCTATCATCCTACCTCGACATCCCCTCCGACTACGACATCCTCTTCATGCAAGGCGGCGGCAGCGGCGAGTTCTCCGCCACGCTCTACAACTTCATCGGTTTCTGGGTCGAAGCGCGCCGCCTCTCCATCGCATCCGCGCTCGGCACAGACGACGAGGCAGCCGTGACAGCCGCGCTCAAGAAAGCCGTCGACGAGGAGCTCAAAGTCGATTACCTCGTCACAGGCTCCTGGTCTCTCAAAGCCTCTCAGGAAGCCGCGCGCCTCCTGGGCTCTGAACACGTCAACATCGCTGCCGACTCCCGCGTCGCTAATAACGGCAAGTTCGGCGGCATCCCCGAGGAGTCCACTTGGGCCCTCTCGAAGGCTCCAGCATTCACGTATTTCTGCGATAACGAGACGGTGGATGGTGTTGAGTTCCCCGCCTTCCCCGCCGCTATCGACGATGGCCGCATCGTCGTGGCAGATATGTCATCCAACATCCTCTCCCGCCGCATCCCCGTCTCCAAATACGCCGCAATCTTCTTCGGCGCGCAGAAGAACCTCGGTACGGCTGGTATCACCGTTGTCGTGATCCGGAAGAGCCTTTTGCCGCCATCCCTCGCGACGCCGTCCGCGAAGTTGATGCGTCAGCTGGGTCTGCCGATGCCGCCGATTATTCTGGATTATGCGACGATTGCGAAGAATAAGTCGCTGTACAACACTCTTTCGGTGTTTGATGTGTATATCGCGGATTTGGTCCTGCAGTCGCTGCTGGCTACGTACCCGAATAAGGTTGATGGACAGCAGGCCGTCGCGGAGCAGAAGGCTAAGGCTATCTACTCCGCTCTCGAGGCACACCCACAAGTCTACGAGGTTCGTCCAGCTCCTTAACTCTCGTCACGTTCCCCTGTCATCCGTAACGCACCACTAACTCCCACCAGATCGTCCCCCACACCTCAGCCCGCTCCCGCATGAACATCTGCTTCCGCATCCTCGCCCCCAAAGCCGAAGCTGATTTCCTCGCCGGCGCCACCGCGCTCGGTCTTCAGGGTCTCAAGGGCCACCGCAGCGTCGGGGGTATCAGGGCTAGCAACTATAACAGCGTGTCTGTCGCTTCGGCGGAGAAGTTGGCTGCGTATTTGGGGGCTTTTGCTACGGGTGCGTAGATGTGTGTGTGTTGTGTTAAGTAGGGTTGGAATTGGGATTGGCGTTTTTTTTGTAGTTTTTTTGGGAGAGCGGTTTCAACATGGGTGGGTGGATGGATCCTTCACGACCATCTGGGGGGGATCGGGGGGAAAGTTTGATGATTAGGGTCTACGCTGAGAGTTGCAGCACCAATTTCAAGAAGAGGTAGAGTGGTGGAAGATGGGAGCTCTGGTCAGGTAGACGGAGGGACAGATTAAAGTACACAAAACAAAAGCAAAGTCTTCGAAGTTCAAACTCTCTGCATTACAAAAACCGAACTAAACGCATATTTATCACCCCCACTCCCCATAAACAACAAAAGCAGCAACAACGCAGGCTTTCCTTTCCAAGCCCCTTTCCCAAACGCCAACCCCACTCTTTGCGCATACATACAAAGCGCCCGCGTCCCTATGTCGCACAACTACTATATAACAACCACCTCCCCCTATCTTTCCATGCCATACCCCATGCCACACCCTTCCTCATGCCGCCGTGTATCAATCCAATCCAATCCCCCATCCACCATTACCTAATTCCCCCCCCCCTTTTCTAATCATCCAACTCAATCGGCCTCCCCTGACTCCCCTCCGGCGTCGGGGGCCTCACAACCGTAACCGGAACCCCTCCACCCCCACTCCCTGCGGTAGCAGGCCTCTCCTCCTCCTCCTCCTCCGCAATCGCCTCCCCCTCCCCCGCCACCCCACTCGTCCCCGCCCTCTCCCGTCTCCTCCTCCTCGTCTTCCTCTCCTCCTCCGCCGTATCCCTCCTCCGACTCCTCCTCGCACTATCCCTCCGTTCCGCACCCTCCGCATCCTCCCCCTCCGCCCCCCTCATCCCCTGCAACAACAGCGCCGCGCGCGCCGCGACATCATCCGAGCCGCCACCGCCACCGCCTTCTTCCGCCGCCGTCGCCCCAGAAGGCGCAGGCGACGATGCCTCCCCCGGCGGCACCTCGCTAGCCACGCTCTCCTGACTCTGCAGACCCGCTTCTAGCTCTGGAATCTCGTCGAAATCGGGGATCTTCTGCCCAGACGCAACGCGCACCTGGTGTTTATTCTGCAATCTCGCGCGGCGCCTACGATCGCGCTGATCGCGGACCTGCGGCGCGGCAGCGCGAAGTTTCTCGAGGAGAGAGTCCATAGCGCCTGCGGAGGATGGGGAGGGCGGGGCGCTGCTCCCGTCGGCGAGGGTGCCGCTGGTGACCTTGAGGAGCATGGCGTTCTTGCGCTTCATGCTGGCGTCGTTCTTGCGGCGCGTTTCCTCGAGGGAGATGTTCTTGTCGCGCGAGCGCTTCCACTCGGTCACGAAGATGGCGAGCTTGGAGAAGAAGTCGCGGCGCGCGTTTTCGTCTGAGCTGTCCTCGCCGTAGAACACCATGATGTCGTCGTAGGTGCTGATCATGTCTTCGAGGTAGAGCTGCATCTGCTCGGCCTTGCGGCGGGCCTCTTTCATCGAGCGCAGGACCACTTGCGAGACGCGGTCTTGCGGGTGGAATTTCTTCGCGTCGCTGAGGTTGCCGGAGTCGAGAGACATTTGCACGTTGCGGATGTTGTCGATGTACTTCTTGGCGTCGGTGCGGAGCTGCTCGACGTTGAGCTTCTGCGCGGTGACGACGCCGCCGATGTCGTCGGTGAAGTTCTCCCACTCGGGGTACTGCGTGCGGACAATGCGCTCGACCAGGTCGGCGAAGGTTGACTCGTTCTTCTCGTCCTTGACCATGCCGAGGCGTGCCAGCGAACTGAGCTTGAAACCACTGGCTTGCTTGTTCGAGTCGTTCATGTAGTTACCGATATCGAGAATTAGACCAAGAACGTTCATCAGTGACACGGAATCGCGAAGGGATTCGGACACAGTGACGACCTGGCGAAGCTTGGTCGATACATCCTCATACTCGGCCTCATATGTTCTTGTAAGAGCCAGCGCACGTATCCTCGACTTCCAGTAGTGGTGCAGCTCGAACGCGGTCTGAAGGTAGATCTGATCCTCTCTCGTCAGCTCCTCAGGGTCCATCTCACGAGCCTCCTTGTTCGCTTCGGGACCCGTCCAGTCCTTGCTATACGGAGCCATAAGCTTGGTAGTGTTGTCAGGGATGTTGCACAGATCGTCCTTCTGGAGGAACTCCATCACAACAGTGTTATCCAATACCTCCGTATCGCAGTGAATAATCATCTGGACAACCTTCTCAACCGAGTACGCCGAGAACTTGGAGAGAGAGATTTCTACACACAAAAGTATTAGCATCATCCATCCACATCACCTCGCCCCAACAACAAAAATAGTACTTACGGAACGTCCTAGCCAAGTCGCTGGAGATAATCTGCTTCTTCGCAGTCTTATTCCCGCTCGTCTTGCCAATCTTCTTAATCTCCTTCGCCATAAACAGCTTCTCCACCTCATCAAGAACACCCTTCCTCGTCAACTCCGCATACTTCTCCTCCTTCTCCGCCGGCGTCGGCGCGTGCGCCGCCCAATGCGTCGTCAGAGGAGTATCAACCTTCTCCCAATGCAGCGCCTTGAGCTTCTTCTTCGGTCGCGCCACGGGCAGCCCCAGGGTCGGGACTGTCGAGAACTGCGGCCGTGGTAGAAAGTTACCGGAAGAGTGTCCGGGCAGCGGAGGTGGAGGAGGTGGGCCCATGGCGCCAGGTAGTGGAGGAGCCCCAGGTATTCCAGGTGCTCCAGGCGGCGGAGGTGGTGGTGGCGGAGGCGGAGGTGGTCCAGAGAAGCCACCACCACCCATTCCTGGTGGTGGCGGAGGAGGCGGCGGCGGAGGCGGTGGTGGACCGTTGAATCCGCCAGCCTGGCCGGGCATAGGTGGTGGAGGGGGAGGTGGACCGCCGGTGAATCCGCCAGCCTGGCCAGGCATAGGCGGTGGGGGCGGAGGTGGAGGCGGCGGTGGTCCATTGAACCCTGTCGCAACCATTTTCTGCGCATCCTCATCACTAGGCGTCTTCGGCGACTGCGACTCGAGGCTTGGATGAGATGGTCCAGTGGTGATTCCATCGTCCTCGTCCTCACTAGCTCCGACTATCGGTACAACATTCTTCGAGCCCTGCACCTTCGGCGGCCGCCTCAGCTCAACAACTCTCGGCTTCTCAAATACCGCGTCGTCGTCGTCCTCTCTATCCGACTCAGCCAAGTCAGCATGCGAATCGACAGGCTTCCTCTGTATCCTCGTCGACCTCGACACGCTCCCCAGCACGCTATTAGTGAGATCTCTCGGCTGCGTCGAGCCGAGAATCGCCTCTCCGCCATCCATCTCCTCACGGAGAGCACGCAGACGATCAGATGGTCCGTTGTCCGCGCCCCATACCCTGCCTTCAAGCTTATACTGCGTCTTCTGGCGCTGCAGCTGCATCTCAAGGCGATCCATCAGCCTCTCCCTATCAAGTATACCCTTCATATGCTGAGGATCCGACTCGCCAAGCCCGTTCTTAGTCCCCTTTGACGCAGCAATATCCTGCGCATCGCGGAGCATAAGGTACAGCTCTCTCGTCTCGAGCTCATTACGCTGCGCCTCCTTGGCGCGGACTGAGTGCATGTTCTCCAGCTCGCTCTTCAGCCCGTCCGCCTGGCGGCGTTGCACCTCAATGACCTGAGCCTGCTCGTCCAGCTGCTTCTGCAGCTTCGCAACCAGGCCGTCGGCACCGAGCTCGATCTGCGCCTTCGCCTCGTCACGCTCCGCCATCGCGGCATCTGCAACCTGGCGCGCCTCTTGGGCCTCATCCAGCGCCTGCCGCGCTTCGGAGTCCGTGTGCAGCTTGTCGAGCAAGCTCTGCACCGTAAAATTGAGAGACTGCTTGAGATCCATATCTGGAAGCCTCCGGTCCATAGCGACGTAACTAAGCATGGAGTCCACCAGCTGGAACATCCGCAGTCGCTCCTCGCCATCGTTGTCTCTGATGAGCAGGAGATGCTGCAGCGCAGACACAAAGTAGTCCTGAGTCCGGCTCCCATTAACCTTCTGCATGATCGCATTTACAATCTGCGTCGGGTCACTAAGATCCTGAACCTCCGGCTCCTCGCCATCCTTCATGCTACTATTCTCGCGCTCCAGGAGGTCCTCGTAGTCGATGGCCTCGTTCTGCCGGAACTTCTCAATCTGCTTGTCTATATATTCGTACTGGAAGCCCTCCATCTTCGTCAGAATCCGCTTGATCCCGCATGCCGTGAACTGCGCGCGGATGTGCACACGCAGCTGCAGGTCCTTGTCCGGGGCGTCGATGGTCATGTTGATCAGGACGAGAGTCGCAACGGCGTATTCCATAAGCAGGTTCTCCATACCGATTCCGCCGCTACGGACTTCCTCGCTGGCGCCGACGAGACTGCCCATCTTCCCTCGGCCATCGATGGTGACTTCGACAATCCGCATCCATGCGTCGAAGCGACCATTCTCGCCCATCTGGTTCTTCACATGGTCCATAGCTTGGATTACGCGGAGATGTCCTTCGCCCTCGCCCCAATGGCACAAGAACGTTAACATCTCACTCACTAGCTTTCTGGTCGTGAGCCTCGGCGAGATCAAGGAGGTCGCCAGCGCAACAATGACTTGCTGGTGGTGAAGCGCATCATCGGCGCCATACTTGTTGTTCAGGAGAGCCTTCAAGCACTTCAGGATATCGTATTCCCGATCCAAGTCCTTGTCGCTGGTATTCCCATCAGCAGGCGCCGGCCCATTAGCCTGCCTGCGGTTGATCTTCCCAAGCACATTCGTCAGTGCAACCTGGCCCTGGCATTCGACGAAAGTCTTAACCCAGCTGATAGGTTGCGTCCGCAAACTGACAGCCAGACTAGCCAACTGCTTCTGCGTAATGCTGTTGTCCATCACCTTGCGAACAAACCATTCCGGCGTTCCCTCCTCGTCAGCGTTGGCCAACATTATCTCTGCCTGTCCATATATCCCCGACTGCCTCGCAGTTGTCCGCCGCTTCTGCTCCCCCTGCCATTCTGTAAGGCGATCCTGGTATACAAGTGTCCACTTCTTCCCCGGCGGATAGGCCAACATTTGGCGCCGTGCCTGGTCCGGTAGATTGTGCCATCCTCGCTTCTGCATCAGGGCCAAAAACTGCTGCTCGATGACCCTCTCATCCGCCGGCTTTGAGACGTCGAAGTTCGATGGGGATGACTGCATCATGGTATCTGGTCGATGGTATGACATTTTAGTGGTCCTATGCGACTCTCGACTCGAGGCTTGAGATGGTGCCAGCGAAGTCTGCGAGGCCGACGGCTGCACAGTCCTAGAAGAGCCATTCGAGGAGAATACGCTCGCCCTCTCAGCCGCAGAACCCACGCTCTGCTGATCGAAAGATTGCCGAGGATACGCCGCGGAATTGTTCGTCGAGTACGTCGAGTACGAGTCGTATCGTGAATTATGATTCGCATTGGAGCTACCAGGCCGTTGTGCCTGACCGGGTCCCCATTGCTGGAGCTGTGTTGTCCTATTCCCCGTCGACGCCATTGTAATATTCGCAGAGTTCGGAGGAGGTCGCGGCCCGGAGAGGACATGTGTCGAGCTGTTTTGTTGATTTTGCCCGGTCGACGGATCGTATCCTGGATATTGGTGGTAGTCCGAGCCGCCCATATTCAAGTGATGTGGTTGCGGCTCTTTCCGCATGGGCATCTGGTCACCCCGCGGGAGATACTCAACCGGTATCGGTGAGCGTCCATCGGGCGCATGGTCGTACGGCATCGAGGTTATGACGCCAGACATTGAATCTGTAGTTGGTGACGGGAGCTGGTCAACCGAGGCAATGGAGATGCCTCGAGCGTGCCGCGATGTTCTCGACGCAACTGATCCCTTGTCCTGGAATTCCGAGCCGAATTCGTCGCTGTCCTGCCTCCTGTCCTTCTTGCTGCTCCTCGAGAAGAAAGACTTGCCGCCGGAGGATTGGCGTGCCTTGCTATCCGACCCTGACATGGTGAGTAGCAAGTGGTCCACCCTGGAAGGTTTCCTCGGCCCTTTATTTATCAGTCGTGGTGTAGTCACCCGACGCGCCTTGTTCGTGTAGTGTCGTTACTGGAATCATTGAAGTCTCATGCCATGCCCCTCTTTGGTACTGCCCTGGACAGTGGGTATATCTATGTTGTTTTGCGTCTGGGTTATCTGTTTCGATAGGTACTGTACAAAAGCAGAAAGTCGAGCGACGTGTAACCTGTAATCTGTGGTGGAAAGGGAATCAGCATCGAAGAAGTTCCCAGGGTAAAGGGTCCCCTCGCGTCGTTCGTCTGGGCGATTCACTAAGGGGTGACGAGGGAAAGCGCTTACCTCGGCGTGGATGTGCAAGCAACGCTACGCAGAGTATGTTTCGCGTGTGGCTGTTGCTGTTGACTCTTGGGGCAGCTGAAGTTTGGTCGGAAAAGGAAGTAGTCGAGATTAGTCCAAATGATGATCGAGCAATCGAAAGCCTATAGTGTAGGGGTCCTGAGTTGGGCCTGGTCAGTATAAAGTTATGCTTTTGGGGGGTGCTGAAACCGTGCGAGTATGGTTTAGTATGGTTTAGTTAGAACGTACCTTTATGGATATAGGCACAAGCCACAAGCTGGGGGGGGGGGTTCGGGGGTGTTCCTTTCTCTCCAATGGGTGTGTTCGAGAGAGGCCGTAGAAAGAGCGATCTGCAGAGGAAGCGGCGGTGGGGGGGGGAACGGCAAGAGGCAAGAGGCAAGAGGCTCAGCGTACGGCTATGATGAAGTCGCGAATATATATCTCCCCAAGAGAACAAACGCCGAAAAGCAGAGTCGGTAATACTCTGTGTCGTATATCATAAGCAGCTGAGTGTCAGCAAAGGACAGCCTTGTGTGTTGTGGCGTTGATTATGTCTCTCTTTTCCAGATTATATGGCTGATGCTTGTGTTATGCTGTTATCTAACCGTGACCGTTCATGCACATCCCGTATCCACTGTATTAGCCACACACTAGCCACTTTAACCACGTAAAGCCACATCTCTCTAACTAAATTAAGCGATATTCTGGGCCGATGTGGCTTGTGCATCCCCTGAACTTAACCCGAAGTAGCAAGCAGCTAGAATCACGCTGATTGCCCGTTGCGCAACGTCACAAAAATATATTTGATTTATGAGTAAATACGTCAGAATAATTAATTAATTATTATCCGCAATCAGAAAAATAGTTTCAAAATTCTATTTAATTCCTCTATTTATTCTACAATTATCTGATTGTCGCAATACCCTCATCGACCCTTTCTACGACCATCACCAAATATTTTTCCCTATTACTACGCCATACTACCTACTACCTCCATACAAATTACCCCAGGGCTCGGCGCTTCTACCGCCATCTCCGCCTTGACAGGGGCCGCGCCATCCCGAACCTTCCAGTCTCACAACGCCCAAATGGAACGTCTGTGACCACGCGCTTTGCACCACCACCACATACACCCACCTACACCTACAATATCACCGACACACCTACTACACCCCCCCAATCCATGGCCACCACGACCAACGCCCACACCCACGACACCACCAAGCATCATTACGCCCGCACCGACAAACCATACTTCCCCCATCCCGCGCCCCCAGAGACCCCCAGCCCTCCCCAACCACCAACCCCAACCATGCCCTCCGCAGCAACCACCACCCTCCTCACCACCTTCCTCGTCCCCCTCGCCGTAGCCGGCACCCTCTACCTCCTCCTCACCTTCGTGCTAGTCCCACTCTACCAACGGCACCACGCGCGCTACGCCTCCTACCTCCCCCTAACCGCGATCTCGACCTCCACCTCCAGCTTCCGCGCGCGGATCCAAGCCAGCATCGCCCAATACATGTTACCAGCCGGTTGGCGGACGGGGTTCGATTCGCAGCAGTACCCGGCGGATTCGAGGTCGGGGAGCGAGGCGGGGGATGAGGTGGGGGAGGAGCTGTATGAGTTTGTGGCGGGGAGGAGGGTGGGGGTGAGCTTGGATGCGAGGAGGGGGGAGGAGGGGGGGAGGTTGAGTAGGGATTTGGAGGAGGGTTTTGCGGATGATAGTAGTGAGGAGGGGGATGGGATTGAGAGGGTTAGGGGGAGGTGAGGGGGGAGGGAGAGAGAAGTTGGATTATATTTTGGATGGAGCGGGTGTTTAGAGATTGTTATATGCGGATAATGGTTGGGCGAATTTGCAGCGAAGAACTTATTGAGCGACAATATACGACGCGAGCCGTCTACATGCACCAAGAAGAGAAACGACGTCTAGAGTCGCCAGATACCCGAATATACCGATGAGAGTGGAACAAAGCGAGGCTCCGGCACAGGTTCTGTAAATCGACCTATAAAACGACCTACGAATCGATAGACATACAACGCGAGTTTCCTATATGCAACAAACAGAAGGGAAATATTGGGGCTACAATCGAGAAGTCTAGTCGATAAACTCCTGTTAATTGGCACGGCTACGGCACCAGTCATTCATTCGCCAAATTCAACAGAAAGGAAGCTTACAAAAGGAACACGATTGATTATTATACATCCTACACCAGTTGATTAATTAAGTGCATCCATTCAGCACGTCAGAAGCGACGGCCAGAACTCGCCAGCTCTCAAACATCCCGCAAAATCGAGCGCCAGATTTATTCCGATTTCGCTAGAGCGTCTCGATGGGCAATACATATTATATTATTCGAGCATCAATCCAGGCATCAATCGAAAAACCACCCATTACCCCCTATAACGCCATAACTCCAGTCTATCCGCCTACACAACCAGAGGCACCCAAACTCCAGAATGCCATAATCTATATTACCCCCCCAACGCCCAAACCCCAACACAACACAACCATCAACACCACAAAAACACCACCGCCAAACACCTCATCACCGCACTCCACCACCTCCCCCCCCACCCCCACCCACACCCACACCCACACCCACCTACCATTCACACCTCCCCCTCTGCGAACCCAACCACGACCTCTCCAACTCCTCCCTCCACGTCCCCTCCACCCTCCTCGTCTCCTCACTCAACCTCACCCACTCCCTCTGAATCCGACTCTCCGCCCACTCATTCGGCACTTGCGTCATACTCACCAACGCCATCCCCCTCGCCTCCTCCATCTGCCACTGATACTTCAGCATCTGCGTCCCCGGCTCCCCCTCCACCCGACACGACATACACTTCTTGGGGACCTCCCACCGGCCCCCGCGCCCCTTATATGACGGCGGCGCATCATCCGCCAGCGCAGGGATAACAGAATGCCCACACTCCTCATGCACATGCAGATACCGGCAAAGCGGACACGTCTGCCCTAGGTCCTGATCCAACCACGCCAGCAGACAGAGATGTCCAAACCGATGTCCACACGGCAGCGACGCCACTTTCTCCACCCTCCCATCGTGCTCCTCCTCGCCACAGCGCGGGATCCCGGTGAACTCATGGCAGATGGAGCATTTGGGACCCGCGCCCGGAGGGGCTTTTTCCTCCTCCTCATCCTCCTTGGAGGCTTCTTGGGGAGACGAGGAGACTTCGATTTCGTGGACGGAGGCGGGGGCTTTGCTAGAGATGTCGGCGCAGGCGAGGTCGCTGGCGCTGAGTTCGAGGGCGGGTTCGAGGGTGGAGTCGAAGGGGTCGGGGTCGTCGTCGGCGGCGGCCGGGGGGGGTGGGGTGGGGGGTGCTGTCTCCGACGCTATCTCAGCGCTGGGTTGGGGGGGAGCTGGTGGTGGTGTTGGTGCAGTGGTAGGCTCGGGGGCGGGTGGTTCTGGTGGTTCGTCTGGGGTGACGGGGGGGGAACGGGGAGGGGTGATGAACTGTGATGGTGGTGGTCTGTCGGGTTGCATGGTGCATCGGCGTCGTTGGGCGGCTTGGGCGCGGCGTTTGAGGGAGGTGAGGGGGCGCTCTTTGGTGCTCTCGGTGTAGCGGTGGAAGAAGTCGGCGCGGAAGAATTTCATGGTGGCGTGATGGTGGGTCGGTGGTTGGTGGTAGTAGTAGGATTATATCTCTTCAACAACGTGTCTAGAAATCAATATATAAATTTGAATTTTGTATACAGTCAAACGTGTGAGTGACGTTGTCTCAAATCTCGTGTGCCTTCCCACTACCGTGATAGACTTGTATGGTGGATAAAAAAGGAGAACGACAACAAGCAGCCGAGTGAGCAAGAGAGAAAGAAGAAGAAGAAAGAGGAATAGCAGGAAGAAAATACTTAAAAGCGAAAGAGGGGTATCCAAACCATGCGCCGAGGGGAGGAAAGAGGGCTCTCACCATCCCATCGTCACCTTACCCAGGAACCCGTACCATGGCACTCGCGCTCTTAGCACGCCGTTAGCAGGCTGTCAAGTACGCCCCCTAGGCCCCTCTTTCATTCCAAACCGCGTCACATTTTGCTGCTGGCGCAGTGTCATTTCGGGGTACTTATTTAGGTTCGACTCGTGATGGGAGGAGAGGGTGTTGAGATGGAATGTTTGTGGTGGGATGGTGGAGAGAGCACGAGTCGAGAAATGAGGGTGGTGAGGAGCACACTACACACCATATCGCGACCCCGTGATACTACCCCTTCTATCGGCGTCTTCCTCCACAAGTATATGTACATTAATCTTTCTATAATCGCAAAATATAACCCGTCTTAAATAATCAACAATCACTCACTCATATTACCCCGTCCTATCCACAGCACCGACAATATCCCGTTCCTGATAGACCTCTCTCTTACCTCCCCAAGCGAGTACCCGGCTGGATAATCTACTAACTCCCTCGCTAAACCCGGGCACTAGCCGCGCCGGCGCGTGTCGTGACGTGCGCGTCATCCGACGCGGGGGAGGCGTTTGACGATGTCTCAGGTCAACATGACGAGTGTATGCGCGTGCGCAGGTACAATGGGCATGGGGGATGGGGGGTCAGGCTATGGAGGGGGGTCTGTTGATTTGTTGGTTGGGGGGGGGGGGAGAAGCTAAGGTGATGGGTATAATAATAGAGGGGATGGGTAAATATAAGAGGGTATTTAAATGGTTGGTTTTGTGGTTGGACTGATTAATATAATATGGTCTGAGGTACTGCTGGGTAGTTATTGTCGGCTAGTATTTATATTTATTAGTGTTATTGTCTTATTTATATTCACGAAAAAAAGGCTAATAGTATTTATTATCAGTGTCATTATTTATTTATATCACAAAAATAAGTTTAATAGACTTTATTTACCAAGGCATATATATATAATAATATCTACCTATGCTGCTAAATATTTAACATCTCCCCACACTAAATTCATATATACAGTAAAATCATCACTCATACCCATATCCACAACCTCCCCCCATTCACCCAACTATATGTACCCCCTCTTCGTCACTACACCCATCTAGCAGACTCCCGAAGGAACAGTCGTGCTCTCCTTCCTGCCAGTAGATCCGCTCCCCCTCGACGCACCCTCACCCAGTCCACGCTTGGCAAACGCCTTCCAGAGCTCGCAAGCGTTCGAGCCACCAGTGAGCGCCTTATCAGCATCAATGATGGCATCACGGGCCTGCACGAATGTAGGGCTGCAGGGTTGACTGTTTGATATTAGCATCATGTTTGAGAAATAGAGAAAGGAGGGGGGGAAGAGGAGGGGACTTACAGAGCCATTCCATCAAGAACCAACTTCATAGTCAAGAACTTTCCATCTGTCGGCACCTTCCCATTAAACGTCGGCTGTCTTGCCTCGGAGTTGCCATGTTTCTCCACCAAATTCCAAAGCACCTCATAAAGGATAGTCGCCCACACCGTGCCAATAGTATGCACCGCACTCATCGTATTAACACTCTTATACGTATACGGGTTCGTCGTCAAGCTCGTTGAGTACAGGTAATTCCTAATCCCCTTCGGATCATTCGCAATCCAATCACCCATCGGGTAATTCTTGGCCCTCGTATCCGCCTTCTTCAGGTGAATAGCAATAGCCATGAAATCTCCCCATCCCTCGCCCATGCCCCCCGCCTCGAGGACGTTGAGGCAGCCGGTGTTAGCGGGGCCGCCGGTAAGGCGGTTGGATACGCCGTGGGTGTACTCGTGGATGATGACGCCGGCGTCGAAGCTGCAGTCGCGGTAGGGCGTGCTCTCGTCCCAGATGTACATGCGCATCACACCCGGCTGTCCATCAGGCGGGGTAGCGAAGTTGGCATTGTTCGTCCCCGAGCCATCCTGGGCGTTGAGGATGACGGCATCGTTGCCCTTGCCGCCGGCGCCGTTGTTGTTGGTCTCGAAGTTACCAGCGGCCTCGTTGAAGCCGAGCGCGTGGAGCATGTCGTGGTACATGTTCGCGGTGTAGAAGAGCTGGGTGACGGATGCGTCGATGTACTTCTTCGGGTTGGTCTCGGCGAGGGAGTAGCCGTACTCGAATTTCGCGCCGGGAGCGTCGGGGCGGTAGTCGTTGGTCCAGCTGTTGTCGCCGTCGTAGTTGGCTTGCGCGATGCCGTTGTTGCCTTCGGTCATGGTGTAGGTGGTCTTTCCGTTGCCTTGCCAGGTGAATTCCGAGGCGGTCTTGTCGGCGGGGTCGGTCTCGATGGTGCGGCTGCCCTTGCTGGGGTCGTTGGTTCCCCATGGGCTGTGGGATGTTAGAATAATAAATCATCTAGTAGGAAGCGTTTATACATACAAGACTTGGTAGGTAGCGTCGGAAACGTAGTTCACAACACCGTAAACCTCGCTAGCTCCTGAGGCATCAACGTAGGAAAGCAGCCAGTTGTCCTTGAGATCAGTCTCCACTCTCCACGACAAAGACAGCGACCCGTCCTCCTTCTGGAAGTACACGAGACGAGCCTTGGGGTCCTGCTGAGCGCCAGTGGTTCCCTCAATGATGTAGTGCTCAAGCGCCTCCTCGGCCTTGGCCTGAGCGCCATCGGCGCTGATCTCGAGACCGAGGACGTTGGAGGCACCCTTCAGAGCGGCAACGGCGTCAACCTGACCGCGCGCGACCAGGGGGTTCTCAGATGGAACGTCGCCAGAGAAGAACGAGTTTCCGTAGGAGAAGACGCTTCCGTCAGCGGCGACCTGCGAGAGAAACTGTCAGATTATATCACTCTAAAACGGGGATTCATGGGGACGTACGTTAACGTTGAAATCAGCATTGTCGATATCAAGACCGTGAGCCACCTGCTTGAAGTTGACATGAGCAACGCCATTGCTCCCAACATAATGGTCATCCACCACGCGAAACTCCGCGCCCGGCGCAACCTGCTTAACGAGGGCCTGCGCCGTCTCGAGATAAGTCCCCCTCTTGGTCAGAGAAGACACAATGCTCGACTTAGCGGTGAACCCCGCATTGCTGTAATCAGCCTTGGTGCCCAGACGGAACGCATCAAAGTTGACCGCGCGACCATTGATGTCCCTGCGCGACGACACGAGCGCGGGGTGCGCAAGCGCCGTGCACGGGAGCAGCGCGACGAGCGCGGCGGCGGTGGTCAAACGCATGGTGGTGTGAGGGGAGAAGTGAAGGATGGAAGAGAAGTAGTAGAATAGTCTGAACTTATCGAGCAAGAGCTTCCGAACCTACCTCTCAGGCGCAGCGACGGCGTCTTTATATACATCAATCCCATCCATGGTGGAGACAGCTCGAATCCGTGATCACCATCACGGCCCTGTGGCCGCCGTGCTAAATGCACCTCACAGCACCTCATGACAAGCTTCCCCCCAACGCACTCCCTTCCCAGCTTCCCGATTCGAGTAACTGCCCCATCGAGATAGACAGAACAGAGGCTCGTTGGCAGAGCTACTGCAGGCCCAATAAATGAAGTAGCATCCCCCGACCCGACCTACCTGCCTTCACCTCGCGGCGCTAAACCCGCACCGCACGCCGAGCTTTCCAACGAAGCGGCCGATCCCCCATCCTTCCCAGCAGCCGCCCAGCCACCAACCCTTCCTTCGAGAAGGCTGCCGAGCCACCAGCGCATCCTTCGATCGGGATAATCGTGTGGGAATCCCGAGGCCGGGGGCTGTGTCTCATCTAATCTTCCATCCCATTCGCCCTGAGACCGCGTCGTGAACACACGCACAGCTACCCTGCCCTCATCGTCGCCGCGTACGTACCTCAGCTGCTCCCCCGCCGGACCACACGCGACCCTGAGCTCCCCTCTCCTCACTCACACCAATAATAAACACACCCCTCGACCCCCATCTGATTCGCCTCCAACCCCCTCACAATACGACCGTTCGCACGTAGTAGCCTCACCTGCCAAGTCCCGACTACCGGACCCCATGCGCAGATTGGGAAGGTCAGTATGGGTGGCCACCGCAGCGGAGCTCGGCATGTGAGAACACCGGCATGCGCGCGTCCAAGTTCATCGCGCCATCTGCCGCCAAGGCGCCGCACGGGGAAGCATTCGAGTCGGGGTGATATACTAAGCTCGTTAGCAGAGCCGTGATATAGTGCTGTGTGATAAGAAGCGTGCGTCTGTAGGGGTTGAAGCGTCGCCGCTAAGGTGTGGAGGGGGTAGGTGGCATGTGAGGGGTGCGTCGCTAAGACACGGTTTAGGAAGTTGGGGCGCAGGCACCGTCTGCTGAGTGGCTATGGGGGTCATGGCGTGCCTGACCGGATGGAGAAGCTCTGATGGGAAACGGTGGGCTAGCTGGGGGGGATGGGGGGTTTAGGCTTAATTTGATGGGAGGATGGCCCGATTAATAAGGTGTGTAAAATGTGTTGACTTATCTTTGGGGGTTTGGGGGATTGCGTATTGTGTATTGTTTTGTTCGGGGTGATCGCCGTTGAGAGCAACTTCCCCATACAAATATGCCACAGTTGTAGGTGGCGGGTGGCTGTAGTGGCGGAGGCGCTGGGGCGGGGAGGGGCATCCACTATCTTGCCGGTGGGATAAGCATAACCCTTTTAAACAACAACTATTGACAACCCTTTTGTACGAAGGCATTTCAAAGATACCGCTATTCTCTATAATCTGCCAGTTTTAGAATCGTAAATATATCCCTATCCTATCGCACTCAGTTACTCTAATCAGATGGTTGTTTAAAGTATGCGCTAGACTACGAGGATCTATACGGATTTACATGTCGCTTCACCCATAAACATAAACATCGCACCTATCGGAAGATCATACCCAAAGTAGTGTTGCAGTATCTTAAAGATGATAAACGTCTTTATTTGCTTTTTCTACGGCAAGGAGGGGGGGGGGGTGGTGTATTGGCACTCACTCCTTCCTTATTAAGTAACGTAACACTACTATAACACTACTATCTATACGTATACGTATACGACAAAAAGCACCTCGCCTTCCTTCCACCTTCTATCTATCCGTGCCATCGCTATCACAACCAGGCTCAACTTCCAATGCAACATCTACACCTATAGCACCTACCACCCACTACTAAAAGTAAGCCTTACAAACCATTACATAGCGCCTCTACAACCTCGCCCCATGCGGCTCCTCTAACGTCTCCTCCTTCCTCCAAGCAACAGAGTAACAGTAACAACTTATACTTACCACCACCTCTACCAACCATCTCTCTCTCCCCCTACCGCCCTCAGCCCATCCCCTTCCTACACAGCAGCACAACAGTACATATACCCTACCAACAGAGAAGCTATCACATACGACCATAGACTCAAGAGAATTGGGCATCCCGTCCGCTCTGCCATACACAAGCTTGCGTATCCTCTGGTTAATAGTCTCAATCGTGCCAATAGGCATAGCACGGATTCAGGGCCACTTACCTTGGAGGTTCCTCCCTTATCTTTTTTTGGATCTTTCGTAATAGACCTATAGGATAGCACCGAAACCCTTCAGACTCGCACTCCCATATGCTACCATTCTGACCCGGTGCCCTGTGTCCTTACAATGGCCCTCCACCCAATGATCCACCACTGAATTATCCACCACCTAATTATCCTCCACCTAATTATCCCTTACTCAATGATCCCTAATACTTTTATCATTATTAGCAAATTACGCACCATGAGCTAAAGTTGGCAACTACAACCACAATTTGAGCCACAGTCTGAATTGCAACATGAGAACAACAGTAGTTTGTATTATTCATCTTATAACATATGCTCCCCATCCTCATTCTTTGCCTTCTTGCTCACATGGTTTAAAGCCTCGCCCTTCGTGTCTTGTATCTTTTCCTCATCATCTTCTCTCTTTCGTTTCCTAGCAACATAGTTTGAACGTAGTTCCTTAATACAATGCACGCCTTCAAAATGAGCTCTGAAATCTGAAGGAGGCTTAAGATGCACGTTGCACATAGGGTGCTAACATTCTAATTCTGCATAAGTAGTAAGGTGTGTGTCAATATAATTAAGTAGCGTGGTTTCTTCATCCATTGCTACATTCTTTGTGATAGAGAAAGGCTCTTATCGCCCAAGGGTGAAATCAGCCACAAGGTTAGATTGATATTTTGCAGGATAATAGGTGGATGTATGTCGCTGGTTTGGTCTATTTAGATTAATTACCTACTCATCATACCCTAAACTGAGTGTCGTCGGGATCAGTGACTCTTTAGCGTTCCTATCCAAATACTTCCTCATCTTAACACCCGCAAACTCATGCTCAACGACTGTAAAATGACCCTGTTGTCCATTCGCCCTCGTGATATTCTTCAATTTGAACACCTCCTTCAGCATCGCAGCGAGCGCGCTCCCGACCAATCTCGCACCGAAGCAGAAGAGTTCAGCTGGTGACGGTAGTTACGTCGTGCTTGACCCTGCTGAGCTGGTAGCTGGGTAGCTAGATATGGCTGACGGACCTTGCGGGGGCGGCGAGCAATCTGACTGGCTGAACTCGTCGAATTGTCAAGCGGAGTGGATTGGGGATTAGGTGGTCTGTGCTTCCCGGCCGAGGTAAATTGGTTATCTGGCAAAGTTTCTTTACACCATCTTCCTTTCATCATTAAAGATGAACAACGCAAAAGGCTATTATCAATTCCCGACTAAGTTAAGCAATTTTTTTCATTTTTCATGATAGCTAGTGAAGCTGCTAAGGCATTGTTCTCTCGGGCTACTATTACCTTTTTTTCTCCTCGAGTTTCGTGCTTCAATTCAGAGTTGGAAAAGTCGTCGTCATGCTCCCCCTTCCCACGTCCCACGTCACTAACGTGTGCGGGGCGGTTATTTGCTGTTTAGTATTTTCGCTATAAAACATACCAACCCGACTAATTGTCGGATCTTTTGAAAGCTTACTCGGGTTATATATAGATTAGGCTTCCGTTACAGGGACACGAAAGTCACGTGTGAAGGATGGGTATCCCTGAAACGGCCTAATGCGTGAACATGGCCTACTCCTCCAACACACCATTTCGACGACAAACAGACAGAATATATAGGCAACAGCATACCGAACGCTTTCATTTGCTCATAATCCACTTGGTGTTGTTTACTCAGTCTTGCTCTGGAGGAGGTCGCAGCGGTTAGCTCGAGGAGCTCCTGCTCATCAAAAATGTCGCAGAAATACGACACCCTCCCAATGGCACTTAAATACGACATCGGTCCCCGACAATTCCTCTTCAGACAGCCGTCCTCATTCTCATCCGCGACGTCAAACATCCCCCTCACCAAACCACCATCCTACATCCCAATGGCGCCCACCACCGAAGAACCCGCAGCCACCGCCGCGACAACCACCACCTCCCTCCACCGCCTCCCCTCCGCACCCCGCCACTCCACCGACTCCGACACCGACTCCATCATCTCCACCAACGCCCGCCTCATCTACCCCACCTCTCACCACATCGCCCAAAAAGATTACACCAGCACCATCTACCCCACCTCCTTCTTCCGCCTCCTCGCCGCCATCTTCCTCATCGTTGCTCTCTCCCTCTTCGCCGCCAGCGGCGCAGGCCGCGCCGTCCCTGCCATCGTCTTCGTCTCCCTCGCCCTCCTTCGCATCCTCTTCGTCTTCTTCTTCCACACCCCGCGCAGAGCCCGCTGGCTCGGCTGGAGAGGCGTCAACCTCGCTGTTGATTTCTCGCTCTTTGCTGGTATCTTCGGGGCTGTGGGGGGCGCATTCAGCAACCAGCGAAATGTTGCGGCGTGCGTCCTTGGCTGGGTTGGCGTGTGAGTTTTCCCCCTCCCTCTCCTTTCTAGCAGCTGGAGTATAGACTTGTGCTAATGGGGGTTTTTAGTTCTATCTTTGCCTTAGCGGCGGTTGATACGGGGCGTCCGACTAGGATCGCTTTTACATGGACACTGAGTCTGGATTTCTGGACGGGGAGCGGCGCGCTGTCGCTTGATGATAACTGGGTTGAGGCTAGGAGGCCAGAGATGGGTGGGAGGGCGTCACCTGTCTAGAGATGGTGGGGGCCGGGTGAATGGTGAGGTAAGGGGGTGCAGGTATGGGCGTTGGTGTCTATAACAGTAAGTTTTTTTTTTTTCTTTCTTTCTTTCACTTGCACGTTTGGAGAGCGGAGGGGACGGCGCATATAATGATCTAGATATTATGTCAAACTAGTCGGAGGGCAGCTTAGGCTGTCTGATGGCGAAAATACTCTGAAATAGTAATGGCTGTCCCCTTGAGGACGCTGGTGTTGGTCCGTTTGTTGTGTTGCTGCAAGTAGCATTGCTAGATGATGGTGACTGACTTTTATAGTGCTTTATATACGATACGGTGCTTGGTTCGAGTGGGTTTGAGGAGTTAGGAGTTTGCGGGTTTGGTGGGATACTTTGGATATTTAGAGCTTTTATGAATGGTATATTTTCCAGACATTTATACTTTTCCCGCAGGTAAAAGTGAGACATTAGATGCATAGGTTTTACTATGTAATTGCCTGATCCTATCTGATTCACCAGGCCAGAATCACAATCTGTTGCCCTTTGCCCAAGTGATCTTGAACTGTTCTTGGTTTACCCCACCGAATGTGTCTAATGCCGAATCTAGAATAGTGTGCTTATAACTAATTGCGGAAATGTTCGTGGAGCCACGCCTTACTTCCCCATCGGCGAACACGACTGTTCCGACGGCTCATCTCCCGAAATGAACTATATCCCTGTTTCTAAAGTTACGAATTATTCATTCGCGCCCCACTTCCCGTCAAGGCCAACACCATCGATTAAGTATATGTAACTGACAGGACCCCAGTTTGTTCCGAAAATCCTTATTCCATCCAATAAAAATGTTGCAGCCGATTTTCGCAAGGGCTTTGACTAGGCAACTATTGGGGAATTCGAGGTACTTACGCCCCATCCGAATCACTTCATCTCCTAGGATATTCTGTCGCACTTCCTTGAGGCGGTCTTTAGATTTCAACATGAACTCCTCAAGTACCAGATCCTACAGTGCCACCGAGCTGGATGTGGTGGATTTTCGCATTAGGAAAGACGGGCCAAGCACATTGCAGAACCCACACTACACATATGCCTTCCGCTATTGGGGATTCGTAATCATTCGAACTACATACACGCCAGAGTCTGATCTCCAATGGCCCGTCGCCATGGCGAAATTATCCGACTGGCTACTGTTGGAGATGAAGGAAAAATACAATACTTCAACTACAGATCAAGACCGCGTCATTGAGAAATTTAGGAACCTGATTGCGGATGACAAAGCACTGTATGATGGGATGCCAATGAACGATGCGATTCTGCACTTCGATGATATCCTTAATGAGCAGTATAATGTTACGTTGAAGTACAGTTCGCCAGAGCATTTCGAGAAAACAAGGGATTTTCGGATTCCCGAGCTTGTCGAGCAATCTCTCGTCGAGTCTGACCCCGAGGTCAAAAAAGATCTCCTCGAAGCATCGTATTGGTGGCTCAACAGTCACATATGTCTTGTAATGGACGAGGAGTCGCTAGATGATCTCGTGGAGCTCCCTGTGGAGATCCCTGGTTTCGATTTGACTTCGATGCTGCAAGAATTCAGGGAGGACCCTCACGGTCCTCCACCTGTTCCGCGGACGGCATATCTCAAAGTTGCCATGCAACATTCAGATTTCGATTTGATGGATCGCAAGCAGTATCATAGTGCCGAGGATCCGGACTGGTACGCTCAGTGGGCTAAATGGGCAGTTCATAATGGCTTGGGACAGATGCATCGGTCTTATGAAACTTGCGAGCTAGATGCGGGCATGAGATTGGAGCGACTATACGGGCAGCCATATGTCGAAATTTACGGGCAGGACTAATATCTATTTGCTTCTTGTACGTGTTGGGATGCTTTGGGACAGATCAAACGAGTTACACATGACGTTCTTAGTGTAAGTTAAGAGGTTTTCGCAGCCTGAGTTGTTTACATAGTTCGATATTATCAAAACTAGCCATTGATCTTAATTTCAGGTTATCTAAAAAAAAGTCCTAACTCTGCTCCTTGCTCGAGAAGGCCTAAATTATATAAAATCCGCCTCTAGGTTTTATTTCCTGATCCTGGAAATCGGATTCCTAAATTTATCCGTGGGGAATTGATTCTGTCAGCGTGATGCCGCATGTTATCCAAATGTTCCAAAGTGGTATACGCCAGTGCCCGCTGACCTTCATCAGCAGTACTTGTACTGACATCGGTCCATAGCGCCACGATATGTCCACAGCCAACAATCACTATAATCACTAACATGGCCAAAAAGTACAGTTCTATCAACTATAACATCATCTACACCCATGGCACCTAACACTAATCACACAACCCATCACCCGTAGCTCCCCCCCTTTCCCCAAACCATTCCCCACTTGCCGCCCGACGCCATAGCACAGCAGTATATATATTCCCCCGTAAGAGAGGAATAAATACATACGACCATAGACTCAAGAGAATTGGGCATCCCGTCCGCTCTGCCATACACAAGCTTGAGATCGGTGGATTAGTAGTTGGGTGGGTGACCACCAGCGAATACCCACTGTTGTATGTTTTTACTATTTTTTTTGGCCCTTTTGGGCTAGATAAGAGAGTGTGTGTATAGATATAACGTAAATATGATAATATTGCTAGTAAGTACTCTAACGCTTTTAGTTAAACAATGTGTAATGTATTAGATCTATAATATAGTAATGAGTTAATGTTTGCCTATAAAGATTGATTATATATAACCACATTTCTGTTTTAAATGACCTTTTTATTTTGAAGACATAGTTCATTGACATTTTAATCCTTAATAAGAACATAAATCCATTACTATGCCTACTTATTAAACAACTAAGTCTGATTCAGCTCGAATCCAATCATCCTAGGTAAGTGGCACTGCTTTTAGATATTGGGACTATGCAATGACAGTTGTTAGGCCAAGGGTAGTAGAGACATGTCATCGAGCAGCTTCGCCTCCTGCGTGCAATCTGCCGCCAACTGGTCAAGGAATGTGGCTTCCAGCAGTGATGGTAGCTCTAATTAGAGCTCTGTCCCCAACAGCTCATCAAGGAACACAGATGTTGCATCTAGCTAGGAATGGTCTAGAAGTGGCAAGGAAGACAGTCGTAGCTGATGGTCCATTAAATCAAAGAATCGAAGACTGTGGGCGTCGTGAGTAGATCAGTTCTGTTACGAAGCTCCTGTCGAAATGCCCACCTAACTCATGGGAACATCCATTAGGAGGTTGAGTTGCAGGCTGTTCTGTTCGCTTAGTGTAAACCATTCACTAAATTGTGGACATTTGTGGTCGTGTGTGGTCATTGAGAATGCGGGGAAAGAATGCGGGGAAAGGCTAATGTTAGGATTTAGGATGATGATGAACCCATTCCGTTACTCCACCTGCCAAGTCCGTCCATTGGACGGATATATATTTCCGAAAGGGTAAAACCGCCCAACTTTGAGATGAGACGTAACAGAGACCTTGACGCACTGCGTTGGAGAAATAAAATAGCTTGGATAGGCTACCATGACATCTCCACTCAGAATACTCGGATGTATTTACTATTGTAACACTAATAAGGGTTCAGAAACAAAAATAAAAAAGTAGCAAACGACACAGGCCACAGGAATTACAAAAACGATGGCGATTTCATTGCTCAAGGGTACAGCCTTTGTGACAGGCGCAGCTTCTGGTGATTAACGCGTCCCTAATTCCCACCATGATCCATCCTTCCTCTACTCCAATATCACTCCAACATCGTAACGGCCAAGGAGCCTGAAATCCTCCCAAGAAAAGAGCAACCCCTCAATCCATGTCTAAAGCTCATTCTCCATCCTCGCAGGAATTGGCAAAGCAACCGCCTTTGCCTTTGCCCGGTACGGCGTCCAGCGCCTCGCCATCTCCGACCGCTCCGCTCCCGCCCTCAGGGCCACCGCTCTCGAGTTGCAAGCGCAGTTCCCCTCGGTCGAAATCAAGCCGCTCATCGTCGACGTGACCAACGATGACGAGATTGATCGCGGGGTCGCTGACGCCGTCGCGGCATTCGGCCGCATCGACATCGCCGTCAATAATGCCGGGGTCAGCGGCGCGGGCAAGGAGACCCACGAGGCGACTTCCAGCGACTGGCAGAACGTGGTGGACGTCAATTTGAGCGGAGTGTGGAAGACCCAGAGGAGGATTCTGCAGCAAATGTTGACACAGGAGAGCCTGGGCATGAGAGAGGGCAGAGGCACGATTATCAACGTCGCATCGATGTATGGACTAGTTGGCCCGCCGGGATATATCGCGGCCACTGCGTATACGGCCTCGAAGCACGGTGTTCTGGGTCTTACGAAAGCTGTAAGTCGTAAAAGTGAGCATGATTGAAGCCTGAAATCTGAGTTCTGACTCGTGGTGGTACCTTAGGATGCAATCACCTACGCGCCCGAGGGGATCCGTATCAATGCCATCTGTCCGGGGTAAGTGCACCTTATATACATCTCTAACTGATCTCTCGCAGAGATAATGACTAACACAGCCTCCAGATATGTCGATACGCCGCTTCTCCGCGCTGACAGCCAAACCGACTACATGAAGAAGGAATTGTTGAAGGTGCCAATAGGACGACTGTCGTCACAAGAAGAGACGGCAGACGCGATTGCCTTCCTAGCCTCACCAATGGCTAGTTACATAGTCGGAGCGGCCTTGGTGGCAGATGGGGGGTATTCTATTCAGTAATATATAAGAAAATATCTGAAAAATAAACATAGAATACGTAAACCAGATTACATGTTTGTTAACTCTATTATTTCAAGTTATATAGTAAACTGCATCACTCCTCTAGTATTACAATATAAAGCAAACTTAGGTGGACTGGAACACATATAATTTGTATGTAAAAGTACAACCAACTACCCGCGTTACCTAGGACCCCGCGTTACACAGTGACTTAATGTTAGCGTGGGGCGAGTTCAGGAACGCCCAAAGATGGCGGAAAACTTCAACCGGCGATAAGACTAATAAGACGGAATGCTTATCACATATCAATACTAGATGCCCACGAAATAAAATGATGGACTCGAACAAAGCATATAGTTTGGCAGAAGAAGAAATGGCTGCTCAACTACCAGACTTGAGCCAGTATGGCCGCTATCAGCTCCTGGCCATCGCTGCGCCTTTATTGGTACGTCGCCGATGAACTTTCGTGAGAATGAAAAAGTACTTATATTCTAGATTGTGCTCTACTATATCGGCTTGGTTATCTACCGCATCTCTATCCATCCTCTGGCAAAGTACCCTGGCCCCACGCTATGGGCTATCAGTTCGATCCCCGGCATCCGCAGTCTGCTCAATGGAAGAATCAGCTTCGACTACAAGGAATTGCATGACAAGTATGGTCTGTAGTTTACCGTTCCTCCCGTTTCCAATACATCGAAAGCTAACAATAGCCAGGTCCCGTTGTCCGGGTCTCTCCAGAAGAACTCTCATTCAACACCGTCGAAGCCTGGGAAGACATCTATGGGCACCGAATTGGGAAGCATGCCGGACGCCCCAACATGGATAAGGATCCCATTCACGTCGGTTCTGTAGAACCCATTCCTGGCGCTTCTTCTCTTACTATGGCCAATGACATAGATCACGCTCGTCTCCGCCGTGCTCTTGCATATGCTTTCTCTCAGAAGGCATTGGTTGAGCAGGAGGAGTTGCTACAGGATTATGTGACGAAGTACATCGATAACATCCGCAAGTTTTCTGAGGCTGGTGAGGAGTTCAACGCTGTAGATTGGTTCAATTATACGACTTTTGATATCATTGGTGATTTGTCTTTCGGCGAGGTACTTCGCTGCGCCTCCCCATTCATACCAGGAATTCACTAACGCACCGTCAGCCCTTCGGCTGTCTCGATAACAAGCACGGCTCCCGCGACTGGGTCGTCATGATCTACGAATCCATCAAAGCAGGAGTCCTCGAGCAAGCCACCCGCCGCTTTGCCGACGTGGGGACCTGGGCCCAGCAGTTCCTCATGTGGCTCATCCCTTCCAAAGCGCGATGGATCCGCCGCGAGCACTTGCGGAACTCGAAGGAGAAGGCACTCCGCAGGATGAATGACGATAGCGAGCATAAGGACTTTTTATGGTATATCATGAAACAGCGCGAGAAGAAATCTGAGGTGTCGGATAACGAGGTGATAATCAATGCTGCCTTGTTCATGTAAGTCTCCCACCGCCGTGCTCTACATTCTAACGCGAATGACTGATTCATCAAACAGTATTGCCGGCTCTGAAACAACCGCAACCCTCCTCGCTGGCCTAACCAACCTACTCCTCCGCAACCCTGAAAAGCTCGCCCGTGTTACTGCTGAGATCCGCTCCCGATTTGCTACCGAGGCTGATCTGACCTTTGACAACATCATGTCCCTTCCCTACTTGAATGCCTGCTTCGAAGAGAGCCTGCGCATCTTCCCACCAGTGCCCGTCGGCTTGTTGAGAAGAGTTCCAAAGGGTGGTGACATGATCGACGGCAGCTTTGTCCCAGGCGGAACGAGTGTTTCCGTGCCTGCGTGGGCTGCCAGCCATAGCCCGGCCAACTTCAAGGATCCAGACGTTTTCTTGCCAGAGAGATGGATGGAGGAACATCAGAGCGAGTATGGCACTGATGTAAAGAAGTCGTCACAGCCCTTCTCGCTTGGGCCGAGAGGCTGTATTGGCCGCCACTTGTCGTATGTGGAAATGCGTCTAATACTTGGTCGACTGTTGTGGAATTTTGATCTTGCGTGGAGTGATAGTGCTGCTGGGAAGGAGTCACACAGGAGATGGGATCATGATGGTGAGTGCAAGCATCTGAGAGCCTTCAATACGTGGGAGAAGCCGCCGCTGGTGATCAAGGCATCTGCGGCAAAGAAAGGATGAAGAAGGCCTGGTAGTGGAGAAGTGAGCATCAGCTAGAAGGATTATGTGATGGACAGAATTCACAGTCCCAAATCTCAAGACAGATACAATTATTCGGTGGGCATATTGCCCGCGATGTGTTAGCCATAGCCCGAGAAATTGAAATGAGTCTACAGATTTTATCTATTTTCTTGGTTGACAGTGATCTCCGAATCCTTGGATTTTTAGAAGTACGATGTATCTGTTCAAGACCACCCGCCAATGCTGACCATTCACCAACGGACTAGACCATTGGTGAATGGCCTAGGCTAGCCACCAATACGAACATTTGCCAGTCGACTAGACCGTTCGCCAATGAGTGCTCTCATTGGCGACTGGCCTGGGCAGCCCGCCACCACTCGTCAATTCCTACATCGGCGGGTGTTCTTGGCAACGCCTACGGAGCAGACATGAAAAAGGCGAGTAAGAGCAGATATTTATGTAGGTAATATAGTAACGTTATTGAAAAGAACAAGATATTATATTAGTACCGTTATCCTATTCATATTGGCAGGAACATATTGGCTGGTGGTCGGGAACATATCGTATTCTGGATCTAAATCTATCACGGGAATTGCCATGCTTTTATATCATTTATATTGCAATGTCTGCATCTCTTTAAGGAATTATCTTGGCCTTCTTCATCCTGTCAAATACGCCACCCCATGTTTGCAGTGTGCTCCTCTCTTCTTTAAACCCTGTCTCGTACATCTTCTTCATGTCATACTGTCTATCGAAGTCGAACTGCGTGAGGAGGAAATACTCAAACCCTTTGAATGTTAGTTCAGAGTCCGCAATCCCAGTTCTTAGACCATGTTTTTTCTCCAAATTCTGCCATGCATTGAAATGTTTCTTGATGTACGTCCTCACTTCCGTCGGTTCTCCTTCGCTAGGTGGCCCGACCCCCTTCAATCCGAAATATGAGCAAATTTCCGGCCACTTTGTCTCCCAGGACTTTGGTTCCTTTGCATCCGCGACATTGAATCCTTCTCCCTTTGAACTCTTTGAGAGTGCGAGAGAAAGATGAATTGTCTGTCTTGCAATCATGTCACTTGAACTGTCAATTGATTTCGCAACCCAAGCTTTGTGACTCCCTGGGTACGGACAAGCCGAGCCTTTCCCTTCAACTTCAGCCCAGAGTGACAGAAACACAGCTATTGAGGTTGCAAGCGAGTAGAAGTTTTGATTCGGGACAAATCCAATGATGATATCCGGTCTCGTGTCGCACCAATTCCACGATTTGTCTTTGGAGTAAGAAGTGATCCACTCAAGTTGCGGGTGGTAGAAGAGGGTCTCGTAGTATGGAGACTTGAGACGTGGATGCGATTCTCTCAAGGGAACGTGAATGTAATCCGTAGGGTGGTTTTCCAGAAGGTGACAGCCGTACATTTTTGCACCTGTTTGGAGCACTACAAATTCCAGTGCTGAGCTGAGATGGTCCATGGCGGTAGTGGAGCGCTTAAACATCTCGACTGCATCTTTATATTCCTGCAAGAGATCCGATGAGGCCTTATATGCTGAATTTATGTCAGTGAGTGACGTCTCCTCCCAAAAAGGGAAACGAACCCAAATAGTACACATGTGTCACCTTCTCAATACCCTCGATCTTTTGAAATGCACCCTCAAGATCTTCCTGGCTCCCCTTTAACAAATCGATCCCCGAGACGATGGTCAGCCTCTCATCGTTTGGCCACAAAGAATCGCTCTGGTTGAGTGGCCGATTCGTCAAAGCATAGACTTTGTCCCAGATTTCCTCCTTCGGATAGTCATTCAGAATCTCGTTTACAAACGCCCATCCCGTCACGCCACTGGCGCCAAATATGAGCGCCGACTTGGACATTTCGGATTTCTTCAAGATTTATATCCGGAGATAACTTCGAGCGATACACTACTGCACTTCTGCTATTTAATGCGAATACGTACGAGTTTTTGCTACCAAGTATTGAAGTATTACTATTTCCCTTACTGCAAGATCACACGGCAAGGGCATTTCGGAAATCCTAGATTCAAAAATCTCGGAAATCCAGTAGCAGCAACTTGATTAACTACAGTACACGGAAAACGATATGCTGAGGTCCACCCTAAAAGGAACGAGCCGAGGTGGAGAGTACTCGTACATGGCGGGGTAGGGAATCCCCCAAGCCCACTAGCGTTGAACGTTAGCCTAATCCTTAACGCCGCAATCTCCATTCTCAATTGTAATTGTGATTTAGAAAAGCCCTTTATTTCTTTTTCTTTTTCAAAATTCAATCACAAACGAAAAGAGATCAGCCCCTCCCAAGCTGTCAACCATATCGTCAAACATGGCACAGCCCGGAATTCTGTGGGTGAACTCTAAAATCACCCACCCCGATGCAATCACTCCAGAAAACTTCGACAAATGGTACAATGACATCCACGTCCCCGATATCCTCGCAACCAGTGGCTTCGACTCTGCATTTCGATACAAAAACATCGATCCAAAGGCAGATCGACCATACCTAGCCATGTACCCAGTCAGCGACGTTGATTGGCTTGGGTCTCCGGAATTCTCGAGCATACCTAATACGAGCGATTGTTTCCCGGGACCAAGTCACAAGTGTTTTGATTACGCAGATTTTGATACAAGATTTTATGAGTTTATTCATTCATACGAGAAGCCTGGCGCGCCTGCTTGTAGGTGGTGGTCCTCTCCGTCGATGCATCAAGTGGGGGTTGACAAGTGAAAAACAGGTCCAACTAAATTGGTGATCTCAGCCGGACTCACTCCAGCAGCAGGGACAGATGCAGATTTTGATGCATGGTATAGAGAGGAACATTATAGTACTTTGGCTGCGTGTTCGGGGTATATGAGAACGAGAAGGTACAAATTGAAAAGGGCTGTGAAGGCAGAGAACCCAACGACGTATCTGTCGCTGCATGAGTTTGAGTGTGATGTGCTACCGCAGGCAGACTTAGATAAAACTGCAGAGACACCTTGGTCTAAGAAAATTATGGGATCGCTACTCGGTGCTGAGATTGGTGTTTATGCGTTAAGTGGAGCATGGGGCGAAGTTGGGGGAAAGATTTGAAGGGAATGGCAAACGTGGTTATTAAATTGTCCTACAATAATGTGCCTGACATCTATTGTGTGTAAAATCCCAACTGTTATCTCTTGTAGAAGTGGCTGTCACTTCCAATATTGTTTTGCTAGGAGAGTAGCCCCAACGCGTGCCCGGCGTAACTATTGCTTTATGCGGCTCAAAATCTCGATAGTCAATTTCCATCATCTCGGATATCTTTTGCCGACCGCATCGCCCCGCATCCCCCGCATCCCATAAGCGAAATCAACCCCACACGCGGGAATAACTAACTGGGGTAAACAAATTCTGGGGTCGAAACCTGGAGAGTCCGGGACTAGCCTAGGGAATGCTCAAAAATAGGAACCGAAAGTGGCTTTTCGCGCATGCTATATAATGTCCTCGACCAAGCGAGTTTGAATGATCCAGTTGATTTTCTTCAACTTCGTCGTCCTATTCTTGATCTTTTTGAGCCTGAAAGAAAACGAAATCACTAGACAGGAAAGAAATGACAGACATTAATAACAGTGACGAGAAGGATGAGTTTGTCCTTGAACATCTAGAGGCAGTGAAGCCGGATGCTAATGTGGCTTTTCATCATGGCCAAATTGCTCCTGAAGCAATCGGAGGACTTTATAACGAGATGCCAAAGGGCTATTACTGGAGCAAAGATTTCTTAGGAACATTAATCGTGAGTAATAAATCTCGGGTTCTTGAAAATGCCTCTGATTGATAATTATAGGCGACATGTCTTGCCCAGATCAGCGGATACCTCGGCTGGGTCCTACCAGCTAACACTCTCAGTCTCATCAATGAGTCTCTTGGAGGATCTCCAAATATAAATTGGGTTGCACTTGCGTGGACTCTCGGTTTCACAGTGGGACTCTCCCTTGTTGGGAGATTGAGTGACAGTCTGCCTTCCAAAACCCATGCGACTTGCACCTCTACTGACAAATAATCCAGTATTCGGACGCCGCTGGTTTTTCATCGGTTCTTCACTGATGGCACTTGTCGGGAACATCATAGGAGCATCAGCCCAATCCGTTAACCAACTCATCGGAACAAATTGTCTCAACGGTCTGGCTGCAGCCGGCCAACTTTCCTTCAATGTCGTAATTGGCGAACTCGTACCAAACAAGCTTCGTGGACCCTTTAACGCATTGGTATTGTCGACGTCCATCCCGTTCGCGGTCTTCGGTCCTCCCGTAGCAAGAGCCTTCTATGAAAATACCGGCCTACAGTGGCGGTGGTCATACATTCTGGGATGCATCATCAATACCATCGCTATTGCAACATACTACGTCTGCTATTTCCCTCCGTCGTATCGTCAGCTGCATGTCAACGGAAAGACGATGATGAAACAGCTTAAGGGCCTTGATTGGATTGGGATCTTCCTCTTCACTGCCGGATTGGTACTTTTCCTGATCGGACTCAACTGGTAAGTCAAACTTTATCCGCGACAATTCTATCCACTGACAAGTCGAAGGGGAGGACAAACATACCCCTGGAGCTCCGCCCACGTCCTCAGCACCCTCATCATCGGAATCGCCACCCTCATCGCCTTCGGATTCTATGAAGTTTACAGCGGCCACGAATACCCACTGATCCCAATGCACCTCTTCAACAACATAAAGTACGATGCCATCGTCGCATGTGCTTCTATAGCTGCTATGGTCTACTATTCCATGACCGTGGTCTGGCCTACTTTGGTCGGCGCACTCTTCACCACCAGCGTCCAAGATATCGGATGGCTGTCATGCGCAGTAGGCGGAGGCCTACTGTTGGGTCAAATAGCTGCTGGTTTGGGAATTCGGTATATCCCAAGGATGAAGCTCCAGATGACTGTCGCGGCAGTGGTTATGGTGACATTCGTTGCTGCACTTGCTTCTGTGGACGAGTACTCCCGCACTAGGACTGTTGTCTTCCTTATTATTGGGACTGCAGCTGCTGGATACATCGAGAACCTGACACTGTCGTCAATGGCGCTTGTTTGGGAGCCAGAGGATATCGGATTGGTTGCTGGTGTGTTGGGAAGTATAAGGACGGCTTGCTCATCGGTTGCCACTTCTCTATACCTTAGCATTCTGTCCAATCAGTTTGCAAAGCACTTACCTCGCTATGTCACCCCTGCCGCGACAGAAGCTGGACTTCCAACCTCGTCCCTCGAAGATTTGTTTGCTGGCATCACAGCGGGATCGTTTAGTAAAGTGGAAGGAATCACACCAGCTATCGAGGAAGCCGTTGGCCATGCGGTCAAGCGTGCATATTCGATGTCTTTTAGGACAGTATTTCTGTGCACTTTGCCGTTTGGGGCGATTATTTTGGTGGCTGCGATTATAAGCCCGAATGTTGAGGATTACTTGACAGATGATGTCGCAAGAAGATTGCAGGGGAAGGCTGTTGCTGCTGTCCCTAACAGCCAAGTAATGACTGAGAAGGATACTAATCCTGCAGAGTAAATGTCGGGTTCATCTGGACGATGGGCAAATGAGCTGGACTGATGCGAAATAGGATAGTTTCACCTTCTTTTATATAGTAACGTAAGTCATGGCCTGCTTGGGCCAATGGCGTACTTGACCTTGAACCAAAATTACACCAAAACATCGAAAACTCAAAACTGCGTTAACTTCAACAACATTAGCTGTACAGTTTTACGCTCCTATATGCTGTATCTATATAGCTATATAAATAATGCTTTATCATGATTTTATTCTAGAGTACTCGATAAAGAAGTTGCAAAAAAAGTATACTAAAAAAAGTATCAGTTTATTTGAACATAGAATAACGTCATAAATAAACGCGTGAAATACAAATCCTTCTATAGGAAAGTTCATCCATAGTCTATTGAACGCATATACAAAAGGACTAAGTTTATTAAGGCGTGGTTGAGAAGTTATTATAATTATAATTTTTTCGGTGTTTTGGTGTAACTTTGGTGCAAGGTGAAGTACGCCATTGGCCCAAGTAGGCCATGACTTACGTTAAGCTGTGGAGTTTATTATTTGGATGAATTAGATGATAATGTATTAGACGCCTCGCAACTATTCCTGTCTAACTACCTCTGATTGATTACTAAGGTTCATACTATTACGAGTGGAGTAAGAGCCGGTGACTGGTTTATATTGTGCGTTTCCATAATCTATCCTAGACGATGTTGCCAAGTTTAACCAACAATTTGGCGGAGATATCTTCCGAATATTGTGTAGTAGATCCGGTCGACTGGGCAATCACCACTGTCGCCAACTGGTTTTTGGCGAAAAATAAGGGGCAAGAAACAGGTTACCAGTTAACATCAAGACGGACGAAAACCCGCGCAGGAGTTGATGTTGCTCGAATAAACGAACAGACATGCTCTCACTTAACTATTAGAAGACAAGGCGCTCGCGTTACTCAGGATAAATGATTGGGAGCGTCATGTAGTTGATATAGCACCCTCCAAAATGGATGTGGTTGCTGCCTTTAAATACGCTCTCTGATCTGAAAAATTGTGAGCTAAATCGCGCTCGTGTGGGGGTTTTACGTACCTGTCATCTGGATCGTTGTGGCCCCAGAATCCGGTTCCTGCAGTGTCTCCAGAACTGACATCAAGAACTAGGCGGCCGCCAACTCCAACAATCACATTAGTGGGCCAAATTTCCACATCGACGGGATACACCTCGTTAGGGATAACAGACAAGAGGTCAGTCGATAGGAAGTCTCGGTGCGGGAGATAAGAGCGGTGCTTGGGGTTTTCTGGGTTCGTCTTCCTGAGACTGACGCGAAGGAATCCCTTAGCTAGCGGCACCGCCTCTCCTGCTGATCCGGTGTAGAAGATTTCGTCCCCGGCGGGGGAGATATGACGGAGACTCAAGAACAAATCCAGATCTGAAGGGGTGGACCCCCAGCGATCTCCGCTCATAGAGACATTAAGATGAACGACGATATGGCCAGTAACTTCGGTCTCCTCCTCAAACGGTCGTGTCTGGAAGGAAAGAGTATCGGCTGGCGTCGCTGTTCCCAACGCTCTGTAAGTCGCCTTGGCGGTTGGCACACCTACAGGTTGCTCGAATAGAAGCTCGCTGCCCGAGGTAAGGAACACATCAACGTATCGCGTCCTTGCCAAGGGCCATTCGGCCTCTGTCCTGCGAAAATAAGTCTTCTCGGCTGTGGGGTTATTATACCCAACATTACCCTTGCGAAGGATCAGATTGACTGGTGGCACCCTCCCTTTGACAGTCCATCCCTCTCGGTCATCGCCTTTCAGGAACGCGTCCAGGAAACTGCGTTGGACTTCAACCTCCTCAGGGTAGTAGAAAGGTAGGTCGTGTCGACCGGTAATAAACCGGAGGTACTTGAACTCGGAGCCTGCTCTCATATAACCCACGACATTGCCCCTCAGATGTAACATAATGCCACCCCAATTTGCCACACTGAGGAGGGGAACTTTGACGTCTTCTAGGTTAAACTGAACTGAAGCAAAAGCAGGATGGTCCCGATACCTGTGCTTATGTAGAAAATCGGTTGATGCTGTTCTGTTTGCCGCGAGCTCTTCTTCAGCAAGGTCACCTTCAATAGTATCGGGACCCCAGTTTCGCGCCGCTCTTCCTGGAAGCCCATACTGGTTAGGAGCGACCTGGCGTTTATACCACCACGCAAAGAATGAGTTAGACAGAATCCCACCATGGCGGACCGATTCGGTATACGGATCAGAAAAGCCTTCCCATGGAATAATTGCTGCCAGCCCCTTGGGATTCCTAGATGCCACCTGCCACTGGGTAACGGCGTAGTAACTGACTCCTAACAAGCCGACTTTTCCTGACGACCACGGTTGCACCGATGCCCATTCAATCAAGTCGGCAAAAGCATCAATCGTGCGGGATGACTTGACGCTCAAAAGACCGGGGCTTTGTCCAATACCAATCTCATCAGCTCGTACCACAACGTACCCATGCGCCGTCCAATACTTCGGTGTAGGTGTCTCCCAGGCAGAGTGTTCCGTCTGGTGAGGTGGATCTATCTCTGAGAAGCTCTTCGGGTGAAAGCTGTTGCGGCTTAGCGATGATACATGGCTGCAAAGTAGAGTCGTACACTCACTCCTTGTAAGGAACATCTTTTCCGTAAGGTCCGCAAGTTGCAATAACGGGGAACTTATGTCCTTTCTCAGCCTTGGGCCGGTATACGTTGCAGCGAATCACGCCTCCATTTGACAAGGGCACAGACACATTCTGCTCAAAGATATACGGATATGTGGTCGCGTCGATGGTGCGAATATTCCGGATCTCAGCCATCTTGACTTTTTGTCAACCAAACGAACAAACCCACCACCTTTTGTACGCAGGATAGAGTTATGATTCTCGCTAGAGGCTCCTTGGTAGAAATGGCCGACGGCTATGCTTCCCAGTTCGCCCTTTTCTCCAGTCTCTTCGATCTGTCCTATTCCAGCATGGTGTTCCATATGTTAGCCCATCCACCCGAGCTCCCATTGGTTGCATTAGTCATACTTTCTCCGAACCCTAGCCCGCTCCGAAGCCGATGGGCCGATGCCGATATATGGAACGAAGCTGCTCGGGGTTCGGCGTGGGAAAAGGCAATCGTTGGCTAGCCTGGAAGTGCCACCGCAGTAGTGGGCTTTCGTTATGGTCCCTTTGTTTCATTCCAACAATTATTAAATCCGCTTTACTGTTCTTATTTTACTGCTCTTCCCGCGCTCACACGTGCATAATACTGTTTGCCTTCATCCTCTACGTCTAACACTCCTGTGGCGAGACCAAACAGTAATAGAAATAATAGCTAGCAACAGAAAAAGCAATGCTAACATAACTTTTACCCGTCTAATATTACGTCTGATCTTTTCTCACAGGACATTGCTGTAGTAATCCTTACGCTATTCTATAATCTCGGCGAGGTCGAAAGAACTATAGCAACAGCTTCGAAGGCCCCGCTCCCAGCCAAGGCGGTTAGGTTATGTGCGTATAGTCCTCCCCAGCACAGTCTTCCCCAGCATCTGTAAGCGCTTTAAGCTTCAATTATCCGAGATTTGCCGAAAGAGCCGAGAAATATATATCCATTTATTCCCCCGAATTTCATAATTTTACATCGATAAAGATATAACCGTTAATCGCAGTTGTCCATAATTTTTTTTGCAAATGCCTATTCTCCCTCGCTTTTCAAATCTCACGGTGGTACTGAAGGATGGGGTGGCACTGCTTAAGTACGATCGACCTAAAGCGGGAAATGCTCTCAATGTTCCACTGATCAAGGCAAGAATCGTCAGCGTTATTGTAATAAAACATATTTATTTGCTAACAAGTACATAGGACATATTAGCCGGACTAAAATGGGCAGATAATGAAGATCTGGTCAAGGTTGTCTTGCAAACCGGAGAAGGAAGGAACTTCACTGCCGGACTCGATTTGCGGGACAAGTCAGTTGGTGGACCAGATACAGTCATTAGTGATGAGTTTCTGGACGCAATCAAGTGAGCTATGTTGATCCCGATGTTATGTAGTCGCTAATGTTTGTAAAGGGAACTCCACGAGACTATGATTAATTCCAACAAAATCCTTGTTACTGCTGTCAATGGGCCGGCTCCCGGCTGGGGGACCAGCAGCCTTGGCTTGGCTGACCTTGTTTACGCCTCACCAGATGCGGTTTTCTTCACTCCATTTGTCCAATTAGGAATTTGTGCCGAAGCTTGCTCAAGTATAACCTTCGCCAAAATCATGGGCCATCAAAAGGCCGCCTCATTGCTCCTTGCAGGAGATAGAATGACGGCGAGCGAGCTCGAAAGTGCGGGTCTAGTAAACAAGACTATTCCTCAAGAAAATTTTCTTGAGGATGTTCTTAACATCTGCTACAGAATCGCAAAACTGCCATCTGAGGCTTTGAAATTCAATAAGGGTCTTTTGATGCGAAATTCCCGACAGGAGTTACTTGAAGCAAACGAAATTGAGCTGAACTTCTTGAGAGAGAGAGCTCGAAGCCAGGAAGCCAGGTTGGCTGTCAACAACTTTCTCCTGGATCAGCAACTTAAACGAGATCAGCGGGCTCAGGCTAGGCTGTAGGCCTCACAAACACCCCTTAGTTTGTGAAACCTACATCTCGAAGTACTCCGGTTTAGACTGCTGAAACCAGCAGTTTTGGTCGCTATACACGGTGAGATTCGTGTAGAAGATAAGGGGGAATAGATCGAAATTTGAGGCGGCATCAAAACCCGTGCATGATGCTCTGCCGTAAGTAGTTATTTCGGGCATGTCAGGTCTCAGGCTGACATGAGTCATTTGCATCAATAGTTACAATGTTCATAATGGATTTCTATTTATATTGAGTCAAATCTGACGGCATAGCACAAGCACCTCAACCTAAATGTATTCCCTATATGTTTCGGCTCTTACACACGGTCCTTCACATCCCTATCAAAAATTATTGCATCACTTCCACTGAAAATACACGGGAGTGGCGAGATTGATGGAGACAAGAGCATGCTGAACATAGGTATGTTAGACGACAACCCCCCATTACCACGTTTACGTTCATGCAGCAATAAATAGAGCACGCACCAACAACAGCGGACAGGAGCAGTTCGATACCCTGGCTTTGCACCTACTTATATTGCAATGCAGGTGGGCGCACCAGAGACAAGCCGAAGATATGATAGGACAAAGAAAACTCTACTGATCGATGGGAAACGGCGCTTTTATGACCTATATGACGATCCATAGACGTGTATGTCTCGTCTGCGACTGCCGGGAGCCGGGACGCCGGGACTGTTTATCTTAGACAGAACGGGCTGATGGACGTAAGACGGGAGGGAAAGAAGGAAAGAAGGGGAGAGGGTGGGGAGGAAGCAAGCATATCGTACGGTGTTCTCCCTGGTGGCGTCATATCGCATTCTCTCCATAGGTGCGGAGGAGGAGATAACCTTGCAATAAGCCCTTGTTCTCGGCCATTGTTATCGTTATTGTTGTTCTAAAAGCCGGCCCTAGCCATTCATTGCTCGGGTCTACAAGATCAGGCAAACGGTCTCTAGATAAATGATGTTCGACTTAGCTTTGTTTGGCAGGAATCTTCGCACCATACCATATCTTTATTATTTAAGTACTAGAGTTTGTCCCTTCCCACGCCTCTACGCTGCACTTTCTCCTTCCGCCCTCAGGACCCTCTCACACTTGCTAGCAGACCCCCTACAGAACACTGACGTTTCGCCCACACCAAACCTCGCCCTCCTTAAACAACACTTCGATCTCCATCACCATCCTCTTGGAAACACACCAACACACCACACATTGCTCTCCCATCCACAACATAACCATGTATTTTTCAGGCTCCTCTCTACAACATAACTTCACTGCCCCCCCATACTCCATGCCACTTCATACGTCTTATAAATTAAACTCATCACTGACACTTATCGCAGCACAATTTTGCCCTAATGGCTCTCTCAAACCCCTGCGTGCACTTCTTCAAGATCTTAAAGTCTGAGAGTAGCTTAATCCAGTGGATGTGCAATATGTGCCACTCTGGCCCGCACTGGCTCATCTTCGAATGCAGGTACTGCAAGTTCAAGACTTGTCGCGTCTGCACCGACCACTGCTAGTATAGTGGCAAACAAAGTCTTGACCCCCTCTGTATTCTCATTCCACACCGGTTCCGCCCGACAATCTAGGCGATGTTCTAAATCTGGTTAGTTGCATGATACTGTTGAAGAGTGGGGTGACAGCCATTCCGGGTATTGATGAGTTCATCTTTGCAACTGATCTCGATGGAAACTTCATGGATATTGCGTGAGCCCTAGGAGTTGCCGCAGTTGTGTCCACTTGATGGCAGGGGAGCTTTGGAGAAACCATTCCTCCGATTCGGCGCCGAATTCGGGATGGCAGAGCCGAAGACCCATTTTACCCTAGGTACGACCCTCGTCAGTGTATTAGTTGTACGATATTTGTCACTATCAATGTAATGCCCAAGTGATTGGAGAGAGAGCTAGTATGGGAGCGTATGGAGGAGCCAAATATATAACGTGCATTTGCTAGACTACAGCCCGAGGTCATGACCACCCCCTGTCTTGTACCAGCATCTCGTTCTGGGCTTCCTATTTCTTAAATGATGTGGCATACCAGTCACGCGTGTGTTTGGCCGCAATGTTGGTGTCGGTCTTCTCAGAGTACAAGCTCATGTGGCTGACGGAAGGCAGGATCTCAAGGCGCTTGAACGGCGAGGAAATCTTGTTGAATGCCTCGATCTCCAGATCCCAGGCAGTGATATTATCTGCCTCGGCAACGATCATCAGGACCTTCTTGTCTAGGATGCGACCCAGGAAGGGGAACACCGAATAGTCTAAAAGAAGCTCGGCAGACTCCAAGGTGCTCCAGTGCTCATGGAGGGGTGCTTCAGTCAGCTTGAGCTGGGTGAACACCTCGTTGACGCGGGCGAATGGCCAGACGGATAAAACCTCGTTAGGTGTCTGAGTGGCGAATTCAATCCTGTTGCCGCCGCCGCCAGTCTTGGCACGCTCTCGACGATCTGCAAGAATTGCGTTTTCGAAATCTCGGAATCGTGTTTCTCCATGCACGCGACGCATGTTGTTGTACCCATCCACGACAGGAACCACGCTCACCGCAGACTTGACTCGAGGATCAGTTGCGGCCAAGATTAAAGCGTGGCCTCCACTGTAGGAGATACCAAAAACCCCTAGTTGGTCAGGATCAGCATCGTCCCGACTTTCGGCGTAGGTCAGCGCATTCTTGTAGTCGGAAATCTGGCTCCAGGGGTCTAGATGCTGACGGCGGTCTCCCGAGCTCTCCCCGAACCCAGCATAGTCAAAGCCCAGGAACTGTACACCCTGTTCATTCACGATACGGGCGATGTGCGGTAGCACAATCTCCTTGGTGTAGCACCATCCACCGGCCGCAACGACAGTGGGGAGCCTCCCGACAGCTCCATCGGGGCGGAAGAGTGTTCCGACAAGCGTGTTGCCGTCGCTGGGAAATTGGACCTTGATCTCCATTTGTACGTTGAGCGTTCGTTAACAGTAAAATAGTTTAGTATCTTTTGGAGGAGATGCTGTGGTGTCTAAAGTAAGCTATTCGAGAACGGTTTGGCTTCAACGATCAGTGAGATCTTATAAGATCGTTAGATCTCTATCCTGGCTACCCAATTCGAATTGTTCGGACCGAAGGACGACCTAACATACGATGTTACAGTATAATGATTGTATGTACTGAAGTACCCAGCACCCATACACATCACCAGTCTACATCTTTGTCTCCATCGGACTTGCTACTTCGGCATTGGTTAGGTAAATTTCCGAATCGGTCCGAATGTTTACTAAAGTCGCTCGCGCCTAAAGGTTTGGAGCACCTCAGGGGCGGGTCTAACTAAGACATTTCGGAAGAGAGGATTTGAAAAGCCACTCTAGGGACCGACGGCCCTGCACGTCATGCCCCGTCATGCCCCTTCATTCTACCTCGGTCCCGACCCCGTAAACGCCGGGCTTACGGCTGGGAATTCGCAGTCATCTGACAAGTCAGATTTGGCTAGGGAAGACCCTGAGCTGGACGTTCTGGTCATGGGAATAGAAGGGGACTCTACTCTTCCCGCCGAAATAATACCAGGATGTCTCAGGTAAGATAATAAAGCATGGGAATAACTTCGAGTCTTTAGGTTCGAACGAGCTAGTAAATTAACCCCACGTATACTTGATTACATCTAGCCAAAACTATCACTGCCTTGACGAAAAAGATTCATGGGTTCAAAACCTTCAAACTCAATACCAGCTGCGGCGAATTGCAAGTTCCACCACTCACCTTCTAAAGTCATCAGTGTGTTGTCAACAGCGGCCTCGTCTCTCTCTATGCTTTCGCCGGTCCCCGTCAGTGGGGAATGTAAAACCGGCTGAGAATGTCGGGACCCCATTGTACCCATATCTTTCAAATGATGATATGATGGTGTAAGCGGATTTTGTACTAGGTTACTAACGCTTTCACGCTGGGCTTGTGAAAATGAGACAGGGCTTATAGGATGTGTGGAGTTCATCCTGGGGTGTCTCTCCGTTGAGTCTGAACCATGCTGGGTCTCAAAATTAACCTGTGTTGGCGTAGATCTGTCTTGACGCAACGAAGCTGCCTTGAGCGCTGTGCGTAACTTTTCATACTATAGTACCCGAAGTTAAAATGCTGTCGGTCTAGGGGCGAAAGATGTTCTGACTTACAGGGCTATGTAGAGACCTCCAGTAGATGCGAAGGGTATCCAGCATTCGAACTATAGCCTCCACCATGGAAATCTTGCTCCTCTCTCCGTCATCCGCCTCTTTGTCTCGACATGAGATTTCAAATGCTAGAAGGACCGAGCTTGCAATGAAAGCACCGTAACCCATAACTGGAGATACACAGGTGATATCAGAGCCTCTATCCAAGTAGTCCATCAACAAGGTCGTAAACAATTCTGCATGACGCAGTGCAGCCTGAGCGCTACTTCTAACGACCTCTGCATCTATATGCGGATCGAGTGGCGAGCCCGAAAATAGAGGCACAATGGTCGAATGCAGAGTTATCTGACACAGGTAGTAAAAGGCATCAAAGAGCATGACTTGAGGATCGCTTTCAGATGTGGCTGTGTTCTTCAGAGTTACCCGACCTGACGCAGGCGCTGTATTATGGTAGATAGAAGTAGCGTGATCAGAGAGAGTTGAAAGGGCGTCAAGCTTTGCCGGTGTGGAATAGGACGATAGATCGGTAACGAAAAGCTGGACCTTAGCCCTTAGACAATATTAACACTGGAGCTGAACATTGAATATCAATCTCACCAGATGCCAATTATCTTCATCAGCCCTACTAAAGCTGGGGCAGTCCGTCTAGCTCCTGATTGTTCGAAACTTGGCATTGGAGACCATTCAGCATCCATTCGCTCACCCAAGCTAATCTCCCACCCAGATGGGGTGCTAAAGATGGAAGAGGGTAATGGTCGCATAGCCATTTCTGTCCATGCTGACCTGACGAAGGGCTTTGGTTCTGCCACAATACACACAGACGCCCAGCAAGCCCAAAGACACCGACGCTCCAGCTCTGATTTTAATGATATGTCGAACTCTTCAACGCGCTCAGTAATTTTCTTACCATAGTCCCAGATGCTGCAGAAACGGTAGGCCAAAGCTAATGGGCTATAATCAGTGCGGAACATCCACTAACGGGGGCACGGCAGCGTACAAAGACATAGATCGCCACTTTTCGAGTTTCCAGTACCAAACCAATATAATGTTAGGCATTCAAGAGTCTGGACGACTGCCAACGAGGGTTCCTCCACGATTACGGACATGGCTTCTTTTGTAGCAGCTTTCGCCCAAGATAGGCCGCGGGAATGAAAGAAGCCTAACGCCCGAAGTTCAAAAAGATCGCTGGATTCATTTTCTACACCATGTCTAGGCGCGAGGAATCTGATGAGAAAATAAGTGGTTGTTCGGATGAGCAAAGGGTGGATAGTGATAATACAAAGAAGCTAACGCGAAGATCGCTTTCAGGAGAACAGTTGGAACCTTCCCTTCTAAATACTCCTGAAAGAGGATAGGTTTACAAAATAACAGATGCGCGTTGTAGATGCGCGTAAAGTAAATCTCGAGCAGAGAGAGGCCCACAGCACGCGCTGGTAAGGCCAAACCATCTGAGCTGGAGCTATTTCTCTGCTTAGTTGCTCTTGCATTGGCTGATGCAAGATCAATACTTCGTAAGTGACTAGGATATAACTAGATTTTGAAGGAAAAATAAGCCTTGAATTTTAAAAAGTCCATGATACGTACATCTAATGGCATGTCCACTGGTGGATCGGATGTATTTGCGCCTGCAGGCGCAGCTCCGTTTAGAAATAATACTTTGTCAAGTGGGGTATAGTCTGTGGTTAACGCGGTATTCACACTCGGTCCATCGCTTGGCCGTGGTCTTTCATACCGTGCGGAAGAGTAGTCAGTGTCGTTGCCGCTGAGGGGAATCCTCTGGTGTTCTCGGTATGGTGTCATACTCGGCGAGCTACGTTCAGGTCGCGGGCGCCTACGGTCAGGCGGGTTTGGATAGACACAATGCGATTGTTGCCTTGTGCAACGAGCACAACTTGGGCGGTCGCGGCTACATTTGAGCTAGGCAAAGCAGATTTAGTGCTGGCCACCTATGGAGGACTGAGAAGGTCACCTTTTGATTCCGACATCGCTGACATGCGGTGTTGGAGCCTGACAAGTTGGACTGAGCGATCCTGTTCATTGTGTCTTAATCACAGTTGGGAATGAGGTAAGTATGTGGTTGGACGAGGGAACGACTTATGGCAAGTAGCTAGTACTAGGCTTAAGTTAGCTTAGGTAGGCTTAGTAATGGTTAGGTACAATCACGTGAACCGAATAGTCCGTAGTTGTGATTTCCGACAGTGTTCCCCAAATAGTACTCGAATACTATTCGGCATTTGCCCGAATACTCTGGCTCTGATAGTATTCGCCGAATACTCGTACGAATACTCGCCGAATAGTATTCGGCGAGTTAATGAGGCTCTTTAATGAGGCTCAACTGTAGTATAGTATAATATAGTAATTGAAATATGATAACTCTGTCTACTCGCTATCGTCATCCTCGTCGCCTATAACCCCCCAATCCCGTAGGCAGAGTAGATATCGAAGAGTAGAAGGCAGTAATCTATTCCTTTTCTTAGTGACTATATCACCGCCGACACTAAATATGCGCTCTGACGCTGCCGATGAGGCTGGAATTGCTAGATAATCCCGTGCGATCCGTGATATAACCGGATACTAAAACTGCTTTGCTTGCCAATATTTGAGAATATTAGTATGGCGGTCGACTCCGCTCTCTTTAAGCCATCGTCGCCACTCAACTTCCTCAATTAAAGGCCTATGATGCTGATACATCTCGTCGTCGGAATCAAGCTCTCTTGGGGTTGTTATCTGCTCTGTTTCGGCGGCAATAGTAGCTTCAATGGCAGCAACCTGTATATCATTCTCACGGTCTTTATACCGGTTAAAGCAAGCTGCGAACTGCGCCCTTGCCCTATCTCGTTTTATAGCGTCTGCGCTATTTAGCATATAAAATTCGTATATACTCAAGTTGAATCTTGGGTCGTAGATAGTAGCAATTGACGAGTGGCTTGAGCCTTGATTTGTTATAAGGTTATAGTAAGTATCAAGCTTACTATATGACGCTTTACAAGCTGTGCTAATTGCTGCTATAGTCGATGGAGCGATTTCCATTGCCTTAAGCTTATTTAAAAGCCGTAGATAGTGTGGAATACAGACGTTTAACGTTGGATAATTATCAGCTTGAACTTGCTCTGCAGGCTTGACGAATATCTTAAAGAACGCTTTGAGTCCATGTAACACTTGCCATTCTATCGATGTAATGATAATATCACGCATACTTAAATCCATCGTTTGCGAAGCACATAAAGCATTGATCGGCTGCTCAAGCTTTAAAGCGTTCTCAAGCATATGATATGTTGAGTTCCATCGCACAGGCATGTCGAGGGACAGAGAAACCACCTGGATACCCATAGTAGATGCTTGCACTTTCAATGCATCTTTCCATGCTCGACGGTTCCGGAAGACATAGATATGTCGGCGTAGTTTTATAAGAACCGTTGCCACTTCATCTCTATTAGGAACGAAGCCTTAAGTATGAGCAGAGCCTTGCTCAAGCCTATATGATTCCGTTTGTTCTGATGGTACAGCTTTTAACATAGTTAAAGCTGCTTGAACCGCAAGGTTTATAATATGTGCCATGCATCGAACGTCGCCTTCCTTTACTGTAAAGCTCCATGGTTGCTGTATAGAAGCGATATCCGTACATACCCCTATTTCAAACTCTGCAAGCATTGCTGTATTATTCGATGCGTTGTCTCGAGTAATAGTAAAGACTCCATTTGTAATACCAAAGTCGTCAGTGATAGCTTGAAGCTGCTCTGCAAGATATTCACCTGAATGAATAGGCTCCTTTAAATGTATGATATCAAGAACACAGTGCCGGTGAACCCATTCGTTATTAATCCAATGAACAGTTATCGCAGCGTGCTCTGCGCCATTCATTGCTGACCATGAATCAGTCGTAAGTGATAACCGTCCACCCTTTATAACATGAGCCTAGAGTTCTATTTGCAGCTTCATACGGTGGTTGCAGAA